GTGTGTGTGTGTGTGTGTGATGATCGAATAAGTTATAATAAATGTGATACAAATGCAACAAATATTTAGTTTTGTTGTGTAAAGTTTAATGTAATTGCACAGGCTATAGAATTGCTTATGACTTAAACTGTATGTATAATATTATTTTGATTTTGAAACAATATGGCATGAGTTTATGTAATGAATATATATTATATAATATATACATAATTTAATTCAGAGGGAGGAAGGAAAAACAAAAGCAGTCCATTTCTGCGTACTTGAAATTCACACTCATGCAGATAATAGAGCAGACAACACATTCCGAGTATTCACACACTGTGGCAAATTGAGCTCTAGCAAGGTATCCAGGAGATTTATTTTATACTACATAGAACACATTCAGAACAGGGGACTAACAGATCCACTAAAAAGCTTGCTACTTAATTCCTGATTAGACACTGAATAGATTCCTTACAGGGATTACGCAACAAATATTCAAGTGGGTACGCCATATTTGATTTGAAGATCTGTTAGTCTGCTGTTCTGAATGCACTTATAGAATAAAGTTAAGTATTTGCTGTTTTTCTTCCTTTATTTGGTTATATTTGTATGTAATTAGATATAATGACAATTATTATTTCTTTCTAGGAGGCTAACAAGTCTAAGAAAGAGTGTCGTTATGCATCAACATCAGAGGAGGCCCTTTCTATATATTCCCAGCTATACAGGCTTTATACAACTGCCCCACATAATTTAACAAAGACAAAATGTCCTGTTTCACGGAGGATTGGCTCAGACAAGTTTCAAGCGGTAGTGTTAATAGAAGAGGGTTATGTTCATCATGATATGTTTAAAATTACATTTTATTTTAAAGGGCATTCATCAATGTTCTGTTTGGTAACAATTGGCTTGTTAGTTTGTTAAAGTATTGTTTAGGATTAGTATCTAGTAGTTTTGCTCAACTAACTGCTATTTTAAGAATTGAATTAAATACACTTAACTTCAAGCAGTTGTGATAAGTTCTAAAATAGATTCATGCTTAATAGATTATAATTTTTGTATTTTTTAACAAACTTCTTTCTATGGTGTGGTATGAGTGACAGCATACCATTTTATCAACTTTCAGTTGCTATGGCAATTTGGCCAGGATGCACCTGTGGGGAGAGAAGTTGGGGACCTGATGGACCATATTTGGCAGGAAGCTACAGGACAGCTGGAAGATACATTAGACATACCATTGGAACAAGTCAAATTGGAAGAGGTCAGTCATCAGAATTACTTCATCAGATGAAAATAAACACTGTTGGTGTATTCTTCAAGTACATAATTGCAGTTGATGTGTCTTATAAGTTTAACCTTTGCGGTGTGATATCTATTTTTTCCTACTTTAGGTGGAGAAAGCAGAGGGCATACTGTCACAAGTGAAAGAAGCTCTTGGAAAGGGAAAAGATTCTGTTCAACTAAAAAAACTTTCAGGAGAATTCTACAGTGCTCTGCCACACAGATTAGGCCATACTGAAACCATTTCAACAAAGAGAATATTGGCAAAAAAACAAAACCTCTGTCAGGTAGGCTTTAATACATATTTTTTTTTTTAAGCTGAGAGAGTCATCTGGCAAACATGCATTTTAGCATATTATCAGTTCTTTATTAAACCTTGAAATTATAAACTTTTGATAAAGTTTTGTTAATAATTATGGGTTCACTTTTGCTTTCAGAAATTGATTCATGTGCTCAGTTCTCTTTATTCATTATTACAGCTGATAAAAGATATGGTTGCTGTTAGTGAAGCAACCAATTGGTCCACTAGAGGGAGCCAGCAGTCAAAATACAGAGCATTACGCTGTCAAATTGAATACTTAGCACCAATAAGTGAAGAATATGAGAGGATAAAATCTTTGGTGGAAGATACTGCACCAAACGGGTGAGTGATTTGGCTGCAATAGTAAATACCTTCTCAAATTGAATATCTTTTGAGATTATAGGAATAGATGATTTAGGTATTTTATTTCTTTCCATCTCTTATTACTTCTGAAAAAGGGATTAGCAGCCTTTCAAACAATGAATTGATTTACTTATTGTATTTGTGTAAGAAAAAAATCCTAGTGAACTATAACAAGGAGCTGTAAGGCTTAATGTAATCCTTTTTAGCATCCGATGGCATGTGGTACTGTGTGTCAACATCTTTAAAAAAATTCAGTTTTAAAATTTGTTTTGTTTCAGTTCAAATAACCTGGATATTGTGAACATATTTGCTGTGCATAGACCAGTCGAAGATACTCATTTCACTCACAACATCAGCAACAAAAGACTGTTGATGCATGCCTCTTCTGTGCAGAACTGTGTGGGGATACTCTCAAGGTAGAGAATTATAAGTTACAATCATGATTATCATGACATTTTATATGTACTTATTAGTGCCATACAGCATTAAAACATTTACTTCATACCTGACACATATATTTTATCATATTATGTTTTAAAGTTTGTATTACTATATGTCATGCAGAACTGTATTTATGAAAATTGAAGTTATGTGTGTTTTCCAAAGTTATTTTCATTCTTGATGACAATACAGTAAAAGTTGTAAAATCAAGTTCGTACAGGTTGACTCAGTGTTGTTGCAACATTTCATCCCAGTGCTTCATTTGTTGAATTTATGCTAAAGATGGCAAATTATAAAATTATACATTTATTTTTATAAGAAACTGAAAATTTGAATTTGAATTTTTTTGCTTCAGAGGACTACTGATGCCAAAGGTAGTGGTAGATGACTTTGGAGGAAATAGGACAGATATTGGGATGCTGGGAAGTGGAATCTATTTTGCTGATTCATCAAGGTGATATGTCAGTCATATGATCACTTCAAATAAAAGCAAAAGTAAAGAAGTCAGAAATTCAACAAAATTAGGCGACATTCAAATCTGTTACAACATTTGGGCATTTTAATGCTTACCATTAAATAAATCTTCTATAGCTGAAAGAATCATAACACTTTTTGGTAAATGTAGTAAATAAATACCGATTTGCATATTATGTGGCATAAAGGCAAAACAACATTTTGACAAAACAACTTATTGAAAAAAAATGTATTTGCTGATGGTGCTAATAGAGCTGTAAACATTTGTTCTGATAAAAGAATATATTGATGCTTTTTTTTTTCATTTGCAGCACAAGTGTAAAATACTCATCCCCAAGCTGTGTAAAAGGTACACGCATGATGCTGGTGAATGAGGTAGCATTGGGCCAGTGTAAGGATTACTATAATTTCCAGACAGAGCTCAAGGCACCACCAGAGGGCTATCAGAGTGTAAGAGGTGTGAAAAGTACAGAGAATATGACATCAGAGTTTGAGGTTAGTAAAAAAACAAATGGATAGAAGGCTTTATTTTTTGACAATATACTTTTTTATTCTGATCAATGATATGATAATTTATAATTAAAAATATACTGCTCCAAATTCTACCATTTTCCCTTAAATACATGTATGTTTAGCAGTTATCTCCAAAAAGATGTATTGATTGATGGGAGCTACTCTTTATCATTGTCTTACACTGTATAGTTAAGTGTTTGGTGACCTTGCAGCTTTTCTTATTTATAGTTGCATAGTTCAGCTTTTGATATACCTTTCATTCATATCAGTTAAAGACATATTTTTCATAGGAAAAGTTGTGAGATATTTTCATTTAGTAATCTCAGTACCTCATTTTTACGAAACAGTATATTTTTGCTTTTCTTTCATGCACAGGATGATGAGTATGCTATTTTCAATACCAACCAGCAGCGAATACGTTATCTAGTAGAATTCACATTACCAAATGATAAAATCAAGCAAATGCAAGGAGAAGTGAGTGAAGAAATAGAAATAGAAGAACAAGCAGTAGAAGAACAAATAGGTAAATATTATCAGTTATTGTGCTCCAGTTTGTTACATTATAGTAAGAGAACAAGATGTAGGTAATATTATTATTTAACAAATATTCTGTGTACTCCATTGAAACAAAGAATGTTTTTTATGTGTGAATTCTCCAATTATCTTTCAAATGCTCCAGTGGTTTGAAAGTAAAAGTTTAAAAGTTTGAATTTAAATCTTATCTGTTGAATATAATGAAATGCAGTGATAGGTCCCAGTTGACTAAGAAAACACAGATTTTATTTATTAAATTTTATTTTTTTTCATATATAATAAATATTTGTTTAACTTTGATAATATTTTGAGTTATTTAGCTGAACATTTTCAACCAATAAAAATAAACATAAGCTAAAGGAGCAAATGTAATGCATTCACATTGATGTTTAATGGGAGTCAAAAGTCAGTAGATAGGATGCACATGCAGGTTATGTTTGTTAATAGGAATCCAGGATGTGAGCAGCATCACTGACCCACTGTCCAAAGTACAGGCTGGACTGGTGTCTAGTTCAGATGAAGCTGTGCCACTACATTCTGTCAGTGTCAAGGCAAAGCTGCAAGATTTAGCTGCACAGGTACTGTACCAGCATGTTGTTTTGACACCTGGCATCCATTTAGAACCAACCTTTCCCAATATATTAGAAACATATTGTAGTTACATAGTACTACAGGGTGTTGAAATGTGTATCTGGATATTCAGATGTATTCTTAAGACATGTCTCAAGTGTGGTGCTTCTAAAGCTTGTTTCCTTGATTCATTTGCCTAACTGTATCATTCAACACTGTTTGTAAAAGTGTCTTTCATTAATGAAGTATAGCAGATATGTACACGCATATCTGTGTGCATTTAGAACACTGAAACACCATTCTGGTTCAATTACACAAGTATGTATAAGTATTGTTATCAAGAAAACAATTGTTGTGTCATGGACCTTGGTTACTTTTACTGTACATGCGCCTTATCATGATAGAAGTTGACCACCGTCTGATTTTTGTTTATATTGTAAAATTACTTAAATGGTGTTCTTTTCTAAACTTAAATATTACCATCTAACTTAAATTTGTATCACCTATATTTCAACATTGCAGGTTGTTGTATTTCAAGTCTATCAGAACCAGAGTGACCACTCTATTGAAGCCAAGTATGTGTTCCCTCTGGATGATATGGCAGCAGTGTGTGGATTTGAAGCATACATCAACAACAAGCATATCATAGGGGAAGTCAAGGAGAAAGAAACAGCACACAGGGAATACAAGAAGGCCATTAGTGAGGGCCATGGAGCTTACCTCATGGACCAAGATGAAGAAACACCAGTAAGAAACTAAGGTTTACAGTTTATTGGACTAAAAAGTTTGATGGTGAAGAAATCTATTGTTTATCATGAAATAAGCCCATGATAACAAGGGTACAGTAACCTGGTTTTCCTGAACACAACTGCTGGTGTAACTTTATATTTGCCTAGTACAGAATTATGGATTTATCAGAAATTTAGATTTATTATGAGTACATTAATGTAGTTCTTAGAAAATTAGTCTTTTACACATTAAAATATGTTGTTTGGTCATTTGACACTTTTGACAGTATCTCCAAACTTTGGTAGACTCTTTTTCACACTCATAGAATTTATTCTGCCATTGCGTGAGATATATTTCCTTGTAAAACTTTTAAAAGTTTTAGACATCTAACTTGCAATTGTGGTATACATGTGTATTGTGGTACAAATTTTTGGTGTAGATAATCTGTCTGCATTTACTGTTGTAGAAACCTCTGAAATGCTGTTAACTCTGCATATTTGTCAACATGAGTGCTGGTAGTACATGTTGTTTTAGTATGACCAGTTTCATCCCCTGTCTCTGCCAACATCTACTGTCTCCTCCACGCAGTCACGGTTACTGCATTTCCTTATAGACTACAAAGACCTGTGACCCCATCTCTCAGAATAAGGTCATATAATTTCAACTTGAACCCCCTAGATTTTGGTCTCTGTTGGTGCATTGGCCAAATTTATAACATGGATACATTATAGGAAAATGAAGCCCTTGCAATATCACTAATTTTTTTTAAATATTCATTTGTTTATTTCATTGAAGGATGTGTTTACAGTGAGTGTTGGCAACCTCCCACCTAGGTGCCAAGTTGTGATTAAGATCACTTATGTTGCGGAGCTGCAGGTGGAAGGAGAAAACATATGCTTTAGTTTGCCTGGTAGTGTGGCCCCTTGGAAGAAAGACTCTGCTCTTGCTGAAATTACTCAGGTACAGGTAGACCATGGATGTATATATTCTTACTTATCACAAACTTATTACACACTTATATTCAGAGGCAGACTGAGACTTGGTTTATAGGTCTGAAACATGTGGCCCAATAACTATCTTCCTATGTCATTGGTCCTGTTATTCAAACAGAATAAGTGGTTAAAAACATTTAAAAACAAGAATGCACGGGGGCTCTTGCAAGCAAGATAAAATATGCTCATGCCAACCAGAATCCATAATTGACTATAAGATTAAGTTCATGAATAAGGTTTTAATAAATAAGAAGGTGCAGTTCACATACAGTTTGACTTTAAGAAGAAAAGTAGCAAAATGTAGTTAGAATGTCTTTTAGTTTGGTGTTTGCTTTCCTCTCTACCCTTGTCTCTTTATCTTGGAACTATTGGATGAAGCATATTAACTATTAATTGTCAAGTATTGTTATCCTTACAGACAGATGTGGATACTGTCAAAGTAGAGAAAAGTGACCTCAGTGTTGATGTGCAGGTTGCCATAGAAATGCCCTTTGACATACGGACCATCGATTGTCCATCCCACCAAGTCAAAGTCAAGGTAAGAGGTATTAGGTGGTGATTTAGTAATTGTTATTTTTAAAAGATATTCAGTCATTTCTTTCATTTGCCTTTAGACTTGTAAGAGAATCTGTCGTGGGTAATGCAATTACTGAAACACATAGTTTGGTTATAGTAGTGCGAGCATTGTTAGAAATTATCTTTTGCTGCAGTTCATTGATCTTGTTGTACTGGAATGGGATTAGTAAACTGTGTTACTATCAATTAACCATGGCTGCTATAGAGAACTGCCTCCATGGCTGTGGTGGAGATGACAGCAGGACAAGCTTTGGGAGATGGGTTCCAGTTATTGATAGGACTGGCCGAGATCCATGTGCCCAGGATGTGGGTGGAGGAAGATGCAGATAACCCTGGATCACCAGTAAGTGCAAAAATTCTTTTTGTGATTGCTCTGACAGAAATTCAGTCAATTTACGATTCTGAATAATAAGCTTTTGGAAAGTTAAATTTCAATGGTTTAAAGTGATTTTTTTTTCATTCAGAAGGGAAGTTTTTATGGTTACTTAAATCTCAGAAGACCAAAAAATTAATATCAAACAGAAGAAGCACTTATTACACAATAGTTTACCTATTTACCTGTATCTATCTTTGCAGGCTTGCATGTTGACCTTCTACCCAGAGTTTGAAGCAGAGTCAGACCTGGCCTGTGAGGTTATCTTACTGATTGATGTTTCCAATTCTATGAAGGAGAAAGCATTGCAGGATGCCAAGAAAGTGGCTTTGCTTACACTGCATCATCTGTCAAATGGTTGTGTGTTTAATGTTGTGTCTTTTGGAACTGGTAAGTGCAAGACTTTCCTACAACAAAATGTCTTATTCATTTATTATCACATTATTACAATTCTTATTGGCCTTCCCTATTCACAAAAGAGTGGTGAATGATGAAGTGTGCACATTTTTCCTATGCAAGGTTTTGAAGAGTTGTTTCCATGTTCTATGGGGAAGACAAAGTTAACAGTGAAACAAGCACAAGGATTTATTCAGGTAATTTAGTTTTTTTAATAAAACTGTTGGTATTTATATATTTCAATTTCAAAGAAAACAGTTTAATTTCAAAGAGCACGGTTACATACATAATGTGTTAAGCACACTATGTTTATAACACTGTAACTACATAACATTTCCTACTAACACTGAGATTTTTACAATGCTAAAAGTTTGCTAATTGGAGAATTGTTTGCATTGTCTTTGATGGCTTAGTGGAAGTAGACATATGGCTTTGCTGTATCATTTGCAGTAGTAAAATATTTATAATAGTGCAGTTTAAATTTAATTTTTTTTAAGGCCATCTTGCATTTTTTAATGGTGCTCATTTATTTCAGGCATTACAACCTTCTGGTGGGAACACAGAAGTTATTCAACCACTGCAAGTAAATTTCCTGCTCAAACCAAGTCAAGGGTTGCGCAACATATTCCTCATCTCTGATGGACATGTCAACAACGAGGAAGCTGTCTTCACAGCTTTGAGAAAGAACTATGAGCACACTAGGCTGTTTACTCTGGGAGTTAGGTAAAGATAACTTGCACAATTATTCATTCTTATTCTGTAATTATCAGTCTGTCATTCTTTTTGTCCTTCTTTAAAGATCGTCAGAATTGTTTATGTATTTGAAGGTGCACATTTAAAATGTAAATAAGGGACTATTTCAAAAAGGCAAAACAGATGAAACAAAATATTATAATTTCAGTGCAACAGCCAATAAGTACTTGCTACGGTCTTTAGCCAGAGTTGGAGCAGGGGCATATGAGTACTTTGACAATAAAACTAAATCCAAATGGGAGAAAAAAGTAAGTTCAAGTAATTCATAAGTACAGTGAATAGAAATATTACTTCTATAAAATGAAAAAAAGGTTATCAATTTGTCATTTACTAATTATTTAAGTTTGGAATATTATTCTTTGTATATTTTAAAAATACCAGGTGAAGTGTCAGCTAGACAAGGTCTCTCAGCCAGGCTTGACATCTGTGTCTGTTGCTTGGCAACAGTATGATGATGATCTGCCACCTCCTGTACAGGCACCCAGCCAGATCACCTCACTTTTCAATGGTTCTAGACAGGTGGTGTATGGGTTTGTGCCCAACTGTATGCAAGTAAGGATTTTGCTTTATACAGCCAAACAGTTTTTTCCCAAAATAAATTAGAATTTTTCAGACTTGTTCTGTGTCATTCTTAAAGGATGTGCATGATTGTTCCATAAACTTAAATGCAATTCGTGCCTAACTGTTTATTTTAATGAGTTCACTAAAAGTGACAGATAGCATATTGACCTTTTGTTATGGCATTGGCTTATTGACCTTTTGTTATTCCTGTTTATGTATGTAATGTACTGTGTATATTTGTGTGAAGTATTTGACAAATTATAGTTTAAATACTGTTACCTGGTTCTCTTTTTGATATGACTAGGCCACTCTTAAGGCAATGATCGCCGGATTTGAAGTCTCTACAGTTGTTTCCACATCTGACTTAAGCATCACAAAAGGAAAGGTAACAGTTGAATCAAACTTGCAGTATTCTGATACATTATTTCCTGGGACATATATGTTATTAATAAAGAATTAACTTTATTTCATGTAATAATATAGTGACAATTACAAGAAGAATTTGGAAACAATTAATCATCATTTTATTTTTATTTTGGTAAAAAAAAAAATGGTCAAAGTGAAAATTGCTGAATGCTTTCTTTTTTTCTTTCTGTTATTTAATGTCTACTGTATATCAGCTGTGCTGTCAAGTTTAGATGCATCCCATCTTATTTATTAATTAATTCTTTTAAATATTCTTAGCTTATTTAATCATCTCTTGAACATTTTCCTAGATATTACACCGTCTTACAGCTAAGGCAATCCTTAGAGACTGGGAAGAGGGAAGCCTGGATGATGACAGGACACAGCATGAGGTATAAGATTTTACTAACAGCTCAATATTATAGACAACCTGCGCATAGTTAGTCAACTGAAATAAAATTGACCAATGAAATTTGCCAATAATATTCCATTCAGAAATTATTTTACAAATTAGCAGCAGTCACTGATTGACAGTGTTTTTTATTTCATGGTAGAAAGATGAATTTGATAAGATTTGTATAAATACCTTATATAGCAATGAAGATTTATTGTTTAGATTTTTTTTCACTTCTTCAATAATAATGTGCAATTATACCATTGAATTATTAGAAAAAAAACAACTGACTGATCAATTAAAATTATTTGTAATTCTTTCTTAATGTTAGATTTCATTAAAAAAAAAATTAATTGCTTTTGATAACTTCTGATTTACAGGTCCTGAAAATGAATCGAAAGAATCTTATAATTCAGCTCAGCACAAAGTATTCCATTGTAACACAGTTTACCAGTTTCATTGCCATTGAAAAGAGAGAAAAGGTAACAAAAACCAAGGTGTAAAAATTCAAATACTCTATATTTGCTACGAAATATCAAAATTGCCTTAGTTCCTTGCTTTTACTGTCATTATTTTATTATAGTTGCATTTAAAAACCAGAAATAATTTAATTAACTGTGAATATATATAGCATTGTATTCTTTAGAATTCTGTCTGGAATTCAGTTTAAGGAATTCTGCCCAAAAGATAACTGAATCTTAATAAAGATTTGTTGTAATTGGTTTTTATAAATACATATATTGTAGGTGTTGACAGCTGTTTTCTAACTCAATATAACCATACCTAAAAATTTATTTCGTCCAGTATTTTACATGAGAGTAATGATCATAATGCATATAACAGGATGAAGATATGAGCAGTGAAGGTCCGAGGATTGAGGCTATCTTGGCAGAAGAAGATGTAGATATTCTGCCATATATTGGATGGAAGGAGAAGGAAGAGATTCTTAACAAGCAGGAGGAAAAACGGTTAATATTTCATCTGACCTGTAAAGTTCTTTGACATGTTTTTAGTCTATTGTCTTGTCTGGAGAGATAAGGCAGTTTGTTTCCAGTGTAATTTGTTATCTAGCCCTGATTTGAAAACAAAGCCTTGCCTTAGAGGTGNTCTTAGCTTATTTAATCATCTCTTGAACATTTTCCTAGATATTACACCGTCTTACAGCTAAGGCAATCCTTAGAGACTGGGAAGAGGGAAGCCTGGATGATGACAGGACACAGCATGAGGTATAAGATTTTACTAACAGCTCAATATGATAGACAACCTGCGCATAGTTAGTCAACTGAAATAAAATTGACCAATGAAATTTGCCAATAATATTCCATTCAGAAATTATTTTACAAAGCAGCAGTCACTGATTGACAGTGTTTTTTATTTCTAGTAGAAAGATGAATTTGATAAGATTTGTATAAATACCTTATATAGCAATGAAGATTTATTGTTTAGATTTTTTTTCACTTCTTCAATAGTAATGTTCAATTATACCATTGAATTATTAGAAAAAAAAACAACTGACTGATCAATTAAAATTATTTGTAATTCTTTCTTAATGTTAGATTTCATTTTAAAAAAATTAATTGCTTTTGATATCTTCTGATTAACAGGTCCTGAAGATGAATCGAAAGAATCTTATAATTCAGCTCAGCACAAAATATTCCATTGTAACACAGTTTACCAGTTTCGTTGCCATTGAAAAGAGAGAAAAGGTAACAAAAACCAGGGTGTAAAAATTCAAATACTCTATATTTGCTACGAACTATCAAAATTGCCTTAGTTCCTTGCTTTTACTGTCATTATTTTATTATAGTTGCATTTTAAAACCACATAATTTAATTAACTGTGAATATATATAGCATTGTATTCTTTAGAATTCTGTCTGGAATTCAGTTTAAGGAATTCTGCCCAAAAGATAACTGAATCTTAATAAAGATTTGTTGTAATTGGTTTTTATAAATACATATATAGTAGGTGTTGACAGCTGTTTTCTAACTCAATATAACCATACCTAAAAATTTATTTTGTCCAGTATTTTACATGAGAGTAATGATCATAATGCATATAACAGGATGAAGATATGAGCAGTGAAGGTCCGAGGATTGAGGCTATCTTGGCAGAAGAAGATGTAGATATTCTGCCATATATTGGATGGAAGGAGAAGGAAGAGATTCTTAACAAACAGGAGGAAAAACGGTTAATATTTCATCTGACCTGTAAAGTTCTTTGACATGTTTTTAGTCTATTGTCTTGTCTGGAGAGATAAGGCAGTTTGTTTCCAGTGTAATTTGTTATCTAGCCCTGATTTGAAAACAAAGCCTTGCCTTAGAGGTGTGATAAAATGTTTTATTGCAAGAACATAAAATTCCTTCTTGCAAATTTGCGAAAGAAATTGCCCCAGGCCTGATATTCTGCTGAGTGGGATGATATGTGCTGTGTATGTACTAATTCTGTTTATTTCTTTTGCTTATAAAATGTGGTCTGTACAATTGCTTAAATAGTGGCCACCACCTTGAAAAAAGTGTTGGATGTTTTTGTTGTCCTGAATCTTCATTTTTCAAAGAAGTGACATTTATGTTTTGTGCAGTGAATTATTTGAGGCCTGATCAAAGATTACATATGATTGCAATAAATGCATGCAACAGTTCACTTCATGAAAATTATGTAAAAAACAGTCCTGCTATTTTGATATTGAAAATTTTATACGTTTGAGTTAAGAAATTAATAAAGCAATAGATGACAAGTATTAGAGTATTGTTAAAGACATCTAAAATGTGTTTGTTCCTTGTTTTTATTTCAGATTCCCACCAATTAACACCAAACAATGAAAACATTGCATCTAAATTGTCAGTAAAGATGATGGAAAAGTGAGAGAAATATGTAACAGCTATTTGATAGTGGGACTTAGAATACAAGTCACCACAGAATCTGATTTGAACAAAACAAAAATGGCTTGATATATCAAACGTTAGTAAAGTATTATGATATATGTTGTTTTGTTTTTTTTTTCAAAAAGATCGACTCGAGCAGAAGAGGAGGGAGAATCTTCAGATGAAGAGGAATATGGTGAAGATCTATTTTTGTGTGATGATGGAGCAGATTATGGTGAATATTTAAGCTAGTCCAATTGAGTTTAAAGAAAAAAGGAACCATGTGCAACTTTGTTATATACTATATTTAAGGCTAACATATTATTTAATCTTTGTGTGAAAATTTAATTTTAAAAAAGGTGTAACATACATTGTATGCCTCTACCTCTCCAGAGTTCTCACTATAGTGAGATTGTAGCATGTTTTCAATGAAGTGTGTTCTAGACGGTATTTTTCTTGTTAAATAGTCTTGTAGATATATAATGTAGACGTAAAAAAAGGTTATATGGTTCTTCAGGTTTTTTAGGGGATAATTCTAGAGAGGGCTCTGAGGACTTCTCCCAACATGAAGTCAGTCCTGCTTACTCCCCAACCAGTCCCTCTTTCTATCAACCTGTTGCTGAGCATTTAGAAAGCAGTTCAGACATGGAAGGTAAGAGAGATTAAAAAACATCTTATCAAATTACTTCTTTTATTGTAAAAATGAAAATTTAAGTTTCTTATTTTTATCTTCTGATTAAGATTTAAATGTAATGTCTGAACTTGCACTGAAATAAACTTTATCACTTTTTTGATAGCCTAATCTGAAGAAAGTCGTACGTGTAAAGATACATATTTTGCATTAAATTTTGANTGTATTCTTTAGAATTCTGTCTGGAATTCAGTTTAAGGAATTCTGCCCAAAAGATAACTGAATCTTAATAAAGATTTGTTGTAATTGGTTTTTATAAATACATATATTGTAGGTGTTGACAGCTGTTTTCTAACTCAATATAACCATACCTAAAAATTTATTTCGTCCAGTATTTTACATGAGAGTAATGATCATAATGCATATAACAGGATGAAGATATGAGCAGTGAAGGTCCGAGGATTGAGGCTATCTTGGCAGAAGAAGATGTAGATATTCTGCCATATATTGGATGGAAGGAGAAGGAAGAGATTCTTAACAAACAGGAGGAAAAACGGTTAATATTTCATCTGACCTGTAAAGTTCTTTGACATGTTTTTAGTCTATTGTCTTGTCTGGAGAGATAAGGCAGTTTGTTTCCAGTGTAATTTGTTATCTAGCCCTGATTTGAAAACAAAGCCTTGCCTTAGAGGTGTGATAAAATGTTTTATTGCAAGAACATAAAATTCCTTCTTGCAAATTTGCGAAAGAAATTGCCCCAGGCCTGATATTCTGCTGAGTGGGATGATATGTGCTGTGTATGTACTAATTCTGTTTATTTCTTTTGCTTATAAAATGTGGTCTGTACAATTGCTTAAATAGTGGCCACCACCTTGAAAAAAGTGGTGGATGTTTTTGTTGTCCTGAATCTTCATTTTTCAAAGAAGTGACATTTATGTTTTGTGCAGTGAATTATTTGAGGCCTGATCAAAGATTACATATGATTGCAATAAATGCATGCAACAGTTCACTTCATGAAAATTATGTAAAAAACAGTCCTGCAATTTTGATATTGAAAATTTTATACGTTTGAGTTAAGAAATTAATAAAGCAATAGATGACAAGTATTAGACTATTGTTAAAGACATCTAAAATGTGTTTGTTCCTTGTTTTTATTTCAGATTCACACCAATTAACACCAAACAATGAAAACATTGCATCTAAATTGTCAGTAAAGATGATGGAAAAGTGAGAGAAATATGTAACAGCTATTTGATAGTGGGACTTAGAATACAAGTCACCACAGAATCTGATTTGAACAAAACAAAAATGGCTTGATATATCAAACGTTAGTAAAGTATTATGATATATGTTGTTTTGTTTTTTTTTCAAAAAGATCGACTCTAGCAGAAGGGGAGGGAGAATCTTCAGATGAAGAGGAATATGGTGAAGATCTATTTTTGTGTGATGATGGAGCAGATTATGGTGAATATTTAAGCTAGTCCAATTGAGTTTAAAGAAAAAAGGAACCATGTGCAACTTTGTTATATACTATATTTAAGGCTAACATATTATTTAATCTTTGTGTGAAAATTTAATTTTAAAAAAGGTGTAACATACATTGTATGCCTCTACCTCTCCAGAGTTCTCACTATAGTGAGATTGTAGCATGTTTTCAATGAAGTGTGTTCTAGATGGTATTTTTCTTGTTAAATAGTCTTGTAGATATATAATGTAGACGTAAAAAAAGGTTATATGGTTCTTCAGGTTTTTTAGGGGATAATTCTAGAGAGGGCTCTGAGGACTTCTCCCAACATGAAGTCAGTCCTGCTTACTCCCCAACCAGTCCCTCTTTCTATCAACCTGTTGCTGAGCATTTAGAAAGCAGTTCAGACATGGAAGGTAAGAGAGATTAAAAAACATCTTATCAAATTACTTCTTTTATTGTAAAAATGAAAATTTAAGTTTCTTATTTTTATCTTCTGATTAAGATTTAAATGTAATGTCTGAACTTGCACTGAAATAAACTTTATCACTTTTTTGATAGCCTAATCTGAAGAAAGTCGTACGTGTAAAGATACATATTTTGCATTAAATTTTGATAAATTGTTACATGAAAATCAGTTGTGAATCTATAGAACATGATTACTATTTATAAATTGCAATTTATTAAAATTTAAGATATGGTCATGTTGGAAGGGGCTATTATGATACAATTTTAATTTATTTCCTATTTTTCAGACCTAGAGATGCAGTTATTTGACTTTGACACAAAATATGTAGATATGGGAGATAGAATGGAAAAGGAAGAAGGAGAAAAAGTAAGAAAAAAGAAGAAAAAAACTAGGATAGACATTAGTAAAGAAATAAAGATGGAAGTTAGTGAACAGAAACTTGGGAAACTGTCAAATCTCATGGAGCGTTCTGAAGAACTTCAGTCTATGTCTGCATCTTTTGCTTTGAATGCAGACAAACCCAAGGGTTTCTTTCCTAAATCAAGAGTTTCTTTTTTGAGTTTTGATGAACCTGAAGTGCAACAAGCTCAGCAGTTAACTGCTGCTCCTGAGCCACTCACAGGTTCATTTCAGTTACAGGCCTCAGCACCTCAGTCACTGGGGTTTTCTCCTAGAGAAAAAAAGTCTTACCCAAAGCAGGCACAGCTGCAGGGTTTCACATTTGGAGCACAAGTTTCTGCACAAGACCAGCTATCTGCTTATAAAGCGCCAATGTCAAATCAACCGTTTACTTTTGGTGCAGCAGCTCCAATGTCATCTGCTGGCTTTGGAGCACCAGCACCTATTTCTAATGCAGAGCAGACCCTTTCATTTGGGGTATTTCCAGTGAGAGGCCAGGCCCCTGTATTTGATGGTCAACCTCCTAGTAATGACCAGACACCTATGTTTGGCTCCAGGGCACCGCCTCCCAGAAGGGCTCAAGTCTCTCTTTTTGGAGCAAGATCTACTGATTCAGCCCAGCCTCCAGCATTCTCAATACCATCATTCTCATCAACTCGGTCCACTGGCTTTGGAGCCCCAGTTTCAGTGGCCAGCAACTCATTTGGATTTGGAGCACAAGCTTCAGCATCAATCCAGACTCAAATATCTCAGACACCTGCTGTAAGTTTTGCATTGTCTGCCCCAATGTCAGCTGCTGGGGGATCACAGAAAGGTGGTCATCCAGAGCCATCTCAGTCAGAAAGCATATCATCTGTTGCCAAGCCAGCATCTTCAAGAACATTTGGAAGTTTGTCTGTTGATTCTGGTGAACCTGGAGTTTTGTTTAAATCGAAGAAGACAACCAGTGGGAGAGGCAGATGCAGGTATAGTTTTGGAGGAGTAGGAGCTCCCTTGTTTCATGCTGCTAGTCAGTCAATAGAGAAAGTTTCACTGAAGGCACAAGCTGAAGAACCACCAAGGACAGAGCTATTGAAAGGGGTTAAACCAATATTACAACCTGCAAAGTTACAGTTGTCAACTGAAGCACCACACCCACCTCCATTAACTGGAGGAGGGGCACCACCTGGACCACCACCACCACCACCACCACCACCACCTCCACGTACAGCAACGCAACGATTACGATCAGCAGACGGATATCTATCAATGGGAGTTAAATCCCCGCCTTCATTACCTAAAGCAGGGGTACCACCACCACCACTGCCACCGCCACCTGGAGCAGCAGTACCACCACCATCCCCACCACCATTACCTAGAGCAAGGGTAGCACCCGCAGCCCCACCACCTGGAAGAGCAGTACCTTCTCCATCACATAGTACAGAGACACAACCCAAAGTGATGTGGAGGAAAATGAAGGTACCAGCTTATAACGCCAAGAGGAAAATGAGTAAAGAGAGTCCAAAGGAAAAATCCAGTGAAGCTGTTAGTATTGACCGGCCCCCACAGAAATCATCACCAGAGGCAGAAGTAGCAGAAATTGTAAAGAAAAATCTAGCTTCAGTCAAATTGAGATCAGCAGGTTCAGTTGTTCATAGAAAATTGTTTGGCGAGTCAGAGCAACAATCATTAACAACAGAGATAACAAAGAAAATTGAAACCAAGCTTAGACAAATGCCAGTAGATAAAGGATCAATAGACCAACAAAGGGGAAGGAAAACCCTCGGCAGAATAGCTGGAGACAGATTAATCAATCAGTCTATAGACAGAGTTATAGATTTGGATTCTTCCTCTTCATCTTCTCAAGACTGGTCATCCTCGGATGAAGAATGCAAAGTTTCAATTATTGGTATGTAAATGGAATACCTGTGATTCTTTTGTCATTCTTTCTTTCTGTTATGAAACATAAAACCCTTCAGTAAACAACGCATACTTAATTATGACTATGTCACAGGTCAGATTGAAATCCAGGCAAATTAAGCAAAACTGCCAATCTTGCCTGTGACAGATATATACAGTAGAATACAGTTGAATTCCTAAACAGATTTTGTAATTCTGGAAAGGATGACGAAGTGCATTTTTAACGTTTAATTTAATTAAAATTAATTATTTGAACACTTTGATGATTTCTCATCTTTAAAATATCACTTATTATTCTGTTCATTCCTATCCAGTATTTCTTTGGTTTATTCCTTATGAGCATATAATATATATTTTTCCAGCAGATAGTAGTTCAGTGATTTCGGAGGGCTATCACAGTGGTGGTGGAAATACCCCTGTACCACCTGTCCTTATGGGTAGATGCTTGTTAAAAGAAATGAAGAAGAGTGATTGGATGCAGTTATTTAAGCTTCAAAATAAGGTACATATCTGTGACAAAGACAAAGTGCAAATAAATGATAAATGGTCAATGATTACAAAATATCATATCAGCTAAATTGTCAAGACTTAGGTTTTGAAACTATACCACCAACTGGAATTTAGAGAAGATTTCTTTTTTTTTTTAAGGAAAAGTAACACAGTAACCCTGTTCAAAATAGGATAACATTTTTGTAAAACACATTTGTTTTGTCTTTTAGATTGTCTGTTTTTAAATATAGTGTTGAAGTTTGAGTTGATGCTATTTAGGAATATGGTTACTGGGAGTTTTCACCAGGATTGGGCAGACTGCTTGGGATTTCCATTGAATATTGTAGAAGCATGCTTGCAGATGCAGGAGTGATGTCTTTAGGTGAGTCAAACACCACCAGCATTAGAATTACATGTTAAGTACTACTAAGAACACAATAATTTACAACTCGCTATGGCTAATGTTTTTTTTTAATGTGGGTTTTCAGAAATTCACATAGCATTTGATTTGATTGTCAAATGCAAGATATTTCACCTTTTTGAAATCTCACTATGAGGAATTTACCATTCGGGATCAAAGTTGCCAGTGAACACTATAAATTAATGGACAAAAAGAATTAAATGATTTTCTTCAATGTTTCAGGAAAGAAAGTGTCTCAAGATGTGTACAGACTACTAGCTACTCTGCTGACTTTAACCCAGATAGTTCAAACTGTTACTAAGTCTTTTGTCAGCTTCAAGGAAATGCAAGCCACTCTTGAAGAAACATTACCAGATTTCTTAAAAAAGCTATCCATGAAAGACATGGAGCAGGAACAGGTTTTCACTGGACTTGAACTGGCAGGAAAGTACTGCAAGAACATGGACAAAGCCCACCCCATGATGTACTCCACACTTGAGATAGGGACCAGCTGGGACCATGTCATGCAGAAACTATTAGACCTGTAACAGGCTAAACTAACACTAGAACTCTTGTGTCAGAAACATCATGTGTTTATACTAACTTAGAGTAGGTTTAGAAGCATTCAAATATGTTGAAAAAAGGGTGAAGTTGAATAAAATCAGTGTTATGTAAAAAAGAAGGGATCCATACAGGTCACGCGTGACGGTCACGGGTGTCGACCTTACATTAACCTTATAATAAATAACATGGTTGTGAGGGGTTGGAGAAATCGTATTATTAACATAATCTATGATCTTACATCTGGGAATATGAGGTCTGATAAAACTCAGTACTGACCTCTGACATAATCACTAAACTATATGGACCTAATGATGCAAACCATGGTTTGTGACCAATCAGCGTAACAAACTTATCAGTCATGTGACAAACATTGCTGATATAGCAAGGACTTTTAGGAGGACATTGACATTCAGTTTTCAAATGATACAATAAATAATTAGTGACTTTCACTTTTGGTTAAATGTAATTTTTGAAACTTCAGTTTACTATTTGAGTGGCAGTCTGTAGTGATTGGAGACAGAAATGTGCAACCCTACTTTCCTGTGGTGTTAAACAAGTTTCAAGCACTTGTCAATTAGCTTGCAATTGAGAAATATCATATAATACATGTTATAGATATTCTTTTCTAGGGAAAATGGATAAATTTTCAAAAGCGAATTTCAGCTGAACAGATGCAATTAAATGTATCAAAGAGATGCATATACAGATCTCTTTGAGTGCCTCTACAGTAAAGAAAGGAGGGTAAGAATGCTTTTGAGTCAATAAAAAGTGCTTCACTTTATGAAATGTTTGTTTTCTGATGTCTTCCCCCTTTTAAATTTCTTACTACCACTGTGCTCACATATTTCGATAGCATCAGTTGGATTTCTTTTCACCCTGACAAAATGTACAGGAGCCTCTTGAATCGGAGAAAAAAATGAGCCTGCTCTTAACAATGTAAAAATTAAGCCAAAAAAAAAAAAAATTGCCTGAAGACTTTTCATATTTAAAAATATGCCCAGTGCTGGAATAAAAAATAGAAACTATTTCCATGTTGTCCTTTCATTTGTTACGAGACATTATAAAACGATAAGTGGGAATTTCATTTTTTTTTTACTTTTTAAGGATGCAGTCATCTTTAATGCTAGGTAATGCAACCAAAATTTTTTTTCATCAAAACTGGCCGATGGCAGACGTGTTTTAATATGCACCCAGTTGGGTCGTAGGTTAAGAAGGTTAACAAGATGCAGATCTGTTGGAAATATTTTTGGCAGTTTCCAATTTTCTAAATCTCGAGTCAGGAAGGCAGCTTGATCATCTTTCAACCAATCTTGAGCGAGACTGTTCAAAACACTGAGGATCTTTGCTGTTGTCCTCTGATATCTAGCATGAATCCAGGATCAAAAACATTTCTGGTCATATCACAGACCACAATCAACTCCCAAACTTCATTAACAACAGACAATTATGATTCCATACTTGAAAATTCTTTAATGTTCTTTTTTTTCGTTCTCTTTTTTACATTAATTTACACTTGAAAGTCTATGCATAGCCCATTGATTCCACAGTTTTCTGCAGATCTGCTCCCTTGTTTTCAATAACTGTTTTTGTGGCTTGGGCTTTCATTTTCTGAAAAAGAGCAAATAAATGTAAGACACAAGACCTGGTGGTCGCTTATATTACTTTTGTAAGATACTTCACAGAGCAAAGAAAATCTACAATATTAACCAAGTCAATTATTTAGGAATAAATTAACCCTTCCTCTTGATCATAGCAAAGCTATATCACCTTGGATATTAAAAATCAAACTACATTTTAGTCTTGTTGACAGCCACACACAGACAAAGATCATGGCACACTTACTCCTTCAGCCTTCTTCTTGTCATAGTAACTTCTGGCCTTGACTTTACGTTTGGACTCCAGTGTGGCCACAACACCTTGATATTTCCAGCCAACCTCATGGGACAGGCGGTTTAGGTTGCAAAACTGGAGGTAATCAAAATAAAAGATGTTCATATGTTATCAATCAATCGTCTTGTGTCCAAAAGAAAGTTGCTATTGAAATTAATTGCAAGGAGAAAAAGGGTATAGCATTATACTGTGGCTCAGTTGGGAGTGCATAATTTATTTTCATTACTTTCAAACGAAAGATGGTGTGAGTTTGATCATCACTGTCACAGTATAGCATCACTCTTTTACTTGGTAGTTTTTTTTTTTTTTTCAATTTTCTTAAATATTTAACAGCTTATCTTGCTACACATCCGTTTAAAATAAGCAAGCATGTGATCTGAAATTTCTTCACAAGCAAAAAATCCCTATTCCTCCATTAACTCACCTTCCGTCTAGGGTTCATGCGCAGCACTTTGAGGGCAGCAGGCACCACCATTCTCTTCTGCTTGTCATATGGGGGTGGAATACCCTCGAACACCTTCATTCTGTCCATAGCATCTTTACCACGAGTCAACTTGTGGGGGATCATACCTGATAACATCACATTTGTCTTTTAAATTATATTTAAACAATGTCCAGTTCTTGGTGATCTGCCTCTTTCAAATCCAACAGATCTATCTCATTTGACACTAAAGGTACGGTCCACCAGGCAATCTGTTATTTGTAAATTGAACATTCTTACCCGTGCAAAATTCTGTCATAATATAAAATGCAATATTCCATTCTTACAAATTCTGAACTTAAACATAGTTGATCTCAGTCATTTTTGTAGTATCACTGCATACTGCTCAAACAATGTAGGTAAGAAACTGATCATCACAGACCAACTTGCACTATTTTCAATAATTCTCAACATTATAAACTCTTTTAAATACCACACTTTTCAGAAATATTCCTTTATCTTTACCTCTCACTGTTCTCCAGAAGATTTTTGATGGAGATCTAAAATGGTATGGTCCTTTAGATGGGTTCGAGTTGGTGCGCTTCCTCAGGAATTCTAGGTATTTCACTGTTAAAAATGGAATTAAGATATCCATACCACGAAAGCATTATAAAATTACAAGACGTGTATGTTTACTATGTTCTCTTTTGTATCTATTTTATAAATTTTTGGTCACGTTAGCCATGCCACTGTACCTAGTACGTCATGTTGTAAAATGTTTCTGAATATCATCTAACTTGCATGGTCTCAGTTTTAAGTTCTATCACAACTGGTGTTCAATGTAGGTAAGAAATACATCATCACAGACCAAATGTTTTTTTTTTTTTTTAATATTTGAAATTCTCAGTTTTTCATCAATAACACTTACATTTGTTTCTGTAAAAGTTTCCAGAGATGTTGATTCCTTCACATCTTAGGACTACCACCCTTTGACCTAAACAAAGGTAACTTGTTAGTTAAATTGGACATTATTTTGTCAAATTGTGACATTTAGATAAACAATTGTTTTCTTTAAAAAATTAAGTACTGCAACACCCAGATGTATTTTGAAGACAAACACAATTTTTATACTTTCAACACATTCAAATTCAAATTTCAACACATTCATATTTCTTTGCCTGTTCATAGTTCAATGCTGCTAGACTTAGTTAAATGAGAATGATCATTACTAAGCAAACTGAATCAAGCCACTTTTAGTATCCATCCAAAACTGTAGAATCTTTCCAAATAGTTGCAATTTGTTTTAAAAATGAGAGAGTTGATCTCAGTAATCCTTTCACATCACTGAATACTGCTCATACAATGTAGGTAATACATACATCACAGACCAACATGATGTATTCATTTACATAAACATAAATTTCAGAAATCATAAGTTTCACTGGGACTTCATTCATGTTGCTTTAAAGGGATAACCTGTCTGCATTAAAAACAGTTATTTCAAGATTTTTGTGCAACATGCAGAAATCAACCATTCTGAGATCGTTTAAAGAGTGCATTCCCACACTCAAAGTTACAATTTGATGAGGATCCCCCTGAGTGACATCTCTTTGGAGACCTCATATTATGAACTCTGCCTCTGGTAAGAACCTGAGAGGACACATTTCTGAATATCATGTCGAGTCCCATGCCATTTTCTTGCATTAAAGCCCAAACCCCACCCCCTTCACAGCCTTACAATTGGCTTCAGTCATTGGAAACAACCAAACTTCACTTGGTTTTAAATGCTCACCTTGCAACAAGGTTTTGGCAACGATGGAAGCCAGGCGCCCCAACAGGTGCCCCCTGGCATCTATCAGCAGAGGCTAAAAGAGAAAAGAATGGCATAAATCATATGACCATTTTATAAGTACAACAAATCTGGAAATAACAAAGTTTTTATATTTATCTCTTTTTAAAACTGTCAACTTCATGATCACAAAACTCAGTGTCTCAGTTGGTAGTGCATGTTTTTGGTTTCATGATTTTCAAACGAAAGATGGTGAGAGTCTAATCATCATAGACACTGATAAAATAAAGACCTGAATAGCTGTTATGAGAGGTTTACCACAGACCTACTATACTCAATTTATGTGCTAGCGCCATAATATTTTAATCGTATAAGATCACATTCACAACGAGTTGAGCCATGGCTTTACAAATCCTGGAACTAAATATGGCGGACGTACATGAAAGAAAAACCGCCTAGTCTTTTAATAGTCTCTCCCCCTCTCACACACCTCCCCATGTATTGTCCCAATGGAGCCAAGATTAAATGACTGTACCCCCGCAGGGACGACGCATGGGGAGGCATGAGAGGCGGAGAGACTATTAAAAGATTAGGAGGTTTTTCTTTCATGTACGTCTGCCATGTATAGTTCCAGGATTTGTAAAGCCATGGCTCAACTCGTTGTGAATGCGATCTAAGTGACTTATTTTCTGCAAATCAAAAAACTGTAGTTTTCAGAACACCTTTAAGTACAGCATGTTGGGCAAAGAGCACTGGCCACAATACTACAGTTAAATCATATAAGACTACGGACATTTGTGCTGGTCACCATTTCTAAAGATATTGGAAGTTCAAGCAGCCAAAGTATATAATGTACTTCGACATGTACTTTAATGTTCCATACGATTTTAAGATGGTCAACTTATCTGAGCTTTCTTTTACCTAACATGCCCAAATGGCCAATACTATTTAAGAGTATCGTTTCAAGTATGTTATCATTGATGGGATCCGCTGGACAAATGCAAATTTGCCGTTATAGTTATCTAGTAAAAGTTTATTTTATTGGGTGACTTCTTATGTACCTTCGATTGGAAACCCATGGTGGATGAAAAAGGCCAGCTACGGGGTTTAACTTCCGCCTTTATCTGGTGGCCGGATATTTTGATAACAGAGACCTCTCGCGGATTGCATTAGTGAAGCAACGTGATCAGCAAAGGCACTAACTCATGGGATAACATTTGAAAGGCAGCGGGGACTCTAAAACAACTGTTCAAAGATATTTTGATATGGTTATTATTATTTGTTTCGATTGTTTGTTATATCAGAAGGTAAATTATCCCCATAGCTTTGGTGCATAAATCATGAAAAATGTTCGCCATAATGTTTGTAAGTTTTTTTCTTTAGGCTAAACCAGCTGCAGAATGTTGTAAAAGTAAATGATTAAAAGAAGTCCCTAAGTAATGGGCCCTGCTGATGTGGTTGAAAAAGTTGTGAAATGTTTTGTGGTTTCTTTTCTGTGAATGCTTTATAAATTACATTTTAAATGAAAGACAGCCAGACGTATGTTTTCAATAATAAAATACCGCTGGGCCATTGATGTAATTAACTCTACCAACTTTGAATGGTCAAATCTACCAAACCAAGAGAAAACGTAGGAAAATCAACACCCCGTAGGTAGCACGCGAATTAACAATAACCACCGACATTCCCCACCCCTTAACTTCCTGCAATTTCTCAATTTATACAACAGCTAATAATGTTGTATAATTTTTCACACAGGCCCACAGCTATGTCATTTTGTTTTCTTCAACATAGAAGTAAAGGGGTACTGTAATTATTTTAATGATATAGGCCTAGTCCATGTCAAGTGTAAGCCTAATTGGCACTTCTGTGATTTCAAAATGTGCTATCTTATTTTTCACTTGAGCAAACAATTACACCATTTGACAGAGGTGGGGAATTGTCTTGCAAGTCGATGCGGCTGAAGTCCCTACGTTCTATTTTGGAACGTACCAAATGATTTATGTGTAGGCCTAATAAGATAGGGGAGGCAGCAGTCTGACCACAGGGCCTATATGAAATCAAATCAACGTAACGTAGGTCCTTTTTGGTTTACCTTTTTATTTTATTTTATTCCCCGGTTTGTTTTAGATGATTAGTTAATACAGTATAGAACGACATTTTATATGCAGATTGATCAGAAAGCTCGCTTTGGAAAACATTTTGTCAGTCATTCATTAAATAGATCACGATTCAAGACTGGTTATATACATTTATATATATTTTGATATTTTCATCATCTTGCCGGGTTTTAAGATTGTTTATCCGTTTACATATCGAAGTGTAAAAACAAAGCGAAAGAGAAAAGCACGTATTTTGGGAAAGGCGCGATTTTTAGGAATAAAATAACAGTTATGTAAATTTACAGGGAGTTGCGCAGTTGTTGTATGCAGTCATTCACACGCATTCAGATGTTATTGCACATCGCTATCTCTATTCCTGATCAAAGTCGCGAGGTTAAAAAACAAGTTATAGCAGACTTTCTTCCCAGACTTTAATTCATTTTCACACGCCATAGTTCCGATTACGGAAAGCCACAAGGTGCAAGATCGGTATAAATTATTTTTTAATCCTGATAACATCATTGTATATTATCTGTCGGTTCTGCCTTGCACATTTTAGTCACTCTAGAGACCGTCAAACACCGGAATCAATTTGAAAGTGCATGTTTTTTTTTTTAGTTTTTATAATTTTTAGATATTAGNTCGTCCCAATGGAGCCGAGATTAAATGACTGTACCCCCGCAGGGACGATGCATGGGGAGGCGTGAGAGGCGGAGAGACTATTAAAAGATTAGGAGGTTTTTCTTTCATGTACGTCCACCATATATAGTTCCAGGATTTGTAAAGCCATGGCTCAACTCGTTGTGAATGCGATCTAAGTGACTTATATTCTGCAAATCAAAAAACTGTAGTTTTCAGAACACCTCTAAGTACAGCATGTTGGGCAAATAGCACTGACCACAATACTACAGTTAAATCATATAAGACTACGGACATTTGTGCTGGTCACCGTTTCTAAAGATATTGGAAGTTCAAGCAGCCAAAGTATATAATGTACTTCAACATGTACTTTAATGTTCCATACGATTTTAAGATAGTCAACTTATCTGAGCTTTCTTTTACCTAACATGCCCAAACGGCCAATTCTATTTAAGAGTATCGTTTCAAGTATGTTATCATTGATGGGATCCGCTGGACAAATGCAAATTTGCCGTTATAGTTATCTAGTAAAAGTTTATTTTATTGGGTGACTTCTTATGTACCTTCGATTGGAAACCCATGGTGGATGAAAGAGACCAGCTACGGGGTTTAACTTCCGCCTTTATCTGGTGGCCGGATATTTTGATAACAGAGACCTCTCGCGGATTGCAATAGTGAAGCAACGTGATCAGCAAAGGCACTACTCATGGGATAACATTTGAAAGGCAGCGGGGACTCTAAAACAACTGTTCAAAGATATTTTGATATGGTTATTATTATTTGTTTCGATTGTTTGTTATATCAGAAGGTAAATTATCCCATAGCTTTGGTGCATAAATCATGAAAAATGTTCGCCATAATGTTTGTAAGTTTTTTCTTTAGGCTAAACCAGCTGCAGAATGTTGTAAAAGTAAATGATTAAAAGAAGTCCCTAAGTAATGGGCCCTGTTGATGTGGTTGAAAAAGTTGTGAAATGTTTTGTGGTTTCTTTTCTGTGAATGCTTTATAAATTACATTTTAAATGAAAGACAGCCAGACGTATGTTTTCAATAAAATACCGCTGGGCCATTGATATAATTAACTCTACCAACTTTGAATGGTCAAATCTACCAAACCAAGAGAAAACGTAGGAAAATCAACACCCCGTAGGTAGCACGCGAATTAACAATAACCACCGACATTCCCCACCCCTTAACTTCCTGCAATTTCTCAATTTATACAACAGCTAATAATGTTGTATAATTTTTCACACAGCCCCTCAGCTATGTCATTTTGGTTTCTTCAACATAGAAGTAAAGGGGTACTGTAATTATTTTAATGATATAGGCCTATAGTCCATGTCAAGTGTAAGCCTAATTGGCACTTCTGTGATTTCAAAATGTGCTATCTTATTTTTCACTTGAGCAAACAATTACACCATTTGACAGCGGTGGGGAATTGTCTTGCAAGTCGATGCGGCTGAAGTCCCTACGTTCTATTTTGGAACGTACCAAATGATTTATGTGTAGGCCTAATAAGATAGGGGAGGCAGCAGTCTGACCACAGGGCCTATATGAAATCAAATCAACGTAACGTAGGTCCTTTTTGGTTTACCTTTTTATTTTATTTTATTCCCCGGTTTGTTTTAGATGATTAGTTAATACATTATAGAACGACATTTTATATGCAGATTGATCTGAAAGCTCGCTTTGGAAAACATTTTGTCAGTCATTCATTAAATAGATCACGATTCAAGACTGGTTATATACACTTATTTTGATATTTTCATCATCTTACCGGGTTTTAAGATTGTTTATCCGTTTACATATCGAAGTGTAAAAACAAAGCGAAAGAGAAAAGCACGTATTTTGGGAAAGGCGCGATTTTTAGGAATAAAATAACAGTTATGTAAATTTACAGGGAGTTGCGCAGTTGTTGTATGCAGTCATTCACACGCATTCAGATGTTATTGCACATCCCTATCTCTGTTCCTGATCAAAGTCGCGAGGTTAAAAAACAAGTTATAGCAGACTTTCTTCCCAGACTTTAATTCATTTTCACACGCCATAGTTCCGATTACGGAAAGCCACAAGGTGCAAGATCGGTATAAATTATTTTTTAATCCTGATAACATCATTGTATATTATCTGTCGGTTCTGCCTTGCACATTTTGTTAACTCTAGAGACTGTCAAACACCGGAATCAATTTGAAAGTGCATGCTTTTTTTTTAGTTTTTATAATTTTTAGATATTAATATGTAGATATTTAGATATTAGTATGTTTGGTCGTGAAACTTTGATATCAAAACAGTAACTTTATAATGGAATATTTTAATATGTATAATAATTTTAGACCATAATTTTGGGCGCAGTTTAGACTTTGAAAACGATCAAAGACGCAAGTTAGATAAAATAAAAAGACGAATAATAGGCGCAAAATATTCCCGATTTTGCCGACCACCTTTTCCTACTTGCTCAATGTCAAAATGTTCTATTCATTAAAAACTAATCAAACGCGTTTTCTTGAATGAAATATAAATTTCGTCGGATTTTTACCAATTTCAAAATTTGACTACTTTTCGATATTGCCGCAATCCCATTAAACATGTCAAGGCAGCACAATTTATTTATATGTTCTTGGTTGTGAGTTAAAAAGAAAATACAGCTTGTTCTGTAAAGAAAAAAAGAAAACCTAACACAGAGGTTATGTTATAAATCCCCGTTGGAAGGAAATAGCGTAAACCCGTTAGGTCTAATTTGTCAAACTCTCCATTATCGGCAATTTTATCTCGGTTTCAAATATATCTTTTTAGCCGTGGGTGCGTAAATTTGATCTTTGTTTAGATATGTAAAATTGTTTCTTGATGACTGCTAATTGTATCCTAATTGAATTTTAGGGAAGACCGCACTTATTTTTCTTCGCGTCACTAACTTCCCTGAGGTGAGAGCCACTGCTGTGTCAACGAGGTCCAACCAACCACGAAGCTTTCATAAACTTGTCTCGACACTATAATTTGTCGTACGCCTTTTTCCTTATCTCCCGTGTCGTCCACTCCTCTTCCCCTCTACTTAGAGCAGAGTGCCGGTGCATTCCTATTCAGTACGTCAGTGTTTTTTCAAGCTAAAAGGTGAGATTTAATCTTTTCTAGTCTGCTATGTACAAAACACACATACCGAGGAGTTACCTTTGTGTGCTGTGTACAAATTGTAACAAACATTGGAGTAAGGCCGTAATCGGATACTTTAGGGCAATACTATCGGATTCATAAACTTGTAACTTCAAAATACGACTTTCTCCTGCCATTTGTGGCTTATTTGTTATACTGTTTGACTCCGCATAAAACATCATATATCTATTTATGCTTAGGTTAATACAAGTTAGAAATTCGATCTGTCACTGATCTGTTCTTATGTTTTCCCCTTTTGATGAGGCTGTAATCCAAGTAGCGATGCTCCTATAAAAGGCCGCTCGTCTGTGCATGGTCGCTTATCAGACAGGACTAGTAAATTAAAGCGGCTTTGTTGTGGAGAGAGGTCCCCCAGTCTGAGCAACAGAAGAAGCGTAACAAAAGTTGCATTTGCTCAACGAGACAATGGACTGAATAAGCTAGGATCGCGGGGAGGCCTACCGTCTTCTATCTGCCTGTTTTCTTAATCTAAACTCCTTTCAGTCGAGCTAGCGAGTAAGAAAATCTTCAACAACTCATTACAGGTACGCTTGAAAAGCTATGAATGGCGGAACTCTGAACAGACCTGCGCACTCCGATAAAACATTTAATTAAAAGTGCGTAGCCTACTGTTTGAACCTCTTATTGAGAACTTGGAGAGATGCGAGGAGGACAGATCTTTTAAACTCCCCCAAGCCTGTCGGGTTTTACAATCACTGAGAGTCTTCTATCTACCCCTAGTTTTGGGTCGTCCAATCGATTTTGGCACAGGTGTACGCCTTTAATCATAGTCGACCGAGCGTGGACGACCAAAACATCGGTACAATCAATAGAAGAACTGAAACGAGGGGACATTGGAATGTTACACCTCTAATGCAGGTGGGTGTACTCGGAGACAGAAGCTCTATAAGAATATTTATTTGACAAACTCAAGTGGGAAATCGGGACTTCTCACACCTTAATGAGGTCGACAGGTGATGTGCGTTTTGTAATTGGACCTATAAAATATAGGCGGCTCAGATTCATGGCGAGCTTTTTTGATCGGTGTGTAAATCGAAGCCAGTCTTTTTCTCTCAAGTACCCAGCTGTGAGGCAGTAGTTTCAAAGGCATAATACCGGTGGACTCACCAAGTGGACTGAATAACGTCGCCTAGATACACACTTGTTCACTAGATTTTCAACTGCATATCCAGCTTAAAGGTAGTACATTATTGGCGGGTTATACACAAATTGAAGAGGTATCGCAACGACCTTATTAGGAGATTGTCGCTTCCAGCGTGGATATATCAAACCAAGCTTGCAAACATATCATAATAAGTGCCTTCAAAATCTAGCTTGAAATGGAAACTACGTGATACGGTATACATTGACTGTCTCAAGACCATGTTTCATAAATACAGTGCGGTGTGAACTGAAGGAGAAGACATTTGCAACAGCCTACGGTGGCCTTGTGAATTTACAATATGCCATTGAAATCCAGCACTCTGTTGATGGCAGGAATTGCATTTACGTTTGGTATGCTGCTGGGGTTGTTACTCCAGCTGCCGGGTGTCGCCCTTCCCCACAGTGACACAGCTCAGATTGCCAATACCCATGGGGCAATGGCTGGCGTTCACACCTTCCACAAGAGGGCCATAAAAACTGTTGGTGCAGCGAATGAAAATGCGTTCGATATCCCTTTTATTCGCGAGCAAGGCAGAAAGATACCCGCAGCCTTGTTAAATTCACCCAATAGTGCACCGATGGACGAGAGGAAAGAAAACAGCGGTCATAATGCACGTCTAACAAACCGTGCTGATCCAAAATACACCTCTGGGCTGGTGGAGGACCCTCAAAACAACCACCTGGAAGTTGAAGCAAAAAAGGAAGAGGTGCACCCGGACACATATCATAAAAAACGCCAAGATGATTTGATTTATGAAAGCGAAGAATCCATTCCAGTGTTTGCGGATGTAGATTCCGCCCGACAAAGTGTCATCATATCTTCCCAAGACCAAAAGCCTGTAAAACCACATGGCCGCCAACCATCTCTCGAAAAACCTTTACTTATAGACGGTCATTTGTTGAATAATATATCATTAACATTAGCCAACAGAGTAATTGTCGAGAATATTAATGATGTCGTTAAAGGAATATATTGGAGTGACCGTTTGGAGAAAGTGACTCCTAGATTTCATGATCTTGAGATTGAAAATTGGAAAAAATTTGCAAGAAATACTAAAATTGTCAAATTGGAAGAAGGCTGTGGCAGAATGCAAAATCGTCTGGCAACCTTCATTGACGCAACAAAAGCGTGCATTCGTTACAGAATAAACACAGACCAAATTCAAGGAGAAATATTCTCATATTATCTCAGCAAACTGCTGAAGATTAAAAATTTACCGCCCTCCATTTTGGGTATGGTTAACAGTAATAAACAACAGTGGGAGGGTGTCCTAAAAGAAATTGTCCTTTCACACTGGTATCCAGACAAAGTGTTCGTCATTTCCCAGTGGATAAATGACTTGTCACCAGCATACATTCCCACTGATTTTAGAGAAGAATCTAGGAAACTCACCCCCACCAAAGGAGTATTAAAAAACAAGACAGTGTCGGAATTGATAGAACTTGTGCAATGGTCGGACTTAATAGTGCTTGATTATTTGACTGCCAATCTAGACAGGGTTGTAAATAATATGTTCAACCGACAATGGAATGCTCATATCATGGAAGGACCTGCTCATAATCTTGAAAAATCTACACGGACAGGGTTACTAACATTTTTTGACAATGAATCCGGTCTATTTCATGGCTATCGCCTTCTAGATAAATATTCACATTTTCACGAAACATTGCTCAACTCCCTGTGCATTTTCCGCCGCTCTACTGCAGAGATAATTGAAGATCTTCACGAAAATGGAGATGTCAGCGAACGATTGTCCGCCATATTCCTACTGGAAGAACCAGATCTGCAAAAATGGTTGCCCAAGATACCACAACAAAATATCAAGATTTTGAAATCTAGGATTTCTGATGTGTATTCTCGTATCCAGAAATGCAGAGCAGAGTATGGAGGGTAAGGGTAAATTATTAACCAAAAACATTCGCAGTTGTTTATTATTATTATTATTATTATTATTATTATTATTATTTTCCATTTATTTATTTATTTTCGTTAATATGTGTTAATATTAGCATATTCTCTCTGTCTTCAATTACTTTTTACTTCCCCACCGAAGGCAAAATGTTGCCTCTAGAATTGAATTAAGCGTATAGGTATAGGATTTCTTCTTGGTCTCTTTGCTTCATCTTAGAAAATAAGAATTGAATACAGCGTAATCTTGCCGTCACGATATTAGAGTGATTGAAATGCAGAAAAGCGATCGTATCTTAAGGCTACTTTCCACATACTATTTAAGTTATTCTGTGATCATATTAACATCACTAATGCAATGGGCGATCTCAAAGAACAAATCAATGGAGTTGCACTTATTTACCTTGAGGAATGACCTAAAAACCTATTGATGATGTTTGATTTTCAGTTTCTAGTTATTGATGTGGCTTCACATCGAATTTTTGGTGTTAGAATCTTTGTTGTGGGTGTAAGAATTGTTGAGATTGAAAGCGTGCCTCTCTTTTCCATATGGTACTGGATTGACACCTTTGAACTGTAAATGCCAGCCTCAGATGTCATGTTTTTGGAGTCCAGTGCGAAACAAAATATGTTTCACCCACAATACCCTTTTGGATTGTGGTCCTTCTTTGTCATAGCGTGCAAATTACACTGGATACTTGCTATATATCACAAAATGATCCGAAAACTTACAAATAGCGTGATGATAAAAATAATAAACAAATCAACCACGGCTGACTGACTGTAAGCTAGAACAGTTTTGATTTTGTTGTATTTAAATTAATTTTTTCAATATATAAGGATTGTCTTCTACGAATTTTCAACATGTTTTCTTTCATTTCTTTGTTTTATAAAAGCTGAATGCTGCAACGAAAACCATTCGATTTTTGGCACATAATCTGTTGGATGTCTGGATATCCCTCTAATTTTAAATCTTTTGTAGGGCCCTGTCTGTAACATAAAATTTTGACATCTCTTAGCATGAACGGTCATTCTTAAAAGATGTCTTTTTATTTGGAAACAAGCCTGTAAAACGTTTATTGCCACACCAAATCAAGCATTTTTAGATACTCGTTGAAAACAGACGTCAAGTTTGACGTATTTAACAGGTGAGGAAAAGGACCTATTCGAGAAAGAATTTTGACTCCTGCTAGAGCGAATTTTTCTCCTTCCATCTGCGTGGTTTGGATCTGCCTGATGGATGTTTAAGGAGATAGATTTAAAAAAAGAAAGAAAAATACACACGTGTGCTCTGTGGAGTCATTTTCTAATTTGAATTTGATTTTTGAATACAAAGGATAAAATTTTCATAAACAAAGGATAACATTTTGGATTTTAATCTTAATTGATTAACTGAAATTACATTTAAAGTATTTTCAACCTTTTTTCGGGGGTTTTAAGTATCGTGATTAGCGTGCGTGGTACTAAGATTGTATAATAGCGCAGTTTTTCTCTCGCGGCACGCACGGTTGCTGAATTACGTCTCACACCTTTCAATCAGATTTTGTGAAAGTGGCAACTAATTGCACCAGTAAGAGCGAGCCTCAGTCACATTATACGGACCGCCAAATTAACGTGCCATACCTGTTTTATTTGAGTTATCAAATAATCGGGTGTTTTGACGGAAGCCAAACTTCTTTGTATTTCACAAAATAATTGTTCTCCCGTGTTTTTATCTGAATGCATGGAATGCTCCCTCAAGCTTGCTCCGTTTTTCAATGATTATTCTAAACCAAGAACCTTTTCAAAATTATCAGTCTTCATCTACAACTGCTAATTTCATCACATTTTAGAGAGCAGACGTAATGCGGACGTTACATTATACAGTAGTTGACGGACGTTGTGATTCACGTCCCTTCCCCACAAAACGGTTAATCAAAAGAGGTCACCATTATTTTGAACTATACCAGTCAGTGAATGGCAACATTTCCTTACTGTATTTGCACGCAATGACGTAATGCCAAACAATCCGCTCTCTTGTGATTCAAAGTGTTAATTTTAATTCTTAAGTTTCAAATTAATGAAAAGAGCACCGAGTACGAGTCCTAGTGGGTTTAATTCTCAGTGTATGTATCAAGAACTGCATTGGTTTGTTCTACAGCGACCATTGTCGTGAGCATATTTATTGTTCAAATATCCGAGAATTAGCGATATAAACTAAGATCATTGTTGGTATGGGTTAGTTCACAAATCTGTGGACAAAGCTTATGAAAACCGCCTTGGTAAGGGTTGGAAACATACATAAAATTATCTCACTTTATACGCCTTATTTCTTTGTTGACTGAAATGAATAGCACTTGTAAAGCATTGAAGTGTTAACATAACATGTAAACAGAAAATGTATTTAAGACAATAGGCGAAAACCGTTCCAGAGGGGCTGTGTATTTATTTTCTTAACATAACAAGCTTTTATGTTAGACTATGTGCATGTATTTCATTAGTAACGGGGGTGAAAAGCATGCATTGAAGTTGACCTGTCCCCCGTCTGAGCTCATATATCCATCAATGGTCGTTTTAACTTTGTCAGGTGTTTTTCAGTGCGTTTGTCGCACCTCTGCGCGATCATGACAGAAAGGAATGTTAAGTGACCTTATGATTGGCGTGTGGAAATGTGAAAAATTTTTACAACTTGAATTTCATTTTGTATCAGTTTTCCTATCTATCGATAGTTTTGTTATTGCTGGCGTTAATTTTGCCCTCTTGCTATCTAAAAGAGATTTCGGTTTATTCACTTAACTTCACTTTGCTCATGCGGTAAAAGGAATGTCTTTTAAAGCTAATATTGAAATTGAAAGTATTTAACCAAACGGTAACTACCACGTAACAAAATCCATTCCTTAAAATACATATTTTAACCACTGCCTGCATAGTTCATGGTGTAGTGGGCTGTATGCACAGTCCTTGTAATAACAAGCTTCCAAAGTATATATTCTTTGATAAATTTCAATGGGGTCATACCCTGTAATGTTTGCTAACTGAGATTTTCAACACGTGAGGTTGTTTGGGTTTTAAGTTTGAGGAACTGGTGCGAAACTGTAATCGCTATTCCAGCACTTTTGCTCTTCCTTATTTATGTCTAATTTCTTTCTAATATTTTAGAGACAAATTAGAAAAAAGAGCCCAGAATGTTTCCAACCCTCCATATCTGTTTATGATGTCAAATAATGCAAGGTGATTGTAAATTTTAAGAGGTTGCACGCAATTTTTATAACTGTGTAGATACGTGTAAACATATTTATTTAAGAGTATCAACATGACAAAATATTGAGACGAACGTTGTTATTTTGGTGACAGTGGCATTTGTATTATGATGATGGCGATCACACAGGTTTCTAGGAAGGTCTCATTAAGTGAATTCGATGCATAATGCTGTATGGCTTCTTCGAATAGAGAGCTGTTAGACTTCACATATTGATTCGACCTTTGTTTCGTTGATACAAATGGTTACTCTTAACAGACTGGAGACATTGGGATTAAGTCTAACAATATCAAATTTTGTGACTTGCAAAACCATCATTGTTGTCAAGCATATGACATCGCCCTGGCTTATATCAGTGCACTTAGACCTACCAGGCGGCTTGGATGAAATTTCAGATATTTAAATGGCAAAACCTAAGTGCCTATCATTTGAATAAGAGCTTGTAGGTAATTTTAATTTGATTCTTATATACTAAATTAGTTTTTGTTCTCCATCCATCGCCTCACTGACACTATAACACTATAGTTGGTTTTTCGTAGAAGCACGTTCATGACATTTTCCCTTGCTCAAAACCTGTTAGTGAAGTTAATGTTATATGTATTTCATAACTGTCATTTTCGGGTGCTTCTTGTTTAACGTCTATGACAGCAATATGTGTGTAAATAATGTATATGTGCTCAAACTGATTTTAAATATTTTGCGCTGGATAAATACATGACGCAATGGGTAAAGTGAGCTTGTAACATAAAGTCAGTTATGCTGTTTTAGAGTCAGTTAAAAATATAAACGCATTTACTGCTGTTTTATTGTCTTCAAAACAAATTATTGTAAAAGCAGATTTCATAAATGTCCGCTGCTTGCCGAATTCAGATCCACTGTTTATGTTGTTTTGCTACATTTTTGTTGTAATTTAATAAATAATTTGATTTATATTAATTTGTTCGTCTCTCTTTCAACTTTTTGGAATAGTGCTTGCAGACCTCTCTCTCTTCTCCCCCCCCCCCCCCCTCTCTCTTTCTCTCTCTCGCACGCGACATATTATTATGGTATTTAATGAGACTAATGGACTCGGAATCTCCACTATCCATGAGCAAGCTGTACAAACTGACAACATACGAACGTCGGCGGAGTCGATTTTTCACTGTTTGGTTTCCCTTGGTAACCTTGAATAGATATACGGCTGTGCAATAGATACTTTTCTCTTGATGAGTATCTTCAAGTGCACTTGTCGCAAAATAATTAATATTTGTCTATAAAGCTCCGTTTCAATTATTAAAGGTGTTCCTGACATTTTTTTTAGTATTTGTACAGAGTTTTTATGTAGCCAGTTAACCATTACGTGAGTTAAATCACATACGCAAAAATTCTAACTGCAAAAGACTGGTATTAAATTCGCAATATTTGAGCTGGAGGAATAATGGAGTGATTTTCTGTCGGGCAATGGGTAAAACCTGCTATTGTTGTGAAAGAGCTTGAGAAGATGGCATGGCAATAATACAACCTGGCGGGTTGCACGCCATATTTCTCGGTTAACACACCGAGCTCACATTCCCCTTTGACACTGACTTTTAATTGTGCCCGATCCTTTGTCGTCTGAACGGTGTCTGAAAAGAAAAAAAAAGACGATGGCTGAAAGGTCTGAATAAGAAATATTCCCTAAGCTAGAGTACTTGATATTTCCAATCATAGTCAGATTTAATTGTCTGATACACCACGTACAGGTAATTTAAGGTAATCCACCTTTCAGACACTTCAAACGTCAATCGACTAGCTTGCTTTAACAACTCTTAAATAATTTGGTGTCCACGAAAAAAGGTTTATACCGATTTGCGTAACGTGAGTGTAAGATAACTCAGAGGATCAAGTCACTTTAGTATTTTTAGGAAATGTGACCGTATTTACGTGATCCTAAACATTCCCTCCCATCGATTTGAATTTCTTTTTAAGTAAATAGGTCCTCTTCCCGGGCTCTTCGTGACTCAACCAGACAGCTCCCATTCTGGAGAGGAAGGGTTTACAATACGGCTATAAAATAGAAAAATATGTAGGATGCGGGGCAACGTGGGTCTGTTGATAACATCGCAACTGTTCGTTATTGCATTGAGATTACTTCCATTTACAATAAAATAAACTTTGATGTACAAAACACTGCATAGTAAAGATATAATAAGATCGTATAGCATTTAAAATATCCTTACTAAATAGCTGTATAAGTTCAGATATAGTAAAACCGGACGTGTCACACTCTAAAAATCCGAAACGACATTTGCTTGTAAAAAAGAACAACTGAATCTGATGAACAAAGCGTACACAAAGGTTTTCTTTAAAATAAACTTAGAAAAATGCTAAAGATGGTCTAAAGATGCTTTTGATAGCTTTTTGATAGACAGCAAGATCGAGCTCAGGCTCCTTTCATTCAAATCCCATAGGCAGGGGGACTGCACGGTCCGCTGATTACATTCAGGGTCTTTGCGGTCTTCTTTACGGAAAATCAGTTTGATGGAAATTTCATTAAGATCCAATTGAATTCGAATGATTCACGCCACCGTTTGGTTTATCTATGTTAACGGTCATTGGCGGTAGGTTGCACTCGGGGATTCTCGGGTGTTCTTCGAAAAGCCGAAAATAAATCTTATGAGTGAAAAAACTTGAAAGAAAGGAAATTGGTGATAACCAACTCGAAACTTTTGGGAATACATAAGATCATGTTTTGGGTTATCATTTCCAACAGTTAACAAATGTCATAACTTTTCAGAATGTTTCTATATGTTATTCTATTTCCCTAAAAAAAAGCCCACGTGTGTTGTCAGTGCTGAACATGTATGTGCAAAATATCGGACATTTCATCTCGTTAACGTGATTAATTTAGACAGAAAACTCGTTAAAAAGTTCTTCTTTGATATTTTTGTTGCTGGAACCTAAAAGAATAGATGTCTCCTCAAATTATTACGAATTTTAAGGACTTCTGATTTTGTTTTTCATTTTGTTGATTTATGTACATGTATAGTATATCGCATGGAAGCTGATGACTTAGCAAACACACTTTTACGCCAAAATAACAATTGCATGCGATATCGGAGAACCTACCAAGCAAGTCGTTTGATAATGATTTGCTACAGCTATCTTTTTAAAATCTGACATTGCACGCGTCATTGTTATTAGTGTTATTATTTTATACCATCTAAATGTCATTAGATGGAAGAATAAAACAGAATATTATTGAAAGATTTTCATCGATTTATCCGCATACCGACAACTTAATAAAAAATCCGTTAAAAATAACTGCTGTTTAAGTAACACTGACCTCGGTACATATAGCAATGCTTTGAAAATCTAAAGTGGATTTTTCTGTCATCATTGACAAAATGCTTTGATTGTGCTCGATAAACGTTGAAAATTGTTCCATGGGTAAAATAGAATCAAGGCGTTTTATTAGAATCTCACCCATGAAAATATACACCATACAAAGTAAGAACCTGGTGAAATACACGGCAGCTCAACGCAGAGCTATGAAAGACTAGATATTAGACCTACTGGTATAAAATACAAACATGGAATTTCAACATTAAAAATAAAGTAGAAAGAATATATCTCGCTTAACTTTTATACATTCATAGAATTATAACACACAGAAAGCAAAAGATGAATTAAGAATGGAACTAACAACTTCATGTCATGGTGGAGAGAATTAAAAAAAAAGAAAATTGTGCAAATTATCACTAGCTTCAGAGATAATATATTAAATATTTTTTATCAAAGCTATCACGTAGTTCCAATAAGACCTTTATGAAATAATACATCTATCTAGGAATGATTCAATACACCCATCGATATCTTATAAAATGTATCTAAAACAGCAAACGTTTAATCTATTGACTTATATTGGCTGAGTCTATTATAGCACCGATAATTGAATTTTTTTTATCACAAATAGACTGGGGCCCTTGATAGGCCAACACATCACAAATTACATTACTTCGGTCTCATTTACATAATAGATATGTCGATGTTAGTAATAATAAAATTGAAATAATTTGTTATTTTTTCTACATATATTGATTCAGTTCAATTAATTTATTTGATCGGCACACCGCAAGTTATTATTAGTGCGATTATCACAGCGATCAGATTCATAGCAGTTTCAGGTTGAAGCGGAACATTTATAATATGTCCTTTCAAAAGTACCATAATTCATGAGAAATACTTTTGTGACACCACCGTCTACGGTAACTGCCAAATGAATAAAGTATTTGAGGACACAGAAAAGGCCGGATAATTTTCATAATTGAGACAAGACAGGGGCGGTCCATGTTCTTAGAGCTGCTCACGTAACCGATGTGAATGAAAAGGCTAAATTACCAACAATCTACAATCACGTTGCTGTAATGACGTAGGGTTTGCATCCCACGGCAAGGATTTGATGTGACTGCTGTATAATTTATTTTTCAGAAAAATATCTGAAACCTGCCCGTCTGTTACACTGAAATGAAGTAAAACTATGTGACAAAATTATCGGAAAGATTTAACAGAAGCGACAAAGCAGTGTCATGTTCTATTTACAACTCACATCTTTCAGCGGAGACTATGACTAAGGAAAAGTATCTTAACTCATCTGCTTAATGTAGAGACGTGACTGAAGTGAACAGAAAGCCTCATACGCTTGCCGTCTTTTGCTTATTCACGCCATAGGTGGTAAAACTCAACAAGGTGTGCAGGTGCGATTGAATCACTATTGCTAAGTAAATCCAAGCATTGTTACTGCTTTGTTTGGATGAGAAAGAAAATAAACAAATACTTGCGAGGTGCAATCGGTGTTGTTTTGATGACAAGGCGACCACAAACTCGAAGAGAAAGTGCTGTGTTGGTAATTATTTCGTGTACGTTACAGCTTGATTCTCTTTACAGATCAATTTCACACATGAGAGTTCTAATAGAAAATCACCCTCAACACCAAGTTGAAGTCGCATTCAGGTGTGAAACAGTGCAAATATGAAATCATATAATATGATAATACAATTGCTGCATATGATGAAAATGTCGATTCAGTGATTCAGTGAATTCAATAGAAATTGCACCCTGAAGAATTTAACATCAGGTCGTCCGTAAAGACCAAGAAAGGTTACCATTTGAATGTAAAATTTTAGTACAAAAACCAAGATTATTCTAATGGAATCCAATATAAAATATCAACATTTGATCATCTGTTTCATTTTCTCACAAATAATTTTAAGGAACGACGTACCTATTAACATCTTTATTCTTTCGGTCTTTTTGAATATAAACATATATAGTCTGTCCTTCTACCGATCTATCTATATTATTAACATTTTTCACACACACATGAATTTTTGTTATATTCGAAAAGGGGAAACTAAAACTATAAGCAATAAAAGAGAATGACGACGGGCAAAGCAATGGATCGAATTATTTTCTCTTGATATAGTCATTTTATAAAGGAAAAAGAGAGCAAAGAAGATGAAGGGAGAGTTTAAGTTGTAAAAGTATTTTTCTTGGATCTATTTTCTAAAATGAAAGTATCCCATATGTGTTTTACTGACAAATGGTATCTGTTAATTGGTAACCCTAAGTTTTCCCAAAGCATAATGCTCTAACACCCTTATCATGGAAGAAAGACAACGCAGTGGCCGTAAACCCGAACGTCAACCAAAGCAGGTGACAGGTGCCTACTTTATACGGGTTTATATACACAGCCCGCTGACATACTAAATTAGAAAATGACAGACGACACTCGAACTCCACTCAATCCAAAGTTAATATTTTTAGCATTAAGATTTCAATTGAGAATTGGTCCGGCAGCATATTACAGGCAGGGTGCGGTTATTAACCAGCTGGCTTAATTCTGCAAGAAAAGCAGTGCACATACGGCGAGGTTTAAAACAGGCATCAGTGCAGTAGGCCTCTACCTGTGCCCATTCACAATCTATCCGAACATCTTATAATTCATCTTGGTGACTTTGCTGTCAGCTATTTATTCACCATGAACAGGAATTCTGCCTATCAATTAATAGATCTAATCATATTTAACCAAAGAATGTTGTTGGAGCCCGTGCATAGAGTGCATAGAGAATTACCGATGTAATAATGCTTTGACAAAATAAAATTGTTTTGCCTACAGATACGGGGGAATCCTGCTCATTATTGATATCATCAAAGTTTGAATTCCACACCTCCACTTCTATAAAGCTGAATAACAAAATATTGCAATATATTTAACGACATATGGACAATCCAAGAATGCGTTAAAGATTACAGTGAATCTTTAATGAAAAGAAATGCTCAAAACATATCCCATAACTGGTAATAATGGAATGAACTATTTTGTAGCTGTCATTTAATTATCTATCAGAAAGGATGAAAAAAATTAACGTTTGGTCTGTTTAGTTGAATCAGATATAGGCCTATGATGAAAAAAGACGATTTTTGCAGCCAAAATAAGGAATTAAAGGGAAAAAAGATTGGATCTTGGGATATTTTGAAGCACATACGACAGAGTGTGTCTTTTTCTCTTTTGGAAGGGGAATTAAGTAGCTGGGTGCACGGCTTTGATTTGAAAAGGCACCCTGCTCCACGCCCACAGACTCTCCTCTATATAGATGACCTCTATGTCTAATACCCATGCAGAAAATGCGTTAGGTGAGCATGCACTCAGAAAATATCATATGCCACCATAGAGGTTTTGTGCATATTCATCCTCGCCACTTGATATGTGTTTCCGATTGATAAATATAACCCCTATATGTCAGTCACATAATCTAACAAATTATATTTTCTTTTCAAATCTAACATAATCCTGTCGAGCAGTTTCTTACTAACGTTACGTTGATTAGTTAACATCAAGATTTTCAAATTAAAAAAAAAAAACGTGGCTAGTTACACATTCAAGACCACAGAAATGATTTTACAAAGCACAGTAACTTAACCTTAAAAGAAAAGTTCTAGCATCCGCGCGAGAGTGCAGTGATGAAAATCGATAGATAAAAAACATGTGACAAGTGCAGAATGGAACTCTTCGTGGTTAAAGCGCCATCTATCAAATGTTTTCAACAGCAACACACATCACACGACTAGCCCAGCTAGCAGGAAGAAATTTACTATCAAACTGTCACTCTGCCTTGACAAAAATATGGATAAATTAAGAAAGACATTAAGTGGAGACGACCCAGACGAAGAGCAAGGGATAGTGACGCAGGTGGGTATTGATATAGGGAACTAAACGTTAAAATCCTAATTCTGTTACTAGCGTTAGTGGGCGGCAAGGAAAACAGTTAAGACTGGAAATGAGAGAGAGAGTGACCTGTCATACAGGCTGGCTCAGCTGCTTTGCTGAGATTTAACTTGACATTTGTAATCGGCTTTTCTCTAAATTTCAGACTCGAAGACTTCCCATCATGTTACACATTCTTCACAATCAAATATTATGTTTTCTTTCCTTAGATTACTTAATTTGCTTGATCTGGAATCCTCTTTAATGAGGGGTGGGAATCTTAATGTTTGGTATCGTCTTTTGATGTTGGGCTTACTATTTTAGTATTTTAGAAATCTAGAATTTTTGTTAACATTGTTGGAATATGAGACCATGACTCATCCAGTGAATTATTTATCTTGAAGCATTTGACTTACTTCCTCTTCCAAAAGAAAAACAGAAGTAAACCTTAACCTCAGTGTTGCAAAATGTTTTAACATTAAAATGCATAAGTCATAGAAAAAATAAGTAAAATTGCCTAACAATTTATAAAAGCATAATTAATGCTAGTGTGAGCTCTGATGACTGATGATGATGATTGTACAGGTAATGATTTTAAAGGATGACAACTCTTCATTTTTGCAAGTTAAGTGTCATAAAACAGATTTTACTCAGTACTGAGGTACATGTAAATGACAATTTTCCCATACATTCCAATGTTAAAAAAATCTGTCCCAACATTCATATTTAGTCAATTTTTTTAAGTGTGATTTTTGTAATAATCCAGTGATTGGGAAGGTTCAAACCACCCATGGGACAATGGCCCCTCCTGGGTCACCCTTAATGGGCCATTTTGCATATCAATGGGCCATCGCTTGACATTTATGGGCCATTTTTAAACATGACAAATATATTTGAAATATCTGTATCAATATTTTTGGGAATAATATGACAAGGTTTTGCAGTTAAACTTTGTTAATATATTTATTTAGTTAAGACTTTTATTGTCTTTTTCAATAAAACCATTACAATGCCTTCTTTACTGAACTTATTTAAAGACTAAATGAAAAAACAAAATGATCAGAAAACATACAATACTCATTAGTAATTGGTTTTTATTTGATGAAACCATCAACAAGAGGTAAACAATCTAGATCTCTGAAATCCTTGATTACTCAAAACTGAGAAAATGTAAATGAAATTGTCTTCACATACTGTCTAGTACTTATTAATCAGTCTTACTGAAAAGAGATTTCATTACTTAATGAAGTAATCTCTTTTTCCTGTGCCACACATTCAGTGCATCCTCATAACATATCTTACTCCCAAGAATCTTAACTCTTACACTGTTCGCAGTCGTACTGGAGCCAGGGCCATAGTTGAAGCCATCGGGGTTGGAAACCTCGTGTGACCTGAGAGTGAGAGGTGCTAGCACCAGCAGTAACACTACTGTCAATGTCAGTGTCACTACTACTCGTCGTAGTGCAAGGAGCGCTGCTCTCAGAAGTTGGTACATTTTCTTCCCCCGTCTCCTTTGAGACTTCTTCCTGAACGTTGAACGGACCCTTAGACGAAGCGGTTGAAGTAAACAAACTAACTAATGTAGGCTGGTCTGGTGTCACTTCACCAAAGTGCTGCTTGAAAAAATCCCATGTGCTTTCAGAACGAAAAGCAAGGTTACTTCTAATTGGATAAACATGACCTATAAACTGATTGGCCAATAAGATACAGCTTTTATTTCATTAGCATATCTATTGGGACGATGTGCTCATTGCTCTCGGCAAACTTCGGCGATTGCGTTCGATAGCTTCCGAATTCGTTCCTAAGACGTCTTCAGGTATGAGAGGAAAATTACGCTAATCAGTTGACGAATAGTTTATTGACGAGTAGACTCTTTTTAAAAACGTGAGGTATAACAAAATCACGCGCCCTTATGGCGCACAAACAGGGCTTTTTATGCGCCCAGTTACGATTCTATGCGCGTATGGCGCAATGGCGCGTTCATTCCCAATCACTGATAATCTCCTAAGGCCCACTTTGTCAGATGCAGGCACAGATTCTAGAACAATTGCACTAACTGCAGTTTTAGTGGTAAAATCCTATTTGTATATATATTTGTATATGTTGTTAATGGAGTATTTATTGCAGACTTTTGAATCTTAGATGAGAGTTGGTATCCCCTCAACTTTGTTTTAATCAGAAATAATTGACCTTCTTTGATGCTAAAAAGAAATACAAATTATATACTGTAGGACATAGTTTTATAATTTCAACTCAAACATTTCAGATTTATGAAGGGACAACTTTAAGTTGGTCCACAAGAATAAAAGGATTTTTGGTGTGCTTTATACTAGGCATTTTGCTTTCAGTTATGGTAAGTTGAAGTGATTATTTTTTTCATTTGTTACTGCCTTATCACTGAAGATTTGGGGTTTGAGTAGAGTTTTACATGCACATCTGTTTTCTTTTAATCACTTTGTTAAACATTTGTAGTAAGGTGCTTTTCTGTACTAAGAGAAAGTAATATGTACAATCAAGATATGAACCTATTTTGTTATTAAAGAAAATATATGGAGTGTATTTTGTAACCTTTAGCCATGCTACATTATTAAATGATATATGTATGAATATATAAGTCTTGGAGCTATATATCTTCAGGGTTCATGCTTCTTGTGGATGGGGTACACGGGCACAGGTCTGCTTCTGTTTGGGCTATTTTACACACTAGGGAATATAGTATCAATCCTGAGGTAGGTTTGAAACTTTCTGTGTACAATTATATCGACAAAGCTTTGGTAAAACCATTTGGTGAAACCTAGGAAATTAAAACTTCATTAGCACCACAGATTCAAGTATGATATTCATTTATGTGATGTTTTCATTTTTAAGATTACCAGATAATTAAGTAATGTACAAATAAAGAATACTGCAGTAATTTACAATCTGGAAAATCATTTCCTTCAATGAATAATGTTGGACTTGTATTTCCAGTACAATGTTCCTTATGGGGCCCTGCAATCAGCTGAAGAAAATGTTTGCTGAGACCAGAATCATTGCAACAATTGTAGTCATAGTATGTAATTTACATCTCTTATGATAATTTACATGTAAAAAATAACTTTACATGTAAAAAATAACTTTAAGCCTACTGAAATATATTCAGAAACTCTAAAATAATAATGCTGATTTTAAAAATGGATGTTTGGCAAATTTATTTCTTCATGGTCATTTGCTTAAAAAGAAGAATTAAATCAGTTTCTTATATGGTATTTTTAATTTCAGGTATTTTTTGCTCTTACTTTAATGGCAGCATTATGGGTATGTAGGAATATTGCTTTTTATCCATTTAATTTTGACTTTTAGTCTTTCTCTTATTTGATAATTAAGATGTAATGTATCCTTGCATCAAAGAGTATGAAATCTCTCTCAAGAAACTATTGTGATGTAACTGTTTTTGTGCAATCAGTTAGAGAGAAAATTGTAGAATTTTTGTTTTATAGTGTGTATTTATTTGTAGTTTTTATGTTATTTTAGTGGCAAATAGCAGGACTTGCTCTGCTCTTCTGCATACTCCAGTTTCTAGCCTTAACCTGGTACTCCATATCATATATACCATTTGCAAGGTAAATGATATATTGATAAATATTGTCACATTTGTCGGCACAGCTTATAGCTAGTGTCACCTGGATGTGATTTATGATAAACATCTCTTATGTTTAGCTGTGATTTCTTATGCCTTTGGCTTGGTAAATATTTAAGTTGAAAATTCTGTCTTTTCTGCAATATAACAAAATTGTTACCAAATTAATCAATTATTGTAATACTCCTTAACAATTGTACAATATTTCATGTTACATGTTAAATAAACACATGCAGTATCTGCACATTTAAAAAGTTAACAACTGAAAACAAACTGTTTATAATCTCGTGTATTTCCAGAGATGCTGTGAAGAAGGGTGTTACAGGATGTCTAACCTAAGCATGAGCTACAACTGCCAAGATTATTGTCCCAAGAAGTATATTTTGTATTCAGATAACAAAGAGATTATGAGACAATACATTGTGTTCCCTTTTTGTTACAAAAGAAACATCCTTGCTACATGTATACAGACACTGATGCCAGGATTAAAGCTGTTTGGATCAGGTTATTCAGCAACTTCTTTTATGTTTTTCATACATAAGATTGCAGTCTTAAGATTTGGAACTCAACATGTGTAGCTGTGACAGTAGGGTGTACATAATAAATTTAAGGGAAAGGTATTTATTGTTAACTGAAAGGTATTTTAAAATGTTATTAGTTCAAAAATGCCATATGATACTAGTTTTGGTGTGTTAATGTTTATGCAAATGCACAAATATCAAGGGATGGGTATGAGGTTGTTTATTATGTGTCTTATGAAATCATGACAATATTTGCCTTATATTATTATAGTGAACACAATACTAACTTGGTTACTGTCAAACAGATTTAAAAACTCTCATAGACGTGTTTTAATGGTCTTCCATCATTGTAGATTCTATACTTATTGGTCAATAGGCATCTTCACTGACTGGAAAGTATCATTTTTGTTAAAGGATAGCCATGGTGCTAAAAATTTGAATCTGGTGTGATATATTTTTCTAGACTGATGGGGGTTAAAATGAAACTTGAAAGCCTGTTGGGGTGCTCTCTTTTACATAATGTGCCTTACATGACCTCTGACCTGAAATGCAGGGTATTTGTGCAGAAGCTTTGTACTTGCTCACCAGCTGTATATATTCGTACTTAGTATGATGAAGTATTTATAATTAATGATAACGCAAGCTGCTTTCCATGTAGACGCGTTTTCAGGCAATCATTGTTTTCGTACTGCAAACAACAAAATCTAAGGGAAATGTATTTCGGGTCGGTAGAAACTAATCTCTATCAAAAGTATAGGCCGACGAAGATCGTCTGCTGGATAAAAGTAAATGACCGCCGTTTCCTTAAGCTCGGACTGGGTACGTCTCACAAAAGGAGTGTGCGCGAACATAAAAGGGTCCAATAAGAATATAAATATAGCAACATTTTACAGTTAAGAACTGAGAAATATTTTTGTCTTTAGTAGAAAAAAGTCCTAGAATACATTGGTTTAGAGTTTTGTTACGGTTTGTAACTACACGTAGCAGTGAACCGTCCCTCAATGTTTTATTTGCTTTAAAATTGTAGGCAAATCCTAATATAATAGACGTTACATTATCGTTGCTTTGGTTGACAGAACATAATTACCAGATAACGCCCCCTATTGGATATTGTAGAACACCTTGTATGTAAAGGGAAACCTTCAATTCAAGAAATGCTTCAAATGCAGTGATTTCGTTAAGCGTTCATTGGTGCAGGATCGATTTCCGTCTTTGGGTTACAATTTCTGAAAACATTATTGTAAATAAATGTTACTTTTTCAATTACTGTTGAATTTTTTGTTGTAACCGGTCGCTCATCACATATCTTTGTTCAGCTAAGGGTTTACAACTTCCACACCGCCATATAATCTGGGCGTCTTCTATATACTTGTTCTTTTTTATGCCACGCATTTAACATGGCTTGTCTCTTTTGTTTTTTCTTTTCCTTATTTTCCGTCTCTCTTTCTATATCGGTCTTTAACTTTTGAAAGTAAACCTCAGATGCCAAGCAAGCGCGAAAGCAACCTTTACAGGTGTACGGGCAGCCAGAACTGTGCTTGATTTCTAGTTCCTCGTCGCACAGAAGGGGGCGAAGCATAAAGCTCCGTCCATTGTTATTATCCAAATTTTTCTTGGTTCTAGGTTCGTTTTGTTTCGTCTGCCTCTCAGCATTTGGTGTCTCATGTTTGGCAGGGACAATTTCCCGGCTGTTGCCGTAAGGTGGCAACACTGTTGCTTTTACGCGTGTTTCAAAAGCCACCTTCATCGCATGAACGGATTGGTAGGTAATCCCCTTGTCGTTCAATAACTTCGTTTCGCCGAGTTTTACATCCATGGCGCTTATACATCGCCTCTTGATGTCTTCGGTTTTATTACTGGTGTAATTTGATATTCGATTTCCTCCGGTCCCTTGGTCACCTAGTGCCGCCCCTCCACAGAGTGACCTTATGTTAAGGGCTGGAAACTCTGCTGGTATTTCATTTGACAATCCACGTTCAATGTGAACAGACCTGGTTGCAAATGATTTTGTTTGTGGCGAACCTGATGTTTTGGCCCCTCGCTTCGAATACATAAACGTTCCAGTTGTTGCCGGGCGTGTGGGTAACGAATCCTTATTGTTTTTGCTCATTTTCTTCGAGTTGTCTGTTGTACAAGTCTCTCTAGCTAATTCTGGCACTGTTTGCATGCAGTCCGACGCTTTCATGATGTCTTTCGCCACCTTCTCCTCGAGGTGATATTCATTCTTCGATTTCAGATGACTTCCTTGGAGTATTTCGTTCGGATTTAGTTGTTGCCGACCGATTTCAAAATATCGCCTGCCTAAAATGCAATTTGCACTTTTAGCTCTTTCTTGAATTTGACTTCGAATTTCGGAATGTATGTGTGAATCTGCAGAATCCTGTAGTTTTTCGTATGTGTGTCTTCGTTCAATACCGATGGGCGTCAACCACGAATTCGCTGAAACCCCCGAGAGAGACTGACCGGTTTTGATATGTAGTTCACCATTGCTTGCAAAACCATGCTTAGCTAGTTTGATCGTGTGGAAGACTGTTTCCTTGTCGGCGCACATGTTTTCTAGGTAATTCAATGACGTAAAGGAACTTCAACTCAACTTCGGTAACTTAAAATTTTGAGCTTGCTGAAACTGACCACGTCTTTAAGTCGGTTTTAAGTAATGCCCAAACTTCTGCCGTCGGGTTATTTTGCAACATACTTCATCTTGGAAAGGGAAATAAAGCTGATTAAGTAGAACCTGATTGGCATAAAGACGTGAATCGAATCAATTATTAAGAACTTATTTCCATGGTAGCATAAAATCCCTAACAACGAGTATCGGATTTTTACTCTCTCTCTCTCTCTCTCTCTCTCTTTCGCTCTTGCTATCTCTCTCGCGCTCACTTGAAGTGTTTTTGGGCACAAAATGAAAAGTGGTGGCAGATATAATAAAATTCAAAAAGCAACTTATTAACATCATCGACGGCTACCAATAGCTCTAACACAGCAAGTGCTTATCAGCAGCAGGTTGGTTGTATCACACCATAAATAATACCATATCAGCAGCATATTAACCAATTAAATTTTTTTAGTGGTGCAATTTTTTGTGCACTTTCACTTACCCAATGTTTCTCTTCAGTGGATTATAATGCTTTTCATATGTTTGACTTTTTAGACATATTTGCATATTTAAAGGGTGTGTACGTAATTTATTTTCACTGGTTATGTTATATATGTGCCTTGTGATCACTGGAATACGAAATCTCCCGATGTCTGCCGAATAGTTTCCATCAAAAAGATATCTTTCCGAATTAGCAAGCAGGCTTGATAACTGACGATATGATTTAGGTCTTTTTCAATGGCAGCTTGCCGGCAGTAACAAAGTGCCCTCTGACAGCATGAAATTGTTGGTGTGAATGCATATCTTTTTGATGTGTTTTACAATAACAAGGGAATAAGACGAGTTATAATTACTTGTTATAGTCTCAAACTTATATGGGCTTTTTGAATCTTGAGTAATGTACATGATTGAAACATAAAAGAGAATAACCTGCGCTATTGGTGATATATATAATTTACTTCAAACCAACTTTGCACATAAAAAAATAAAACAATTTCGGAAGACGATTGATCGTTTAACTGCATGAACCTCTACATAATTCTTTTGAATAAAGATATATTTTGAAAACTAAGAAATAATTACACACAAAATACAGAATTTTATTATTATTATTATTTTTATTTCTTTTTGGCACATTTATTCACATATTACAAGATTTGATTTTGCCTGAAGTGGAGTTACTTAATGTCTTGGTATTAATTACTTCAGTTTGTTTTATTAACAATTAAGATCTAGTGTTGTTTCCACTTTATTGTAATCATTTAAGATAAACCTACCAGAAAAAGGGAAATAAGCCCAGTTTTACTTGTCGTCATCATCACTCTCAGAATCTGAACCAAAAGCCGTTTTGTTATATTGGTCTATATATTTATTTCCCAAAATTTTGGCATCGCGTGTCAGCCAAAGATCATTGGCTTCCTCGGCAGTCAAATTTGACATTCGGGCAAGTTTTGTGACGGCTTTAGCCTTTTGGCGGTCGAATATGAGTTTGTTGTCTGCTAATGATTGTGGTTTCGGGGGTGGATTCATTTTCTTTTTCTCCTTTTTTACTTCTGCAGTTTTATCATCTGCGACGCCAGATTCTTTTCTCTCTGTCTGTGAATTCTGTGTTTCGTGCGTGGTTAGAAGATTTTCGGCCGACACGTCCTCAACTTGGCCTGACTTGGACGAAGGGTTGTTGACTTTGTCTGTGTGATGAAGTGACACCTTAGGATGCTTCGAGTGTTCTTCAATTAGTGCATCAAAATCTGACGCTATTGTCAATTTTGGTAAATGTGGCTCTTCAGGTTTGGTGTCAACTTTCTTGCGACTTTTAACTTTCATAGCCTTTGATTTTTTCACAGGATCATCTTTTTTCACTTCAGTTGAACCTTCTTGTGTTTCTGAGTCAGGAGCTTCATTGCCTGCATCGCTAAAATAAGGGTCAGCCTGCTTGCTCATCAGTGTTTCCACGTCGTCCTTCAACAATGGCTCGTCGCATTCAGGGGACATTATTTCGCGCTTCGGTAACTTTTTAGGAGATTTATTCCTAGATTTTTGAGGTTTATGTCTCACTTTCAACTGAGATTCACTCAAGGGTTTTAATATATTTCTATCGTTGCTTTTTACTAAAAGGTGACTGTTACTCCTCTTAGGCAAACCTTTTCTACTTTCAATGTTATCGTCTGATTCCATATTGTCTAATGGTTCTTTGTTATCTCCCTGCGGCAAGAAGATATGTAGGCTCAAGTCAAAAATCGACTTGTCAAATTTAAAGACTCTTTCCGGCATTGGGGTTCGTAAGGATATGGCACGTGGTTCAGTTTCTGAAGCGTCAGCAGTGATTTCGGAATCGACACTTTGCATGAACTCCATGGTTCGAATGACTGCAAGGTCTTCGTCATTAGTTTCATTCAGATACTTTTTATAGAAATTTTCTGCCGTTCTAGCAGTTTTAATTCTTTTTATTTCCTGTAGTCTGTCCTTCATTTCACAATGAAGCGTATCTTTGGCGTGTATTAATCTCTTGTACGTAGGAGAAAAGCTCCTCGGATGATATCCGTGAATGGAAGGATATAGTGTTTTCTCTCTAGTTACTTTTCTTGGCACTAAAGAATTCGATGAGTTATCCAACTCTCTTTTCGAGTCTAAAGCGTTATCTGTGGTACTTACTACCAAATTTGGAAGAGATCGTGTCAATGTTTGAACTTCGTTTGTTGTTATGAGGTTTCTGGCTGACGGAATGTGCTGAAGTGTGTTAGAGCGCTCGTGGTGAAATGGTCGGGATTGGCGGAAAGTGTCCTTTGCATTTTCTTTTTCATTTTTAATTCCGAGTTCTTTCTTCAAATCCTCGAAGGTTAACCTACGATTAAAGAAATAAGATAAGAGACATTGACAAATTATTACAGTTACAATTACAATTACTCTCAGTATATAATAAAAGATTAAAACTAAGATATATAACGTTTATTAGAACACGAGTAGTAAAACATTCTTTACATTAAATATATAAAAGCTTTTATGCTCTTTAAATGCCTTGCAAAAACCCTTTTAATTTTAATTTTTATGGAACGATTAATGGTATAATTAAAGGTAAACTATCCCATCTGAAACTAATCCAAGGTCATATTTTGTTAGTTTACATATCCTTCAAAGCAGTTTATCTTTCCCAATTCAGACCTTGAAAATAAGCTCCTCAAATAAAAGTGCCTTATGTCAGTTTTTCGTTTTGAAATGTACAAGAAGATATGGCAGTCAAAACGTTATAGAAAACTTTTAAAACTAAATCATTTAATTAAAAATGGTATAAACAACGAATTCAATTACGGAGGTGGGTCGAGCAATGATTTGTGTCTAGAAGAATTTTTTTTTTCGAGGAAAATTCGATTTGGGGGGAAAATCTTGGATAGGTTAAAAGGATTCGACTGCCAATGTGTCCATTTCTTTGTGTCAAAATATGGAATTTTAACAGTCAAAACTACCTTGGATTCATCGTACTTAATTGTAACATTAATGTGCTGCTATTAAACAAGAGGAGAATATTGCATCTTGAATAAAATGACACGAGAACAAAGCACCTTAATGACATTCGTCACATTACCATGTACAGTGTCAATTTCCTGGAGTCAAAGAAGTGTTTTTATAGTGATTTCCTGAAATTCATCGAATCGTTATAGAATAGCTGTGTTTTTCAAATGGTTTGGCATTCACGTCTTATCTTGGATGTGATTTACTGTTTTTAGTGAAAAGGTCATTCAGAGAAGCAGATGTTGCTAATACGTAACCCAGTCTTGGTTGTTTACCAGCAAAAGCCAAATGACTCATCACTTTCAATCATTCTATAAAAATTACAAAATAACTTATCTTTACTTTCTTAGAAGACATTAACGTTACCAGTTTAACACTTAGTGATTATAAATGAGAGGAAAATGCATTGCTCGTAGAACACCGATGACAGACAAAAAAAAATAAAAATAAAAATCCAGCCTTTGGCATCAGTTAAGGTAAAGAACTACCCATTAAACGTCGTGTTTGCCATGTCGCTTAACTTTCTGTTTAAAATTACATAAGAATAAGGATCTTTTGTTCCCCAGGTGCACAATCTATGAAACACCCTCCAGCTTTTTAATGTTAGAAGGCACGCATAGTAGGTCTATTTAAGAAAAAAGGTGTTGTTTATTTCTTATTTGATGTCTTTAGGACCTTTACAGCGCCGAGAGCACGACATTTTGAACCTGGCCCTCAAAAAATCTTAAAAGCAAACAAAGTCATATTTGTTATTCTTTTCAGTGTCTCTGTATTTATTTTCGTGCTTCTTCTCTTTAGGTTAAGTGGTCTCAACTACATAAGAGTATTTCTTTATCGTTGTTAATTTCACCGAGCATGGGCCATTCAATCTAAATTGAGTATAACAAATAGTGGACATTGTAATGGAATCATGCCCACAATAACACACACTAATACCACCTCAATGGACTGCTACACTGAAATCTGAACTGAATAAACTGCAGATGACTGAGCATCCGAAAAACATTGTTGGTTTTACCGTCAAGGCATTATTTATAGACCCGAACTATGTCCACATGAAATTATTCTCAAGCACTTAACTACTTTACCTACAATAACCAAACCCAGGCAACGGCATCCTGAAATAGATTATTATATACAATATCATTTCTGGCAATGGTAATATTAAATCTAATCTTATTTTAGGTACAGATTGAATAACATGGGGGTTCTTTTTGAAGCCGTGGCCCTAAGGTCATATTGGAAACCATAAGGCTGATATTTTGGGAAAATACAAAGCACCAACACCCGCACATACTTCACTGAAAAAACGCAGATTGACAAAAAAAAAAAAAAAAAAAACATGTAACATAATACGTATTTGGAAAGTGCAGGCAAAGACCATGCATCACAGTTGAAGACCCTATTCGTTAAATAAAAACTTGATTTTATGTGGCATACAATCCCTTTGTTGGAATATTATTTTAAATTTAAACATGCCAGTATCCACCTCCACGTTATCTGCTGCAGTAGCGTAATAACGACAAGTATGTTAGACTGTGTCACCAACGGTTGCTATATAAGTATGTTTATTAACGTGTCACTTCAGACAGTTCTTTTCTATCTAAAATGCAACGCGCGGGTGCTTTCGTATCTTTTGAGCACTGGGGTTTTGTACTTCGTGAGGTTAAAATGTAATCGCAGATTGATGTAATAATAACCTTTAATCTATATTGGAATATTTACTTACGTCTTATAGTTCAAATCGTCGGTAGCATGCAGCATGTTTTACATATATAATCAGTAACAGTCACTGTCAAGCCAATTCTGTTCAACCGGTGTCAATTTAAAGAATTTATTAGAAGAGAAATGCCAATGCCACGAAAAATAATTACAAAAAAAGTAATAAAGAAGCACACTAACCTCGTTTTATGACGACGTTTGAAGTAAAGCTGGGTGTCCTGGCGTGTTGGACCCAGGATAGGAAATCTTGATTTGGAGTCAGCTAGAGAATTACCTTCCTTTGTCGTACTCGGGTTGCTCCCAGAAGAATCACTGGTCTCTGCACTGCTCACAGCTTTCCGGCTATCCTCCTTGACTTTCTTTGCTTCATTTCTCTGTTTAAAGGCTGCAGATGGATCGGTGGTCGTTGTTAAGAAGGTACTTTGTCTGTGTAGTTTTACCTTAGCACCGTGTTTAACTAGAAAATCGGCGTAACGCAAAGCTTTGGGAAATATTGCGTCTTCATCTTTATGTTGTGTTCCTCTATCTGTTTTATGCATCATCTCTCCGGTCTCTGTGAAAGTTTTGCTCTGGTCAGATGTATGATGATTAGGGATGATCTTTCTGGCATAGCTCTCCCCTCTGTATAATCTTTTTGTAAAACCACATGACTTTAATTAAAATCCTAACATCTTGTGGTCCCCTTCCATTGCGATAAAAAAGTCATTAATCTTGGATGAATTGCTGAGTGTCGACGTGCCACTGTCAATGATCGCCTTATTATATATCATAGGTCATTTCTACCCTTGATATGTGTACCGTCGCTAGAGGGTCGTCCTGAAGAAGGCAGCCGGGTCTCGAATGTTGGCACGGTGGATTACCGTAACAGGTGCGATGTACAATGTGAACTGCCGTTCTGCTCAGGTGGTTTGAAATGTGACGTCAGTCGCTTCGCTTTAATTGTGCAGCTAAGTGGTTAACTGAGGTCCTGTGCTTTTCATGGGCATGTGGTTATCTCGATTGGTTAGTTGTACGGCTGTTCAAAATTTAACAAATGTGACATCCCTGGCATTATAAAGACACACACAAACAGACACACACATACATACATACACACACACAAAAAAGCCACGATGATATTTCCAAGGACAACACATAACAAAAACTGTCACACCTCATTCAGGTAAATTGTAAGACGTGTCAATGCCAGCTGGAAACATCGATCAACTTTATTTACAAAATTCACGGCGAGGACTTAAATGCTTAGAGACATCAATTCCAGGTATTTAACACAATTGAGTGATGTATTGAATTTACTAGGAAGAACTGAATTGTCTTTCTATTGATATCCCAACTCGATTCCCCCGGGTTGTCAAATAAGACTGGGGTTTGAGTTGCGATAATCAGCAGGACTGAAGTGCTCTTAGCACTCATAAAGTGACATTGATTTGCGTATATCAACAAGGCAACTGTTCCGTCATGGATAATATTAAATCAAGTACATTGCACTGACTTAGAGCCGGATCAATTATGTTTTCCCCATGAAAGATGTTTGGCTGTTGGTTGCAGTATTGTCGTGATCTTACGATGATTTAATAAACTGATTTCATGAAACAACTGATTTGTTTGTCAGTTTTCCCTAATTTAGACCGTCAAAATATATCAAACATGCCTATCGGGTTGTAAAAATTCGCGTGAATGTTTGCATTCAGTTCATCAGATGAAGGAAAAGCTTATCCAATCCACACAAAATTTTCAAAAAAAAAAAAAAAAAAAAAGAAAACTTTTTGTAACGCGCACTTATTCCTTCATAAATAATTTTTAAATCATCAATTTAGATACAAAAAGGGCAATATATATATAAAGTCAGTATATTTAGTATAATTAGCAACATGCTTTGTTTACTTCTTTGGGCAAAGACAACTAAGTATATGTTATGCATAGCCCATGTATCTGTGACTAAATTGAGAGATTAAGAAAGGGTAAATTAATACTAATAAAAGGTAATTAGTAATGATTAAAATACGAACAAGTAAAATCGTTTGGTGTCTTACCCTTATATTTTTTTTACTTTCCAATATTCCACAAAGAATTGGTATTTCATTGTATTGTCTGAGAAATCCATTCGGCTCAAATTATTCAATATTCATATTATTCAAGAGCGTTTTATAAGGTACTTGGTGCTTTGAATCACTATCACGCCCTAATCGGTTTTTGGTCACAGATGGGTTTCCAAGGTAACGAGGCCATGCTAGTGACGATTAATTTTTTCTTGGTGACATTTGGTGGAAGACTTCCTTTTGGTGTCTTGTGCATAAGGTCGAATTTCATATCCAAAGGGAGATTTAAGAGAACATGGGAAAACGACGTTTCTATAAAGAAGGTTTTGCTTTTACATTGGATGACCGTCTTTTCGCAGTTGGGATGGTATTATGGCTGGTTTTGACTCCAAGCGAGGGTAAGTTACTAAACATTTCTTCAAAAATGATTCCGAAACTCGTCGTTCAGTAAATAAAGTGATATAAGTAGATACATTTAGCATAGGAGTGGCGTCTAGGAAAAAATTCAGAGATATTAAGGACTACCAATGAACATTACTTTTTGGTATTAATGCGCTTGTCACAATTAGAAATACTGATAAAAGACAGCGTTAGATAGGGGCCTAGTGCAAAAAATCCATTACCAGGATAAAATTATTTAAACCACCCTAACTTTCGTAAGTTTTCAAGTAAACCTTTTTTTTTTTGTGATATGGTGACATTTCTATAGACATTATTAGCATATTACTATCTTAGGATTTTCTTGGCATTAATACGTTTCTTGCAGACGGGTCCGATTATGACCTTTAGATGAATGTCATAACAGCTGGTTATTAAAACATATGCGATTATGCTGACGCTAGTTTTTGTTAGTGTTTATTCTTTCTCAGAACCTTTAAAGGGGGCGAACGTTTGAGTTAGAGGAATAATAATAATAATAATAATAATAATAATAATAATAATAATAATGGTGCTGAAAAGAAGTGGTCGCATTGGGCGTTCCTTCACGACCTGCACATTCAAGTTAATGAACTCTCTATTTTAACTCTCAGTAATTACCCATTCTGACGTTACAAGCTGTGCACGGTGATTAAAGGCCTTTCTTGACATCACTTTGGTCTGGCGATGACACTTTATGTGTGTATCATGTATGTATGGCATAAAACAGAAGAGGTGGCTTTATTTTAAGTATTGAGTATTAAGTAACAAATGCAGTTAATTTGCTTTATCTTTATTATTTGCACTATTTAAACAAAAACTAAAACTAAAATAATGGACAGATAGACAGGTCGAGCGTAATGCTAGATGTGAGCTGTTATGTGTGGGTGGATGTGTACGTGTGTGAAGTGATCTACAATTTAATGTTATGTTTTTAGTATTGAAGTATCCATGAAAAGTCAACACAAACACCCTGATAATATTCATTCAATTTTTTACTCTGTTAGGTGGAATGCTTCTCTAAACATGTTTTTATACTTCCAAACATCCTGACAAAACCAAGGCATAATGTTTTCTGTCTCTCAACCCTCCCCCCCCACCCCCCACACACACACTCCTTGCCCACCCCCTCCCAACAATTGTGTGGGTTTCCTGGTGTTTTGTTTAGCCTAAAGATGCTACATCATTTTTTGAAATGCAGTAGAACTTCTATAGAAAATGTTAATGATATTTTTCTTCAGGCACGTTCGAGCTTAGCGAATGCTATGGGCAAGTGATTGGCCTCAGCTGCAGAGCCGGCGAAAAAATCAAGGTTATCGAGGACTTCTTCGGGTACTCACCTCGTGATGGCAATGATGCATGTTCGCACATGGCAGACGATTGTGTGGTATCCAATAATAGAGACACAAGCGTTGTCCACAGGTACTGCGAGGGCCAGCAGACGTGCACACGTTTTCAAGTTGACAGGCGACAGTGCGGAAGTAATTTGACCAACTACGAACAGATTGAATATGAATGCATTCCAGGTTGTTCATCAAATCATTTTTGGCAAATGGTCATCTTCTTAACTGCCATTATTCACACTTCTGTTTTATATTTCATTGCTCTAGCCATAACATCTGGGATTTAAAGGACATGACTATATTTAATGCTGCCTTCAAAATATATTTTTGTAAATAATAGAAAATGGAAATCAACTCACGCTGTTACCAATCATTATTTTCTATGAACCGACACCCTTCTCAGAGTATTTTTTCTCTGACAAGTAAAAACGTCAAAACTTAATTTATTTTTCCATCTTTTTCATCAGAAACTTCCATCACAGACATCTGCACGCCTGCGTCCTACATATCTAGGGACGGCTACATTTCCACTCCAAATTTCCCGAATCGCTACCCCACTGATCTCGACTGTACCTGCGAGATCACAGCCAGCACAAGGCACACACGGGTTCAATTGGAGTCCACGTACTTTTCCGTTAAATATGACAGTCCTTGTAAAGACTTCTTGGAGATGGACATGAGTGGTGAAAAACGAAGATTGTGTGGGGCCTTTCGCGATACTGTCTTAAGCAGAAAATTCAAACTACACTTTCATACTGATGACGCTGAGAGTCACGTAGGGTTTTGGATGCATTTTGCTGGTAAGGTACACAAAAACAAAATGAAAATATTAAAGACAATATATAATGATTGCATGACATAGGTTTACCTTATTTAATTTTACAAGAGTTATGTTGTCCATCTACAGATGTGCTTTGCCCGTTTTCTTTATTAACGTTTTCTTTTTTCAAAATACAGACTTATTAGATGTTTTACAAATCCAAGTTGAGTTCCTGCAAAGGAGGCGATTGATTTAACGTCGATGTGAAAAGAAAACAGTTTATAACACTACCTCGGATTACCCATTTCATTGGTTTCCTGTTAAATGATTTGGATTCAGATATGCACTAATTTTTGATATTTCAAAAAGCAAAACAAAACAAAACAAAAACTGTGAGGCCTTGTTGATTGTGCAACTAATTTTATGAAAAGCAAATAACAATAGCAATAATAATAACTATAATAAACAAAAAATCCAAAAAAATAATTCCTCGTTTTTCTGCACTTCAGTATATCCATCTAACGCCAATGCTACCCTTTCTGTCAAGTGCAATACCCATCACCCCACGACAAAACCAGAGCTCACAGAGACTGCCGCCACAACCACTAAAAGACCACCGCTTGATACAACTACCACAATCTACGCTACTAAGGCGATATTTCCCGAAACTTCATCCGAAATGGAGAAAACAGAGATGCCAAAAGCAACACCTGTCTTGGAAGAAAAGTCACCAACTTTAAAAGAGACGACTTCAAATCCGACTGCAAAATACATTCAGAGGACGAAAAATAAGAAATTAGAAAAACGAACAGAATGGACAACTAAGACGCCCACTTCTTGGAAAAACCTATGGACTCCAGAGAAAAATTTTGAAACTCGTAAACAGTCTTCATCCGATTTCACAGTTTCCACGTCAACAAAAGGTATGTTGATAATTTCCTTTTTTTTTCAAATCCCAAGGGCTTCAAAAACTTTAGAATGTGTTATGAAAATTTTGGGGACATAATTTATTGCAAAAAGTTGAATTCAACCTTTAGACAGCCATACTAATGTTGATAACAATCCACAACTGAAGAGGGGCATGATTTTCGATGTGATATGTATTGAATCTGTAATTCATAATATTTTAAAGTGTATGAGACAGGGGATGGACAAGCAAACGCAGTTTACAATGAAATAGACGCCGAAGGAAGGAAATCGCGTATGACAGGTGAGTCAGGCTAGGCTCAGATAAAAACAGCATTGTGCCTCAAAAATGGCAATCAAATTAATCTACCGGTGATTCCTTTGAGGTGCAATGTGATCTTTCTAGATCATCCCCAGTCGTCCCAATGTGCCCCAGACGGTTAATCCACAGAACCGGTTTAATTTTGAAGATGTGATTTCCATAAGTAAAAGTTCTTTTTGTGCAGTATTTACTAATCCAACAGTCCATTATATAGAGCTATGCATGTCGAATGTTTTTCGGCAGTACCATGCAAGTTTTCCATGGCTTGCCTTTGAAATGATTACAATCATTACTAGTGCTGCTTTTGCTATGTGCAATGTAGATACTAGCTCATAATAGCGTACTCGAAGTAGTTGATAACGTGACTTATTTCCAGGCATCATCATCATATCTATCTGTGTGGGAGGAATCATATTGCTCATAGTCATATTGACACTCCTGATGTGTATCAGCCGGAGGTGAGTTGGTTTGCGCCACTACAAGGGAAAACACATTGTGTTAAAGCCCCATTTCCATAGACACCATCGGTCTTTTTGGATCGACCCACTCTGCGGGGACTCTCGCTGACTGCATTCAGCTGAACTGATTGACACGCATTCTCCCGGCGTTAATCAGAATGAAGAAAAGTTGGTGTGTCATTCAGTTAGGTTGATAGCACTTAGCGAGAGTCCCCGCAGACTTGGCTCGATCCACTTAGTGCGATGGTGTCAAAGAAACAAAGTTAAAATCTTGCAACCTGATATGAATAAATCCAGATTATCTTTAATTCCACTCGTATTATACATCCAGAGGAGTAGCACCGAGTAATGAAAATAAGGTTTCGATAAATTAAGTTTTTTTTTGTTTTAATTCAACCATTCCCTATTTTTCGTCTGTTAACAGAAGAAGACCTAGGCGAGATGTCGAAAAAGAAAGAAAACGAAGGCTTGAGCAACGTCTTAATTCTCTCAGTTTTTACGACAGCATTCCACTGTACGAAAGCCTCCGTTCTGGGGGGATGATTTCAGCACAAAAGAACGGTATTTACAATATGGGTTTAGAGAAAGACGGTCTAATAAGTGGAACAAAAGGAAGCACGGGAGATGGGGATACGACCTCCAACGTTGGATCCGACGTCGACAGTGCCATTTATGCGGAACTCGAGAGGCAGTCAAGAAAGAGCGAAACCATCGCGTCTCCTCGGAGTGCGAACAGCGCTCCTGGTCGAGCGGTGCGCAGTGGAGGTGCTGCAGGAAGCACTGCTACAAGCCCGCGCAGTCAGAAAAGCGGAAAGGGGTCTAAGGGTAAAAAGGCTGGGGAGCAAATCCTGAAAGTTAACCTCAAAGGGGACGGCCATGAATCTGATATATACACCCATGTTTGACAGGTAGTGACTTCCCCTGAAATCTCAGAGGACCAAAGTAAGATAAGTGGCGGATAAGATACTTGGTCTATGTGTAATCGTAGGATGATGAAAAATTGGGTTCGCCTTTATACTATTTAAAACAGCTGACATTTAAACGGCGCTGAACGGTTTTTGGGGGGAGACACATTGCACGCACCACATGGAATTAAGTTAGTGTTTTTCAGTATACCATGCCAACAGGGATCATGTATGAGCCTGAGCTGAATTAGTTGGAAATCACAAATGTTATCCTATTTATATTTATTATACTTTCGTGGTTACCCTACATTAAAGTGTACAATCCATCACTACTTTAACATTTTGCACAGGTAGACCCTATATCAAAAGTAAGGACGCCCATCAAAGAACTGCTTTTTTTTCTTTTTTTTAATGATAAATATATGAGGTACTAAAATGTCAACGCCATTGCATTTTCCTTAAGACGCGAAAGAGATTCAGACTTGGAACTAATGTGCTAAAAAGCCTTTTGATTACAGCGAGATCCTTCATCATTTAGCAGTATTTTTATGGTTACCTATGGTGTTTATTGAATTTCTAAACAGACGATAAAACATGATAAATATATGATAGTGTTGTGTTTAAAAAGGCGATGATATTATTACACTTCAATTTCTTCAAAAGAAATATAGTTTCCTATCAAATTAAAAAAAAAAAGAACTGTATTTGTTCTGAAGATATTGAAATTTCAAAATACAAATGGTCTTATACCATTTCATTCAACAATACGTAATTAATTTATGAACCGCTTTTATTTTATCTGTACGCTAACAATCCAAGGAACATTGATATCAATAACAATATTTTTTTGAAAAAAATTTAATTCTGTTTTTTTATTATTCGTCACAAAATAAACACATCTCTTCGGTGAACTTTTAAAAAAATTTTGTACGGTTATAAAAGAGTGGGAAAGTGAGGTCTTGAAATGACATAAAAAAGCAAAGAAAATCTTTTCTTTTTCCGTACATCAATCTTACCATAAAACACAAGGTCGGCATAACGATTTATGATTGGTGGATGGTTGATTTGGACACCCCCTCCATATCTTCAAGTCACCCCTGCTAACAGGCACTGTACAAACCGGTGAAACTCTTTCGACGGCAAGCATCACAGAAACAGGGTACTTTGTATCATTGAGCATTTGCCATTTTGCGAGTAGTCACTACTAATATCACTGACACGTGTGCAGTACGTGATGATCTTCCCTTCAGTGGAGATCAATTACAGGACAAGTTAATAATAAAACACATCTCAGGTACGCGCGTTTCTTCCATGTTCGCATTTAACAGGTTATCCGATGCGTACTATTTTATGTGAATCATATATAGAACTGCTTATATTCTGGGATGCTCAGAGCACTTTCCGGTCCAAAATGATGACATTTCCAAAAGCCACAATGAGCAATCATTTTAATTCAAGAATATGATATTTCATTCTAAATTTTACCTTTCTACAAAGGCATTCAAATCTAATTATTTACTGTTTTCATTTAAAACCATAAAATGAAATAAACTAGTATCGGATGTAAAAGTTAAAATTATTATATATGAAATAACTTTTCCCCCCATCTCTATGGAATCAATCAGAGACCATATTAGGCAAAACATAACCAATTGCTTATGATGCCAGAAATTCATAATTCCCATTTTCTCTATGCTTTTATATGCATACCAGTAGTATTTATTTTCGTGCCCAAATACCAAAAAAGCCCCTGTAAAATGTAACTATGTGTCATATTCTCCCCTTTATTAAGCAAGATATTTTTCATTTGCTTCTTGTCAGCTATCTATCAGGTTTTCACTTATTAAAAGACAGATAAAACATTCAGTGAAAATCTTATTATTGCATAGAAAAGCTCCAAACATCAAAATAATTTCCTGAGCTGTGTGTGTGTGTGTGTGTGTGTGTGTGTGTGAGAGAGAGAGAGAGAGAGAGAGAGAGTGTCCATTAATCCATATCATATGTTACAGAGATCAGGGTATTCACCGTCTTCAAAACAAATTTTCTTCGACTCAGTCTACTTTGCTAAAATTCCTTTTTCTAAGACCAATCGGAGGATGCAAATCAAAACAATGAAACTTGTGATCATCAAACTTCATACAAGCAATATATAGACAGAAAATTTTTCTATCCCTTAGGTGGACTCTTTCAGATAAATAAGTAAAACAAAAAGGTCAAAACTGGACAGTTAAATATCAGCTTGGACAACTGGTATAAATAAATGTATGTGTGTGTGTTACAAATTGCACTTGGGTTTCTGATGTCATTGATATTGCTGACAAAGGACAAAGTCATGATGTACTTATATGATTTTACTGAAAGCTAAATTAATTCAGTTTGCTTTCTTTTGCACTTTTGGTTTCCATGAAGAAATTAATTGTGTTGCAATATAAATTCCAAATCCATGAACTTGAAGGGCAACAGCAATGAACATGTACAAAATGGTCACAAAAGGAAATCCAAACAGTTTTCTTGCTTTGCCTTTGTTATTTAAAAAGCTGCTTAAATCATCAGAATAATCGTAGATGCCATAAAAGATGGGAAGAAGACCAAACAATACAGTTCCCAAAATGAATTGCTGCATAAGAATACTCCTGTTGCGTTGTAGTGCAAGGTAGGCAAAGAGTGCAGCGAGGATGCTTGGCAGCCATGCAAACTCCCATAGACTTGCCCTAGGTAAAGCCATCAGAGAAGCAGGTGCTTTCATTCCCAAGTATCCCATAAGGTCTGGAAGAAGGCGGCCAATCCAAAGCATAAATAAGGCAGTGTGTAAAACGGCAATTAATTTCATCCGAGATTTGTTCACGGCACTGAAAATATAAAATGAATGAACCACTTATTACAAGAATGTATCTACATGTATCCACTAACATTGCTCATCACATATACTGCGGTACACTAGGAGGCATTACCTTTAGTTGTTTTACATATATCAGTGACTTTATAAGCTGGGCAAAGTTTTTAGTTAAGTCTAAACATACACTTTCAGCCAAATTCCACTCCAGTAATCTTCGGAAAGTTGTTTCTTCGCGTTTCTCATTATATCATAATACTGTACTATGCAAATACAAATAGCTTAATACAAACATCAAAGAAGATGCTTCCAGTCAGTAAATAGCGCTAAACAATATATCAAGTCACCTAAATAGTATGTATTTTATAATTATATTTTAACAACCGTATATGTAATGAAGTGTAAGACTTTGAGGGCCTCTACCCTAGTAGCTTTACTGTATGTCATGACTACCTACCAGTAGTGGGTGCATCTTACCTAACTTTGTAGTGACCAGCCACAGTTTCTCTGTGAAGAAAATCCCTTCCATCTGTTCCTGTAGCTCTTGGACCTGATCTGGAAGACATTGGGCAAATAAATGGCTATGAAATAAACGAAATATGTTGCACTCTATCGGCAACAGCAAAGCAAAGGGTGGCTGGGGAATTCTTCCGGTATGCCGCTTACAATAATAGTAATTTTTATTATGACGATAATCTGATTCAGCGCTGATTATCAAACCTTTCAACAATGTAAAAAAATTGTAAGTAATTTCCATTGTTCAATTTCAAGTTATGATTTGGTAATTGGAGTGTTGAAGGTTATTGCTTTAAGCGATATCACCTTCATACGCATGCGTACATCAAGACGCGCCTCTTTGGAAAGACGTGCAACGGAGAATGTACCGACCGACTCAGATTTATGCTTCATTTTCTAACCCAGCGGACGATGATAGGAATAAGGCTAAAGGTGAAGTAGATCTTAAGAAAGATAAGTGTGCAAGAATGCGTCAAGTCCAAGTTCAAGCACTTGGAGAAATTAGTTTTCCACCTGACCGATGCAAGGTTACTATCGTCTCTAGCAGTAGGAAAGATAATGTACAAGAAGCTAAGAACAGTGTCACAAGACGATTAGATTACATTTTACAGGTTCTCCACAACCACCAAGTTAAGGTAAGCATGCACTTGAATTATTGTTAGTTCTTAAAAGCTGTCTTGTGAAGGACTAATGTTTTTTGTTTTTACTGCGAATTTCTAAACCACCTTGTTTTTGATTAAAACACAACTTCACAACACATAAAAATGCCTGTTCATTCGTCACTCACGTTATTTTTAACTCCCAATGCATGCGACACTTAAGAGATCCAAGAAGGCTATTTTCAACATAACATACATGTATACACTGCATAAAACATTTAATCCAAGCGTAGCGATTGGTGGAGAATCAAGTAATGAGTAGATTTCATTATTATATCTGCATGTCAACAAATATACTGGGCAACATTGGGACATGGGCATTAAAATTTTAACATGGCGCCAATCTTGTGAGCATGCTTTCCGCTTAGGACATGCATCAATTGCTTTATATTCATAAATTTTGGTAAATGTAACATTCAACACGTACAAAAATTATCAGGAAAAAGTACACATAACTTCACAAAATTGGGAAAGCACCCTGCAATCCTGAATCGGTGGTTAAACAGCAGTGACATGAAATCGCTTTTCATGAGTTACATGCCAAAAAGTGGGAACTGGACATACCTTATTTAATAAGTCTCATTAAATATTCATGTGACTGGGTCATAACATCATCAGTGGAAATCTCCAATATTTATGCTGAGTGTCTTGGCCAAATTTGAATTGGGAAACAGAACTACATGCCAGCTGTGGTTTCACTCTCAGGAATGTTTGAAGGAAACAAAACAAGATTGGGTCATAATATCTGTGATTACACGCTTAGATCACAAGATAACTCTTAGTACTGAAGTTAAAAACGAAACGATGGTAGCGCACAATAACCCGTTGCTTCACCCATCAAAATTTGCAAAGAAGAACAATTTTTGTTTTTCTGTAGTGTGTGTGTGCCGTAAATGCTCCCGAAATGCCGTAAATGCTTTTGTGGCACTAAGTTGAATTCAAATGCATCCTTTAAGTAGGTGTAGACAAAGTTGGCGATATATAGTCTGAATTGTGACCACCTCTTAACTCTAGGAACACATTTTATCTATAGACACTACCAGGTCAAGGTAAGCAATTTTTGAATCCAGAAGTGTAAGCCATGATGCCCAATACAAAACGGATGAGGTCTGGTTATGTCAAAGAGTACGGTAGCTTCAGATATAGTGAATACTGGTTTCTCAATGTGTATTTTTTAAAAAAATAATTGTGTTATTACTTTTACAGGAAGGGGATATCCAGGTATCAAAATTTCTGAAAAGAGAAGACTCAGCATATGCCATGGTGTCCGAAGTAACTGTATTATTTGTGGATTTTGACAAATGCCAGACTGTGTCAAATTTTCTGGTTGAAAAACTGGATGAAAGTGTCAAAGTTTCAAGTCCTGAGTTTTTTCACAGCTCAGGAAGAATAGATATGCTCAGGTTGGTAGCAGCAAGTTCTACACTGGATCATCAAAGCTTCATTGAAAAATAGATATTTTTGATTTATCATAAAACATGAATGAAAAACAATAGGGAAGGTATGTTTTTCCATTAAACAGAGAAACGAAAGTTTGAATGTTTTTAAAGCAAGTGTACATCTTATGCTTGTACTAGCCACAATTGACGAGTAAAAATCCAATTTTTTATTTTTCTAGTAAACTTTTACTATAATAATATATGCATGTTATCCATTGCAGGAGGCAGACCTGTCTGACAGCAGTGCACAATGCAAAAATAAAAGCTCAGGAAATAGCACGCTCCTTAAATCAATCTGTTGGTCAAGCTGTCTCAGTATCAGAGGACTCTAGCAGTGAATGGGAGGGGACAGGAGAGATTGCCCCAGAACAACTGCAGCATTTAACTCAACAGCAAAGGATTGCTATGGCAACTATCAGTTGCTCCGTTAAAGTGATGGCTGTATTTGAACTGAAAGCACATGGAAAGACAAAGCAAAACAACATAAACAAGTAGTATTTTATTTAGGTTTTTAATTTAAAAAAATTAACCACCCAAATAAGGACATGCCAAGTCACTTGCATAGTGCTAATGCTTTTGTCCCAAGGTTTGAAATCCCCATTTGCCCCTGCAGCAACCTTTACCAAACATTTGCTTAACAAGGGAAAAAATGGCAAAGATTTCATCAAGACCAGAAAGCTCAGTTAGACACTTACATTTGCCACTATTGGTACCCTTCAAACACAAATGCCACCAAGTGCAAATCTCCTGTTGAAACCAGAAAAGCACTTGAATGTTCATTCCTTGAAATTAGAAATTAGGGAAATTAAAAATAAAAAATACACAAAGGACCATGTTGATGAGTATTTATTTGTGCATTTATACAGCACTGATACTGGCACTAAAGACGTTTACCAAGATTTTTTTTTTCATGTTAGTAAATCTTAAAACAGTGAAAACATTCTCATTTGTTAGCTGACCATGATAAATTAAATTGTATAAGATAATAAACTGAATATCCATACATCCACTTTTAGTGTCTTGTTGAAGACATCTTTCAAATGACTTTTCCCCAAATACTAAAAAGATGGCAAAGTTTGTTAAAATTGAAGCCGGAATTCTCATGCTGATATTGATATGTTTTTTTTTAATGAGATTTTTGTATCTTTTGCTGTAGGCAGAGGATTTAATTCTGAAACTATATCAAAGATATCATGCGATAACCACCAGTGATTTACCTCTTTTGAAAGGTAACATCTCATTATTCAACCAAAACTAAGATTACTGATTCAGTAAGTGATTTATATGCTTACTTTTTTTCAAACTTTACAATGTTGTAAACGAATACTGCAGTGCTACCATGTACATTTCTCCAACATGTTATATCCAAAGATCATCAGGTGGTAAAGCAAAAAATGGGTGCATCAGAATAGCCCAAAGCTCACAATAGTGTACAAAATTGTGTTTTTCATTGTCATATTACTTTTCAATTTTTTAAAAAATTTGATGTGGAAGGGAGGTGACAACCCTGTCTATGTGTCATTTTCTGGTTCTATATCCTGGAAGGGTTCAGCTGGTATGACAGGAGGATCATGTGCAAGAACATGAAGGTTCCCATCTAAAGCTTCCACTCTGTTCAAAACAAGTCCTTGATCTATCTGATCTACTACAGCCTGATCATTGGGAGTGTCTGCTGCTGCTGCAGCTAAGTTTGTAATTGATTTGCTAGTTTTCACACACTGGAAGTCAACATGGCGACTCTTTGCTTCTTCTTTTTCCCATGACATGTGAATAAATGGCCTCTGCACATAGTTATAAATTACTGGAAACCAAATAAAAATACATTTATAATAAGGATATCAAACCATACAAGACCAAGTAACTCATTCTTTACATAATTTTGCAATATGAACCAAACATTAGACTCTGTCCCATTTTAATTGTACAATTAATATTTAAATGTTTAACACCATTTTACTGCTACAGTAGTTGTGTCAAAAACATATTTATTCTTTTAATATTACACCTCACCTTCTGATCGGCCACCTGGTCTCCTTTTCACCTTTTCTTTATGAGTTGGGTATCCTAAAAAGATAAATAACAATAATGTCAATGTTGTTGCAGCTAAAAAAAAAAAAATTAAAAAAGCCATTGCTTCAAGGTGCTTATACTGATGCTTTAAAATATCCTGTGTATGAACAACTAACAGAGATAACTGAGTTTTTAATTTCAGCCATTTACTCTAGCAGCACCATACCATAGCTAGCATCATGCTTTCAAGGCTGCAAGTTCATGTCCTTGAAAATATTCTATTAAGTTTACAGTATATTGTTAATCCTACTTTAACATGAAGTTGAAGTGAATAACTGTCTGGCACAATATTTATTTTCCCACCTTCTATGCCTAACTTTATCTTCTTCAGTCCTCTTTCTTTTAAAACCTGTTTGGCAACATCTCTGTTTTCAATATACTTAAAGAATCTGTACAGTTGGGTACTATGGATAACTGAAATATAAAACAATTGGACAAAATAACATTTATTTCATCTTAAAGGTACATACGAACCGAGCATCAGTGAAGCGTGGATTCCCAGTAACACATGTAAACCACTTCTACTAGTTTCTTATACAACTCTAATAAATTCGACATGCCAAGGGATAAACTGAATAAACCACCTGATCAGCCATAAAAGAGTTTTAAGAGTGCTCCTTTCTTTAAATTTTTGGTTGTCAATTTAACCTACTTTCATGACCTACTTTTCTGCCCCATTGAAATACAGCATAAAATGCTAGCAGAAAAATCTGTTCAAACATCACTTTCGGGTAAAATTAAACAATGCCTTTTGGTAATTCTCTTAGTTATACTACTTGAAACTATATGCTGGCATTTGGTTGCTTTTTATGACAAAAAATTGACTTTTTTATGTATCTTTAATGTACCCAGGAAACTTCTCACTATTCAAAAGAAGGTTGGCTTAAGACTAGGGTCAAGAGAACCATTATCTGGAGTCTTTAGATCTAGCCAAAACAAATTTTATACAGCTTACACTTCCCTTATAACCGAAACCCTTAAAAGTTTTTTTTTTTAAATTTTCATAAAAATACTATCTAAAAAGCCCATCTTTATCCCAACAACAGATCCTAGCTGCAACATAAATAATCATTTCAAAATAATGTGCCACTTACTCTGTGAATGTTCCTCTCCTATGGGTGGAGGATACTCCTCATCCCAGTCCACCACATCCTCCTCACAGAGCACCACAATGTGTGCCTCCCTGTCCCCACGCTGAGCACACTCCACCAGCTGGGGGAGGATCAGATCCTCAAGTAAATAGCTAAACTGTTCTCTAGCACCATCATTGGAAAGTTCATGCAACAGTCCTCCTGTGACGAAAATGGTGCAAACTGATGAGAAACAGTGAGCCAGGGGATCAGCTAAGGCCATGTTTAGTTATTCAAACAAAGAATGAATTGTCTTGTAAAATGTATCTTATTAATCATTACAAAAAGATGAAAAAAGATGGGAAAGTAATTTTTGAAAAGCATCCAGCTTAATCTTTAAAGAGATGACAACTGTTCGAATGAGATCTATATTTTACAACAAATATATTGTAAACAACTCAGAAATATAATATATTCTATTTTACCACAAAAAACGGCAGTTATAGCAATTATTCTGAAACGTGCTTGTCATCGGACCACATGACCTCCATAGATGGCTATGTTCTGTAATTATCTCTTAAGAGATTATTACAAACAAAAAAGGGACTAACTCTGAATGTAGAAATGGATTGAATTTTATGGCCAAAATGAACAGTTGTCATCCTTTTAACAGGTCAAAATTTGCCTTGACTGATTTTGTGAGCAGTTAATGAGAATTTTTTGCTTTTGCACCAGCTCCATATATTGCAGCATAACAAATGCCTGTTTATGAGAGCTTAGTGGGTCAATTATCATTTATAAGCAGTTATATGTAACTTACTCAAATTCTGACATTTGATCGTGTTTGCGTCAAAGGGAATGAGGAGATAATCACAAGCTTCTCGCAACTCCTGAATGGAAACACTTGGTGGGCAACGAATAGTGCCATTACGATAATATTCCTGCAAATGTAATATATGAATTGTTGTTTTCAATGTTATCTTTTTTTTATAGTTAAGTTATTTATGCTAAATAGTATTTATAATAATTTATGTGATATATATATATATATATATATATATATATATATATTAACACCTTCACTACATGCCAAAAATATTAGAAAAACTAGAACATGTTGGTAAGGAACTTTTGTAGAGAACTTATTTACAAAACATGCTCTTGTGAAAACTGCAATGTACCAACAATGGACATGTCTCTGCATGTCAATACAGTATCAAAGATTGCAATGGAAAAATACTAGTCTAACATTTGGAGTCCTGACCACTTACAAACTTATTACCAAGCACTTACTAAAACTGCTCTAAAACAATTTGCAGATATTCCTTCTGCAACTTCAAACTCTCCCCTTTCATTCGGCCTTGTAAAATTGTTTTCTACAGTAGAAGTGAACATCCTAAAAGAAAAAAAGGCCACAACCCTTCAAGCAACCATTACTCTTTGCTTGTTTCTGGATTTATGAGCAATTTTCTGGGAGTATCTTGGCAGACTTCCACTGCCTGAAGCATTCCAAAAAGTGTGTTACGTTCATGTTAAGGGCTTCCACTTCCTCTATTATCATCTTTATGGTCATTAAACCTTGGGATATGCCAGCTCATTTCTTTATTATATTCTCTCTTTTTTTTGGCTGAAGTCAAAAGCTAATTTTTTTTCTCAAAGTCAGAGGAAAACAGGTCAATTATTTTTTTCTTTTTCTCAAAGTCAGAGGAAAACGGGTCAATTATTTTTTTCTTAAGTCATGAAATAAAGATGTACTTAGTAATTGTGAACATTTTACATGCCTGAAACAACCTAATTTAGTAATTTGAAAGGCATCTCAATTTACATCGTACATATATCAGTTTCACACCTTTCTTAAATACAAGCCTTTTACATTAACAAATTCTTTACATGTAATACTGACATTAGCAGGTTTTGAAAATGATTAAAAATTATTTGACATTTAAGTTATACCTCAAGGCATTTTTATCATTATATACCTCACAACTGTGACAAAATGTGCTTACCTTCCAAGCATAGTGTTGGGATGAGCTCTAATAGAATCAACATCAGCAACAAATCTTGTATCATCCACCACCAAGGTAATCCTCTCTTTTGAGACACTTGTGACATTTCCACTGGAAGATAGACGGCCAGCCTCTGCCATACTGTTCTGGCTGCTACGTCCTCCGCGTGTTTTATTCCTCTGTGAGACAGGTGCTATCTTGAGGGAGTGCAAGGCAGGTTCATCACTATCACTGTTCACTGCACTCCCACCACTGGTTGTTGTTGTTCCTGGCCGCTCCTTGTTGACAAGTATTGGCTTTGCTTTGGTCTTTGGTTTAGCGCCACCACTGCAACATAATAAAGAGGCACTGTGACCACAACCTGTTTTGCAAAACAAAGGAACCAGCAACTCCAGACATGCATGCAGCATATAACACAGAGCACTTGTCTGATGAACAATGTATGATGCCACCACTTGACTATATTCCACATAATTTAATCACAGCAATCAATCAACAAACATGCCCTCCTGAGATCAATAGAAAACCTACCCCTAGATACCACAGTTCATGGAATCAATGAAGATGATGATCTGTGTTCCTAATGTGATGACACAGCAGCAATTAAGAGACTTGCTGATTCATCGGCTATCTCTTACCATGATCTTAACCTCATTCTGACTGGTTTTAAGTAATATTCATTTTATGTGTAAAGTGCATGACCATATGCACCAGATGAACAAATTATTCACCAGGGGTAAAAATGATCCAGGTAATGTTGGGAACCCTCTGCACATACAGCAGATTTACCTTGATTATCTTTAACAATTCTGTACTGGAAAGAGCCATAATTTAAAACTGGTGTGAACGCTGCTCTAGTCTCTCATAATATAACTTAACATGCATAATCTGCACAAGAAGCTTCTCACCTTTTCTAAAAGATCAATGGCAGGAAACAGAGAACATTCTCACTAAACCTCATAACCATAGCAACAATGTATACAGAATTGCAGAAACCATGGAATAACTTGTCAGAAGTACAAAAGTCATGATTATTTCTATTATCATGCAATGTAGACATATAACTGCTATCCATTAGGATAACAATAAATGTTCTCTGGCCTTGACAGAATGCAGATCAGTTGAATGAAAATCAATAATATATCACATTAAAGAATTAACTGATAATATCTTAAAAATAACTTTAACAACATCTTTTAATAGATTCAACATTTTCCTATCCAGAAACAAAATAATAATAATAATAATAAAAGAAATAAAATTATTACTGTTTGACATTACAGTCACTGAATAAATTTATATTACCTGTAGCGCAATATGCTTTTTTAACAACAGAAGTAAAATACAACCATGATGGAATCCTCTGAAAAATAACTGGGTCATGGAGCTGGTTCTACATTCCCAAAGAACTAATAATTCATCTCATAAATTAACACTATCTTTACATATGATACATCTGCCAGCCTATTCACTAACAAATATATACACACAGACAAACATACAAATGCTTGTTGCCAGCACTAAACCTGAATAGAGCTCAACAGTTACACCTGGTTTAAGTGTCATCTCATTCCTAAATTTGTAAATAGCTGGCATGGAGACCTCCCTTAGAGTCACCTTGCTGACCCAACATGTTTCTGCGCATATTTTTCGCGTACCATCAAGATACTCACACCTCTAAATGGACCCATCTGCATAATGACAATACCTTGACTAGGAACTATGTACCAACAGGTTAGAAAATAAACTCTTCTTATGATAGGTAAAAAAACAACAGAGCAGGGGTATCTGAGGCTGTTGATGCTGGTACACTTTTGCTTGGGCTTTATATATTCAGTATGGATATAAATGTAATAATAAACAGCATATGAAAGCAACAATGAAATGAGGCATTAATTTTTCTGCTTGAATGCATTCAGGTATTGTCTATCATAAAATAATCAATGCAATAATAACACCGATTTTCAGCCTCGCCTATCTGGAAGTGTGTTATCTAAGGATAACTGACAAACAGTATTCAATATACTATGCATTGTCTGTTTTAAACTAAAACAAAATTTGTTTATTCCTGGGTGGTTGGGTGGGTGATTAAGGTAAGTTGAGGACCATTTACTTGGCTACATGATGTGTTAAATATCAATATTACAATCTTTTATCATTACTTTTTTAAAAACATTCAAGTCTTTAAATCCAAATAATGAAAACTCTTTTAGGGCCCTAAGATGATGAAAATAATACAGGACTGCATGACATACTTGACATATTTCAGATATCTTTTATTATTGAGAACCATTTTAGGAACATCTAGCTTCTGAGACATACAATTTACCACAGGCCACCTTACCAGGTAAGTCTAGTAAGAATACTGTGCACATATTGTACACTGGCATACAGGAAAGCATGTCTGTTGTCTAGACCACTTCCTTTGCTTTTTACAGATGAAGTACAGTACTGTATAACTGGCTGCTATATACTATAAAAATAGGACATCATCTAAAACAACTTTATGCTAATTGTAAAGGAAATTTTTCATTGCCTAATTTTAGTTGTAATAAACTAGTAACTGTGTTAATTACCTTATTTTAACATTTCTTGATTTTCAGAGAAAATTAGGTTTTCGCATGTAGAAAAACAGTTACAGAATCTGACTCTACGAATATAGATCCTTTAGGTCTACAAGGATAAGATGGTCTGTAAATATTAATGAAAAACTACTATAATGAGGTTGTGTTACCACACTGTTCAATGTAAGGTTAGTATGATAATTCAGTATTAATTTAAATGTTTTTCTTAAATAAGTAATGTATACTATTAAAAGCCTTACCTTAGTGCTGATTAAGTTGCATTTAAGAAACTTTTCATCGTTAAATCTACATATGTCAAAGTATTGGTAAAATCATTTTGTCTGAGTAATAACAACATAACCTGGATCTCTAAATGCATTTTATTCATAAGATAGAACTGTAAATCAAGTTTTTAAGTATGCTTCCAGTTTTAAAAAGGGTTGGGTCACTTTAAATAAGGCTTCCTCCCCTAGATAATGTAAAAATCAGGGCAGTTAAATCAAGTTTTATAGGTTGCAGTAAATTTACCTTGATTAGCTTCCATGCCTCATACTATAGGAAACACTCGATTTTGATATATATTTATATATTTTTGTTTGCATCATCTTATGTATAGTATATACATATACATATATAGAAATGGCCTGGTTTGTCATAGCTGATTAGAGTATGGTCAGCACACTGATAGCTGGAGTCCCTGGGCTGTCTAAAGATACTCCCGCTCTCTCAGCCAGGACATAAATGTGCAGATCAGTCAGTCAGTGGTTCATCTTTGGAAATAGCTGGCATGGAGACCTCCCACTGTGATAACTCCATAAGAAATTTAAAGAAAAATTCTAGAGCTGGATATGTTTATTTATGTGAACACTATTCTAACCTTGTTTATTATAAATGTCAGACTTTGCATGATAAATTTATCATGTCAGTCTTATATTGCCTAGAGAATATACTGTAGTGCAGTAAGAATATAGACTAAACCTTATCCAGCAATATTTTATCTAAGCAGCACCCAAGTTTTTTCTAATGGGGAGCAAATTATTACTTTTATTATCTTTTTCTCTTTCAGAAGTATATGAATCAATAATTAATAATTACATTTGAACATGCCAAAATTAAGAGATGTATGTCCTATTATCACATTTAAAAAAATGAATGCGATGTACAGAAACATTGTAATGTCTCTTTACAAGTGCATCAGCAAAATCCTATAACAAGAATATTGCATGCACTGAGAAAAACATAAATTAATTGTAGTTAATTGTAGTGCAATGCGGCAAGAGGAATCCCAGCATTTCTTTCCCTTCCCTGTCTTTCTCTCTCCTATTTCTCTCTCTCTCTCTCTGTTCTCAAAAGAAACTCAGTAAAAGGTATAACATACTGAAAGTGCTTACCTAGGTCTTTTCATACAGGGTTTCCTTCGCCTTTCATCTGGTTCTGAATCTTCCGTATCACTGCTAATCGTGTCATATTCCCGATTACCTACATTTCTGTAGGCCATCAGACTGTCACAGGTGGCCAAACGACCAAACAAAAATGGAGAGCAGTTTCCTATGGGGATATATTCAGATGACAGCTCACAAAAATGTCACTGAAATTACAAGATAAAATTCATGATAAATATGAAGAAAATAGATACTACATAAAAAGGTGCAGGATAGAAGGTGCAATATCTGTGAAGCTTAGCAAATATAGCATTGTAATGTTCAAAGTTTCAATGAATATATATATATATATTTGTGTAAGACAAATTCAACTGATAAAAAATTAAATAATTATCTAGCTTTTATAGGATAATTTCTGATTTCTCCCATGGACTGCCATTTGTTCTCATTTTGTTAATTATTAATGGGGGGGTTTACATGATAATCCCCACTTTTGTCATCGAGAATCAAATGATTACCATACATGTATTGTGATTTCCAAAGAGATTACCTGTCTAACACATTTGTTTAGAGGAAATGACATTGGACAGGAGGAACCTAAGACTAATACCCCGTTCACACTACGCTCAGTTATCCGGATAAGTTGCGAATTAGGTCACAATTCGAATAAATGCAGTAGTGTGAACGCAAGAGGATTTTGAAAATGCGCATTTTCAAAATCCTGCAAGCGAGGTGGATTTCTAAGCGCGATCCGGATAACTTACAGGGCTAGACACTAACTTTTATGAGCACCTGTCCTTCGGACAGGTGGTAACAAATTTGACCTGTCCGATTTTCAAACCAACCTGTCCAACAAAACCAATTTTTTTTTCTATTCATACCCAGAACTTTGTAAATTGATATGTGTAGTCATACATTTAATGTACTTATTACCAAAATACTCAATCAAGTGAGCTGGGAAAATGCACCTCAAAGTGCATTTATTTTCAGGTAAAAAGTTGTTTTTTCATACTTGTGAACTCCTGAAGATTAAATCTTGCATATAAGGCTGTATTCCCAGAGCTTTTAGATTGATCTATCCCCGCGGGGAGTCTCACTAGATTACTGTCAGATAATCCGGCTTAAATGTCCGTCCCACCTACTACAAGCTGTAAGGGGGTAATTAACTTTTGTGTCTGCTCGGCTGACAGCTATTTTGTGTGAACCCCCAGGGAGTTAGGTTGATCTAAAGTAGATCGATCTAATCTCTGGAAATGGGGTCTAAGTCTGATTTAACATAGTTCCAATCAGGGCTTCTCCTAGGATTTAGGGTACAGGGTCTACTAATTGTAAATCTGCAATTTGATAACAGATTACATGAAGTTTAACCACAGCTAAAAAAAAAAAAAAAAAGAAAAAAAAAATACCCTGAGCGGGAAGTGGGGAGGGGGTACTGTTACATTAATTTTATTAAAATATTCAAAATTAATAACATTTGAGTATAGTTCAATGAAAAGTTAAATAATATTCATTTTATAATACTTATATCTATGTTAACAATTTAACTTCTTTTTTGGGTTATCATGTGTTTGATTTTTTTTAATATATGAATTAAATAAGTATAAAATGTTCTCCTTCTTTTTATTTAAATTCTCATATTTGTTATTACTAATGTCTTCCTTACATCAATATCATACTGGTATATGACAGCAATGTTAATTTATCATATTCCAGCTGAGCACTATTTTTTAACTGTAAATAACAAAGGTGATACTAGAAACATTAAAGAAAACATCATACAAAATTTCAGGTTACATTTTGGCAAATAAACAACATTTCAACAAGATCTTCAGTCCAAAAGATTTCACTTTCTGTAGTGAGTAGATAGCATACAACGTATTTGATTGACAGGCAGTATGTTGCCTTGACAACAAACTAGATATAGCCAGTTCATCCAGTTCAGTCTGGCTTTGTACCCAGGCAGCACAGTACTTGTGTAGTTTCTGTTTTTGGAACGGTCTTTATTACTAGAGCACGTAGATTTTGATCTAAATAAATATAAAGTAAAGAACCTGATATGTGAATAAATTTTGTCTGATGAAGTTCTGGAGGGTGTTCTCTTTCATAATTTGGCGGTAAGTTTACTCAGACTTCGTTTTGCGACTGCATGTGTTTTGTGCCAAAAGTAGGTCACTCTTTTCAATGCCGTCTAGGAAAGGAATAAAAGACGTTAGTATGCAACAAAATATATTTTTTAAAAGACTTTTGCTCCAAATTTCTCACAAAACATGACCTGTCCGTCGGACAGCCAACCCTGCAACTTCACCTGTCCGAACTGATTTTTTACCTGTCCCGGACAGGCGGACAGGCGCTAATGTCGAGCCCTGACTTACCGGAATCGACACCTGTACAGATCTTACTGCGCATGTGTGCAGATAAGTGCGGGTATCTATGAACGCTGGTTTATTACTTTAGCGATTGCACCAAACGTATTTGGCGGTCACCACTCACTACAACATGAGGAAACAAACTTATTTTGCCACCTTATACTTCTCAAGAATGCTGGAATGTCTTTTGAGTTGCATTTGTCGTCACAAATTTTTGTTGATATTTTAAGATTTCCTGTGCGGCGCATGCGCGAGTGTTCAAAACAGGAAGTTAAACCAGAAATTTTCAACGTGGGATTCGGATTCGCTTAGCGAGTGTGAACGCAATACCGAATCGGATTCCTTACGAAAAATCCGAATTATAGAAATGCGCATTTTGGCAACTGTAGTGTGAACGGGGTATAAGACACCTTTATTTTATTATGTTGCTTTTAATAGCCATTACACCTTTATTTTAGAGGGAGAGAAAAATGGGACTGCTTCTAGTCATTCCATGCTGCTCAAACATACAGCCATTCCATATTGTTCAAATATATAAAATTTATTGATAGCATTTTGGTGTCTACTTACACTTCATATGTGATAAGTACAAATAAAATTACAGTAACTGTGGATTCTGTGTGATGGTTAAGAGAAATAGGTTTGCAGAAGGTAAAAGCAATGACACTTGAAATTATAATATTCAATAAACACTTATTTTACAACAGGTTTTCAATCTAGCTTAATACATAACTTGCACATTAAGATACCAATCAAAAGATTTTCCTACAAATATTCATGTATGAAGTATACTTATGAATTTCCCTGGGGTAAACAGTATTTTTTTCTCCAACAAACCTTTTCTGACAAATGTTTCTGTACTAGTAACAATCTGGGAAAATAAAAAAAGTCCTACACCCGCAATGAAGCATGGCTCTTTCAAATTTCTTCATCACTTTAAGCACTGACCTTTAGGTTGAGTGCTTTTCAAAACAACATCACTCGAGATAATTGCCATATAGCAAGGTTGGTCAGGAAGTGATAAGTTAGACTGTTTTTGGCAATGTTAATGCAAAACATTTATCAGTCAAAAAGTGACAAAAAGTATTATTTTAATTAAATCAAATTAATAAAAGTGTCTAAAATATATTATATTAAATTAATATGTGTCTAAAATCTTATGATATTCCCCCTTACATTAACAAATGACTTATCTAATTTATTCATCTCTAAAATAGGACAAACCTTAGTCTGTAGAGTGTGTTACAGATTCCATAACAGATATAAAATGGCTCTCTAAATATAATTAATTTTACTAATACTTATTTCTTAAATTTAATTCAGAATAAACCAAATACCAATGTATCTCGACTTGAGTACGGAGAACCAAAACTTTAAACAAATAGGAAACATCGACTACATACGATTATTAACATTTCATCTGCACGATTTTTATATAGACTATAAGGAATGACCCTCATATATATTAGTTGTGCAAGTAAACTGGCAGTTCTTTGTTTTGGGCAATATGTTATGATTGTTAGTTTACGAGGTTTTAGTTTTAGTAACTTTAACGAGAAAATAATTGCTGATTAAAACAGTAGATATCTCTCCATCAAAATAACATAAAAAGAATTTTGATTACCGTGAGAAACAAAAGTGTTCATAAATATACATAGCTCATAAGCTGAGTTAGGAAAAGAAGTAAAATAGCAACTTACATGGTAAACTGTTCCCGTCTTCACAACTGTCTTGTACTGAACTATTGAGGCATTATGGGTAAAGTAAATTTTTCTGAATTGTAATTCATATGAATAGAATAAGGTGCACAATTTCACAAATTAAGGTTTTTGATTATTTATATTTAAAACAATTGGTGAAAATATTTATTTTACACTATAAAATCCAATTTCAATGTAGTGGTTCTTTTGCTTTGGAGATCAGAAATTTGGTCGGCCATATTGCAGGAAAAACATGGTGAGTTAGCATTTTGACAGTTACTAGCTTTCTTTGTTCGCGTTATTCTTTTTGAAGCACATTGTTCACCTTATTTGAGTAGTGGAAGTTTTAATTTGTTCAGAATGACTGCGCAATGAGACAAACATGTCATTTATTTCTTGGTTGCGCCGATAATATTCCTCTTCCAACGCCATTCAATAATTCGCCATCGGGCTTATGCCACTGACACTGAAAGCAGTGACAACGTTCAAAATCACACTCACAAGCCCAGGGCAGTTTCCCACTAAAAGAGAATCCGAGCTTGTATTAGTAAAATGGCTTTATATAGGCATATCAGAAAATTTTTCAAACTGATCAGAAAATTAAAATGCTTATATCTTCTGAAAGGTAATGCAAAAAACAGATGAATTCTTTTGGAATTTTTTAAATATTCCTACAAGCAACAAAGATATTGAAGTATTTTAAGTGCAGAATTTCACCAAAAGTATCCACACTTTTCAGCTAAAGACCCGTGACCACTGACCATCAGTTATCACTCAGCTGTAGCTGCAGCTCAAATTGCTTGAGACCAATTAGGGCAATTAGGGCTCTATGTTAATCTAATGACCTGAAAACAAACCCAAATTGGCGACTACACAAGCACATGGCTGGGATGGCTTCCGTGCAGTTCATGTACTATAAATATTCAGCATCAAATAAACTATACTTCGCATGGTTCAATTTTCATGATTTTTTGGCATGATATTGCAAATTTCATGAACTTTACACAGAATAAATTACAAAAACTTCCATGGAGTACTTATCTGAAATTTTTAACATTTTGTCAAGGCAAAACTTAAAAACATCCTTAAATCAAAGTTCTCTAAGACTGCAACACGGAAAATCACGTGACCGGAATTTACTTTTTGATTTACAGCTTATCTAGTAAATGGCTTGTATTTGTTTATTTACACCGCGCTAAAAGAGAGATCTAAAAAAAAGTTTGTCATAGGCGAGCTGTTAGCAGGCCGGTCTCAGTTTTGCACTTCACTGCCCCTGGATAGTTACTACTGTGGCGCCCCTAGCGGATTGTGATATACCTACTTTATATTACACCAGTCCACTTTCAAACCTGACACAGAAGGCCAATTGTCTGAAGGTCTGCCTAAAAATTTGGGTTTGACACAGACTGCAATAGCATGAAAATTCATGCGTTAGCACTCCTATTGACGATTCTGATATGTATTGTCTTGTGCTAACGCATGAAAGCAAAGGCCTCAAAAAGTTGTCAATAGGAGTGCTAACACATGAATTTTCGTGCTAAGACTGCAAGTGCAATCCCAATCAAAGTTGCCTTCATTCTTATTTTCACTAACTCACTTATAACATTTGTCTTTGGTAGATAGTTGTAATATGTGAAAGGAAATATTTTCTGAAATGAGGGGCCCATTTTTTTGTAAATTCTTTTTTGAAAAATGAAAATCTACAAGTGTGACTGCTATTTTTGAAAATAATCTTAAAAACCTTATTTTATTAAATGCTTACATTTGGTTTCAGCAGTTCTATTTGTATTTATCTGTATGTATTAAATCTTTTTTCATATGACATGGTTACTGTTATTAATGTTTTAGTTTCGAAATCAGTACGATAATGAAGTCACGGTGTGGAGCCCTCAGGTAAGCAGTGAATTTTTATATTGTTGGATATATAACAATGCTATATGAGAACTTTGTAGTATACATGGACATTAAATATCAGTGTTTTAATTGTAATGCAATTAACTGAATTATCCCTGCTTTGGTATTGTTCTTGATCATAAACTAACTTTTTTGTGAATCTGTAATTGTTAAATTTTAGGTAACTTGTGATCCATATATTTTTGTTATCTCCTCAACAGCCATAAAGAAAATTTGCTCCATATTAATTCAAAATATACTTATACACTACAGCTGAGATTATACTGATGGAAAAAAATAAGTTTGTATTAAATGTTTGTTACTTTATGTTAGGGGCGAATCCATCAGATTGAGTATGCCATGGAGGCAGTGAAGCAAGGATCAGCAACAGTTGGACTCAAATCAAAGACGCATGCTGTATTAGTAGCCCTTAAAGTAAGATTATACAGTCAGAGTCAGTACAATTTGTAATAATATCCCTAAATGTTTATTAACGGCACTTCAGCAGATCGTTAGACATGTTTAAAACAGTGAATAATTTATTGATATTGGACAAAAAAAAAAAAAAAAAGACTTCAAATAAGAAAGGATAAATGTCTGTATTTCAGAGAGCTCCATCAGAGCTTAGTTCATATCAAAAGAAGATCATTCCCATTGATGACCATGTAGGCATAACCATAGCAGGTCTAACAGCTGATGCTAGAGTCATCAGGTAGGGCAACTTTCAACAGAGAAAACATATTTGTATGAAATAATCTTATTGCCATTTTAATGCTCCTGTTAATAGAAAGTACTTAACGTTAGTATTTTCCTTTTCATATTGATGGAAATTAATGTAATTTAACATTGTTTTCACTCTCTCTTTCATATACAAAATATTTACTTTTCAGTCGCTTTATGCGCACAGAATGCCTTAACAATAGATATGCATTTGACACACCTTTGCCCATATCTCGGTTAGTAGGAATGATTGGAAGCAGTATCCTTTTTTGCAAAGAGGTTATTTTGAGTTTTATGCACGGGAATTCACTCTACTTGTGTTTTAAATAGATTCTGAAAGTCTGGTATAAATAATTAATTTTTTTTGTTTTAAACTTGTGTAATATGAATCAGACTATAGTGCTCTAATTTTTTTAATGGTGAATATATTTGAGAAGTGATCCTTAATAGTGCGTGCAGAATCTCAAATTCCAACTCAGCGATATGGTAGACGGCCATTTGGTGTTGGACTGCTTGTGGCAGGATATGATGTAAGTATAATGTTAAGTTCTTTGCAGTTAGTTTACATTGAAGTAAAAATACTCTTTTGTCACAAACTTCAAAATTACCTACATGAGATATTTTGATAGACTGTCGGCCATTTTCATTAGTCACTGGTCCAACAAAATATCTCGTAAGTAAATTTGCAGTTTGTGATAAAAGAGTATTTTAACTGCTATCACCCAACAAACTGGTGAAACTTTTAAAATAAAGTTTACGTTGGTTTATTTAGTGAATTTTAGTAATTTCACTTTAATTATATTTGCCATTACAAAAAATAGAAAGATACAGTCCCAAATGCCTTGTTGAATATTATTGCCTACTTTAATATACAGTCTATTGCTTTAAAGTTAAAAGGAATTGATAAATCATTAAAAAATATGAAAAGATGAAAATGGTGCACCTGTATGATTATTTATCAGGATATGGGTCCCCATATATACCAGACCTGTCCATCTGCCAACTATTTTGATTGCAAGTCTATGGCCATTGGAGCAAGGAGCCAGTCTGCTAGAACTTACCTTGAAAAACATTTGGACAGCTTTCTAGACTGTGAGTTATTGATGACACTGTGCAAGCTTTTGACAGGAAATTGAAATTATTCTTATCTGATAAATATATATTTTTTTCATTTAGATTATTTGGTTTAGTTTGTGCACTGTAAAAACCTGTCTTTTACAAAGAAGAGGTATTTTTGCTTAAGTTACTTAAGAAATGTTTGAAAGTATAACTTAAAGATGTAAATTTTGGTAATGAAAGCAAAAACTGAGAAGTTCTTGTATTTTGCTGCTTTATCTGTTTATAAATGATTTGAGCTAAAGTTTTCCTGTGATGTTACATTTCAGGCAATATGGAGGACTTGGTAAAGCATGGGCTCAGGGCTCTCAGAGATACACTTCCTAATGAAGTTGAATTAACCACAAAGGTAAGATTAAAATGAGATGACAATCATGCTTAAAAAATACCAATGTTGGGATATTTTTAAAGTTTTAGTGGCCATAATCAGTCATCCTTAATGTCTCAAATACAGTTATCTTTGTTATTGAATTAAGTTGATTTAAATATCTAATTTGATTGTTGATTTAAATATCATTAGAATATCCCAGTAACTTGTATTGCTATGATAAGAAGCATAATGGGGGACAAATTATTCAATAATTTGAAATAATTTCACACTTCACCTTTTTTTATTTGATATTTCAGAATTGCTCTGTTGCAATTGTTGGGAAAGATATGCCATTTACAATTTATGATGATAATGATGTTGGAAAATATGTATCCTTTTAATATTCATCTTAGTTAATGCCTGATGGAAAGTAGCATTGAAAAATACATACCAGTGCTGCCCTTCTTGCTCCCTCCTTTCTTTTTCAATTACTGTCCCTCATTCTCTCTCTGTCTCTCTCTGTCTCTCCCTCTGTTTCCTTGCACCCTTTTTGCCCTGAAAATAATACTTATTGTCCTCAGTCTGCATATTAATTTTAAGCCTTAATTTGCTAGAAAATTCCTTGACCATTTATTCAGTTATCAATGATTGAGGGTGAAGAAAGATCTCCTGGGGCAGGTGCAGAGGACCAGGTATGTGTTTAGATATATATACTCTTTCTTACAGAATAAACGATCGACATGGTGGAAGTGAAAGTCCTTCAGTCATAACAATAACCTTGACGATTGACAGTGCTGAGGATTAAGTTTACCACAACAAAATTACCACAATTCTTCAGATTATCAGTTCTTCTTCCAGATTGATGTTCTGTTACTAACACCCACATACTAAGACTTTTTCTTCTCTTTCCAAAAGTTGAATTATTGTTTTATATTTATATTTAAGTGCAATTTCAAATTTGTGATTTTTAGAAGCCAGAAGGTGAAAAAGATGACTCGGTCCCTGATCCACAGGCAGGAGGTCCTGCAGTAGATGAACCAATGGACCATGATTAGTTTTGTATGATAGAAGTTGTGTAAAGGAAAATAAAAGACTTGCAGTATGACATTAGTTGTCATATGAACTTGGTTTAGTCTCATGCCAGTAGTTGACACTACTGTATTTACCCAGTGCAGCAGAAAAATTCTTTATACTCAGTTGGAGAACATGGATTACTGCCTTTTTGGCTATGGAAAGAAACTTTGTGCATGTGAAAAATGTGCAAAAATGTATTATTTTTGATAACCAAAATAAATCACAGTGAACTGTTTTACACCAAAAATGAATAAACGTTAGAGAAAATGTGTATAAACATGATTTCAATTTAAAACGATAAGAACATTTATGAGAGTTAAGGATATTTAAATAACATGAATTTTATCCAGAAGTTATCTACAAACATTAAGATAATAATACTGTACATGTACAGTACATGTACCTGTACTTGTGCACATTGTAATTTCTGCCATGTTTTCTAATATGTGAATGCTAATAAACCTAAGTTTTAAAATTGAGTTGCTTTTATTTGGGTTTGTTATTTCAATATTGATCGTTTTGGACCCTTGTTTATATTTGTCTGAGTATAGAATTACATGGGTACTAGTCTCTTGAGAAATTTTGCTTGTCTTGGTCAAGTTAAGTCACGTGATTGGTGAAGACAAAGCCTCGATCTCAAAATGGGTCACATTTCTTACTCCACCTGCCAGCTGAGATAATGAAAAGGTAGCAGGTACGTTTAATTACTTGCGTTGCAGGCATGGCGGGAAGCAGTAAGTATATGTGGTCTTCTGCAGCTTAACGTTCTTACGGCCAAAAAAGATCTGTGGGAGAGTGGTAATATTTTGTAGTCGCAGTAAACACGTTGCTTGTGGTTTGTTTACATCCATATTTAGATGAGGTCAGCGTGGTATGCGTGATGCTAGTAATGTATTAACTTTGTAATCACTTATACATACGTAAGCACGCTTATATGGCTTAATGGCTCTTAATTTTAATCTTCCTTATCTCCACCAGAGCGGTGAGAAAATTCAAAGTTTAGCATGAAACATCTGACATATTATTTCATTGTTTTATAGACAGTTTGTACGAAATACTTGGCTTGAGCATGGCGGTAAATCGCCAGAACAACGCCTTCAGTGGGAGCGTCAATAACAACAATAACCACAAAAACCTCGAGCTTGCAACTAACACAACACCTGAGAATGAGGTGGACAATAGCAGTAACATATTGACCAGTGTGTCAAGTCTATTCAACAACCCTCGATTCAGCGATATCACATTGGTGGTTGGCAGTGAGAGGTTCCATGCACATAAGTTGTTATTGGCTACTGCAAGCGATGTTTTTGAGTAAGTAGATAAACCACTACTCAGTGCTGTGCTGTCTGGTCATTATAAAGTTACTTTCAGATTTGAAAGAAAAATTTAATATTAAATAATAATTAATGATACATTTTTAAAATACAATCATATATTTAAAAAGAGAGAGAGAGAGACATGATGGTATGTACAGTAATTATGGTTCTTCTTGTCCTACAATAGCAAGCTGAGAGTAATATATTCTTACAAGGCTTCCAATTAGCAATTTAAGGAATTTCTTGATGGCTATCTTATGGTGTTTAATTGCATTGAGAAAGATAGGAGATCATGTGTGCCCTGGTGTAAGATCCACAGGGGTAACATTTAGATCATTTTATCATTTACACATACAGACTTAATTGTTTATGTATCATGACCACCAGACCATCCATCTACTCATGTGTGAACTGTCAGGGGTCCAGTTTAATTAGACTAGTTGGGCACACCCAATATTATAGATAGAAAGTAATTACTTAGCTTCTTAAGAAACAAACATAAATATTAGGGGCCATATTTCAAAAAAAAAAAAAAAAAAAAACCTCAAAAGACAGGTCTCTGCCTCAAGCAATATTGCATTCTTGAAAAATAAGTAACTGATATTATTATACCTTTACCGAACAAGCTGTGAGATTTTATCAGTACTATTCAGATGTTGCCTTTGTCAGTGTCAGACTGGGTCATCTTTAAACCAAGATGCCAATGGGTAGAAAATGCATTTCTGTTTGTATTTGCCCTTTTTACAGTTGTTAATTTCAGTTTTTGATATTCAAAATTGTCAGATCAATAAATGTAATTTAAATGTCTGGTAAATATAATTTAAATGTATGGTGTTCAGAAAAGCCCTTGAGGTAGAAATATTTGTCCAGTATAAGGGCATTTTTACAATCCTGGGCTCCTTTTTTTCCCACCAAGGGTCAAAAATAGAAGTCATTTTTGTGTTGAAATGTGTACTTTTCTTGAAAGTATAGACCTGAAGGGTATAAGAAATGACAATCCCGAGATAAAACCTTGTGTATGTATAAAGATATGATCATTTGAATTTTGAAAATCATTTTTTTAATTTTCATAAGCTAAACCTTGAAGTGTGTGACTTTTATGGTAATTTAAGGTATTGATCTCCAAAAAACCACTTAGTTTTACTCAGAGAGTNAAAAAAAAAAAAAAAAAAAAAAAAAAAACTCAGGTCCCTGCCTCAAGCAATATTGCATTCTTGAAAAATAAGTAACTGATATAATTATACCTTTACCGAACAAGCTGTGAGATTTTATCAGTACTATTCAGATGTTGCCTTTGTCAGTGTCAGACTGGGTCATCTTTAAACCAAGATGCCAATGGGTAGAAAATGCATTTCTGTTTGTATTTGCCCTTTTTACAGTTGGTAATTTCAGTTTTTGATATTCAAAATTGTCAGATCAATAAATGTAATTTAAATGTCTGGTAAATATAATTTAAATGTATGTTGTTCAGAAAAGCCCTTGAGGTAGAAATATTTGTCCAGTATAACAGGTAGAACAAGATATAATCAGTCAGTGTGGAGTCAATTCAGGTTAACAAGCAGATGTGAAGCAGTGTTTGCACCTTATGGCTCCAGATATCCTTAGACACACTGCAGTCATTGATGGTGGTTTTTTCTGCATAAGTTCCTGCATAAGACAAACAAGTTAATTATGTTACAGGACTGGTATAATTTGTATAATTAAATTTGTTACAGGGGTTGGTGTCATTATTGCACTAAAATGAGTAGAGCCCTGGCATATATGCTAGTTACAATCAATTTACCTTACAACAGATTTTGTATTCAAATGAAAATAGTAGAATTATTGTGAATGAGTAGAACATCGTTTCTTTCAGAATTTCTGAAATGTAATGTTAATTTAATGCCAAAAATATGTAATGTTCTATCATGGGGTGTTGACTGGAAGATGACTGGAAACTGACATCTCTACTATCACGCAGCTTGCCTTTACTATATCTTGAAACTTAGTCATAAGTAAGAGGTTGAAGCCTTAAATATTTGTTTCTTATCAGATGGCATGCATCATTATTTCCATGCATTTTTATTTTATTTTATATTTAAGTAAATCACATCAACATCAACACATTGTTCACATTGATATGTATTTATTTAATCTTATTTTGAAAATTTGGGGATGTTTGCTTACTAAAATTACTAAAAAGTCTTTATTTATTTATTTATTTACAGAACAATGCTGACCTCTGATCGTTGGCAGGATGGAAATGCAGGGGAAATTACTTTCCATGAAAGTGAGGAATGTTTGCCTGTGTTCAGCATAGTGATGAGGTTTGTATAAAGGAAAACTACTTTGTAGACTAAATTCTGGGGGAAAAAGTGAACACTCATCATCATCATCATCCAAATTTATTTTATTCTGGCCGGGATTAATCCTCAACAGAGGGTGGGGCCAGTCTGACATGCAGTCTTCCTCTCCAACTTGATCTATCCTGAGGGTCCTCGCCGACTAGACCAAGCGCTTTCCTGTCTCTTCTCACCACGTCCTTCCAAACTAACTTTGGTCTGCCAGGTCTCTTTCTATCCTCCACTACTTCTCTCATGTGGTTAATCCAGCCATCGCTTCTCTCTATCACCCCATTTCCATAGATTAGATCGACCTAGTTTAGATCGACCTAACTCCCTGGGGGTTCACGTTAAATAGCTGTCAGCCAGGCGGACACGAAAGTTAATTACCCTCTTACAGCTTGTAGTAGGCGGGACGGACATTTAAGTCGGATTATCTGAAAGTAATCTTGTGAGACTCCCCGTGGGGATAGATCGATCTAAAATCTATGGGAATAGGGCCTATGTGCCCAAACCATCGGAGTCTGCTGCAGTGCAGCACTTCTTCTATGTCCTGGAGACCCAACTTCAGGAGCAGAGAATCAGAGCTAACCTCGTCTTTTAGCTTGACATTGCAGATCCATCTAAAAGACGAGGTTAGCCCTGATTCTATGCTCTTGAAGTTGGGTCTGCAGGACATTGAAGAAGTGCTGCGCTGCAGCAGTCTACAGTTGCTATAAATCTAAATGAAGCATTAGATATGCTGTCAGTAGCAACTATTGGAATCTCTGCTGGTAGAATCAGTGGTTTTTCCAAATCCAAGTACTGAGATTTCCATAACTCGTCATTAAATCATTGGAATGAGTTTCAAATTAAAAAAATATTAAGTATGATAGTATATTTTTGTTTTGGGAAAAAGAATACAGGTCGTCTCAATGCAAAGAAATTTTTTGAAAAATCATTTGATAATATTTGAATTCATTTGTATATTTTCATTCTCATCCCATTAGAAGTATAGGGATATTTGTTAAGATTTGTGTATTCATAATTCCAGGTACATTTACACTGGGAAGATCAGTCTGACAATGGAAAATGTGATTCCAGTTCTGGTTCTAGCTGACAAATACAATTTGCTCCCCTTAAAGGAGTCCTGCGCTGAGTACATGGCATCTCACCTGGCAGAGAGCTGCAGCGCTTGTACTATAGTCAGTTGGTATCAGTATGCAAAGACCTGTGATTTGAAAGAGTTTGAGAAGATATGCTGCAAGTTTATAGTATTGAACATTGGAATTGTCATCTTATCAGAGGACTGGGTGAGGCTGGACAAGAGCAACTTGATGGACTTTTTGAGACGTTCAGACATGGTGATAGAAAGTGAGTTTGCCTTGTTCAATGCAGTTGTAAGCTGGATGATCAGTGCTGAACACGTAGAGGACATTGAAGAAAACCTTGAAGACATTGTCCCCCTTATCCGCTTTCCCTGGATGAAACCCCAAGAGTTATCAGATTTGGAACACCTGGATTTTGTCAACAAGTACTATAAGTATTTTGCACCTCATATCCTCAGTGCATACAGGTATCATGCTGTCATTGAGGAATATCGCACAAAAGAAAAGTTCAGATTTCCAAACAGCCAGTTAGTGTGTAGAAATTACACCAATGCAGACATCAAAATGAACTTCAACAAGAAAGTCAGTGGTTTCAGCAATGCCAGAGGAATCAACTACAAATCTACATTTGATGCCATACTGTGTAACTCATATGCAGACAGGGAGAACTTCTTTAACTGTGTCATCAACTATTATCCAAAAGGCCTTCCCTTTAGTATTCCTGTAGACTCCAGTGCCAAGCTGTCCCTTCAACTCCTCCAAGCTGATCGCTCACCTGCCCAAGTCTCCTGTGAGGTGTCAGTCATCATCTATGCCAGACACAAGGACATTCGGTATGTGTCACAGTGTATTGAAATAGAGCACACATTTGGTGGAATGCAGGAGCTGGCCATAGATCTGCTGGATTTGGCTTTATTAAACAAGGACTCTCCATACCTATTTGATGATGTCTTTGAAATTCATTTGTTTGTTAAGCGTCTGGGGTCCTCATAATTGCAGGATTGCATTTGCTGTAAAATTGTATCCAAAAATTTAAGATCTTATTATAGGGCTGTATGAAAGTGTGTTTGGGACCATTCGGAAAAGAGGGTCTGAGTATCAACTGGACCAAGGGTCAAATATGCCAGACCCTAAGTGAAAGGAAGACCGCTTAATCCTGTAATGGTTTCTCTGACTCTCACACTCTTCCCCATGCATCTGGTCAAATGGAGCTGAGATTTAATTACTGTGCTCCTGCAGGGACAATTCTTTGGGAAGCGTGTGAGAGTCGGAGAGACCATTACAGGATTAAGCGGTCTTCCTTTCATGTAGGGTCCGTCACATTTGATCCTTGGACCAGTTGATACTTGGATTTTCTATTCTAAATGGTCCCTTTGTGTTGCCATAAAATGATTACTGTCTCACAAAGATGTAGATTAACTAATGAAATGCCCCCTTTTTGTTTTGTTTGTAGTTTTGCACACATTCTAAAATGTCTCATCTCACTTGTTATTTATTAATTTGTAAAAATCAGTAATGCTGTTTTTTAGTCTTAGATCTGTTGCAGCAGGGATGTATTAGAAAACTAATCATTATATAAACATATATTTGAAGGTGTTCTAGTCTTTAGGTAATACTTATGTATGGGTGTGATTGGCTGGAAGACTTATTATATTGATAAACTAGATTTCATTTTTTCATTAAGTTGTAGACAGTGGAAGATGGGTTTGTACAATATTGTGTTGTGTTAACTAATATCATGTTTTGTTATTTCTTCACTGAGATTGGGGTGTGCAATACATTTAATTGATACCTTCAGAGCAAGCATTTAGAATCGTAATTTTAACTCTGTTGAACAACCTTTTAAATTGGTCTAAAGTTTATCACAAGAATTGACCATTTCCAGTTTATAATAAGTGCATTTTATGTTATTAGGTAATACAAATGTGTTTGTGTTGGTAGTGAGTTTAGAACAGCTGTGTTCAGTTTTATCATCATTTTTTTTTTTTTTTTTGTATTTAAGTTAAATTCAGTTTTATTTGCTCAAACGTTCAAAGTATCATGAAAGCATTGTATTTATCATAGAATGACTTTGAATTTAAATCTTTCAGTTTTTATTGCATGTTTGCAAAGGATGTTTCATAACAGTATAAGTTATAAGAAGTTTTAAGTTAACGTACATTTAAAATCTTAGAAAATGAAAGATAACTACATTAATACAGTATTTATGTATTTGTAATGTAATGAAATAAAGGCAGAAAATTTATATGTAGTCATTATGTCTTTTTTTACAGACGGGGGAAATCATTTTAAGTAAAAAGTTTATGGCTCAATTACAACAAATCCTTTTATGCATTTTCTCAATCAACAAGGGGTACTGTAATCTTTTTTCTCCTAGTTTTATTGTTCTGACATGCGCTTCATCATCTGCAGCAATTTTTCAGATTTTATGCATATATATCAACATAAGGCAACAAACCATTAGTATCAAACCTTTTATTTTATCAATATATATGTGTGTGTGGTAACAATTTAGTGTAAATGAAGACTGCATACAGATAGCATGTATTCAGAAACCTTCCATGTTGTCACTAGTTGCACTCCCACCTGTCACATCAACAAATCCATATGCAGATAACCCTACTACGCAGATTGGCCTTCCCACATTTTGACTACTGAGATAGTTCTTTCTAAGACCATCCATTATTCCCACCAAAATTTTCTTCATTTCATTTTTCATTTCAAGTAATTTTTATTTAAGTGTAGCATGATACTTGTCCATTGTTACACATAATAACAATACATAGAGGTTTCTTCTAATGTTTTCATGAAATTGATTGTTTTGAAATTTTATATACCAGATATTTAAGGTAAGCACACAAAATCCTTCTGGTTGCTATCATTAGTATATAATGGAAGTTTTAAACTATATTTACGCTTATCAAAGAATTCACATCATGTTCTTGGGTAGATTGCACTTTCAGCATTAAAATTCTTTCTTTTTTATAAGCACCAGTTATGAAGACATTTGTAATTTGTTATATGAACAAAATTGACTCTACAATGAGCGACAAAAGTTGAGATACTATGAACATTCATAAATGATTCAAACTTCCAGTCTGAATCTAATAAATGATTCCACATGTCCACCAGATGAAACATTAGCATGCATATGGATTAAAACTGATCAAATAGAATTATACTGGAATGAAGACATTCACAAAGTGAACCTGTCAACTTTGTTACACCTGAATGTAGAAAATGAATGAAATTATCTCGTCAAACACCTTTCTCAATGTATGATCTTGAATGGAAACGGTAAACTGTTGTTGAAAACCATTGAGAAAAAAAAATCAACCATTAAATGTTGAAAAACAGTAACTGAAATTTATAACATGTAACAATTCTCTCCGGTTAGAATCCCTATACCTAACAAATTGAGCAGATTGACAAGTTTACACAATCATAGGCATGTGTAGGAGAGATGGCTGGGATTTACTGACATGGAGACTTGCAGCTTGAGGCACACTGCTCATTGAAGCTATGGGTCCTGGTATATTCTTGTAGGTATTATCACCGTGTAAGGAATTGGCTGCAGCCTGGCTTTCCATTGACAGCACATTGCACAGCGGGCTCACACAGTTGTCTGGTATCAGGGTCCCTGTAATTAAGAAGCGAGGTGTAAAAAAAATATGTACAAAAATCCAAATGTCAATGCTGAAGCAACAAATGCGTAAAATCCTTTCGAAGACCCACTAATCAACATTTAGTAATTCTTTATAGGGCAGATCTGCACTAACTAGTTTCACATGAACCTGCCTTCATTAACTTGTTACGTGTTATATACTTGTACACCTACCAACAATTCTCTTCCCCTCATCTGTACGTAGTCTTATAATCTGCATCCTGGAATGGTTACCTCCTGGCATGGAAGTCAAGACACTTTCCACCTTCCCCCAGACACTGAGTACAGAGCCCCCCAGGACATGGTATGTCCTTGTTCGCAGACCTATCTCACAGGGCAGTCCCAGGCTTACTCTCTTGCAACTCCCTTTCCTTAATTATAGAAAAATATATTTAGAAATAAAATTTAAGAACATGCACATATATTACAGTTATGCTTAAATGGAATATAGTTTGAGAACTGCTCCCTAGAAATGGAATTATCTTAAGTTTAATTTCCAAACAGTCTTAGACTAAACATCTTTTTATTAAATCAACATGAAACCGACTTCAAAACTATACCATAATCAAATCAAATATGAAAGAAGTTGTGATAATATTCTTTCAGTGATTCTTCATTAAAAAGTGGAAGCTAAATATTTTAATTGTCAACACTGAAGAAAGAACATATTCTTATTTGTCAACTCTAATGACCATAAAGGTGAAGCTTACCAGTATGCATGACTGCAGGTTGTCCCTGATGCTTGGTACTGATCCAACCAATAGGCCTGAGCTTCATCCGGGGTAACCTAGATGACACAGACATTGTGCTGAAAACAACTACCCCCATAAATTAATTGCTTGAATCGATAATCTCAGTTCCATGTTAAATACAATCTAACTATCATAACCTTTCATAATATCCTTGTCAACAAATGTATTAAGTTTTGTTTTTAAAATTTTACCCTTTTGTGCCTCTTCTTGATATCCTCTATGGATTCATTTCTGACTTGCAAACCAATGTTTGGTCGGTATATGGTAAACATCTTCTTGTCTTTCTTTTTGCCAGTCATACTAACTGCCAGAACAGCTGTGGGCTTCCCAAAGGTTTGCTGGAAAACAGTGGTATATATAAACATAATTATGCCACTTAACATCTAAACTCTACTGGTATCCTAGCTACCAGTTTATTCAACATATTTTATTTTTGTCTGTACAACAAATGCAATCTTACATACAAATGTGAAAAATGATATATCTTAAGCTGCCAAGTAGTGTAAAAACAGTTAATCATATGAACAAATCTAAAATGTTTAGTTTATTAAGCTTACATTTCTTAAGACATAAAATCCATCCTCTTTGCCTACATGGTCTCTCCATATGTCCAGTGCTTTGTCCCAGGTCATACCACGTTCTACGCTTACCTGACAGAGAAATTTAAAAGATTTAGGTATTGGTTGGAATGTTCATCTTAAGTACACAAATTGAGTAACAACAAAAAGCAGCTGAAGACTTTTTTTAGAAATTAAACTTGCCATATAATAATTTTACAATAACTTTTTTTTGTTTATATGAAACTATTTTTTTTAACTAGGGAGATGGAAAACTCTTTTCTAGAGAGCAATACTGGCCATGCTACTTACTGTGTAAAGCTCAGTCCTGGCTGTGCCTGTTGAGTACTGACTGGTAAAAGTCTTAGTTTCTATTACCTTTACATTTTCACCTCCAGATCCAAGATCTTAAAAAGAAAATATCATAAGCTTGAAACAAATTGTTGTGCATATCTAAGAAAATTTTTGAAACATAGCCTAGAAATTTGTAATATAATAACAGAATTTTAATCAATCTAAAAATGGTATATATATATATATTGCAAAATATTTGTGAAAATCACTACCTAAGATCCCCAAATCCCAGCGACCATTCCTCTTGGCTTGAAGAATTATAGCAGTCAGTGTGTCCATGAAATATTTGAACAATCTGTTTTGAAGGTCTACATCTATTCCCAGTATGCGGTTCAGGAATTTGCTGATATTATTATAATCTATAAATGAAAAAATTGATAAAGTATTAAGTATGAAAGGAAACTTTAAAACACATGCTGCAGGAAAATGAAAACAAATTAAATGTCTCATTAAAAATAAAGCAATGCTCTTTTTGTCATACCAGCATAGTTAATTACCTCATATAAAAATAGATTAATCAACAACAACTTTTTAGTTACCTTTTTCAAGTGTTGGCAAACCAAACCTTTCATCACTTGTCACCAAGCCAACACCCACCAAAGCCTTCTGTACATCTAATAGAACAGAATCAATATGTAGTTACATATATTTCTTCAAAATATGTGTGCATTTCCATATCTCTAGTTCTTCTCATTTCACATTTTATGTCATGAAATTTACCTCTGTATATCTAATATTTTACAAATACATAGCCAGATTAAAACACACCAACAATGGTCATGAATATATTTCTTTACATAAAATAATGTAGAAATGTACCAGGTTAATTTTGCATTTCATTTCATTCATGACTTTCATAAGACCATTTTTTAGGCTAAATATAAGCCCAATACTTGCAATAAATCATAAAGGAAGCTCTTGGTGTAATAAACTTACCTGCAAAGAAGTTGCCCTGATAGTCAGCTGGTGGGGGGACCAAAGGACTTTCCATATCCATCACAGATTTCATCACACTCTCTAAGGCAGTACGCCCATACTGAAACAATCAAATAAATGCATAAAAAATTGCAAAATGGGTCAACACTCTCGTCATTTGTGGCCACAGCTCATCGAGCTTTATTGCTTAAAAAAAAAAATAAAAAAAAAACATCATTGAGACATAGATCATACATTTTCTATTTTAATTCCCAGTTTCATAAGGACACTTTCTTGGTTTTTCTGTCTAATATAATTATAATAATAATTTCATTTTTCATGTATGATGCAAATGTGTTTTCAACAATTGCCAACAAATTTAAGAAATCTATAAATTTCCAGTGGTATTTAATTTCATCTTCCATTTCATGTTAACAGAATGTCAACAAGCCGCGTGTCCAGACATAATAGAACTTGTAGCAGAAATAGTGCCCATTTACGAAATGTCAGAAATTTAAATCTACGACCTGTGATGCAGGTGAAAACAAAGCAACAATCAGTTCCAAGGTCTTTTTTTTATCTGCAAACCAACTCACCTTATTTTCTATATTGAATCTACTGAGATCTCTAGTTTCTGTTGCTCTTCTGTCTCCATGGGTTAGAGCTCCCTGTAAATTAATATAATAGTTGCAGAAATACAGGCAGATGGTTAAACTAATGATACCAACACCCTTTAAAGTGTTTGTCTCGATCAGTGTCATCAGTGTAAAATCAGGATTCATAAGTCTAACATGTTAGAACATCATCTCAAGACTGATGAAAATAGACAAGTATACATTTGTCAGTATTTGGTGGCACTGAGAATATTCTTGTGAGGCTTATGTATGCATTTAAATAAAAATCTACAATTTCAAATTTTTTTACACTCTATGTTATATTCTTACCAAGCTTTCTAATCTTTTGGCAACAGTTGAAGCAAATCTCCTTTCTCCTGCTAAATCTGAGATCAAGAACACATACTCTGGGGCACTCACTTGGTTAGACCTGTGGGTACGCCCTAGATATAAGATTTTAGAATTATTTTATGTTTTTATTAGACCAAAGAATGGAGTTGTTTTGCTACAAATTATACAAATCACTNACAGACACATCTGTGTCTGTACATAAAAAAACCCTCACATCATTGAGACATAGATCATACATTTTCTATTTTAATTCCCAGTTTCATAAGGACACTTTCTTGGTTTTTCTGTCTAATATAATTATAATAATAATTTCATTTTTCATGTATGATCCAAATGTGTTTTCAACAATTGCCAACAAATTTAAGAAATCTATAAATTTCCAGTGGTATTTAATTATTCTAATTTCATCTTCCATTTCATGTTAACAGAATGTCAACAAGCCGTGTGTCCAGACATAATAGAACTTGTGGCAGAAATAGTGCCCATTTACGAAATGTCAGAAATTTAAATCTACGACCTGTGATGCAAGTGAAAACAAAGCAACAATCAGTTCCAAGGTCTTTTTTTATCTGCAAACCAACTCACCTTATTTTCTATATTGAATCTACTGAGATCTCTAGTTTCTGTTGCTCTTCTGTCTCCATGGGTTAGAGCTCCCTGTAAATTAATATAATAGTTGCAGAAATACAGGCAGATGGTAAAACTAATGATACAAACCCTTTAAAGTGTTTGTCTCGATCAGAGTCATCAGTGTAAAATCAGGATTCATAAGTCTAACATGTTAGAGCATCATCTCAAGACTGATGAAAATAGACAAGTATACATTTGGCAGTATTTGGTGGCACTGAGAATATTCTTGTGAGGCTTATGTATGCATTTAAATAAAAATCTACAATTTCAAATTTTTTTACACTCTATGTTATATTCTTACCAAGCTTTCTAATCTTTTGGCAACAGTTGAAGCAAATCTCCTTTCTCCTGCTAAATCTGAGATCAAGAACACATACTCTGGGGCACTCACTTGGTTAGACCTGTGGGTACGCCCTAGATATAAGATTTTAGAATTATTTTATGTTTTTATTAGACCATAGAATGGAGTTGTTTTGCTACAAATTATACAAATCATTGCAAATTTATCAATCTCCATATATGTACACTGGGGATCTGGATCTAAATGATATATCTTAAATATAAAGAACATGAACAATGATTTCTATCAAACCTTTAGTTTTCCATTTAAGGACACATACTTGGAAATAGTTTGTACATCTAGTTCAATACAATCATTAAATATTCTGAATTGCCAAACATGACTTGTTGATTTCTTGTTTTATCTCCAGTAATAGCAATATCAATTATCTGCATTTTCACCCCGCAAGTCAGGATAAATCCTACTAACCAAACTGTTGAATTGCCCTGTCTGCACTCCAAGGCAGCTCAAGTGTGATGTGAACACGGCGTCTTTGGTTCAGTGCTCTCCTGTCAGCTTGGAGGGAAATACCAGAGCTGGCAGCTTCAGATATGATTGCAACATTCTGAAATTTAAAAGTGATGTGTGTACTTTTTTGAGATACATGTAGTGAGTTTTATCAAACTATGAGATAAAAGTTTATTGAGCATTTTTAAGGTATACCATTTTTTTTATGTGTTTAAAAAGCACGTACAAGACTGGTAACTGTGTAATCACATTTATAAAAGTACCTTATTCTATAACTAATTTTCTGATATAAAGCTAAAGAGATTTAACAATTCTCATTAAGTTAAAGTAAAATTACCTTTTCCCCATCCATAAATCTCTGTTTTTCTGTGAGATTGAGGACCTCAAGTGGGACATCCATCTCACTGCGAGATTCATATACCACCCCTCCATCTTCATTGCTCACAACACGACCTTTCCTACCAGTCATCTAAAATAACATCCAAGAATATTTTACAAAACATTATCAAGGTCAGCCATTTTAAAGTTTTCAATTCTACTCCATTAATTTATTTCACAAACCTATCCTCTTCCTACAAACCATACAAAATATAATTTCAATAAAATCAACACTAGTAATAACCCCTTTCATTACTATTTCTGGATTCAGTCTAAACTCTTTTCAGCTGTAAAACAAATTTTTGGCTAAAAATTCCTAAAAATTCTAGGTCTTTCAAATCCAACATAATAACTGCAAATTAATAGCAGTTATTCATAAATAAATTGGTTGGTACTTCTCACACCTCTGCCACATATTCAGGTCCTCCCAGGGAGTCAATCAACTCATCCAGAGTATTAGGAGGCAGTTTATCCCCTATTTCCTCCAACATATCGAGAAGTTCCTGCTTTAGTGCTTGAGCCTTCTCTACAGAATCCATGCCAGGGAGAAATGCACTGCTGGTGGTACGGCCTGGGAAGCAATGATATCACTTAATTTGGTGATTCAATTAAAATAAAAACTCAGGTAAGACTTAATGTGAGGTACTCACAAGTTTACAAATATCAAGACAGCCAAAATCTATTTTTCACAAAACAAATAAAAACAGCTACTCAGCATACTAAAATCACAACTTAAAAAAAATTAACATAAAAAAATGTATATAAATAATGAGCACAAATGAAAACTCCTACATCAAAACCTAAAGTAAACATAACCAAAACTTACAATACATGTACCTAAAAACTTACTCATTGAGCTAAGGTTTGAACTGGAATCATTTCTGGTGAGCAAGCTATTATTAAACGACTTCAAGCCGGCAGCTTCAAGTGCTCTGTCAAACTCTTCATCCTTTGAGTTCTTCTGTTTCTTCTTCTTCTTCTTTTTCTTCTTCTTCTTCTTTTTTATGTTTTTTGCTTTCTTGTTCTTTGTCTTCTTTAGCCAGGGATCTATTATAATTGAGTATAATAATCAAAGAAGTTACTGAATGACAGCAAAGAAAAAAATATTCCAATTGCCTTCACAAAGATAGTACTCGATATTTCCATATTTAAATTTAGTCCGAACCATTTAATGGAGAACTGGCTTAAAGATGTCAACAAGCATTTTTTTTTTCAAATCAGCTTCAACTTAAAACCTTCTCCAAGTTATATTATATTTATTACTCGCCTTCATCACTGTCTGAGTTAGCAAATGGGTTAAAATCATCTTCATCTGAATCATAATCAGAGTGAGATGATTCTGCTTCACTTTCAGAGGATGAAGATTCATTGCTTGATGAACTGTCCGACTTTTGTTTCTTGAAACTTTGTAGGTCAAAAGGGTCTGAAAGGAGAGAGAGAGAGGCGTGTAAAATTTGGTAATACATTCTATTTTACAAGTTTGTATGGTATTTTCCCAACACGCTGGAAAAAATAAAAGATCTTGTAATGCTTAATTTCTAATGAATTTCACAGAACTTAGTAGTACAGTACTTTCATACCTTCTCTTTTCCTCTTGGTTCCCCCAGCCCTGCTTCCTGGGCTAGGGACAGGGCTGTCATCAAAGATCAGACTTCTAGAGTCTCCCAGTCCAAACAGGTCCATAGCTTTCCTTCTGTTAGGTGCAGGAAAATGTTTGTCTACAAGTGTCTGGAACACACCCCTAATGAATAAAAAGGTTGACACCATGCTAGACATAAAAAAATGAAAACCCTTTTCTCAATATGCTTCCATTTCACCACTTGGGAGAGCATGTGCAATTCAAAAATGTTCATACTTACATTTCATGAAAGATAGCATTTAGAATTCAACAATATTTTTGTAATAATCCTAACCATATCAACAAAAGCAGTCTTACATTATAACACAATTAAATGTCTTAATGATACATGAAGGCTTGCTTACTTTGCTGTGGAGACAAAATCAGTCAATTCTCCTCCGCTCTCATCTAAAGCCTCCAAAGTCCTTGCCTCACCAGTTGACTGTAGGCCTATTACAACACACTAAAATAGAAATGTAATAAGAAATAGTGGTACTGACATCAATCAATTTAAAGCCCAAAATGATCAGTGTGGGGATGGGTGGATTGAGGACTTCTAGTATCAAAACAAAGGAAATTGAATGATCAAAGTCACTTACTTCAAGTATATGATTATGACTTAATTTTTTAAAAGTAATAACTTTTTGTTTAAAGTACTTATCTTCCCTCAAAGGACAGAAACAGTAAAACAACAGGCAACTTCTACTACAGTTCAAAGCTACTTTGTTACAAGTATTTAAAGTAAATGGATCAATTGTAATGGCTAATAATACTGTAGTGCCCTCTCACCCTTCCATTTTTCACTGCCTCTCTTGCCAGCTTCACAGCAAATTTGACTTTGGATGAGATACACAGGTACTTGAAGAACCTCTGGTGAGCAGACCAGAACTGTCCCCACATGCTCTTCCTCATCTGTCTCTCTGCCTGCATCAGGTCTGCTGCCTGCTGGAACCTGTCTCTTCCTAACTGCCACTGAAACAATAACATATTGCTCACACACACTGGCTAAAAGTCCCTGGTATTTTTGATAATTTATGCAAATTCAATGAATAAAATGCATCTCCAACATATTTTGGGCCTGTCACAGAAACTTAGTTACTTACAATACCAAAAGAGAAATTCTACACCCAACATTTTATTAGAAATTAGATGTACTGCATGTATTAAAAGTTACAAAAATGTTGATGTTTACATCAATTCAACAATCCTCCATGCTCCCCTACTTACCAACTTGACTGCTTCATTGTACATCCTGACAAAACCCTTTTCTATGGGCACCTCTTCTACTCTGAATGAGACCCCATGAAAACTCAGCTGCCTGGCAATGTACATCCCTCTCAGTTTCATATCCATGGCGACCAATTCCATAGCACCAACTCCCCTATTAAAAGGAAATAACATCATCATTAAACAATGCTATCATTTGCTTTTTATCTCCTTCATACACAGGTATCATATGGTCTTTCAACCACAAAATGTGTACAAAATGTTTTTGGAAGAATAAATCAAATTTGTGAAAGTGATGAAAAAATAGGAACACATTTTCACTGCTTCTACTTGATTTATTAAAATTCTACACTAATCTACCTTTGGTAGGTGGTTTATATTTCATATTCACAACTTTGGATCAATAATTCACAAAAGTTAGCACACTACCAGAATTATACAGTAAGGAGGATGAAATCACCTTTTCTCCACTGCTAGGATGAAGTCGTTGAACTCTCTGAATGGAGTCCCTTTTCCCCACAGTCCCAGCCTGGTCATGTAGGCCATGTTTTTGGGTTCAGAGGCACCTAGAAATTTCATTCTTTTAAGCAACTGCGCCAAAACATTTATCAGATTGCAGGCAAAATATCAACTTGAACGACTTATTTTCTAATTAATTTCAATTTCCAAGGAGATAAACCTTTTTAAATAAAACAAAATCATCATAACTCACTGAAACAAGAGACACTTTTTACATTTCTAACAGCTTATTTGAGTTCTTACAAGATCAGTGAAAGAAACATCTCAGTATTCATAGTGAACAAAACCAGTGTTTTTAAGCAGATTTTTACCTGTGGCACTAGCATAGACAACTCTTGCTTTGGGAAGCCTATTCTGGAGTTCCAGGACAGCCATGCCTGTCTTGGTAGGCTTGGAGGAGCCCACTGGGACTAAATTCTTGGCTTTGTGACATTCATCAAAGACAATCTAATATATAAAAATGTCTGAATGAGATTTATCTTCAATTTATTATTTGATGTTCATTCTGAAAAATCTACTGAAACTAGTTTGTAGAACAAAACTTGAATGGAATTTATAAAAATGTCTGTACATTTAGCACAGTACATCAACAAACAAGAAATGTTACTTTTGGTATAACAAACACGCTTTGAGTGTCAGACCTACTAACCATGACTGATTTAATTTTCAAAGACCAATAAAAAGTTGCCTTCAGTTGATTCAAGTGATCTGCAACAATTTTAAGACTGCCAGTCAGTCCAGAAAAAATTCCTTATTTTGAGCAAATACTTCATAATTGTGAGTCTGAATGTCTTGCTGTTTGAAAACTTTTCAGCATGTCACTATAATAATCATTCTTTCATAACAAAGTGGAAATAATTTTCTATGCTCTTTGCCAAAATGAGTACATGTAAGCATGAGTGCAGTGATTGGTCTTACTCACCACCCCATCAAAGTCCAGTCCACACCAGTGCAGAAGCTGTTTCATCCTCGTGTTGTACTTGCCTTCAGACTGGCTCTCACCAATCAAAGAGGAGTAGGTGGCAAATATCACACCTTTCTTAAACTTGGAATTTTCACTGGAGGTTAGTTTGGCATATTTGAACTGAAAGTGGCAGATATATGAAGTTCAAAATGGCACCTAAAATTTGTACATTTTTGTATATATTGATGATATAAAAATTCAAGAGTGATCTTAAAATATTATTCAAAAATGTAACAAATCAACAAATTACCTTGTTCAATGCTACAACATCTATCTTTGATGCTCCGATGTCTCTCAAATCTCTTTCAGCATCCACTCGTAAATCATTAGACACACTCAACCTGGTGCAAATAGTGTGATATTTATCAATGGTTTTGTGTTTTTAAAATACTGGCTTCCAACAGCAACAGTTATTCATGGTAAATGCATTTAGTGATTCAGCACTTACTAGAATATTCAATTTAATCTTTTAATCTCGAAATACAAAAACAAATAATAACAATTATAATAATAAGTAAATTAATTTATCAAAAACTACACAGTACTGTAATGTAAAAAACAGCCTTTATTTTGTACATTGTTCAAGGGTATGTAGTTTACCATATTGCTCTCTTTCTCCCACGAATGTAATTTTCGTTAATAATTCCTGCTATAGTTCTGCCTTTCCCCACTCCAGCTCCATCACCTACAGTTAAAAGGATCACTTTGTCAAGCTGATAGAAAAGTCAATGCAGTTTCAATGGTTATTATGGCTTTACACTTGTCTTTCAGATTAATACTTTTCAATCAGCAATTATGACACAAAATTCTTTTCTAAGTAACACAAAGGAATAAAAGGCTTATTTCTATACCTATGAGAAAGCCTGCTCTTTCCCCATTGGGCAGGAATGTAGAATGCCTTTGACAAGCATATGTGACAGCCTCAAGCTGTAGAGCAGACAACTCTCCATAGTCTATCACATGTTCAGGAATAGCCAGAGTATAGTTTACATCTGGAGGCTCAACACTAGATAGTGAACTGGTCTCCACTACAGGGTCTGGGTGCTTGATACCAATTTTTACTGAAAAAAAAAAAGAAAAAAGGAAAAAGTTATCCACTCTGGAGTATAATGAAAAAATCATACACACAGTTCCCAAAAAAGATAGGATTAATTTATTAATGCCCCACAAAACAGTGCACTGACTTCAAAATAAAGAAAATCCTTTTTTGTCTCTCTCTTTCCTTGAAAAGATTCAAAATTAACAAATACATTTGAATGCTGAAGATGCTACTTAATTAGGCTTAAATTTTACATGTATTAATAGTTCACTGATAAAAAATGTAGATTATAAATCTTTGTGGCCTACATTTTTCAGGCATATAATCTGCGTAAGTTTCAGCGTGACCCAGTTCTTCATCCTCTAGTTCTGCTTCCTCCTCAATATCTACTCCTTGCTGAGCTGGACTAGAGGGTGCAGAGTAAGACTAGGAAAAAACAAAGTGTGCTCCTTTAAAGTATGCAGTTCTGTTTGGATGTGTTTTAATTCTAAAAATACCCTTAACGCTTCTGCAATGGTCAGATTCTCAGACAGACAAATAAACCTTTAAGGGTGATTTCTAAGTTACCAGGGTAATTTTGCATACAAAAGTATTAAATTAGCTTTCATTTTTTATACCTAATACTATTCATTTCATGCAACCACTATTCCATCCATACTCACTATAACTGGTGAAAGAGACTTGAGGCTTATGTCATCATTAGCCCACAACCTCGAGACATCTCTGTGAGTCAGTTGTTGTTTCAACACACTGCCACTGTTAGTTACAAACAGAGACCCACCATTGGACACAGAATTGCTCAGCACACTAGAACCAATCTGACCAGCATTCCCCAATGTGGTGGTAGCCAGTCCTATAGTATTCACAGGTTTAACAGATAATGCTGATTGTAACACAGTTGTATTTGGGTTGTTTAACTGCACAAGTCTTCCTCCACTGGTAGTGAAGGCTGAGTTAGTCACTGCAGGGGAGCTGATTTTCAACAATGACCCTCCTGTAGCTACACTCTTTGCTTGAACACCAGTAGATGGAATATGTAGCACCTTTCCATCGGGGGTCTGTAGTTTTACTGGTCGTGCACCACCTCCAGCACCCTGTGCATTCCGTGATGGTATGTGAAATACCTTATTGCCTACTGATAAAGTAAGTCCTCCACCTGAACCGCCACCTACAGTTAACTTTTTCTCTCCACTGGCACCAGGTTGTATGGAAGGCACTGCTGTGAGCTTTGGGCCTTGTGCTGTTTGCACAGTGGAGAGGTTGTAGACAACCTTTTTTGGGGGCTGGATCTGAGAAGTATTAGTCAATGTCTGCTGCAGAACAGTATTGTTTGTCCTCGATATAACTGGTGTGCTGACTTGAGCAGAAAGTGGAGGTGCTCTTACTGGATGAATCTGTAATGGTACTTCTGTTTTTATTTCTGGTTTTATTCCAACAGATGATGCACTAACGTTCACTTCCCCAGCAGTCACAGTGTTTTTCGAAGCTGGTATGGAAGATGTTGCAGATGATGGTGGAGATGATGATGTCGCTAAGGTTGGTGCTATGGAGAGGGATGGAATTTTTTGTTCTTTTTGCACTTCATTTACATTGCTCGGAGTTGAACTGACTTCTTCTGATTGCACTTCCTTATCTTTTTCTGTAATGGACTCCTAGAAAACAGATTGCATACTTATGATTAAAAACATTAGTAAATTGTCACCAGTGTTTTTCTAGATTTCTGTGATTGAAGTTATAATAAGGACTAAAGTAAAGAGAAGAGCTTTATCTTCACTTATTCATGTATAAATTCACAAATACATATAAAAAAGTATGAAACTTACACTTAATGATTTGAATGGGATGTTGGTTGCTGAGAGCTGCTGTAGAGCCTGCGTAAATATGTCTACATCCCCTCCATCACCAAAGCCAAAACCAAACCCAGTGTTCTGAAATAAAAAGAGTCCTAACTGTAAGCTGATGTACATTTTTAGTTATTCTTCCAAAACAATAAATAATAGTTACTTTTGTAAATATGAAGAGTAATTTTATCACAAGTAAATTCAGTTTTGATAAACCAAACAAACTAAGAGAGAGAGAGAGAGAGAGAGAGAGAGAGAGAGAGAGATTACACAAAGATGATTCTCAACCTACAGAATCACTGTCCACTGTGTTTGTGCTAGTCGTAGCTGCTGTGGTTTGCACTGGCTCTGTAACAGAGGGGGTTGTTGTCAAACTGGTCTCGCTTATATCAGGAGACAATCCTGATTCATTGAGGACTGCTGACAGCAAGTCAAACCCAACCTGAAAGTGTACAGAAAACAAAATACATACCTTACACAATAAACTGTTATTTTTTATGTAGTACAGTTTATTATATATTTAAAAAGATACTAGTAACCTTGAATTCACAAAACAATACTTCATTGTAATGCCACCCCAGCACAGCCTAGATGCTAGCCATTTTTTTAGTTATGTGCAACTACATCTTTCATGCTTCATAAGTCACATAAATCTCAGGAATAGCAGTGTTAACTCAAGAATTTTATACTAAGCTGACACATGAAAACCACATATAACATATTTCTTTACATATTTTCATAAATATTAATTTTCAAAATATTCTTCTGAAACACTTTAGGCCTCACCTAGACTGACAAAATATCAGCATCAGACTATAGTTATTATTTCTCCACAGTATATTCTTTAGAAAGAATAGGTTAAAACATGCAACAGATGAAATCAGTTAAAGATAATTTGTGTTATGCCTAACATATCTAGACCTTTCATACAACACAAAGTATATTGGTGAACTGTAATTCCGCAAATACTGTAAAGCCAAAGCTGTAATTCCGCCAATATTGTAAGGTAATAACTACTCACTAAAAAGTTATTGGAATTCATCATTTTTGTATATATCCTAGTATGTTTGCTCATATAAAGTCGAGATGACTGAAAGGGGTGATTGAAAGGGATGAATGAACTGGTTAAATAACCATGTGGTCAACATGCTGATGCAGTGAGCCATTTTCCTGTCAATTTAGAAACGAAAGTTGAACACTGTTAGTGAAACTACAACTTAAGTTATTTTCTATAAAAGTTAAAATAATTATAACAATGATCACATTAAAAATAAAACGAAAGTACACATCTCTTGATGTGAATAAGAAGATGTTATGAACCTCAATCACGTTACCACCATTGTTAGTTGTTACGCCATATCCTAACAGTCACACAAGCGATAGTGTTATCAGTCACTTCTTGTTAGTTATGTTGCGTTCTTTCACTGCTGTCGAGTAGAGATTAGTGTTGTTTGAAAACTAAAAAATTGTCAAAACTTAAGACGCACAAATTTTAATTTACAATATTGTATCGAAAGAACAGTACTTTATATCACAGTCAAGACCGTCACACGACACTCAGAATCACTTACGTCTGTACTATCTGCCATTACATAAAGAGTGCTTTGGCAACACAATGCATTCTCACTTCCATCTTTGTAGTATCCCAGAATCCTATCTACACTTCAAGATTTTAGTCGATAGACGGCGCTTTAAAACAGGCACACTACAATGACGTGCAGCATTCAGAGCACGGAATCTTCCCAGCGTGGTTTCTGAAAAAAAAAATCACACCAATATTCCCCTCTTGAAATTAGAATTTTTGTCTAGCTGAATCATGGTTCTAAGCCATACCAAATACTACCGTTTGCCCTCCAAAATATCCAAATTTTTCGGGACTCAAATTTACGTCATAGGTTGCCTTCGCATCCGATACGAGGCCTGTCATTCCTAAAGAGACCGGACCCCCTTCAAATAATCCGGGATCCGCCCCTGAGGCCTAATCTGATCAAAGGCTTTGTACAGACTCTTCTTTTTGCCAATAATCTTCTTGGAAAGTAGATACTAATAAATAAAAAATAGGGGCTAATTGATAGTGAGATATTGTGAAAAGGATTTTCTAGTTTTTGAACATAAACTACTCGCAGATTTGTATATAGGCCTATGTAGGCCTATTCTTTTATTTTCTGCTAAAACTTGAAAAACAACTGTAAATTTGTCTGTTTGTTTGTGTAAATTCCCTAATGGTTAAAGCGCTTCTTGATGATTTGAACTGTACGTGTTTTATTTCTCATTCTACGATAGAATTAGCTAGAAATAACATTATTTAAATATGTTTTGCACACATTTAGACGTAGTCATCTCGCTTTACCGAAATAGACCTATCTGTAGACCTACTCATTGATCTGAAAATCAAAAACCGAATTAAGGTTTCTAAACCCAAAAGTCTTTTACTTATTAAACAACTGTATTTAATTTGTCTGTTTGTTTGTGTGACAATAAAGCGCTTCTTGATGATTTGAACTGTAGGGCGTGTTTTATTTCTCATTCGGGGCCGTAGCAATAGTCCGAAGGTTCATTGGTCCGAATGTTCGCTATAGAACCTTCGGACCAATGAACCCTTGATTAAAAAAAAAACGATGAAAAAGTTACCATTTTTCGGACCAATGAACCTTCGGACTATCGAGACGCCCCCTCTCATTCTACGATACAATTAGAAATAACATTAAATATGTTTTGTAGTCATCTCGCTTTACCGAAACAGACTTATCTGTAGGCCTACTCATTGATATGAACATCAAAAACCGAATTAAGGTTTCTAAACCCTAAAGTCTTTTACTAAAAATGTTCGTTAAATTAATTTTTTCCAAATTTTTATCCTTAGTTGAAAATATATCTTTACTCCGATATTTCATTCAATGTTCATAGCCTATTAACCCCTTTTAGCCCTCGTCATCAAAACGAACGGCAGCCATACTGGAGGGAGACCGGAATCGTCTGCTGCGCATGACCATGTCTACATGTACAATTTAGCATTTAATTTCTGTGTTTTCTTTGATATTAAACTGAGTAAAATGATGAATTACTGCAGGGTATATGATAGAGAGAAGATAAATAACTTTACAAGCGTTCACAGACTGCCTGCAGTGGTAACAATCCAAGGTGTAGGGACGAAAACCGTAAACGGAGGAGAAACTGAGGAGTGGCTTTGAATCAAGACTCATCGGACAAGTAAAGGATAAAACTAATTTATTTTACAGCAAAGAATGAAGACCCAGCTGTGCAGCCTTTAACATAAAAGAAAAAAAAACACAGTAGAAAACTAAAGACCGAGGTGTATAAGTTTGGAGCGCACGTACATTGCATGTTACTAGTGCCCAAAAAGTTTGGGTGGAGAGTGTGTTGTAAAAACGGGTACGTACGGATAAAATTTAGTCCCAAAATATTACACGTCCCTATACTCCCGTTACCGATAGATACATAAAGGAAAAACTGAAAAAACGTCTTTTTAGATTTAAATACCTATAGATCCAATTTTTTACTGCTGTCCTATATATTTGCGTTCCTATAGATACGACGTCCTCATAAACCCACGTCCTTTAAATCCACATACCTATAGATCCACGTATTTTGAGATCCAAATACCGATAGATCCATTACAGGTATGCTTTTGCTCAAAATGGTTGGTATAGGCCTACTATTCAGTACAAAAAATGCACTTCTTTAAAACGACAGCAGGCCTACACATATTAATCCTTTCAGCAATATATTATTCTACTAGCTCGTTTTCACACAATACTCAGTGAAAGAACATAAAAAGAACAAAAATGTGTTCTATATTTCACAACGGTTAGGCCTACTGTTTTAGCGTCAGAACACTGTTTAAAGCGTTCTCAAAATGTAACATTCGAACACNGTTGAACTTATGATTACACAGTAAACTCTCTAAAACTATAACTGTTATTACCCAATGAACAAGAAAAATGAAGTACAAGATAACTGAACTAGCTTCTGACAACATTCCACGATGTTGGGATACAGGGGCAGGTCAGGACTGTCTTGAGTTTATATGGGTCGATCACGCTGATCAGCTGAAGTTTTCACATGTATATACTATTTTCCTTTTGGTGTACTTGATCACGATATGAAGATTATTTCATTTTATTTGGTTCACCTATATTTACGCTACTATTCCCCGTCGTTCTTTCCCTCCAGAATGGCCGCTGGACGAGTGTTACGGAGCAAATATGACGTCACTGTAATGGGTTAATAGTTCTGAAAAGTTATTACAGTTATTATTATGTCAAATTCTCATTGGTCCGAAGAACTACTGGTCTGAAATTATCTACCTCCCTCCAGTCCATGTTGACTCTTGTTTTGCCTTCCACTGCGCATAATAAATACGCCGACTAAGAAGTTAGTTAACATCAAAAGCAGTAGAAAAACACGAATATTAATGAAGTGAGATGCATGCCTTTACTTTTTGTTACTTCTACATATAGAATTCTTGACGCGTACGTTCCGTCATACTTCAATTATTCTCTGCTTTTCCAATAACATGACGGATGAACATTTCATTGCAAATTAAGGTAATTTCATATTTGTGCTTTAAAAGAAAGGTGAAAATCATAACATATAGATCAGATATTTTTTTCTTTTAAAGTAATGTCCACAATATGAAGTAAACGACCGTTTTGAAAATATAACAGCCTTCTTTTATCTTAAATTAAAGTTCGACTTAAAAAGAAAAAATAAAATAAAAAAAAACATTCGGCTCCATTCAAATTTGATAAAAAATAAACCTTCAAAACGACAGCTCTGAACCATAGTATGACCACTCAAGGAAGTTAAATAGGGCCTATTACATCGGAGTGCATTCCCAAAGATTTAATTAGATCGATTTAGATCGATCCATCCGGATGTGGGAATGGGGTCTAACTCCTAGGGCCACTGTGCCTTCGAAACTAGGCCTCTAAATGAAAAAGGAAATGATACATTTTTGTAGAAAGTGAAAGAAGATCGGATGTATATATTGGAACCGGAAAGAAAGTGAAGCGCCACTACTGCCACTTATCTATTAGAACATTACAGAGTTCGTTTGTGAAACTTTTGCTGTTTGGCTTTTTGATGTTATGGTAATACTGTACATGTACAAGGTGCACTGGTAACCGTTCGTTTGGCTTAAAGATGCATACAAAGTCAATTTTTTGTCACAAAAACCAACCAAATGCCAGCATATAGTTTCAAGTAGTATAACTAAGAGAATTACCAAAAGGCATTGTTTAATTTTACCCAAAAATGATGTTTGAACGGATTTTTCTGCTGGCATACTAAGCTGTATGTCAATGGGACAGGAAAGTAGGTCACGAAAGTAGGTTAAATTTACAACCAAAAATTTAAAGAAAGGAGCAGTCTAAAGGTCTTTTATGGCTGATCGAGTGATCTATTCAGTTTATCCCTTGGCACGTCGAATTTATTTGAGTCATATAAGAAGCTAGTAGAAGTGGTTTACATGTGTTACTTGGAATCCACGCTCCACCGATGCTCGGTGCGTATGTACCTTTAAGTCAAGAAAAAAAGAGTGTTCTTAAACCTGTCGGTTTATTGGGTAATTTTGAATTTAAAAAATCGACTTATGTTCTGCAAGTGTTACCCTTGACATTAGGAAAAGTTTTTCATCAATTTTCGTGCCATAATTATGTTGGATCCTACTCGTAAAAGTAAAACAGGCCAACAATAAATTTCAAAGTATTAGGAAAGTTTTATTAAATGTGTCAAATATTTGAAAACTGTTTCTAATAGAACTATATTATATAACCCAGTAGCTGAGCTTCTGCTACAGTTAATTTTCACCAAACAACACTGTTTCTAATGAGATAGCCAAAAAATAATTTATGTTGATGACATTCAGGGCTTGTCTCTACTCAGGTTTTAATATTCACAATAAGAATATAAATAAATAAGCACAATTTTGAAGTTCAATTTTTTATAATTAATTAATATGGAATTGGATGACACATACTAATTTTGAAATAATTTCCCTGAGTATTTCTCATATCACTCAGAAAAAAAAGTTGGCTAATGCTTATATTAATATCAGAACAGCAAAACCAGAAAAAGTTAATCTTTTTACATTAAAATTGAGCTTTTAGTCATAAAATTCCATCTTATATCACAAAATGTACTTAATTTGACTAAAATATTTTGGAAAACAAGCCAGCATGAGCCCATACAATATCATGTGTGTTCCAGATATTCATTAAAACTGCATTCTGATGATTGTACATACACATACAATTAAGTAGACTAGTTATTATAATTTTGATTAAATGTAGTAAATGTAAAAATATATTCTTACATAAAAAAACTTAAATAAATACTAATACAATATTTGAGTGTTTTCAACAAAATTACTAATGGCTCAGCAAGCTACAAACACTATACTATCATCCTAATATATAATACTGACAATTTTAAATAGATCTTTACTTTAAATGCAAAATGGTAGAGATCTTAAGTAACAACTATGTATAAATGTAAAATGATTAAACTGCTTTGAAATACAACAAAATTAGCCTATGAGACTAAAAATAAACAGGTAATTTTTGTCTTTTAATGTTTCAACCTTTCTGATTCAAAACTACTACATACTTCATTCAATTCTAATTTGTAAAATAAAAATAGTATTATACTAATATGGAGTCATCTTAAATTTGATTTTGTAACATACCCACCAAAACATATTCTTGTTATTTTGACCTCTTGGCCTTAATTTTGCTGGATTCAATCTCAGAGAACAACTCACTATCAAGGTTTCACATCTCAAAATGGTTATTCAACTGCGCTTTCATTCTATCACAGTCACTTTGGAAACACTCCTACTTTGTGACCTTTACTTTCAGCAAACTGCTTCATCAGATAATCCTGCTGAGTAAGTTGTTTTTCAAATCTAGCACACAGACTTTTCATTTCTTTTATACTCTTATCTTTGTCCTGTATAAGTTTGTTTGATTTTTCTAATTTGGATTCTAATGTAGAGCAGTTATCACAAGCACCCTAAAAATAGAGAGAAAAATGAAATATGAGATCTTTTTACAATCATACCCTTTTAAACCATTGTACCACAGAATATTTCAACTGAATAGTTTCTTAAATTGATATTACTACTTATGTATTCCTGAAATTATCACTGAAACCATCCAAACAAGACCACGAGCATCAGTTAAAAAACACAACAACAGTATAAAAATTCATACTCACAGATGGATTCTTTTTGGATGATCTAAGCTTTAATCTCAGTGTGTCACACTCCTCCTGTATTCTGCTCAGTTCTTTGGTCAGTTCATCAAGCTGCTGTTGGCGCTCCCTGGAATTTATTAGAACAACCACAAGGTATTAACTTGTTACTTAGGATATAGACAAAACGGCTGATAAAAAGTTAAATAAAAGCTTATATATATTAATGAAAAAATAAATCCATTAACCCAACCAAAGTGACACAACAACAAATGGCGAGTTTCCTTTTTTTAAATTTAGATTACAGTCAGGTTAACATCCGGGTTCAAATCAAGAATCAAATGCAACTGTCTTCGCTATTTAGTATAAAACAGTTAAACATATTCCAGCCCTTTGAAAATATGCACGACCATGTATTACCATGAATTCCCTTTTAAGACATCTGCCATTTGTCTCTTCATTTTGTTCAGTTTCTCATCTTTGATTTCAATTTCCTTGTCTTTTTCTGCTTTGATTTCAGTTATTTGATTTTCATGCTATAAAACAGAAAAATGCAAGTGCTAATATTTTGATAAAATACAAGAAGTCACCATCACTAAGTAAGGTAAATAAGAGTGATTGATTTATTTAAATAAGTATTGAAATTGGTTGTGATTTCAGTATTGTAATATTATCATACATATTTTAAATGCATTGTATTATATACAACAACCACTGACAGGCACAATTTATGCAATTTGTTCTTGAAAAATAAAAAATTTCCCAGTCCAATCACCTGTTTTCTGCACAATTTTTACTGACCATCACTAATAACTGAGATTCAAACTCAAAAACACTACTGATTTAAGCCATAATTATATGAATGGTTAGAACCTTTTTTCACATTTTTACTTGGCCTAAAAATGCAATTGGTAAAGTCGTTTCATTACTTCAAAAGAATGAACCATCTTCAGGATTAAGTACAAATTTTATGTCAACAAACCCCCTAAAACAGTCTCTAAAGATAGAATTAGTTAGCTCAACTTTCTTGTACATATTACATACTTTGGATATCAATTCTTTTATTTCCCCATCGTGTTTTTCTTTTAATTTTGTGCAATTTTCTTTTTCCTGTTCTAAACGCTCTTCAATGATCTTCAGGTGATCTTTTGTCCTTTGGTGAGCAGCTTTTTCCTGTTCTAAGAGGTCAGTGAGGTCTGCTTCCTACAATATATAAATTCCTAAAAATGTGAATATTCCAAAGATACAAAAGACTTCAATCTAAAATAACTAGTACCCTCGTTGCATACTTCAAAAATACAAACAAATGCATGTATGCCACATAAACATGTTAGTACACACACACACACACACACAGTGAAATGAACTTTGTTTAGAATATTTTCACTTGTTTTCTTTGTTCATAAACTGAAATTTTCACCAATGGAGACAATTTTTTTCAAATGAAATTGTCATAAATCTAATTAATCTGCACTAAAGTCCCTGATTGTAAATTATAACAAGTAAAAAAAACGTAAAAACACACACACACACACACACACACACATTTTTATACAACTCAAGATGATTGTGCTGGTAGTGCACCAATATGAATAACAAAAATCTCAATCAATAAAAGTTGCTTTTTCACTTATTACACTTAAAATCCACAATAAAATAGTCAAATAACAATGGTTGTTATTTGGGTTATCTAACTATCCGAGTTTTAGTATTTGCATTCCTTAAGCACAGTGAATTGCAATTTCTGGGTCATTTAACATGAAGCAGAAACCAGATAGCATCCACTGTTTACACTAAGAAAATGAACAAACATCTTTATAAACTAAACCCATTGATAAAGAATTGAATGTGAGCAGTATGACTTGATGCAAGCTTAACAAAAAGAAAAAAAAATTAAACTGAATGAAATAATTCAAGTTGTTGACAGGACAAAATTGACTTAACCTGATGCTGAATGGAGGTAGATGCCATTAAAATATAAAATTTCAATTTAAAAAAGAAATTCATAAAATTCACTGTTATAATTCAATTAGGAAACTCAGTTTAAATTTAAACAAGTTACAGCAGCAAACTATCATTTTTTGAAACTACATTTTCAAAACACAGTTCCTTAGTTCACATAATCAAAAACCAATACCTGTCTTGATAATTGTTCCTGAAGCTCTTTAATCAGTGCTTCCTTTTCTGCAATCAGTGCCCTGAGTTCATCTATGATTTTCTGCAAATCCTCTATTTTCTGCTTTAATTGTTTTTCTCTAGACTGCAAGTAATAGTTGCATCAGAAATGAAAGATTCATGCATTCCAAGGACAAAAAAATCTGTTCTGTTTTACTACAGCAACTAAAAATATTGTTTCAATATTGATGTGGAAATTATTAGATAACTCACACCTGTGAGCAATTTGCATTTGTGAAAACTTCAGATTTTTATAGTGCAGTGATTTGCTTTGTCATAACATAGATACTGCCTTAAAGAGTTGGGAATAGTAATTATTACATAAATCTCACTCCCCACATCATGTTGTATCTCATTGGCTTAGTTTATTTAATTTAAAAAAATCCATACAGATTATTACCAAAGCCTCCTTGAGTTCTTTGGATGCTTTATTTTCTTGAAGCTTTTTGTCCTTCCCATCATCACTTTTGCCTCCTCCAGAATTTGACCTAGGACTGGCATTAATTTTTTTCCTGGGTGATGGCGTTTTCTCTACCACTGGTTTCTCTTCCTTATCTGGACTGCTACGAGGAGGGGGAACATTCATTGCACTCCCATGCAGCAAGTAGCCACCTCTGATAGATGGGAATTTTGGAATAGATTCTGCCAAGGCATTGTTATAGTTTACAGACCCAAGTGGTCTCATTTTCTTTGTGTTAGACATGATGTTTTTCTACAGCTACTGTAATCTTTCCCAGCAAACACATGTACTGATTTATCCTGGTCTATGTAGTTTGTTCCATTGAAAGGGAATTGTAAAGCTGAAATGAAATATAAACTAATAAAAGAAAGATATTAATTGTTCATTTTTATTCCTACAGGAGAAGATTGTGTAAATAGCATCATACTGATTTTTTCTTTTTTTTTTTTTGTGTGTGTGTGTGTGTGTGTGTGTGTGTTATTTTGACAATATCATGGTTTTCTAAACACAGCAAGCTAACAAAGAAATGATATATGTACAGTGTGCCCAGTAAAACGAACACTTTTTCTTTATAGTTTTTATATACTGTATTTTTTTACATTCATAATAGCATTACAGTGAATATAAAATGTAATTAAAGGTGCTTAAATACTGATTGTGATTATTTCAAATATTTGGACTTGGTACATGTATAGATACTTAGTACACCATTTTTATTTAATTCCTATTTAACTAGAACAAAGACGTCCGAATAAATAGAGGAGGCATGCATTTAATTGACAAATCCACCACAAAGACTGACAGAAACTTGGTGACATATTGCGTGGTCATGATACAAATATTTTTACAACAAGTGACTGGGCTAGTTTGCAAACTCCCTGACCCTGTCACAGCGTCAGTGTCAAACGTGAAGTCAAAAAATATATGAAGTCGACTTCTTCTCTAATGTTCGGGAGAATTTACCATTAAATGTAGCATAGCAATGCTATCACATCGTTTGGCATAAACAAAAAGACTAAATGACACTTACCTAGCTGCACATTAAACCTATTGGGAGAAATAAAAACAGCCAGCGACCAGGTAACTATGCTGGCAAGTCGAGGTCGTGTAAACAACCTCATATCCCGCAGCAAAGGTCACAAGGCAATGTGATTAGTTTAAAAATATTTTGTCGCACCTAACACATTCATGCACTTCATTACTTTTTCAGGTTGACGGTCATTTGGGGCAGGGTCCGTTTTCTAATGTAATCAATGTTATTTCCACGAAAAAAAAATTCCCCTACCGTGCATGGTTAATGTCACCCTTTTTATTCAAAATGCTCTATAAGCTTTACTGAAAGAACAAAATCTGTTTTACACACTGTTTGCTGTCAGCAGAGACTGGGCGTGTAGATCAAACCTGGTAAATTGATTATGGAATGCGACATTCGTATACATGTGTACAGTCACTGATTTCAACAATTGCTAATCTATATGTATATATATATATATATATATTTATTTATCTATTTATTTGTCTGTTCTATGTTCTAGCCACTAGTATCGTATTGTAATTGATTATACCTTTATGTGAAGGTGTTTGTCAATAAAGAATCTGAATCACACCACTGTATGCATACCTTTCATGTCATTTGTTATGCCAGTCCAGTAAAATTTTGCTATTTTAAACTTTCAATTAAACTATTCATTATTTATCAAAATAGTTGCAGCGAAAAAGGATTAAAATAGATGTAGTTTATAACTAGGGCCCATCATGTTAGTTTAGTGGGTCCTAGTTTATGATTAACACAACAAAAATTGTAAACTGGGAAATATATTTTTTATTAATTTAACAATAACACATATCTTTGTACACAACAGGTGAATGTGGTTTAATATACACATGCAAATGATTAATTTTTCTAATTAAAGCTCATTTTACAGTGAGTAATACTACATGTACATCAATCATAATGAAAGAAATGGTCCTTTCTCTTTAAGAGGTTTTGATACAAAAAGACAATGACTAGGGGGTCTATGATATAAAAAAAGGAGGGCCCTAACATCTGTTTCAAGGATGTGTTCACAACCTTCAACAATCAATACACTAGTGAGGCAGAATTTCAGTTTCTTCATCTGAGTGATGCACCATCTACAATAGAAAGTTTGACAGTTCAATACAATAAGGAAGTATTTGTGGAAGAAGTTTCCTCCTAACAAAAGCATTAAGGAACTGATTGTAAGCTTTAAAAAACCTTTCACATTTCATCCTTCACTGGTCAATATAATTTTGAGATAACCATAATGTTGAAATATCAAAAACTTGAAGTTTTTACTGTGATCTTGTTTTCCATTTTCAAAAACATAATGCAATTAAAATATTTGCTCAAGTACAGGTATCTACACAGTTTACACTTTGTACATAACATGACTAGTGATACTACTTTAGCTAGATGAAAGTATTATGCAGGAGACACAGTTTGAGTCAGTTTCAAACGTGATGTGCTATCTTAATTGAGCATAAAATCACTTTAAACCTGCAAGAGATGCAAGATATCTTTGTAAATTCTTACTTTAATGTTTCCTTTTTCTTTGCAACACGCAATAAGATAACCCTGTTTCATACAATTGTACATGCAAGCATTGACATTGTGTTCTTCTCACACAAAATTAATAAAACAGGTATACCTTTGGCAAGGTTCTCGATTTCATAGCTACACTGAGATCAAGTTTGAGCAAAACTTTCTTTTTACAATGTCTTGGATGGCAAAAAAAGATGAGGACAATAAAATAACAGAGTGCTTTTTAAACAATTTAGAAGTGAATGACCTCAAATCTATTGCTGTTGTTTTTTCAAGCTGGCAATTGCAAACCAGAAATAAAAGCTACCATTTTTTATGATAACATGTATTGAGAAGATGATATTATCCCTACAGAAATAACAGTTTTACTCTGGGGTTCCAACGGTGTACAGATTAAATTAGAGATTTGCTAACAATCATAATATCACAGACACACAGGTGAACCTATCATCTGGGAGTACATCTTCTTTTTGGGCTGTCTTGTAGCTACCACTAATGAAGGTGGTTACTCCACGGAAACCTCTGGACCATGTGTTACCTAGGTGCTGCGACCTTTGGTTTCTTTTTCACTTTAGGTGGTCCTCTTTGTGCCTCTTGTGTCAGATGCTGATAGTCCAAAATCTGTCCTTCTAACTGTGCAAGTTCTTGTTCTAATTTCTGGTTCAGCTGGTCTTGAGGTAGATCTAAAAAAATATCAAAAACATTTCTGAACAATCAGTTTCAGTGCATCATATAACATCAATCTGATAGGAGCAAAGCGCATCAAAGGTGAGGCTTCTGAAGCTATTTTGTTCACTTGCAAGAAAAAGAAAAAAAAACTTACTGGGTATGTTAATACATTTTCAATAAATATATAAGATCAACTGCAACAAAAGTTTGTCCTCTGCAGGTATTGAACATTACAAAAAACATACCTCGCTCTGGGGATGCCTTATGTCCTGAGGGTGATGTTGAAGTCTTGTTGGTGTCTGCTTGTGAAACAGAAACAAAAATAATCAATTTCAAAGAGCAAAAAGCAAAGAGAACAAAAAAGGAGTTAATCTTCAAGCTATCCATTACTTTACCTAGTAAACAATTATTTAATAAATACCTTTGCTTATCTTTTTCCCAACTTTTCTCCCATCATTTCTCAGATCTGGAGCCCCTTGCACTTCACTCTGTGATCCCCTTGGTGGAAGAGATTGTGGAGGAACAGATTGTGGAGGAACAGATGTTCCACTATGACTCATAACAGGGGGAGGACCTTGAGAGGGTCCTGGAACAGTCCCTAGTGGGGGGCCAGAATTCCAATAGCCAAAGGAATCATAGTTGTTTCTTTGGTAATCTTGATACTGCTGCCTAGGGATTTTATCAGCCCCTCTTTGACCATGATAGCCATAGTTATTTGGACTGCCACCCTGATGTGGATTCTGGACATTAGCAGGTTCCTGGTTTTGTTTTTGCTCCAACTGCTGCTGGAACTTGTCCGAGTATGAAGTAGGTGGTTTTGTCCGACTGGAAAAAAGCAGCAATAAAAGGGTTAAATATAGGTTAAAATGTATCTGTATAAAATGAGGAAAGGTGGCTAAGTGAACAGCCCTTTAAATGACAATACATTTAGAGTACTGTAAGGGTTTATCATACAGATATGAAAAATAAGGTTTTTCCTGTGCTTACAGTATCCTTAAATCTTATCTTTATATACTCAAACTAATATTATTCTCATAAAGCCATGTCCAAAATATCTGATTGACATCCCCCCCCCCCCCAAAAAAAAAAAAAAGAAAAAAAAACTTACGCCTTTGGAGCAGGTGGTAGCCTATGTGGTGGCCTGTTTCCTGGGTGAGGAGGTGGCAGTGGATTGGGGTGTTGTCGCTGTGGTGGAGAATACTGGTATCCATTAGGACCACCAGGTGGCACATCATATGGATTACCTCCGTGGTGGTTATTGTATGGTAAAGGGGGCAGGTCGTTTGGCTGAAATATGATACCGTTTGGATTAGATATAACTAGATATGTTCTTGATACAGATTACTTAATGCATAACCTTAAATCAATCAAATTGGCTTAGACCAGTTATCCAACTCAATTTAGATCATAAATGGTTTGCTCTTTAAATCTATGGTTCAGCACTTTTTTAAAGNGTAAAATGGTTTTCCACTTATCGTGTTATCGGTAAAAGTGCACGGCGACGGCGACGACGGCGACGACGGCGACAGACGCAGATGATGGCTATATGTACAGACACATCTGTGTCTGTACATAAAAACTTACTGGGTATGTTAATACATTTTCAATAAATATATAAGATCAACTGCAACAAAAGTTTGTCCTCTGCAGGTATTGAACATTACAAAAAACATACCTCGCTCTGGGGATGCCTTATGTCCTGAGGGTGATGTTGAAGTCTTGTTGGTGTCTGCTTGTGAAACAGAAACAAAAATAATCAATTTCAAAGAGCAAAAAGCAAAGAGAACAACAAAGGAGATAATCAACAAGCTATCCATTACTTTACTTAGTAAACAATTATTTAATAAATACCTTTGCTTATCTTTTTCCCAACTTTTCTCCCATCATTTCTCAGATCTGGAGCCCCTTGCACTTCACTCTGTGATCCCCTTGGTGGAAGAGATTGTGGAGGAAGAGATTGTGGAGGAACAGATGTTCCACTATGACTCATAACAGGGGGAGGACCTTGAGAGGGTCCTGGAACAGTCCCTAGTGGGGGGCCAGAATTCCAATAGCCAAAGGAATCATAGTTGTTTCTTTGGTAATCTTGATACTGCTGCCTAGGGATTTTATCAGCCCCTCTTTGACCATGATAGCCATAGTTATTTGGACTGCCACCCTGATGTGGATTCTGGACGTTAGCAGGTTCCTGGTTTTGTTTTTGCTCCAACTGCTGCTGGAACTTGTCCGAGTATGAAGTAGGTGGTTTTGTCCGACTGGAAAAAAGCAGCAATAAAAGGGTTAAATATAGGTTAAAATGTATCTGTATAAAATGAGGAAAGGTGGCTAAGTGAACAGCCCTTTAAATGACAATACATTTAGAGTACTGTAAGGGTTTATCATACAGATATGAAAAATAAGGTTTTTCCTGTGCTTACAGTATCCTTAAATCTTATCTTTATATACTCAAACTAATATTATTCTCATAAAGCCATGTCCAAAATATCTGATTGACATCCCCCCCCCCCCCAAAAAAAAAAAAAAGAAAAAAAAACTTACGCCTTTGGAGCAGGTGGTAGCCTATGTGGTGGCCTGTTTCCTGGGTGAGGAGGTGGCAGTGGATTGGGGTGTTGTCGCTGTGGTGGAGAATACTGGTATCCATTAGGACCACCAGGTGGCACATCATATGGATTACCTCCGTGGTGGTTATTGTATGGTAAAGGGGGCAGGTCGTTTGGCTGAAATATGATACCGTTTGGATCAGATATAACTAGATATGTTCTTGATACAGATTACTTAATGCATAACCTTAAATCAATCAAATTGGCTTAGACCAGTTATCCAACTCAATTTAGATCATAAATGGTTTGCTCTTTAAATCTATGGTTCAGCACTTTTTTAAAGTTTAATTTTATTAATGAAGGACAAATGTGATTAAAGTGCATTGTTTAACTTTTTTATCATCAGCTGATAAAAGCTTTTTAGAAGTACTTTATTTCAAAAAGAATCAAACCATGAAAAAAGGAATAAGGGAGTAATGCACTTCCAATTCACACCAAATACTTTTAAAAATCAATGTCAAAATTAAAGCACATGGAAATTTCATTTCAAATAAAAATACCAAGTCTTAATTATATCTTTTAAAAAGTACGAGTTGTACTTGTTTTATGTGCCAACACTGTGAGTTCTCTTTACAGCATAAAATTGTATGCTTTAACTTACTGGTATAATTGGCTACAATGGTAAAAAACACAAAGTTGACTAAAATCACATACTGTATAAATACTTCTCAAAAATGAGCACCATCTTCATGCAGACATACAACTAATTGGTTCAAAGTCTTTGAACATATAATTTTGTATCTGCTTGTCCACAATTGCTACCATGTACTATACTTCTTCCCCCCCCCCCTTTTATTTGACTACTAATTAATATCAATATTAGGAATAAAGAAAGCATATTCCTACATATGAATACATAATCAAAATCTTCAATCCCAACTTACTGATGATCTCGACCTCCCATGTAACTGGTACCTGTCCCCCTGTGCTGGGGGTGGTGTGTACCAGGCATCCCTGGGGTCACGGCTCCGGGCACTGCTCTGAGAGCTGGGGGAATCATACCAGTATTGCTGCCGAGACTGAGTAAAAAGAAAGAGGGAAAGAAATAAAAATAAGCAGGAGCATAAAAAACTGAAGAATAAAGCAGAATCAAATACAAACATAGAAAATGGTAATGATAAAGTAAATAAAAAAGCATAGTGCACTATAGTAGGAAATAACAAAGTTTTTTTATACTCCACCAAAAGATTTAGATAAGTTAAATAATTAAAATACACTAGATAATTAATAAGAAAAACTCATCTTGCAAGATTCGCCTCAAAATATAATGCAGTTATAAATAATACAAGCTGCAAAAATACAATATATAAGTGTCGATCAAATTACACTGCAATAAAATTTTTTTTCTTACCTGATAGTATGGTGGTGTTTGCAGAGGAGTGCTGTCATAGGAAGGAATCCAGTCATAGGTTGATCTCTGTGAATATCCAGATGACCTGGCACTGTACAGGGACGGGGATCTTGTCATTATTCTGAGAGAAACAAACAGACACAAATATCAAACACATGGAATACAGCATTGAATACATGTTGTAAAATGGTTAACATGTAACTTAGACACTATAAAATTCGGTAAAGTGAAAAGCAGCATGCAATAAAAAATTATTGGGACCACAGAAAAATGAGTTATTATATTTTTATTTTAACCAAAATACCATAAACGTTCTGTTTGAGGTGAAAGACACCAAATGCCTACCTGTCAAGCTGCTCCAGCTTCCTTAGTAGTTTTTCATTTTCTCTTGAGAGCATTTCATGTTCTCTCTCAATTTTATCTTTGCCTGAGTGGAGACCAGAGTTCTGTGACCTGATAAAAAATTAACACTTTACGATTTGAAGGAAAATTCAAATTTACATGGAAAAGTGCAACAATGCAAATTGTCTAGCTTTGAAGAGAAATGTAATTTCATTGTAGGTGCTCACACCATTCAAACAAATTTTTATTATTTACCTAGCCTTCATAAAATGATCATAAGGCTTATAAAATAATGCAATAATTATCATTTAACATACCTGAGTGTTTCATTTTCTATCATGTACTCTTGCAACATCTCATAAAGTCCATTGTCATTCAGTGCAGCACTGGTGTCACTGAGTATGGAGTCCTGTTTGGGCACTGCACCACTGGCACCTGTAGGGTTTACTGCTGCCTCTTCGCGGTCTTTTTCAAGTTTCACTGGAAGTTTGAAACCAAATATTAAAAAAAAAATTTGAGTATGTGCTTAAGAGACCAATTCTTGATTACTAAAATAATTTCTTGTCTCAAAACAAAATTATCCAAAAACACCTGGAAAAATCACTACCCTGCAGGTGAAATGTTTTTAATATAAAACAAGTAATTTACAAGAATGAGAAAATCTACCAAATGTTTTACAGTTTGGGTAACAACAGATTACATGACAACAGAATAAAACTTCAATGACCTATTATACAGATACTGACACATTACATCACATGACAAGCTGAACTTTTCCAAAATGCTTTTTAGCACATCCAGTCAACACTAATAAAAATATATGTGCTTGAGGTTTTAAAAAATCTGTGATGCAACTGTCAAAGCATATTTTACAACATCTTAATGAGGTAAAAAATGTCCTCAAATCTTTTTATTGAACTAATGAATGCATGGGCAAAATACAAAGTTTCTCTTTATACCATTAAAACTACATTCTTGGGTGTGAAAAAAATTGGACTGAATACTATTATAGCATTACAAGAAAAGTAGTTCTTACTTTTAGTTGCTTGTCTCAGCAACTCCTTGAAACCTTCATCATTTCCTTTTGCTAATTTGCCCTTTGGTTTGTCGGGAAAATTTAGCTAGAAACATAAAACCGTAAGTAATTGCTAATGTACATTCAAGATCGTTTAAAATTGTTCAATGCTCCTATTTTGGAACAGACAATATGTAACTTTTGTGAGTTGTACTGTGCATCAATTAAGCTGCTTTAATAACAGTACATACAATTTTATCCAAAGAGTTGAATAAGCACAGAAGATTGGGTATAATTTTAATTTTTCCATACCTACAATGTAAACACTATGCCACAATGAAAGAAATACAGTGTGCCCATAATTTTTTTCCTGTTCTGTTCTCTTATTTGTTATGTGGATAGCTTCAACTTAGCAACCCACAAAGAATAAATATCAGGCAATAAAAAAGACATTTTTAATAAACCAACAACTTTGCCCTAGTCTCACCTGCTGTCTGAGATAATGGTTTTCCTGCCTGAGAACTTTCAGCTCCTTCTTTAAACTAATAAGCAAGCTCTCCCTAGGATCCTGAATAAGAATAAGTATCGGCTTAGAAAAGACCACAAAAAAGATTTTTAAATATTACTTCTAGGTTATGTTGATATAACCTTTCACGTGAAAAGGCCTTTGCATGAGAGGTCCAAGTGACTATTCTTTGTTACAGACTTTATTTCCATAAAAAGAGGTAGTTGAAAAACTTGAGATACCGACAGCTGAAATTTCAATATTAATTTCAGGCTCTTGGGTCAAAGTTAGCAAACAGACCATGTCATGGTTACAGTCTGGTGAGTTTGGCTATGATGTCAGACTTACAATTTGTACAACGGGCTTGTTCCTAATCTTCTTGGCTCTGTTAGCATACCTCAAAGTATTCATAGTTTCCCCAACATTTGAAGCTGAAGGGGAAATACAGGCGATCTGAAAAAAAAAAAGTTAACAATACACATCCAACTATTCAACAATACAGTAATGATTAAAGTTTTTTAAAAAAGACATATAATTGAAAGACTGAAAGTTAAGAATTTTGGATAGTATTACATTTTTCCTTTTTCATTTACTGAACAACTTTTGGTGAGGTGGCGTAAATTGTAAAACATTTGAGCATACAGGAAAAGTTGGTTGTATCAAACTTCAGGAACACCAGTTTATGCTTAACTGAGGTTAAAAGAATCATTTATGTTTAACTTAAATTCTCATAACCTTTCTTAGTACTGTATACATAATTCATGCAAGTAATCACCAAAGAGTTGAAGGTTATTCACTCATTTTTTATGATTTCTTTAGGAGATTTTACTGACAGGCATAATCTACTTCCATATAACAGTAGTTGAAAATCAACCTTCACAACTGGTAACCTTTGAAACTGTGCAAATTTCAAATAAAAACTTCCTTTCAGTCCTTTTTAAAGTTCTTCTATGTGCTCTTTCACAAAAAAGAAAAAATATTCTGTGCCCTATTACAAATTTTTGGATCAATCTAATGGTAAATTGTTCAAATAATATACAAACAGTCAATTATACACATAATAGTTTTGGGGATTAATCAAATTAATCAATTATAAATATCAGTTTATGCCCTGGGCTATTTTCTAATTCCTGAATTCAAATTACTACAGTAGAATTTCTATTCAATCCAGATAAAGAGCACCAACTTTCAATACTTAGCCATATCATAATTTGCAAGCACTTTTATGAATATTTATGACTTTTTGTGAAACCGATTACAACTTAACATATTTCTTTGAACTTAAAACATAATGTGACTGCTACATGTATTTGCAAAAAACATGATCAATAGCTACAAACAAAAGATAAAATGGCTAAAGATTTTTAGCTAATAATTCAGGCCTCATGAGTGGTAATTGCCATTTGTAACTTGGAGCTGCAGATTTGTGATTGCAACTGTCTAATTAATGACTGACTGCAACTTTGTGGTCCGACTGTAAAAATATTGCCAACCCAAGTACTATAAACTACAAACAATTAGGCCAGCTTTTATCTAGGTCTCTTGCTGTTTACAAATTAATGACAGTGAATTAATACTGAAGAAGTGTGAACTCTATAATATTAGACACACATGGACCTGAAAGGACAGGTGAGAGACTTGCAGTTTATAATGTAGTGCTCGCAGTAAGCATCCTTTTAATCAGACCATGAAATCGCAGTTTAAGTCATTAATTTGGCAATCACTATCATAAATCCATAGGTCCAAGTCACAAAAAGCAATTTCATGTGTTTGGGCCATAATCATGAATTTGATATTCATTGATGAAAACACGTCATTTGATTAGCATAATTTTTCTAATATCTAATGAAATGATTTGGAATAAGTAAACTTTTTATTTAAATCATGTTTGAACAACGGACATTTATGTTTACAATGAAAAATGAAAGATCAATTATATAATCTTACCATTAAAGCTACACCATTTCCCCCTAAACTGTCTGCCAGTAGCTTTGTCAGCTTGCTGTCCCTGTAGGGAATATGTCCCTGTCTCTTTTTAGCATCGCCCAAAGCAGATATACAGTTGCCTACAAAAAAGAGACAAAAACCATCCATCAAAACCTTGGTGAAATACTGTTCTCTGCATCTGGCATATTAACAAGTAAACTCTAAATATCTGGATCATTATTCCAACTTGCAGTGTGAAGAAGAAACAATGGGTTATCAAACTGAGATAACAAATTGTCTGGCAGTGTTATATATTTATATTTAATGTATAGATTTGCAAAGAAAAAAATATCTACATATTTAAATTGAGATATCATCTGTTGACTGCATACAGAACAGATGGACCATAATAACAATCATCAGAATGCAGGAGGCAAACAAAGTACAAACATACGAAAAGAAAAAAAATGTAATGATCAAATAACAAAGCAATGGGTTCCAACATGCAACTTTCTCTCTTACTGATTCTACTGGGACACTAAAAATATTTGGGTAGCATAAATTACACAATTGGGAGAATTGAGTCTCATGAAAAGTAGCAATGAGCCAGAAGGTATGTAAATAATTTCTTTTTGTATGAGGTACAAAAAGAAAACTTGTATTTAATAAAAGGAATAATTTTTTTTCAGACAATCTTTGGAAAAATTATGAATTATATATATTATTTCAATTTTTTCTGTGCAGTTTTTATGTCATAAGTGGGAAGAACTTGAAACACTTTCTACTTTGCCCAACCTAATGGAGTCTATTAATGATAACAAAGACTCACTTAACTCATTTTTGCCTTTAAGTATTTACGCCTAAAATCAATACCATGTGTAAACACAACCAAGGTATGAGAACATGATGACTGCAAGTCATTAATCTCAAGAATCATGTCACTTTATGGATGTTAAGTGGAATGACATCTTAATACTTATTTAGGGCACACTACACTCAGACTGTTCACAAAATGAGCGTATCCTAGCACACCTCATTTTTATTAATTATTGAATTCCAATTATCCAAATCTTGACTGATGATTGACTGACTTAACCAGACTTCAATAAGGGGTTACATAATTCAGTAGACCACCAGGAAGCTAATTCATCAAATAAAATGATATAATACTAATACCAACAAAGACAGAGTTCTTGGAAGTGAGAAATAATCTACAGTTGACTGAGCTAACTGCCATGAAGCAATGTAAAGTACACTGTTCATTTAATACTAAATGAGCCATACTTTTAAATCCACCTGCTCAGTCAATCTTTAATGAAAAGCTATATACCAGTGTGGTCGCTAAAAACAACATTTGTGTCTCAATAATCACGAGGTTTGATCTAAAGTAACAAATAATCTTACAGACTTACATGCTGACAAAAATTTCATTTAAATACAACTTAATAAGTCCAAAAATCAAACAGTTTCTTTCTAAGCATTACCATGCTGCATCACTGACCATTTTTTCAACCATAATAATTCACACACCCATGGAAGATAATCTTTTAAGTTTAATCTGTAAACTACTTGTCAAAAGCACATTTTTAAAAATAAATAGAAGTCAGTGTTTGCGGGGACCTTACTGGACAAAAACAGGGAAAGGACATTGTTGTACTGTATGGCGCCACTGTGTGATGTTTATGTTTACCCTTCACTTTAAGGTGTTACTCACCTAGCACCAGGAGACTCTTGTTGATGTTGTTGCTTTCTATCAACTGTTCACCTGAGGAACCAGAATCTTTCACCTTTTCACTACCTGTAACACATATATATAAAGGCTTTTATTCTTTTAAAACAATTACATACGTTATATAGCACTTTTTTATGCTCTAAAGAAATAAATAGGACATACATTTGCACTTTTTCTTTTCTCTATATTTATTCTGTACCCAAATTTTCTTGACCTTTACAGTAACTTTTTCGTTGATAAAAATATCAAACTTAAATATTTTTGTTTATCCCTTCTTAAGAGGCACAATTTTTATGTCCACTTAAACATCTAAAAACAGTCACACATTGTAATGTAATTTTTTCTCTTTATCCCAAAAAGCTTAAATGTTAAACTGGTTTTTACGGTAAGTTGTAATCCATATTCTTGGATGTAGGAATCAAGTATTCCAGTCATTATTCATATCGATCTAACTCAATACAGAAAATTTGCACACACACACAAAAGTTTGGTATCCAATTTCAATTGAATCATTTTTCTTTTTTAAAATTTGAAATATTAACCAAGTATATATCTAAACCTATATGCACACAAAATACCAAAGTGTTCTAGAAAAAAAAAACCTAAATGTGGATATCCTGCAGAGCAAATAGTGCAGGTGTGTGCACAATTACACCTCATCTTTCTCAAATAGACATATCACGGTGTCATTCAATAGTATAACTTATACAAATGAAACCTTTTAAAACATGCTAGGTTTCAGACAGTAGAAATCAATATGTGTTCTATTTTGCAGAGGGTAATACTTCAAGAGCAACTGTTCATATATTCTAGAAATAGCTCATATGATATTTTAAGAACAACTTTCAGGTCCCTTGATCGTATAAACAAAACCAACAATTTCAGAATTTAAGTAAGTATTATATATATATAACAACAGTTCCCATATATATATATATATATATATATATATATATATATATATATATATATATATATGGGAACTGTTGACAATTTTGTTGTTTGTGTCAACTTTGTGAAATTCCTGTAAAATCATAGCAACAGACATAGCATAATGCATTATCTACTAAAGGCATATATAGGCCTATCTAGGAAAAATATTGATTGTTTACCTGCTAAATCAACAAATGTCAACTTTCCATGCTTAGTGATGTAAATATTCTCATCACCGTCTGGTACTTCACTGTCAATCATTAAGGAGAGCATGCTATGGCTACGACTGGAGGTTTCATTCAGATTGTGTGCACCTACTTGCCTGTTTCGAAGACCTAGAAATTGACAACAATATAGACTTAATTACAATTAATTTTGCAATGATAGTATGTATTTGTTTTATCTTACTAAGGCAGTTTATAATCTTTTTAAAAATAAATCATGAATCTGCATACAAATGTGGCAACATAAAGTACATGTGATATACTGTTTTCAATTATATTTAACAATGATCATTTTAAAAATAGTCTAATAAGAATAAAAACTCAAAAGTTGACTTTCCGAAAATGTCCATTAGATAAGCAAAAAATATCTATCAAAATTTAATTAACAAAAATGTTTCATATTTGTGATAAATATCATCAAATGTGAACACTGATTGCAGATATCAAACACAACAGCAAATACATGTGGTTTGTGCATGCAGTAGTGGGGTACATTAGGAATGTTCAAATAAAGGACAAAGTCTAAGTGCAAGCAATTTAAACAAAACGGAGTAATGAATTATGAGCAGCAACTTTTCACAATGATAAAACATTTTCACAGTTCTAGCATTGTGTATGGGGCATAAGACATGGATTGAAAATGATATAAAGGCCCGTGAATAATTTTTATTCTTACCTCCTATACCTAATTCAGACTCATCAACATCTAGTCTGAATGGTCCTATAAGATCCCCATCATCTGTCCTTAAACATAAAATATAAGTCTCACTTTCCTCCTCCACTTCCTCCTCCTCCTCATAAACCTCCTCATTGACATCATTATCAACACTCCCTGATCCAACGGTTCCTAAACCAGGGTACCCTTCTGGCAGTTTCATGTCAGTTGGAAAATCAGATTCTTTTTCTTTGTCTGAATTTTCCTCTGTTACATCCTTAGCTACAGTATTCTCAAGTATACTCCTCAAAGGACTAAAGTCTGCATCACCGGCATCATAGGCATCTTGTCTCTCCAGTCGTCTGTACTGCTCACTCTTAAACCTCACATTTCTAAAGTTTTCCTTCTTGGCTTTATCTGTTCTGGTGGGGGGAGGATGGGTATCACTCCTTCTGTGTTTTAATATTGGTACACGAGGCCCTTTATCGTCTCCAGTGTGAAATTGTTCTGTGGCATTACTTGTTTCTTTGCTGGACTCTTTCAGTACATATAAGGTTCTCACTGGCCTCCCACTACTATCATCAACAGCACCTCCATTAGTTAAACTGGCATCTGACCCACTTTCATCCTTGAAAATATTCTGAGACTGCTTACTTTTGAAATCTTTTGGCAGTCGATTGAGTTTCTCCAAATAATGTCTGGCACTCAATTCCTCTAGTTCCTTGGAAAGCTGAGAGGTAACTTTGTTTGTGCCAACTTTATGGTTTATGGCAACTTTGTTTTCTCCGTCTCTATTATGTTGAACTAAATGAGTATTTTTTCCAGTGTCATTCTCCTCCTCATGTTCCATGTCATCTCCATTCTGTACTGGATGCCTCTGCTGAGCTAGCTGGCTGGTGTGGAGTTTAGGGTGGGGGGCTGGGTTATTTTGAACCTGATCTACTCCTTTGTTCCTCACCTCTGCCCCTACTAACTATTCTGCAGCTTTCCCCCACTGCTACTACTGACAACAGGATCTCCTGCTGTGTTGTTATTTTTGTGGATCCTGGTGTCAACTGCGTAATGCCCTCCTGGGCCTGTCATGTAAACACCTGGCGGCCTGACGTACTTCTCCAGCTGGTGCCCTTGGGACTGTTTGTTGTTGAGACGATTCAGAGTTCTTTTCTGCCTCTCTGAGGTAGGAGAAAGACTGCCTGACGGAGCAACAATGTATCTTTTATTCACTACATTACCCTGCTTGCTGGCCTGGTTTGACAATGAGGCCACCACTGTAGAGCGTTTGTTTTGTTTGTGCTTCTCTGACTTTAATAAATGCTGATCAATAGCCCCATGATTACTGTGACTTGTCCAGCGTGGTCCCTCTCTTGTAACTTTATCTGTGCCAATATTTTCGCTTTTCCCCGATTCAGTAGTAGCAGTAGTCATGGATTCCTTAGGGCCTCCTGCATTGTTAATCTGTTTTATTAATTGATCCTCATTCTGTACAAACACTTCAACAGTAACTGAGTGCCTATCTTTACTTAGATTGTGTGATTTAGTGCCCAAGGAACCCAGGTGCTTTTTATTACGGTCATTAGCCTTTTGGAGAACCATTTTTTTCACAGTCCCTGTTTTATCAGAAGTGCAGTTTTCTGAATTACTCTTATGCATCCCCGCATTCTGAAGCTTTTGGAGTAAAGTTTGGGAGAGTTTGGGCTGCTGAGGGGACTGCACAGAGGGGTTCCAGTGCACTGCTTTATTGATTTTTGCCATGGTGATCACTTCCATCTCTTTATTAGAGTTGATGCCAACTTCAGACTTTTTCATTTCTCCTCCCATTTTCCTGTTAATCATACTACATAAATGTTTTTAAATGTACAGCTAACTTATATTTGGTATAACCTTATTTTCATTACCAGATTCTAAGAATTTCACTAATGACTCAATAAAAATTGTGACAAATGGTTTGTCAGATTTAACTTTGTACAGTACGTGTGCCATTGTACCTTGGCCTTTAACACTCATATTTGGTTAGTGAAAATCATTAATTCAGTGTTTTATCCAACAAACAAAACAAAAACAAAATGTTGCAACAAAAAGATGCATGTACATATAGAAATAAAAATCTATACTCCATTACCTAAAGCCATTGATCAAACATAGCTGCATTAATATAATAATCTACTGAACCATTGTCAGAATAATCTCTGTTCATGAAGCTACAATGTGTACAGTATTGTGCTTATCATAAACACTAAAAATTGCAATTTTTTTGCCTTTAAATTCTATTGGTTATATAAACAATAAAAAAATTGTTGGACAACTGCTTGTACAATAAACAGAAGCATCACAAAAGCAAAACCATCTGAAGAAGTCCACACAGCATCAAAACACAAATGCTATCAGATGAATAGCTTTTCAATGGAATCACCACAGCTATAAGTAAGTCATAGGGATTGAACTACATTAGACTTGGAAATGAATCCTCTGTAATGGTTTTGCTTCCTGGAGAGGAAATCAACTGATTTCTATACAGTACATGAACTGGAAATTGTGAAAGAAATGGGATTGCCAACAAAAAATTAATTAGCGCCAGTTGCTGGATTACAACAATAAAACTTGTAAATGCACATTAAACATATGCCAGAAACATAGTTTGGCATGTTCAGATGAAAAATGTTTAATTCTAACATTGTCGATAGGAAAAAATAGCCAATAAACCAACATTAAATTTATGCTTGCAAGTAGGATATATGACATAAATGCATGTTTAATACATATGTTTCAGATTCTATATAAATCAAACTGCTATAAGTCCCAATTAATAGTCTGGTGATATTACAATTACTACATAATCTATATCTTTAATTTCTTCTATTCTTATTTTTTGTATTTGTCCCATTTATTCAATATTACAGAACTTCAGAATGCTGAGAAATACTGAATACATGTATCTACTTCTTACTTTTGTCCCTACTTCCATAAAAAATTCCCATTGCTGTTTGAATTATTACTTCCAACATCTGATCCATGCCTTTCTGTCCATTACCATATCCATTCGTTTCATGCGAGTGTATCAAGAGACTTTTGAGCCCCTCAAAAATCTGCATCAAAATATAAAAGCCTCACAGTACAATGTCCTCCTTTACTGTTAAAATACCCATCTTAGAAACCAGTTTTAATCAGACATTGTAATCCATCCTTTCAGTCACTGAAATTGTTTGTCAGATCAATAGATCACATCCTCGCGTTTTTTCCCCTGAAAATGTTTCTTTGTTTCATGTCACCACTAATTTTCCTATGACATAACATCCATTTTTCAGGCTCCACTGGTCCCAAACCTGTTACGCGTCAGAGAAAATGGCTAATGGGCTTTGCCCCCACTGAGGTATCATAAATTTCACCTTGGTGCTCTATTTGCTAAAAATTAGGTGGTGTAAAAATCAATTTGGTATTGACAGAAGTTCTTTCATTTTCTAAGGTAAATTGAAGTCATTGATTTTGCTGAACTAGTTTTGGGCCTTTGAGTTAAAGATTAAGAAATCTGCAGTTTAATATGTCAAACACTTTCTGTTAATTTGTTTGCTTTTCTTTTCCAAATTTTTTTTAAAACATGCTTCTTAAGTGACTTTCGACTCTCAGTTGTTCCACTATTTATTCCTATGGTATAAAATGTCATTGTCTGCAAAACATCTGCATGTATTTTGTATTCTGCAGTTGAACTAATAGTGATACCAAGGGCACATTAAAATTTTCTGGAAAAAGTCCCAAGAAGTGCAAATTTTCTTCACAGTTCAGTATCTGTGTAAAGGTTCACTCATCACCCATGATTCTATCCTATCCTTATTCCTGTCGCCCAGTTTTTGTTACATTTAAAAAAGGTGTCATTTCAGTCACAAATATGCATAAATTTCCAGTATATCTCTATAGGTAGCCCAACACTTTTTTATCCCACAGACTTCTACTTTTGGTACTATTCAGCAAACCTTATTAACATGTATAGCCAGGAAAAATATCCTAATTGAATGTCAATTTCAAACCAACCTCTTGATTCAAGTTAGAATCTGCTCCTACATGTGGAACTGGTGGTCTATAATGACCAAAAAAATCACAAGGGCTTGAAGTGCTGTATGGCAATCAACAAGGACAGAAAACCTTTTCCATATCTTTCCAATGTAACATTGCCTCTCTGCCAGCATGGGGTTGACTTTGTGGTGATCCAAATGCTCTGCATATGTCATAGGGTTAACCACCTCAGTTCTGACTTCATGCTTTTTCTCATGTAGTCCACCAATCAAATACCTATTATTCAAATATCCAATTGCAAAAATCTTTGGCAACAGGTGTAAGTCTCTTAAAGCATTCACAACTATCTTTTAAAAATCCTTCCATATGTGGGGTGGTTTGCTACTTTAGTTTTGCCAACTGTTATTCTCACAGCTTGGAAACCATTCATATCAGCCTTTTCATTTGACTTTACCAATGGCATAAAGATAGAGCTTCAGTTACAAAGTCCCTGATAAGTACCTCAGTGGATTAATCAATCCAGTGTTTAATTGAGATCTGTGAGCTGCTCAAAGGTCTGATGCCTTATATTTCAGGCTAAGGACTACTGTTTTCAGTTATTTTTCCCCATATTTTGTACATGTGAAGGTGCAATGTAAGCATGGAGACCATTCTTTTACCCCCTGGATACACATCTCCTACATGATCATTACACTATAAATTGTGTATCTAGATCTCATTGTATATTTGACATTGCTTTCTTTATATCCTAGTTTTACATCAACTGGAGATGACTGCGGTTGAAATGTTTTCTCTCTCCGTTTTGTGAGATGAATGGTAGGCAGGAAGTGGACAAGGTCGGACAAGGGTACAAAGGAAAATAAATTCAAAATATTTCTATAATGCTGCAATTATAAACTAACATTTAAGCATCTTACCTTCTTCTAGAACAGCCATCAGATCATCTGCTGTTTCACATTCCACCATAAACAGATTCTCCACATAAAACCCTCGTTCCTTTGACCAGCGTATGGACAGATGCTTGCTTTGACTCGGATTCAGCAAGTCAAAAACCTAAATATGACAATGAGACTTGTGATTGCCATGTAGCAATAAGGCATATTATGAGCTAGACATATTTTTAGTATGATTTTAAAATACAAAATTTGTAACATTAATTTTAAAGAGCATTCTGCTTCTGTTTCATTGCTTAAATAATTCACTGTCAGACTGAAGACATTATCAACCATAACAAAAATGGCAATCAATCATTTTACTTCTTTCATCTTGGAATAATGACAATGTAATAAAGTTAGAGAAAGTAACAAGAAAACAAAAAATTTTAAAAACTGAGGTGATTTTACATTAATGGTTATCTGACCTGTTCATTGTATATTTCTAGGTAGGATGCTTGAATAGTGAAAGTGCCACTATGGGGTTTGTTTAAACTGTCTACTAGGTAGCGAAATGATCTTGGGATAAGGCCATGGAGCTGCTCATTGTGGTTCTCAAGATTCTCATCAAGAAACTGAAATTAAAAAAAATATATATATATGGTAAGAGATTGAATTATAAAGTAAAAATAACCATATTTAGCACTTAACACAATTTCCCATTGTGCTGGGTTGAGCCAATAGTTTTTTCAACTAACACAACTGCACAGTTCTCACCTGTCATAAGCTACACATGAATAAAATGTCCACAAATATCTTCCTTTTAAACCCCTTAAAGGTTAATTTCTTAAACTGTCAATGTAACAATTTATCAGTCTCATATAGTCAAACAAGACTGGATGAAATTCTGAAATGAAATGTTATGTCAGAGCAGGCCAGTAGCTGGGGGGGGGGGGTTTAGAAAGAACCGCTTTTTTGTTGAAAAAAGGTCCACTCTGGGTAAAATTTTATCTATGTACATGGGGTTTTTTACGGTAAAAGGTCCACATTTTCAGAAAAAGAACCCCCCATTTGAAATTGCAGGCTACAGGCCTCCAGAGATAACAGACTATACTATAGTAATCTGATTGAATCAGGGTTACTTTCACTGCATACAACTCAATACTTTTATCAGTTTGTATCAGGGGAAGGAAAAACAAAGTTAGCCTTTTTTTATGTAACATGATAAAGAGAAAACAATCATGTGTGTGAACAAACTGAAAGAAAATGTCACATTCCATTTCATGGCATCAGACAGGCTGTGGGTATTGAGCAATGAGGACTGGATGTGACAAAGCATAATGATTTTGTACCAGCCTTGTTTCCCTGACTACCACACCCCACTGAGAAAACTAATTAGCATGTCAGAGAACGTAAGTAGGAACTCTCAATATGACTCCTATTACAGGATGTGAAGGGTAATTTCAAACTTCACTTGTGACATATTTGGCTCCGGTGGTGTATTCTTATCAGAGTTTATTTTTGGGGGGGAAGAAAATTATGTTTGATTGGGGCCGTTTGATAAGATCATCATCTACACCAAACACATTGCTCCATTAACCCAGGGAAACAGCGAGCAAAATGACTCAATTATTTGCAAGTGCCCTTACATCCACTTAAACACTGAAATATCATGGAGTAGCATACAATATGTAGACCAATTATCTAATGTGATGAGAATTAACCAGCCACATACCTGCAGCTGCCTTATTTTCACTGTGTGCCAATGTTTGTGGGTGTATGATACACCTACATATACTGACTAATGTGACATGTAGACTAATCAGTACATAAAAATCATAATTGTGTCCCAGGAAATACATTTCGCTTTAAAAAAACTTTCATGGATGTAAAAAGTGGATACATCATTGGAAATATGTGTATGTATGTATATGCATGCATGGATATTTGTAAGAAGTCTCATAACCAGACAATTATTGTTTATCCATTCATTAATACATAAATGAATACACAGTACAAAACTGTTAATTTTTATTACAAAAATACTGAACTTTGCCAGAATTTCAAAGATAGATTAACAAAAATGAAAATTAGTGAAAAAATACTTTTCTAAAATTTGTTTATCTCACCTTTAACACTTTATATTTTGCTTTATAAGCAGATGGGAAAAAATCAGTCAATCTTGTAAATAGATTGTCTTGTGGAATATTGCTTTGAATTTACCATAATGTTTTCAGTAAAGCATAATATATATTTTCATGTGAGTGTGTACAGAACTGTCAAAAAGTGTGGTCTTGCCTCTCATCAGGGTCAAGTGACTTGGCATTTTATAAGATTAGGCAGCATGAGGTATTCATTGTTGTATTGATTATGTCTGAAGGTTCTTATTAGTTGGACAGACACTGAGGTTCGAAATGGGCTTATATGAATGAAAACTTGGAAAATTCCAAGACTTTATCAATCAACTGATGACTTGTGTCAATTTTTTGTCAATTGAAAATATATTTTGAAAGACGTTTCTTTAGTAAACTGACATCTTGAAAATTAAAATAAAGTTTGACCATCTTTGAAATAAAAAGCATAGAGCATTGTAGACAACAGGCGACCTTGTACTTCCTGAAGCAGGAAGCTGACACCATGGGGAAGGACCCACTTTAAGCCCCTTGGGTCATAAGTTTTTTATAAGAATCAAATAATAGGCACAGCAAGCATTACTGTAAGATATTGTGTCTATAAATAATACAGCATTATTTGTCTGGCTTGCTGGAACAAATCCAAGGAGATCAGACCATGGAAATACAATTTGCTACAGCCAAATCAGGATGCAAGTATGCAGCAAATATGGTAACATGAAAAGATACAAAGGTTACAGCAGTAATATTGGTGAAAGTAAAAAAAAATTCATTAAAAAGAAAAATTGGATGTACACTGTATGTGCTCAATGTATATCACAGAAGAGGCATAAGTGCTAGTTATCAGCTTTCACTACAAGTTGGTCTTAAATGTTCATAACCCTTTTTTTATTTATTTATTGTAACATTTAATTGACAACATTCAACTTTTTCAGTGTTACTGTGCCAGTCAGCTTGTTGTGCATGTAGCACTAGATACAGGAAGTTCTTCAGTGCACGTATCAGCAGGGAAGTGGCATTTCATAAAAAAAAAAAAAAACTAATGACCAGCTAGTTCTTCACATTTATAATCACATTTAACCAGCTTCAACACATAGTGAAAGATATATATTTTTCATATGATATGTTGTATGAGAGTAGAAATCAGTTTGCCCACTCACTCACTCTGCAGACACCATGCGCACACACACATACACACACAGTGCAATTTAAATGAAAAATGAACATAAACAATAATGATATAACTGCTGAAGTTTATTACTCACTGTAGAGGGTGGTCCAGTGATAGTGTGTGTCTTTCCAGATCCAGTCTGACCATACGCAAATGCAGTGCAATGGAACCTGAAAAGAGAACAGAGCCAGATTTACTAAAGCTGCCTTATTTCACAATTTGTATCAAAATATCTTATAAAGATCAACAGTACAGAGAAAATATAATGGCACTAAGAATATCTGCACGTCCACAATACTGGGTAACAACATTGGGACATGGGTATCAAAATGTCACCATAAGGCGCCAACCTTGTGANAAAAAAAAAAAAAAAAAAAAACTCCCCTCTTCAAATAAGACTTTTCACTTTGAATCATAGTTCTAAACCATACCAAATGGCACCATTCACCATCTAAAATACCAAAAATTTTCAGGGCCCTTTAGCGGGCGGGGGAGGAAGTGTAGTCAATTCAGTTTATTTTCACCCTGCAGGCTGTCTCATTTCTTCTTCAATAATTTATTCATAAATTTTATTCTGATTTGTGATATCATTTGATCATAATTTTTACTTTTCTGTACAGCAACAAGTATGACCAAATACATATTTTATATTCTTGTCAAATAGATCGATCTCTGTGCTGACAATAAAGAAGAAAGAATTCAGCACGTAGGGTCCCTGTGAATATCGCTTAAAGCGGTCGGGAAAGGTCTTGCACGCTAATGGCCCATAGACAGTCCTGCAGAGCCCCGTACCTTGAATGCATCACTTATTGAGAATAGCTATATCACATAGAGGCTACAAATATTATATGGGGCTAGTACGGGCGAGTTATTGGATCGAGATGCTTGCGCTCGGTCGCACTGCGTGATACTTTCGAGTTACGGTTTTACAAAAAATGTTGCCGCTCGACTCATTGCAAATCGAAGTCACCTTCCAATGGGTCCCAATTTGTTCTCTTTCGTATGGTTTTCTCGAAATCTTTCTTATTTTTATTTATTCCCTCAATTGTTTTTCTTTTGTGAACTTCTTTATTGGACTTGATAGAATTTTTTTCATTTTTGACAGCCCAAGATGAAAGCACGTGGGAAAAGAACTACATCTGACGCATGTCGGAAACTCGTACATTCACTCATAATATTGTGATTCAATTTTTTTTTTAATTCTCCTTTAATTTGCCTCCGTTGCCTTTATTACTGTTGATTATAAGTACTTCATGTACCTGCAAGTCTATTTAATCAATATCATCACTTTTCATACTTTCACATGTTTATTACTCTCAACCTACAAATTGCTACTCACGGTATCTCCTCTACACTAAACAATGACGTAACGTTATCTGCTGTGCACTGAAGCTGGTTAAGAACAATGTGCCTCGTTTCGAATTGTCTTTCATCCTCATATCACACAGACGGTACTTTGAAAAAGAGGCCACTGAGAGGGAGACTTGGTTACATTTCGATTCTTAGAATATGAGTGTTCGATTGCAAGCTATGGTTAGTTCTTTGCTTCTATGAAAGTGGGTAAAAACAGTAAATTGATTTGATATTTTGCTGAAAACGCTTGTGAACATAGTCAAAATAAAAGGAGAAAATAGGCTGTAAAAATAGCCAGCCCATCGGGCGGGTTATTTGTAAATCTTACCCGCCCGGCCTGAAAGTTACCAGCCTCGGGCTGGCGGGCAGGCGGCCATTTCATACACTGATTAAACACATATAAAAATTTTCAGGGAAGAGTACACTTAACTTCACAGAGTTGGGAAAGCAAACTGCGATCCTGAATCGGTGGTTAAACAGCGCTGGCATGAAATAATTTTTCGTGAATTATACTAAAAATTGGGTACCGGATATATTTAATTAGTCATTACATCATCAATGGAAATCTCCACTATTTATGCTAAATCCCCGGGCCGAATTTGAATGGGGAAACGAAGTTGTGGTTTTGCTGTCATGCGAGTCTGAGGGAAACAAAACAAGATTGGGTCATAACATCTGTGATTACACGCTCAGATGACAGGATTTATTTACACATTGTTGTTTTATGAAAAGCAGAGTGTTTCAGGTATTCAAATCCCGAAATGGAACGATTTGTATAGTTCAAGTGTATGGAAGATAATACTTTGTACTGAAGTTAAGAACGGAAACGATGGTAATGCACAACAACCGGTTTTCTTCACCCATCATTATTTGCGTTGAAAAGCAATTTTGTTTTTTTTCTAGTGTGTGTGTGCTGTAAATGATCCCTGAGGTGACCAAAAAACATGACAATACTATTCTTAGAGCTTTCTTTTCCATAAGGTACAGCTGAAAAAAATGGACTGGTATGTCTGTGTCCCAGATTCAAGTGCTGAATTAAAAAGTTTAAAATACACAGCAATGTTTGGAAACACAAATTTGTTTGTTATAATAAGATAAATCCATCCCCTTTTCACATGAAAGCACCCCCAATGTAATTCATAGGAATATTTTGATAGACTTTCAAAGATGATAACCCCTTGTTGTTAACCAGTATCGTGGACGTGCAGATATGTATAATTTTAAATTACAAAAACCCAAAAATGGCTTTTAACTGACAACACAATTAATCCACTTAAATATTTTCTTTAGCCCATAACTGACAACACAATTAATCCACTTAAATCTTTTCTTTAGTCCACAGTCTGATCATGCATTAATTACTCAACTTACCCATTTATAGACATATCAATAAGTTTCTTGACACCTGAGTGCTCAAACACATCTTCTTGCAGCGCTTCTGTCTCAAACACCACATTAAATGTAAAGGACTTTGTTGATCCCCAGTTTTCAATCTATGAAAAGAATTTTTTATCTCAAAGATGGCCATTCAACATAGCATCAAAAGGTTTCATAATCTTTATGTAAATAAATAATAAAAAATCTCTTGCATGTGCATTGCTATTTTTTCTTCAGCCGGGTGGGTTTTTAAAAATCAATATTTGCACTGAATCATAAGTTTGAATATGCGCTGACTTTTTTTTTTTTTTTTTTTTTTTTTTTTTTTTTTTTTTTTCATTTATGGGTCTGAAAACATTATAATGTTAAGCTCACTGTTTAAATGGAGCACACTTACCCACACTGCACCATCACCTGGAAACTTGATGATGTCCTGATCTTTTCTTTCACTCTCAACTTTGTTGAGAGGGCGCACTCTGCAAGCAGAAAAAGTATTAACATATTTGGAAACATTTCACTTGCTGTTAGATACACAAAAAGGCTAAACTTAAACCAAACAGTAGCCACACAGAATGCATTTCATTTCAGTTAGTGCAAACTTTCAATGTTTAAATTTGATTATGTACAAAAGAAGTTCAAATCCAAAACTGCTTAACTTTGTTTAACAGCGCACTTCGTCATTTACCTTAGCAAGGTCAGTTATGTGAATGTTAAAGAAATGTAATTTGAATTAAAACATTTTCAATTCCACTGCAATAAATATCAAAATAGGTTATTTAGCCAGGTTAATTAAATAATAAAAAACTACTTTCAGATTGTTATTACATGACTGTTAGGTTATCTTCCTGTGTAAGAATGACTGCATAAAACAAACTTTTATTTGAAATAAAAATAATGATAAAATTCAATATGACAAATTTTCATATAGAAAGTAGAATTAAAAGACTCATCTCCAAAGAAAGGTACGTTAGCATAATTGAGAAGGTCACCCCAATAGAAAATGCCTGGCCCTGGCAAGCATAGTAAGAATTTATAAAGGAGAATTTTTGTTTTATATTGGATCAAAAAGAGAAGAATTTTGAACGTCTAGTTATGTAAATGATGTTGCTCCCATTCTACTGATATGTACCTGACTACCACATTGATATTGTCTGTTTCACTGGAGTTTTGGGAATCATCTGAAGTTGTTGTAGGACTTCTTGTGGTAGCGCCAACATGGTTTCTGAAAAGATAATAATATTTGAGAAAATCATGTTGTAGGTCATGTTGAAGGTGAATAAGTGCTGTAACAAATATCTACAACTCTTTGCTGTGTCTTGTCAAAAGAGTGACAACTTTGGTTGAGAAAAACAGAATAGTGCCTGAATACACAGATACAAAAATTTTGTCTTATAAAAATACCCATTTTTTTAAATCATGTAAAATTAATTTTTCAAAAAAACATCAAAATATCTTATTATGAAATGGACACCAATTTGTTTTATCAGCAGAATATGCCTTTGCTACAACCTATAATGAATTAATTGTCTTATCTGTTCCTAGTATAAAAGCGGATGCACTTGTCAAAATGTATGGCAGCGTTCACTTGAAGATATTATGGAGTGAGGCAGTACAATAAAAATTTTGAGTCTGGTACAAAAAATGTGCCTTTTTTTTTTTTTTTGGTTACTTAACAATATGCTAACAGTATTTAATGCCCCACTGCTTCTTTAGGAGAATTTATTTATGTAATACAAAGGACTGCATTTTATCACATAGTCAAAAAAATCTGTGCAAGTTGTTCCATACGGAGGTGCACACCAGTAATGAAGGGTTAAGATAACATAACAAAGGTTAAGTGGTCAGTGATTGTTGTTCCTTTTAGCTCTATACCTATGTTATTCTTACCAGCTCTATTTACTAGTCAGTACCCTGGTAAATCAGCCTTGGGTGGTTTGTGAGATTTTGTCATAACTGCTGTTAGCTTTTATGTACCAAAATGATGATACATGGCATTTCCATTAATACCAAATCGGCGGCAATCACGATGAGAATTATAATGGATTCCTTTAATATGCATTTATCATTATATCTCACAGAAAAAAAACTATTTGCAAATCTATGCATATATCTGCCAAAGATTTCTCAATTTTTATGACTTCAAATATATTTTGTAGAAGGCTTGGAGCGCATTCAAAACAGGTGGTCCATGGACTAAATATGACCAACCCCACTTTAAAGCAGAGCTGCTTAATTCCCTGATGGTCTCTCATTAAACAGACCGTTAAACTGATTGAATCTTGGCTCAGAGGTGTAATTGCAAGGCCCCCTACAGCAACAGCACAAGTGGAGGCAGAGAGGCCATCAGGGATAAGTCAGGGCTGCTTTTAAGTGAGTTGCCCATTTTAAGTCTGTGGATCTGTTAGTCTGCAGATCAAATTGTTCTGAATGCCCTCTTTTTATTGAACAACAACTCTACCATTGCTGGAGTGTCTGGTCATAAAATATCTTTTCTAAATTCCATAGTATACCTATATTTATCTTAATTTTGACTGCTCAGTTTCTTACAAAACAGTTTTCAATTTCAGCTGTGTATCATAATTTGACATTAATGAGCTTACTTCTTTCTTGTATCAGCATGCCAGCTACAAACTCTCTGTCTGTGGGCCATATTGTTCTTCTCACAGATTTTATTACATGACAAACTGATTTTGAATTAATTGCTTCAGAAAACAATCCATCTGCCATATGCTATTTACATTTCTAATGAAATATCCAGGATCAGAGATAAACCATGATACATTGCTGTGGCAAATCCAAGCAAAAAACCATGTGTAAACATTTAAACTAGTTCACATAAAATGCGGCAAAGTAAGTACAAAAGCACCTCATCAACCAAATGCTAATACACTGAAGAGTAAAACGATGTCACATACTATTGGAGGATAATTTGTACAAGCGAAAAGGGGGGAAAAAGGCACAATTTCATAGCAACATCTACTCCATTGTCAATTCAAACTTTGGTTTTAAGTGCATTGTAAATAAAATTTTATTGTTTGTTCCCACATCTTTCTAAATGAAATCCATCCAGGTATCAAAAACTTTAAAAGAAACACTGAAAGAGCACTGTTCCATACCTATACAGCTATATTGACATACCAGAGGGTGCAGTGAAATGGCAGGCATTCAATTTCAAAATCTTATCAATATTTTGATATCAAGGTTATTGTCATCAGTTGTACCTAAAACCTGCAACCTTGATAAAGTACCACACTGTCTAATATTTCTATAAACTCATAACCTATGGAAATAAAAAGGAATAGTAAGGGTGGCATTACCCCAAGCCCTTAGTAAAACATGTTACACCTCAAGTGTTAAAAGCCAGTGTAGTCCCACATTGAATACCAAAAGTAACATGCTAGGGGTATTAAATCTGTACATCCCACACTAATGACTGGGGGAGGGGGGGGGCATATTGCACCAGGTGTCAATTAACATGCTGGGGCCTATGTTTTTATGTTTAACATTTTACAGTGAGAAAGTTTCAAGCATTATTATTTTATTACCTTTAAGTCCTTCAAACTTTGTAATTTAAATTTATATAAAATTTTATATAAAAATCAACTCTCTTTATAAGTAACCTCATTACTCTTTCACTAAGTATTTAACTACTGGAAATCAAATTTCACTCAAATTTTCATGAAATTTAATACTATAGGAGATCCATTACAAGACTTGTATTTTTACAGGTTGCACTTTCTACAATATATACTAAACATCATGAACTTTACTCGGGAGAACCATTGCATGTAATAGAAATGTATTTCATTTATCACAAAATGATAAATATAGAAAGAAGTGGGACAAAAAAAGGTCAAAACACCAAGCCTGAGTCCAGAAATAATATGACTCATTAAATTGCCCAAAACCTCTTATAAATTGACATCAATTAGGAATTAATGACTCACACATAAAAGCATGTCATTTCACGTAATTTCTGATCAATATAATGCTGGCTTCATAAAATTACAATAAACTACTGCATGTAGTAATTTGTGTAACTGCATCTTGTAAGAGAGAAGCAGACGACAAATGAGAAATCACTGGACGTATGACATATGGGCCTCTGGGCTTCCTCAGCTTCCTCTTCCCCAAACTGATTGTTAGTTCTGTATGATTTTCAGTTCTATGTGGTTTTCAGACAGTAGTGCAGGTTTCACCTTGAGCATATAAACATTCAAACAAAATTGTCAATTTCCATCTTTTTTTTTTTTTTTTTTTTTTTTTGAGGGGGGGGGGGGATTATCAAAACATGTTTTGTATGTGGTTATGCATTATTTACCTAATCTTATCCTTTGATTATTTGCTGGTTTCTATTTTTCTTGAATGTTTTTTGTAAATATACAATAGGAGTATATCTGAAACAAATATTTATTTTACGGCGGATAAAATTTTTCAAAAATCACTATACAAAATGTTGGGTTGCTGTATTATGAAAAAAACTGGAAATGGTAGGGTTCATCCTTTTTCATTTGCTAAGTAACCTGTTACCTATTTATCTCACCTTCATATCTGTCTCATCAATCATTTTTCAGATAACTGAAACCATCAATTTCATATATTAGATCAAACACCAGAAACCTTTCAGTGTTGACCAACAGTTCATTCCAAAACGGTTAACATTATGATAAGTATGAAATATTCAGCACCTTTTACTTTCTTGTCAATAACTGTAAGAATCTATTACTGTAAGCCAATACGTTCTTGTTAACTTCCAATCCTGCAGGCTAGAAAGTATCAAATCACTTTGTGTTACCAAGGATCTGGTTGCTAAGAAGCTGGTGATGTGACTGCCACAGAGATCAATTTAATCCTGTCAAATCTTAGTTCCAACCTAATCAGAAATGTGATGCAATCTTCTCATCTCTGTCAAATTGAATATGATATTACCACCAATTTCAATTATGCAGAGTCATTATTGCTTATTGTATTTATTTAAGGCACTAAATAGTTCAAAAATGTTACCAAGCTTTCCCACTCACACTTTTGAAAGACAAACAAATTATCAATGCATAGAACCTGTACAAGAGGTAAGACCTCCCGGATGTTTTTTAATGATGTACCTTTAAAACTTTAACACAATGAAAAAAAACAAACTGCAGATTCACCATATGTGACTATATGCTCAACACACATTTCAACCAAGCTTTTACTTCATGTTTATTGCTGTATTGTCATTTAGCTGGTTTAATATAGGTGTAATCCTTATTTCCCAAATCTTCATCCAAGGTTAAATGACCCTTGCACAATAATTCATAAGAAATGCAGACATTGCGTAATTAATCTTCCCTGAGACAATCTTACCCTATATTGTTGCAAAATGTTTTAAAAAACACTAAATAATAGTAAAGAATACAGTATTTATTGAGAATAACTCTGAACTCCTGTTACCTGATATCTTAATATCATGCCATGCTTGGCTTTAAAATTTTCTCAAAAACATTTTTGTATATTTCTCATTATGTGATAGGCTCTTCTCTGTTCAATTTTTATGTCAGCTGTAAATTGATCCGCTAATAATCTGGTAATGTATCCCAATCGTTTCAACTTGAGTGAACAAACAAGCTAACATGAAAAAAGAAACCAAATCCCTTCGAAGCATTTCAGTTGAAAATGATTATCTATCGTATTATGAAGCCTAGCTTACAGAACATGCACATCTAAAGTTAACCGGTTATTTTATTCCTAGACGAAACCTTATCCACACCCATTCAAACCACAGAATAGAACAGACTGAAGAATTCTTACACAAATCACAGACTAAAAGTCACATCAGACCTTTCTATATCCCAACAGACTTTCATTGCTTACCTTTCATGTATGGTCAATTTTCCTGTGAAGGCAGGTTTGTTTCCTGCTTTGCTTTCCATTCCTCCTTCCTGTTCTGAATCTGGTGATGATGCAGCCTTAGAGGCAACCTTAGTTTTATCAACTTGTTCAATGCTGGGCATTGTAGAAGTCATTTCCACAACATCATCTTTTGGTATAGCTTCCTCTACTCCTTCCCCCTCCTGTTCTCCTTTACTCTGTGGAGGTACTGTTAAGTTCCTACTGTCACCTGACTCCTGATTAATTTCTTGCTCTAATTGTGATTTATGAGCTGGTGCCTCAGGCACTTTCTCATGTTTCTGAGGCTTTTTCTTGGAGTTTCTTCTGGATGGTGCAGGTTTTCTTGACTCTAAATCTAAATCTAAATCAACAGTATCACCTTCTTCAGTAGTTTTCAAATCTGTAACTTTATTAGACTGTGAAAGGTCTGGTATTTCTTCATCTACTGTTTTTGGCTTTTTCTCACTTTCATTTTGGTCAACCTGTTCATGAAGATTGCCTGCTGGGCTTACATAAGTTTCTGAACGTAATGATGTTACACTACCAGAGATTTTTTCCTCTGATTCTCCTTTGTTATATGAATCCTCTGCCAATATTTCTGTCCTGTTCCCTCCTACACTAGTGGTAGACTCCCCTAAGGTGCTTTTGCCAACAGGTAGTGACCCTACTACAATTTCATCCTGGCTGGACTTCTTATTAGAATTTTTCCTCCTGGGAGATGGAGTTGGTTTCCTTGACTCAGATTCAGGACTTAAATCATCACCCTCTGCTGACGTTTTCAATCTACTTCCTAGCAATGGGTCCGACTTTTTACTTTTAACATCTTTTTCTGCCTTTTCTATATTTTTCTCATTTTCGTTATCTTTATCTTTGGTCTGGTCAGGAGGCCTGACATAAGTTTCAGAGCGTAAAGATGTCACACTTCCAGAAACTTTATCCTTTTTATTTTCAACTTCAGCGACAATTTCTGTCTGTTTTCTTGAGACACTAGTGAAAAGTGTACTTTCCTTCTCATGCTGAGTCTTCCTCCTAGATGACAGTATACTAGGTGATCTGTCATCTTGTTGCATAATTCCCTGCTGATCGGGGTTGTTTACTCCCTCATTATTTTGAGTGCCACCAAAGTTTGGCACAGGGGAGCCACGGTTACTACGGTCACCATGTTGCAGGTCACTGTGTTCCCCGTTATTATCCTTAGCTCCTCCCCTTTTGTCTGTCGATGGGGATGATGAATTATTCATCCCTAATGTCATGCTTTCCAATACCAAACCTCAAATGATTTGCCAATCTCATACCCCACTACCCTATAAAAGGCAAGTGGTGACAATTGGGCAAAAACATTACAATATATCTCTAAATACACCTTGGAGCAAAATAATCAGAAATTGACTTATAATGGATTTTAAATAACAATTCAGATTGATTCTTCTGTGATTGATGCTATGGTCAATGCCTCAACTAAATCCTTTAAAAGTGTGTGCAAATATGAGGCACTGGCCAGTAGAAATTAATACTATTGTCCAGTAAAGAATGCCAGTGCTTAAAGTAAGGTAGCATGTAGGTGTATATATATGTTCCTGTTATTTAAGAATGTAATAACTTCATTCTGCCAGTAATCCTCCTAGAGTGACTGTGAAAAATGTCTGTGTGATATACCAGATCCTAACTAATCCCTATGTGCTTGCTACTTCAGCTTTCCACTCTTCTTGTTGATCTTTCACCTTTCCCCGCCAAACAGTTTTCCCTAGCAACTGTCAAAGTACTTTTTCTCAAACAAAGTAACCCAGGTAATTTGTCTTCAATTTCTGATGAAGCTCTCCAGGTAGCCAAGATGGCGTTACACTGACCAGGGTCAGTTGCCAAGTGTTACCCATCAAAATCACAACCCTGATGAGATTATTTGATGAAATAAAGGTAAAATAATAAGCAGGAGCACGCACCTTTGATAATCACAATATTTTGTCACATCAGCGAACAATGACAAAGGGTGACGGTATTACCTGCATTGAGGGTAGGGGTCTGAAAACATTAATGAGTTTCTATTTTCTTCCATAGTCAAACCAAGCCAGGCATGATCATTTACAACAGAATAGTTGCAGAACACAAATACTACATTTTTGCTTCACTGGAGGTAAAGGGGAGTAAACAAACAGCTGAACAAATCCTTGAATTACTACCCTATTTCTGTGTTATTGATGGAGAGGTCTAAGGGGGGGTTGCACATATAATGTAACAGTGTTTATTATTTACTTTAAAACCAATGCTTTTATCACGAAAGGCAAATTTATGGTTATTGCATATATCGTTGACATAACAAAGATCAAATTAATTTTTTTGCATTTAACATAACAGACACAATTTTATGCTTTGATACTGAAGGTTATCTTGTTCCAGAGTGACTTTGGAACTTTCTCAATTACTTTTTTTCTTTGATGCAAAAAAATGTCAATCTATTAACAAGTATGGATGTATAAGATTTGCATCATAGTCAAAAATTAAATTCAGTTTTTCAAATTGATAATTTAAGTGCATCAACTAGTAATGTTGAATTTTTTTCATATAATTATATTTATCATGATACAGAAGACAAAAGTAACTAAAACAGTAGTTAAAAAAATAAATAATTATATCAAATTGCCAATTGGTCATATACATTAATTTAACTTAAAAGGAACAGGTGGTTTCTCCTTCGAAGAAGGGTCGGTAGTTAGGGACTAGGAAGGGGCTTGCAATAGAGCCATAAAGTCAAGGTTCAAGCTGAAAAGCAATTGTCAAATTGTAAATGATGTTCAGTGCAGCATACAAGTTAAATAGCAACCTTATGTGACGACTTCTGTCTCATTCACTCTAACCTTAATATATGAAATCTACATGGTCCATTAGAAAAACAAATAACTGACACCCATTACTTTCCACCCACAAGGTAAAACATGTTTATATAATCTCTGAAATGCCTGTCCAATGAAGGTATTGTCACAGAGGTAATACAATACACCTCATATTCTTTATGAAACTAATGGAGATACAATATGAGGACTGGCAAACATACCTTACTTTTATTCTCTAAAGGATCATTTGAAGTGCAATGGTATAAAGTTATTCCTTAAAATATTTCCCTGTAAAGTATTTCTCCTACTAAAATTCAGTATTTTTGTTTTAGATCATTAGGTGAAACATGTCTGTTTGGTTTTATCAAATGAGACGGGACTTAAACCATGAGTACATTTAGCACCCTCTCTGGTGGTCCTAATAAAATCCATCTTTTTTATTAACAATAGTTGTCTTAAAATTGATATTTCTAGGCAAACTAAACATCAATTCTTAGCTTACAGCCATCAAAAATAGGCACAGGGTGAGTGGGGGCAGCATGTGATTTGCGTCACCTCATTCAAAGTTACCTGACTGTAATTACACCTTGCTGTATATTAGAGTAACATCTACTTAGTTTGAGCAAGGAAGTAGAAAAGCCTTCACCTAAGATGGCAGTAAGCTAACAAGTAAGCTTTCATTATGTTTTGTTAGTGTACAAATACCAAACATAGGACACTATATGTAACAAGCTGATTAATATTTTGCTATATGTTATCTCTTCTTTACCTACAGATTTCCACAAAAAGAAAAATAATTTTTAAAATGAGGAAAAACTCAAATAAAATAAATTTATCTCATATCCTTCAAGCAAATAAAACTACAAATTCATCCATATGCACACCATAATTTTGGCCAAATGCACATGCAGAAGACTAAATGAAGGATTTTTGGTGTGATAAAAGTATAATTAACAAACTGTTTTGGTGTCCTTGATAATTTTCTGGTACTTAACAATCCTCTTTCTCCAGTACGTAAATCTCTAAGCTATAAAATATCCCAAGAAAATGCCCTTTAACAAAGCTAAGTGAAAAGATACATACATGTGTTTTATCAGTGTTAATTGTTTCATTATTTTAAAGGCATGTAACAAAATATAGGAATATATAAGAAAAGAAAAATATTTTGTTCAAGTTCTCTTAAATCCATGTGGATGCAATCTTGCTATCTAGATGATATTGGTTTGACCAGAGATTCTGTCAGCATCTATAATTCCCTTTATGATTATTTTTTATTTCTCATGTAGCCATATCATTTTTTCCAGTATCTCCATGCATATCAAAACTTTCATCTTCATTTCCCTGTATAAAGGTTATTCTAACACATGATTGGCCTTTTTTAAACAACTGAGTATTTTATCCAAAATTGGGTAACTCATGATATATGAGAATTTTATTCCAAACAGTGATGCAAAACAAACTAGATTGGAAATATGCAAGTTTTTGATGCTCTTATAGCTTAAATCATTATGCAAAAACAAATTCATTCATAATTCCCAAATTTAGCTCAACTGCTACACACACAGTTAGTGTGTCCATTGTGGTCAGTTGAGATTGCATTAGTGAAGACCACAGACATGTTTTTACCATGTTTGAAAAACTGGCAAATCATCAATGCAGCCTTGAAGTTAAATATCAACTGAAAGTTTTCATTTTTTTATGAAAGTTAAAAATTTAAGACTATGTTAATAGTGACAGCATATCATGTGGAGTTGTCTGCTGCAATTCTTAATTATCATAGTTCCACATAGTAAACTAGCTTGTGTTCTTTAATTGTGCATAAGCACTTTGATCTCTATTTTTATTCTCTACTATATGTGTGTTAGCATGAAAAAATTATTAAGTTGTTGATGAGTGTGACCCTTATTTTAAGGAAATCAATAATTTTTCACACTAATTTCTTTCTTTCTCTCTCAAATAAAAAGAGCATTATTATTATTACTAGTTTGGTAAGTGTGGGAAATTTACAATTGAACAAAGGGAAAAAACTAAATGCTTTTTCACTTATGCTCTGAAATCGCCATCATTTGTGGACCAGACATCCCCCCTCAAATTAAATTTACGCTAAACATCATTATTAAAAAAAAAAAAACTAGAAAAGCACTCCGAGTGCAGACCTCTGCCAAAGCAGCGTTTTTTTTTTATTATTATTGATTGATTATTGATCCGGATCACCACCAAAAACAAATCACTTCTAAGTTAACCCATTTGCCATCTTCCCTGAAAATTTCATCAAAATCAGTCCATAACTTTTTGAGTTATGTTGATGACAAACAAACAAACAGACAGACAGACAGACAGGGGTGAAAACATAACCTCCTTGGCGGAGGTAATGAATTTCGTCTATCAACTCTGTTAATGGGGTGTCGCCACTCGTTGATTTGGTCTGGTCTTAGAAACTATATATAAAAACGTAAACAATACTGCTAAGGCATTATTATTATTATTATTATTATTATTATTATTACCACCATAATCCCCAGTTTCCAAGGGTCTGCAAAATCACATTCACAATCCGGAAAAAAAATCTGAACTCAAATTCAAATGTACCTACATATTAAAAGCCATCGGCATTATGCAGCGACCTCACTGATCAAATGTCCAGACATAATCTAAAATATTGTTGAACTTTGCAGGGTTTGTTTTTGGCTCTCTTCACATCATGTTGGATGCTTACAAACCACACTGCCACAAGTTAGAATAAGCAATTCTCATTCTATCTCGAACATTGCGAGACTCGAAGCCAAGACGAGACGAGTTTTTAACTACATTTTTTTGTATTTGTCATGTCTTTATTATAAAACAATATTTTGTGTTGTGTAATTTTTTGCAATTGATGAAATAATAATTCCTTTCCCCACTTTGGCATGAACACTGATGAATGACAGTAAGTTACCATCGTTTTTGAAAACTTGAATTTAACGTTAGAACCCCAATGGTTCTTGGAAGTCGTAACATCATTATTAAAAAAAAAAAAAAAAAAAAAAAAAAAAACTAGAAAAGCACTCCGAGTGCAGACCTCCGAAAAGACAGCGTTATTATTATTATTATTATTATTATTATTATTATTATTGATTGATTATTGATCCGGATCACCACCAAAAACAAATCACTTCTAAGTTAACCGGCCATTTGCCATCTACCCTGAAAATTTCATCAAAATCGGTCCATAACTTTTTGAGTTATGTTGATGACAAACAAACAAACAGACGGACAGACAGGGGTGAAAACATAACCTCCGAGTCCTAATAAAAGAAGACATTCCTATATGAAAAATGTAGGGTTCTTACCTCTGCCGTTAGCAGGCACGTAGCCAGCAATTTTAAAATAGGGTTATTTTTCTGAAAAGGGGGCCTTTTACCAAAGGGGTGTCCCGAGATAAAATTTTACCCAGAGTGGACCTTTTCCTGGCAAAAAAAAGGGCGGACCCCCTCCTCCCCCTCCCGTGGTCATGTCGATACTCCCCCGCATCGATACGGCCCCGCACAGATAGATTCCCGCATCGATACATCCCATGTAAAATTGCCGTTTTGTGTGCGAAGCGTTACTCACCCACACCGATATTCCCCCGCATCGTGACGTAGCTTCCCCGCACCTTTACTCCCCTCGCTGCATCTTTACTCTCCCGCATTGATGCTCCCTCTATGAAATGTTTTCATACATGTGTGTGTATTGGGGGCCACATTGTTACTCATCTATATTTAAAACACACCAAATAAATTTGCTAAATTTACTTTTTTTTAATGGAAAAACGGATTAGGTAGACCGCCTACTGGTGTGTTATGTTGAACATTTACATATTGACCGCAGGCAACCCCTTGATGATGTTGCTTTTATGCTTTTACGCATACACTTTGGATTTGACATACCCCTTTGAATAAACAGCAGTTTTTAAATCCCGACTGACCATAGAATTTAGTTTCTATGCTCATTAGGCCTAACCATAATAGATATTTTTTTTAATTAAATTTGTCTACCGACCATGTTTATATACAGTTGCCGCTTATTAGGCCTAATCAACTCATCAATTTTGTTTAGCCTAAGGCTACGTAGATCTAATGTTGAAGAACGAAGTGAAGTATAAGGCCTACACTTTTCAAAAATCACAAAGCCGATATCCTGACGTGAAAGATCGACTATGTTGTAGGTTACAAATTAAAGAAGACCAATTAAAGTATTTGTTTCCTTATTTTTCTGCAATATTGCGAATAGAATGTGCCCTTTTGGGTCCCAAGAGGGTTGCGCACTTGTTAAAAAATCGTACAGAAAAGTTTTAAAACTAGAATTGTGTTTCTGGTATCGCATTTCAATGGGAATCTGTGCTGTAAAGATACAGGGGAGTAGGCCTATCAATGCGGGACATATCGGTGCGGGGAAGTATCGGTGCGGGGACGTATAGCGATGTAACTCCCCCCCCCCCCCCCATTCTGAGTTTGTATCGCCCCCCACCTCCGTTCGGCTTGCAGCTGATATGCGCCGTCAGTAGATATGACTTGTATTTAGGCTTGCAGGTGCCATGCACGCTACCGGTGATCTAGAGTGTCAAAACAACGTGTAGGCAACTACATGGTGGGGATTGGATAATATGAGATACGTCACCCTTAAATAGGCCAATACATATCTTTTCTTATACCTGTCATTAAAAAGCCAGGCTCCTTTTGAAGCTGTAAAGGATCCGTATGATACTCTTCTTGGTATCTTCATTTGTTCCTCGGTCTGGTCCATCTGCATGCTTCACTCATCGCCCAATGGTTTGAGTGAATCCTAAATATGATTATAATTTTAAATAATGTTAGAGTTACGACTGGTAAACAGGAGAAACTAAGGCAGTCTAATTTAGCCGGTGAATAGTATCACATTTTCACGGTGAATTTAAGACACGCGGCTAAGACGCACGCCTAAGACATCGCGAAAAACAGATAAAATAGCAGTCAACACAGAAAAATGTCCATATTGAAACAACTTGGGGAAAAAATCTGCCATTTCATCATTCCTTCGTTGCCAGGGCCGTTGTACTTCTCGTGATATATCCAAATGCGAGGGTCCCACTGGGTGATTTCATTTCCCGTGAAAGCAACATTTTATTTCCCGAGATGTGAGTTCAACGCTCAGATTATTTAGCGTAATCCGTGTCTTCAGCAACCGATTCCGGTGACTCGAAGTCATAGTACATGTATGTACTCGACAATTCGTGATTTTCAGCTCCTCGGACTCACATTTTCAATAAGATATGAATAGAGTTTTATTTATTGTGATTTGATGATTTTATTTCCCGTGAACTGTGATCACTACTCTCCAATGGGACCCTCAAAAGGCAGTAAGTTAGGCCACCCAAAAATGCTTGCAAACACACAAAATTAAAAGACTAGTAAAACCAAATTGCTTTTCCTTTCGAAATCGAGACCCAAATTTATATGTATCAATGTCAAAACGATGGATTAAAAGCAATGACCAAACTTTTCCTTCGTTGCATAAGTTGCTAACTATACATTTTTATCTCAGGCAAATAATATATATATATACCTAAAGAAATTGAATATTTCATTGTTAGATATCATTTCAAAATTATATTAATGATAATGATAAGTCTGTGGTGGTGCGTTTTAAACGGAAACGGCACTTATTCCGACTTTTTTATGATATTAAGTTTGATTTATTATCATAAGATACAGTTTAATTATTTGAGTTTCTTGCTTCACAAGACGTTCTTATGATAAACAAAAATATAGGCCTATGTCAGGGTTTATCTTATCATCGTCTCGTGTTGTGTTGGACTAGCAAATGCCTTTTGAAACATGTAACCATTGGCAGCAATACATATGATCAGAATGCTACGTATAAAACTTAGCTTATGTATATAAACCTTAAACATACAACCTACCTTCATGGCCAGTAGTTTATTTCGCTCTCACTAAATAAAAGTCGTGTTTTAGGCTACTTTCATTATATCCGCCAGTGTTTTATACAGTCCTTGGCACACCTGCTGGGAATGCAGACGCATGTTGCTCACCCCTAGATGGCCACTTGAAATACAAGATTATAAAACCAGTTTAATTCCAATACCATAATAATGAATGCCATTGTGCGTTATCTGTGTATTTACTTATATCTGGGACACGGAGGTGAGATTTGGTAGGAAGCGATATGGGGAAAAAGCAGGGGAACGTTTAGTTTAGTGATCATTTCTCACATAAACGGTCATTTTTCACTCTTTTTAAAATTAAAATTCAAAAACAAATTAAACAAAAAGAGATTAACCGTGAAAAATTCCATTAATACATTTTTATCAAGTTAAAATAAGTCTGAGTTTAACAAAATACAAAATCAAAACAAAAAATGCCTTTCTGGTCAATAGATAATCAAACCTTAAGAACGAAAGGAATTTGAACAAACATCTTTCTTACAAAGTAACTGATACTGTTATCTTAAGAGAAACTTGATTAATTTCGAGAGTTTTCGTAAATTGTTGGTCNTCTATCACCGACTAAAAAAAGCTCATGGCGACCATCCTCAGTCACCACCTTATAATCGCTTTCTATGATATCGTTCCCTTCCAGCACATCGTCCAAATAATTACCTGTGAAAAAAATCGTCAGCATACAACGGCGCTTTGACATTACTGATCTCGAATTCTAACGCGAAATAATGCATATGAAATTTATCTCCAAGCTGAGGAGAGCGACGCAGACGAAACCTTGAGACAGGAGGCCCCCCGTAGCTAGCTCCGCCCACCGTAACAGACATCGGACAATAGAAAGGCTTGCGTGTAATCTCCTTCTGTTATAACTCCTTGGTTTGTGCTATTAATAAATCAGACTCATATTAGTATATCGACTTTTACGACGAGGTTCATTACATCGAAGTTATGTTACTGCCGGGTGCCACTGCCGCTGTGTTTTATAATGTAAGATTTACTAGCCATTTTCAACTAAATCATGCAACGTAAGAATAACCTTGAATGGAAATATGACAATAATTTTAAAACTTATCCCACTGAATTGACTTCTAAATTTGGCGTTTTTGTTCGCAAGAGAAAATTATGATGTTGTGCGACCCAACATGTGTTACACTGTACTCAAAAGAGAGTTGAGCAAATTGCCATATATAATACTTGACCTTACCGGTATAGGCCCACAGCTACGGTGCGATACAGCCTATGTAACAGAACAACCACCATGTAAGAGAATAACCATAACAAAACCGGTTTTTAGGATCACATACCATATGAATCAAATTCTTGAGGTCTGAATTTTAGTCCCAATCTTTTCTTTAAATTTTCTTTTACGTTATACATATTTGTATGTGTAGATAGGAATGCCTTTCCAATATACAACTTTAGGTAAAGCTTTGATTTTTACAATATTGAAGGTTTGCCAAATCCTTATTATTATATAAGGGTATAAAATAAAACTGACCCAGTGTCGAAGCCATACTTCTCATGAAAATGATATGCACTGCCTTGTGTGTGGAATCAAATAACATAAAGGAGTTGAGGAATGTTTGAATGTTCAGGTTTTTCTTTTCGTGGCGTATAATTGCAAAATAATGTTATCCATATCAAGGCCAGTGAAATTTGTAACAATCCAAATATTTTAACTAGCATGCAGATCTGTTACGATTTAACCTAAACTTAAGGCCTCACTCAGGTAATAAACACTGCCAAGAATATCTGGAAAGTTGCTTCAATTCGAAGCGTTGTTAGTAAAGAAGCGTAATTTCAAGATGAAATCCGTTTTTATGCAGTCGGGCCTTGTCGTCTTTAAAATAAAAGTTTTCGATCTCAGGTATACACTTGACTTAGTGTGATGGTCTTTGTAAGACCTCACCAGAAGGGTCTGATCTCGACCGAGAATTGACATGACGGCGACATGACCTCGCACGTGTTTTATCCAAAACTATTTTCGTTAATTTTTTACTAATGAAATCTATGGATATAGGCTACTCACTGGAATCACTCTGATAAATTCTTGGAACCCGTGCCGTCTGTATGTTAGCGTCTCCCTGACGACATCATGCTTAACTTGTTGGTCCACGGTGTCCAAGTTTAGGCAAACACGGGACGACAATGATATAACCCAAGCACTTACTATTCGTGATTCATTGCGAGTCAGGCCTGCTGTTGGTAGACAAACAATTTGTTTCTGCGTGCGTTTCACGCCTTAATGAAGACTGGACCCTTAAATACCATATATAACCTTTACCAACATTTTCAAAGACATATGGAATTCAACTTATGAACCCTTTTGAACTTTTTCGGTAATTCGTGCTGAGGTTTTAGAAACTGTTCATTTAAGGGGGGGGGGGGGGTGAAAGAAAACTGACTTGATATTTTAGGGACTGAAAGGAATGAACTAGATAGAAAGTGTAGATTTACATTTAACTAATTAATTTACATCTAAAACTATACAATTTCAGTTCCATGTTGCCCGTAACTGAGATCTCTCGGGTCTGTTCAGCTTTTTAGATGGATCATGGCCACTGGTACCAAGTCCATTTACATGCCTGTTACAACCGAGTCCGTCTCTTCACGTGAGTTTTGTTTGTGGTGTACTTACATTTTAATACAGTGGAAATTGAGCGTTTGTTTAAACAGCTTTCAATGTCAGGAATGTAGATTTTGTTTTCTGTGCAAATATACTTCAGCAACCGTAAAAAACCTTACATGCAATATTACATGTTGAACCATTAATAAAAAAAGAGACTTCATTTACAATAATGAATTTTAGTTAGCAAGGTTATTTACTTTAATGTAGGAGTGTAAACAAAATACAGTAGGAAAAACAGAAAAAAAGGTGAAAACTGTGTACGCATTGTATTTTCCCCTTATTTGTGGGCTCTAAGCGTTCATACAATAAACCCCCATTAACCCAGGGTGATAAACGGACAAACTGTGTACGCATTGTATTTTGTTGTACTTTGATATTCTGTTAAAACTTTTAAAACATCCATTAGATGAGTCGTTATGTACACTAGGCGTTTTTACTGCACGCTGCATTTGAGAACACATAGGACACTTAACACATTGAGTCCTACGGCAATGAAAAAATTACACTTAATTTTTTTTTAGTTTACACGTGTAATCAAACACACGAACGATGTCGTCAATAACATAGTAAAATCTGCTCTGGCATTTCTATATTTGATAATGAGCTCGAGAAAAAATGCCTCTTATTATTTCTATAGTCATTTATCACAAGGTTTTCAAATTAAAAATGTTGAAGGCCTGTTCATACAGGTGTAGATGGGTCAAACAAGTTTGGTAAGACCAGTCCCAAAACAAAAGACTCTTTTACAATCAGCTTACTCTAGAAACCCAATCTAACAGTATGCCAATCATCCGAATTTCAATTACTTCTAGACACTGCACACATACGTATGTCAAGGGAACTTCTACGTCTGTCCATTATGGTGTTTTTATAAGTTGCATGACAGAGCTAACTGTACTGCTGAGATCGAAGTTTTAACGGTCAAGCGAAGATAAAGTACTTTTTGCGACTGCAACAGGACCTTAAANCTCCAGTGGCTCGATTGTGGTCATTGGACCACGTGACCACGTAGCTCATTAACTCCCAGGCCGAGCAAATAGGACGTTTTTTAAAGCCAAAAATTTACAAAATGAGCTTTTAATTTGTGTATTTGGATAAAGATATCGTTAGTTGGGCATGTTTTCTGAAGAATATGTTCCGTTCAGGCCATTCTGACGGCATGAAGCAAACCCTTTTAAACAGTCACAACATAGTAAAAACAAGTAGAATTCGTAGCAGTAGTGAGAGTCCACTACCCTAAATAAAGGGAATCGTGAATTAGTTTTTTAATACATGAAATTAATAGAAATAAAAAACGCTAAAATTTCATGATTTAATAAAAATAGAAGAACAAAAGGGAAACGGTGAATCCACTCTTTATTTCACCTTCATCAATTAATATTATACAGGGCAAAATAAGTAACATTTTCTACATAAGTTAAAATAAAACAAAAAGATATTAAGTAAAAAAAAATATGGCTAACATTTATACATTAAAATAAAAAAACACACACACACACAGATAAGTGCAAATAATCTCAATTTTTTCCATAATTTTCACTATTAACAATTTGCAGATTAACAAGTTTTGCACATTACTCTACGTGTTTCGTTGAGATTCTCAGTTGAGTATGAGATCAACAATATATTGCCAACAGCACAATTAAGCAAGGTCACTAAGACAAAGACATTATTGTCTAGAAAAAATGGGCAAATCTATCATATACCAAATTTTAACTGATTATAACAAGTATCAGATTTGGATATATTTGGAATAATATTATAATTGCTTAGCTCAAAAATATTAGGCTCCGTTCACATGGAAAATCTGTTTTCTAAAAATCTAAAAATCTATTTGCGGTTTCTTGTGATCACAGTCTGTGCCCTGAATACCCCACGGTGTAATTAGTGGCAGCGCCGAGAATTAATTACAGTTTTGGAAGTAACTGGCTCTCGCTGCCCATAATTACACTGTGGGATATTCAGGGCACAGACTGTGATCACAAGATACCGCAAATATAATTTTTAGATTTTTTGAAAATAGATTTTTCATGTGAACGCAGCCTTAGTCACTGCAGAGACTCATACATCTTTTACATAATCTTAAACTAAAATGTGACTTAAGCAGTTTATAATTTTAACTTTTAATTCAAACTGTGTATTTTCTGAATATCTAATCAGTGTTCATCAGTGTTGATAAGTAGAGTTTAAATAGCAACATTTTGGAATCAGAGATTATACTGCAGTGTAATAAAGTGTAAGATGTGTAATACTTGTTTTATGCAGAACAAAATAAGTTATGATATTTGATAGAAACTGTCACCAGATTGTTGAAACCTCAAAATAATAATAATATATTAACAATAGTTTTAAAAAAGCTATGAATTGAATGATGATGTACTTAGATTACTGGCATGTTGAATGATACTACTTTAAAATTACTCTAAAATTATATTACATATTTTTCATTTAGCACCTATACAGAGTACTGTTTAAGATCAATTTTAACAGATTTTTTTTTTACTTTGGAATTCAAATTATCACACTTACTTGTCTCATCTAATAACGACATAGTACTTATTTACCACATCTTTAATATAGCTCACGTGTTGCCTTTTGAAAATACTGTCCAGCAATATTCTCATTATACATCTCTAAACAAAACAAATGGAATGAGAGAACAGTTTCATTAGCTCTGCATGTATCAATTTAAATTATTGTTTTTCTTTTTATCTAGAGCTTATAAAATATGTGGGTATTACCTCCAATATTTCTGTGACTGTCAGTCACCATCATCGGGGAGTAAATGACTAGGGTCATTTCACCTGGAATGAAAATCCAGGTCAATTGCCCCTAATCACTGGCCTTGTGTTGTAACTGTTACATCCTCCCCACGGGACTCCTCTACATCCCTCTGGAGCACCGTGAGGTAGATAGCTGGTAGATCATATCCCCCCTGTCTGTTCAGGTCTGGTTGTTTGGTCCTGATGTGTACAGCTTCTGCTATTTTTCTTTGGAATGTCCAGTTTTCCCTGTCTATTACCTTCAGGCTGTCAAAATCAATGTGGTGACCTGGATGTTTGCAGGTATGTTCTCCAAGGGCTGATTTCCAGTTGTTTTTGGCCACTGAGTCTTTGTGTTCTTTCATACTTGTGGCTAATGACAGTCACAGAAATATTGGAGGTAATACCCACATATTTTATAAGCTCTTGATAAAAAGAAAAACAATAATTTAAATTTAAAAAAAACAAATGGAATTATTAAATCTGCCCTAGTAAAATGTGTCAACTCTTACATCTAAATACTCATATCCACAAATTCAAAACCCAGCACAACATAGATTTATACAATCATCTGTAACTTCAAAGAAATACCACGGAGGAGAACTTTGTCTGTCAGTGTTGAGGTGGTTTCTTGAACTGATTTATTCATAGGCTTAATTAAGGAGGCCAAGTCATATCTAAGGAATATCATTTTTGTCATAGGAATTTCATTCTTACATATTCAAAACTTGGAATATCATTGCTGATTGGGCTTATTGTTTAGAAAAAAAAAAGAGGGTCAGGTACCATAATTTTTTGAGGGAGTGTCTCATACCTGTAGCATTCCAGCAATCAATCTAACATAACGAAATATGGAAAATTTGAAAAAAAAATTGTTACACTGGATCCTTTCCATTGTTTATATAGGACCATTTCCTTCAAAAAGCAATACTACTTGTTGTGGGGTGTTACATTATTTGTTTCAACTATTAGTTGTCATCCATGTATAAATAAACCAGAAATGGTTAAAATAAAGTTGATCATCTTATTGGATTTAAAAATACAGGGGCAGATGGTGTCCAAAAAGTGATACTGAAAGTTCCATTTTATTCATATCTAAATTAAGTAATTTTTTGTTACATACGGTAATGTTTGTAACAAAAAAGACTTCTAAAATCAGGTATGAGGTGTTATGCTATGCAAAATTACTTGAAGATCTCATGAAATCAAATTAAACTTGACCTCCTTGATTGTCATGAATTCATGTAGATTTTTTCTTAGCTTCTTCCCTTTCTGTGACATCTATGGCAGCAACATTGAGGGAAGCAGCATATAATTGTACCAAGCTGATAACAGTCTTCATAACAGCAACAGGAGCACAGAGCACACACAGCGAGGTCCACAGACTCAAAGAGATGATGGGCACTAAGAATACAAACAAACAAATAAATAATATACACATATATAATATGTTGTTTGCATCCATTTTCAATGAACATTTAAGATCAATGTAAAGGAAATCTTGAAGTAAGGCTATCTTTATAAATTATATAATTTTATCAGTAATACTCACATTTGGGCCCTGCAGTGAAGTGAATCAGATAGAGTGTACCAAAGAACAATTCATTACCAGCACACATGAGAAAAAGGATGATCTGAAAAAGCAAAATAATGTTCTGAAAAAAAGTGTTATGTGAAACCTTTTTCAACTAGAGAAATATGCTTTACATGACTCATTCCTTTAAACACATCAAATAAATAGAAATTCATAAATAAAACAATAAGCATATATTTAAATAAATAAATACATAAATATATGTTGGCAATTGCCATACTGTAATGCAACAGTCTAGATCACCAAATAGGAGACTTGCATGCCAAGAAATTGCCAATAAAACTACCAGATATAATGTTAGGAAGATATTCCAAAGGCAGAGATCAAGACATATTCCTAATGAAGAAGAAGAAGAAAAAAAAAAACAGAGCAGTATGCAAAGGTGCTAAAGACTGTGTAAGCTAAGACCTCATTCCCATAGATATTTAGATCGATCTATCCCCTTGGGGAGTCTCACTAGATTGGTCTCAGCTTATCAGGCTTAAATGTCTGTCCCGCCTACTAAAAGTTGTAAGGGGGTAATTAACTATGGTGCGCGCTCAGCTGACAGCAATTTAGTGTGAACCCCCAGGGAGTAAGGTCGATCCAGATGGATCGATCTAAATCTCTGAGAATGCAGTCTAAGTGATAATGTCTAAAACTGTGAAAAGCTTCATTGTTGGATCTGTCATTTTGTTTTACTTAGGAGCAAAGGAGCTGGAGTCTGCCTTGAACACAACTTGATCAATGGTGTTCGAGACCTATCCTTACCCTGTTGGTATAGTAGTGTTTCAGGATTGGGTTGCCCTCAAGATCTATCACCTTATGGCTAGAGCTTCCTTTCATAGCAGAACTGCAATTGCAAAAATAATTTACTAGTAAATGTCTTTCAATTTCTCATTTATTTAAATAAAAACATTATATGTTTATTTTGCAGGTCTTTGGGTAACACAGTTCAAGGATAGAAAAAGGACTAAAACACTATTACAGGTACATAATGCCAAGAAAACTGTGACAAATAAATTAGTAATTGTTTTCCAGAGTATGTAACCACTAAAACAATGTGGTTTTATTTCAGGTTTTCTATAGAGTTATAAACAAGTAATTCTGAATATGTACAGGACATTCTTATGCAAACAAAACTTACACCCAAGTATGCATCCAGTGACTGACAATATCAACACATAAGTTGAACATCAAGACAATGGTATACTTTGGATAAAACTGACATAGCACTATAATCAGGCACATTGTGCCACATCTGTCTGTTAGCATGTCCAGCATAGCACCAAATTTTGTACCTGGAAAAAAAGATATATTTAGCAGACAACTCACACAAAGAGCATGCTCCTTGAATGTTTCTTCATTCTGACACTTATTTTGATCTATTCACATTATGATCTTATACAGTATCTCTTAAAATATCTTCATGTCACTTAAATCAATTCTACCATGCAAATAAAAAAGACTGTTAGTACGGCAGTCCATGATAAACCATATTATGTTAAGATTATAATTATTATAATTATTCAACAGACCTACTGTATGCATAATCTTACTTAAATTGTTGTTATCATAAGTACACAGAAATAAGTTCCAGAAGCATACGTACCTTGGCCAAGATACCTTGCAGCATGCCCATCAATGGCATCAAGTCCACTACTCAACATATAACAAGTTATTGCAGTCACATGATCAAAAGGCATGAAATAGAATGATGCAAATGCCAGGAGTATTCTTGCATAACCTAAAAAAGAAGGTTTGTGTAGGTAATACAGCATATAGGAACTGTAAATGAATACAAACCATTAAAATGATTTTTGTCAAATAAAACATCTGAGCAGAAGAAAATGTTACTTAAGAAATCATTAAGAGTGGCTGACTGGTAATAAAGGATCCAGTATATTTTGGTCATCTTACTAGTACTTTTAAAAGACTGGAAATAAGTAACTAAAATTGAAAACAAAAATTAATAAATGGGAAGGAGGAGTATCATCGTTAGTGCTTTTTTAAACTATACTAGTCTTCTAGCTTATAAATAAAACTTATTTTTAAAACAAGGCACCAAAGCTGTCAAATGTACAAACATCAAGAAAGAAAAATAATCCAATCAAGCTGCTTTACCAATTTGAGCTGTGTGTCAATGATTCTTGTAAGTTACATAATGATAAGTAACACACTTTTCCTTTTAGAGTATTTGTAGTGGCAGTACACAAAATATTTTTGTGCAGCAAAAAGTGAAAAACAGCATAGATTTTGGAAAAATGGTCTGATCAGTGTGATTTTTGAACTTGACCTGTATTTTATGAATATTCATCAGTTCTGTAACTTTGAAGACAAAAGGTAAAAATAGTGGCCATGACGACACAGGCAATGGCTATATGTACAGACACATCTGTGTCTGTGCATAAAAATGAACAAGCCTCCTGTACAGTATGATACTGTGGCATTATACTGAGGTTCCCTTGTAAATGCAAAGTGATTTATGGGAAACCTGTACAAAATTGTCCAGATTAATCTCACTCATCTAGTGTAAAACTCATACAATTTTAAAAGTGCTTTAGCTTCTGACAGTTTATATTGAAGTTAGTGCCCTGCACATTCATAGCTGCATTTGTTTAGCAGTATTTCCACAGCAATACATCTTGCATTTAATAGTCCTGACATGTTACAATGCTTTTGGTCACAATGCTTTACCAATTTCAAAACTAAATATTTAAGTACTAGTACATTACTGGCACAACTGTCCTTAACAGCCTGGTGACTTTATAACAGAGCTATGCATATGTCATTTTTGGCATAGATTAATGAGACTCAGTAGCAGACAGCAAGATGCACTGTAGTGGAGCAGTGCAGAATATATTTAGTGCTTTCAACTGGTAGCTAGCTTCACCATTTTATCAAATCATATCAATAATAAATTTAATCAATCTTAACAGATATTTTACTAGGGTATAGATCTATGCATGCAGGATCCTTTTGTGATAATGGTATGAGGTCTGTTACATGAAATTAAGTAAAATTTCAGCTTGCCCACATAGCCATTGGCTGGTGTTATTTCTCTACACCCGAATTCTTTTTCCTGGTCATTTGGGTAGTGAAAGTCAAATGTCAGAGAAAGACATATGTCAGAGAAAGACGTAAGCAGACAGTTTTGGTCTTTCCTGCAACTAAGCAGTGAGCACAGATATCCACAGGTGTTGTTAGTTGTTTGATTTCATGAACAACCATAAAAACTGGCTGGAGTATCAGATTTCAAACCATTTTTTCAATTGTTTGCCATTGCTCAACTTATGCAAATGAGCCTATCTTGACACTTGATTGAGAATAGTTGTTACTTCCTATTGGGAACTGTTTTGAATTCTAAGAGAGGTTCTGAGTGAAAATTTTAAAGAGCAAACTTTTCAACAGATTTAAAACAAAAATTTAGCAAAGTTTGGCAAGACAAAATATATGCCACATAGAAGAACAAGGTCTAAGGTTTGTCAGATTTATTATTATTATTATTTCTTAATTTGGGCAAGTATTTTTTTGTAATTTTTTTGTTTCCCCTCTTCTGGTTCCCCATATAGCTAAGATAAAAAAGGTCAAGCTCTACTGTATACACTTTGAAAGATATTTCAAATTCCTATAACATTATTTAGGGAGCGAAAATCCACTGAGGCAACTTTTGACTAATTTTTGAAAGTGGGGTCTGAAAAAAACTGACAGGCATGTGGTCACTAAAACTTGAATAAAGATTCAGATCTAAATGGATTATTCATACTCAAATCTGTGACTATCTGTGTAATAAATGTCGTCTAGCTCAATAAGATAGGTATATCACAATCCGCTAGGGGCGCTACAGTCGTAACTATCCAGGGGCAGTGAAGTGTAAAACTGAAGTCGGCCTGCTGACAGTTCGCCTATGGAACCCCTTTTTTAAATCCCTCTTTTAGTGCCGCCTAATAAAACTAATACAAGCCATTAACTAAATAAGCTGTAAATCAATGAGTAAAATCCGGTCACGTGATTTTCCCGTGTTGCAGTCTTTGAGAAGTTTCAGTTCAGGGTGTTTGAAGTTTTGCCTCGACAAAATGCTCAAAAATGTCAGGGGAGTACTGGTTTCCGCACTTTGAAATTTATAGCGAATAAAGTTTATGAAATTTGCAATATTATGTAGAAAAATCATGAAAATTAAACCATGCGAAGTATAGTTTATTTGATGCGCAATATTCATAGTACATGATCTGCACGGAATCCATCCCAGCCATGTGCTTGTGCGGTCGCCAATTTGGGTTTGTTTCCGGGTCATTAGATTAACATACAGCCATAATTGCCCTAATTGGTCACAAGCAATTTGAGCACAGCTACAGTTGAGTGATCACCGCTGGTCAGTAGTTACAGGTTTTTAGCTGAAGAGTGTGGACACTTTTGGTGGATTTTTGCAGTTAAAAAAACTTCAATATCTTTGTTGCTTTTAGGAATATTTAAAAAATTCCAAATGATTTCATCCGGTTTTTGCATTACCTTTCAGATGATATAAGTATTATAATTTTCTGATCAGTTTGAAAATTTTTCTGATATACCTAAAATTTTAGCCTAAATAAGAAAAAAATCATGTGTGGATCCAAACCTTACGCTTAGCATTTCGTGCTGACGTTTTAGAAACTGTTCATATACTGGCAATAGTAGTATCAGTTGATATTGAATTTAAATAATTTAGCAATTAATCGCTATAATAGGTAAAACTAATTACTGTATGCTAAGTACATGTAGTACTATGCAGTAGTAAGCGAGCGATACTACCAATCTTATAGACTTGTTATAGTAAATATTGACACACTTACCGATTAAATTTGGTACAAAAAGGAATATATTTTCAGCCATCATGCAATGCCACTGAATCAGCAACACTTTCGTTAAATCAGGGATTATTGTGTACGGAAAGAAAGGAATCCAAACTGTATCACCTATGCACCGATAGTAAAGAACACTGGTATGAAATTACAATTTGAAATTGTGTTAGTTGAGAAAACAGAATTCAATGTAGATCTATTTGCATTTATCTTTATTCTTAAGATTGGGGTAAATAAATAGCTTCATTTTATTTTTTTATTCATCTTAATTTTCTAAGTTTTGTGAGTGTAAATACGTTTCGTTTGAAATTTTGGTATGTTTATATTTCTCGTTCCACTTAACAGGTATCCCATATGTTCTTTTCACTAGTAGTACTCCATCTTGACAACAAAATGGCCGCTTGCGAACATGGATGCATATGCTGAAGAGGCTGAGGAATCACGCAGATATTCGTTTCTTTTAGGTTCAGCATTGCGAAACGAAGACCCTGAACAGTTTTTCAAAGTTTATGAACGCATTTTACAAGAGACAAAATCACCAGAGCAGGTGAGAGGGGTTCATTGCGTATCTTAATATTGAGACTACAAATTTCAGCTTGTACGGTGACTTGACATTTGAGTTCAGACGACAGACTCTCAGGCAACTTAGATGCCTGGCTTAACGTTAAGAAATTAGTTAACTTAAAATCAAAAGATATTTTATCATAATATGAGATGAAGGCATTAATTATCTACTCCAAATCGTTAATCAATTTACGTTTGAAGTGTTTTTAACATCTACTCTTCTGAGTAATTTAATTTCTGCTCAAGTTTTGGTCTAATGATCCTTCAGCGGTTGCTCTTCATTTTTCAGTTTTTATTAACTGTGTTGGGCTAAATTATAAATAAGGTGCAAATAGTTTTGAAAGTTCTGCATCCACTCTAAAAAAGAATGCCATAGTATATTCCTCCACACTATCACCCAAACCCAATATAGAGGTGCAATTGATGTCACAGGCATGCTCTTAAAAATAATTTAGTGCACAGATTGTAAACTATGTTTGATTATTTTAGGGTCCCACATGAAGAAGTTTTGTATCAAAGTTTAACTCTCCTGGAACCATGAATAATCAAAAATATTTCATCCAAAAATATTTCATCGTATATCCCCAAAAAGGAACATACGTTACTGTCACAAATGCAAAATGTCCAACTGTGAAATGTTTTACCCACTTTGAAAATTCAATCATCACTGGTTTTGGTCTTTGATTTATCTCCTACAAGTATAATGTTGTAAAAAATTATAATAAACTTCTGTATAGAGCAGTTCATTGTTTTTGAGCGACTTTAGTTGGCTTGTCACTGAATATTTAAAAAATGGGAAAATACACCCTACCAACAGTAAAATAAGCATTAAATAAATTATTTTCCCTTGTGATCCAAATAATATATCAGGAATGTCAAACTATCATGGAATCACAATATATTTTTTGGTCAGCAACAGAAAACATTGTTTTCTATTGCACCAAGTACTTGAACAAAATTAACTTTTTGACAATTTTTCTGGGGAACATACGTTACCTAGTATTAGCCATGACACAAAGCCCCAGTGTTCATTCTAGGAATGTTTCAATGTGGGACAAAGGGCCCCCAACATTAAAAAGAGTGGGTCATTACATTTTAAAGTGGGCCCTTGTTCAAATCGTGAAATTATAATATGTAACGCATGTTGTTTTACTGGTATTTATGTTCAGAGATGAAAAAAATTTATTATAAAAATATTTTTACTTATAGGTGATCACATTCAATAAGTAACCCCAATTTTCTAAAACAAAACCCTTGAGTTGACGCTCCAATTTTTGTAAACAAGTATAAGATAACACTAAAATATGTTCACGATTTATTCACCAATAACCAAGTTCTTACTATAACAACATTTTAAACCCATTTTTGATTCAATTTATGAAAATTCCATTTAATTTTACTTCTTCTGTCCACTGTCCCATTATCAATGACCCTTAACTAACTGGCATGCATTCATGACTTATGAAATTAATTGTCTCATACCTGATAATGATATATAATTTGTTGATAAAAAGCTACCAGATTGAGAATGATATCACACATATTTCGACAGCAGAGACATAGGTCTTACTAAAAATCACTTTAAGAATTGTTCCTTTTTGTTGTTAATGAGATTGTCAATGAATTGACACTGTATTGCCTTGCACTGTTTCTCATAATTAGCACAAGTCACAAGGTGGTCCCTGGAGAATTTACGATGACCTTTTCCCCACTTTCAGGAGAAATTCTTCAATTTAGCTGCCAGGTATACCAGCCAACGTTTAAGTCCTTCGGAAGTTCCAAACTTGTGAATTGCAATGCCCTCTTAAACAATCCAGTAAACTGATTTCACCACTGCCATGATTGCTCCATCTTTACCTAGAAAAGTTATAAAAGTTACAATTAAATTTGAATTTGGGCATAAAAACCTGCATAAAATGTTAAGTAGTGTTGAAGGTATCCACAAAGAATACTCCAGCACACTATCCCTCACTTTATTTTTCCCTTAATCGCCATGAACTGAGACCAAATCTCTCAACACAATAAAATTATGAAAAATGAATGTGAAAATTTTTTACCTATATATACAAAAAATAAGGTTCAGGGAAATGACATGAGCTTGACGCCCTATGTCAATGCGACGCAGCAAACACATTGTTTACATAGTTATTCAGCATTGCGATATCCCAGAATGCACTGTCAAGAGTTCCTCAAACTGCACAAATATATTTACAACACGTGGGTCCGGGACCGTCACGATAATCACTTTGGTGTCTATTGCTCTGTGTTATAAATAAATATTGACAAAAAATAATATCTTACCTTCTAAAGCTCTGCAAAAAGCCTGTTTAGCTTGAGCTGCTTCCGACGTTTCTTGCATGGCAGCGGACGTCGCATAGATCTAAGGGTACTCGTTCGAAATTTATTAGTCCCTTGAAAGAAGATATTGTCCTTCAATGCATAAGCTGCAATACACCAAGTTTGCGTTATCGTCGTGCACAAGCCACTTGTAAGCCTGCTTGTAAGTATTTCTCCAACATTTTTGAAACGACCTTGAGTTGCATTGCTATTCGACGTGGTATCAGCAGTCGTGACGGCTGCACAAACTTTAGTTCTCTTTTCTGGTGGGAATGTCTGCTGTGCATGATCATGATCATCTCCGTCGCTACTGTTCTGAGCCGTTTTAGAGTGATCTTCGGGATCGATTTTCTTTAAAAAACTCAAAATACCATTTTGCTTTTTCTCCGCCAGCATGCACAATGTACGGGTTGATCAAAATTGACCTACAAGGACAATTAATCTCAGCCTATCAGGGATTCAGAAAAGGAGGGGCGATCGCCACTGATTTGCATAAAGCGCATGACGTCAGCATAAATTAAGATCTTTGTTAAAACTGCGATGAGTAAAGAATATCTTCGTTACGTTTAACATTAGATCTTGATGTCAAGAGAAGTCGAGTAAACAATCAAACTTCGGCCGTGAATTTGCTGAATTGGAGGGCGCGTTTAGAACACAAAAATGCGCCGCTGTTAATTCTCTTGAATTTTGTTGGCGCAGCTCACTCTACGAATTGCGTCAACCACATTTTTTCTGCGTCAATGACGCAAGGGCGCATCCTAGAATGAACACTGAAGCCCCTTGTTTAAATATTTATAAAAACATCCTTAGGTCATGTATAATTAACCATGACGGAATCACTGTCTACAAAGTATACCGAAAGACGGTATAAAAATTAAAATTAAATGACCTGGAACATACATTATCATACATTTCTGGAACATATGTTACCATTTAAGGCTCTTTGCGTAATGTAAAGACATGGTAAAAATTAAAATTTGAATTCAAGTTGAGACAGTCGTGGATTTTTGTTCTATACCCATGTTTTAAAAAAATTTATACATTTTTGAATTCATTCAATTTTATTTTTGGACACTTCAGCATGTGAAACGCACCTCTATATTGGGTTTGGGTGTATAAGTCTTTGATTTTCAATATTTTTCTAAATGAGGGTTTATGGTGACTTTGTGCAATCTTATTGCCATTCAAGTAAACTGGTTTGGGAATTCTCTCAACCAATATTTGATGTTTTACAATTAACTTCAAGCCCATTCAAATATTATAAGAGCTGAGGGTGAAACTTCTGTCAAACTAAAATGCGCAATATATCTTTTGAAAAATACCAAGCCAATAGTAGACAAACCCTTCAAGAAATTGACAAAAAGGGGCATATTTCCAAATTTGAATTGGCATTATAGAAAAAGTAGTATGATAGCTTATTTTGCACGCAAGTGCAATATCATTTAAAGAATTAATGTACTAAATTTTAAATCTAAATGTTGCACAGATTTTGAAATAGATTGCCTCAAAATTGGTGCACACTGTGAAGTTTATGTCTTCAAGGTCCTGACAATACCTGGAGGTGCTTCATGATGCCACTCAGTTGTATTTGGGAAGCTGCTGGATGATTTTCCAATGAGAAAGACTTGTAGCTCATGCAAAAGTTAAAAAATAACCATGCAGATTATAAAAGTTTCAGTAATCAAAATTTAAACTTTGTAATAAGACAGATGAAGTAGTATATTTCTGAACTTGAATTGTAAGTGAAAACAAAGTGTACTGTACACATTTTTATACATTAAAACATGAAAAAAGTAAATGCCAGGTTTTATACTTTATCCAATGCTTCTTTGACAACATGATTGCTTGCGTAAGGCATGCTGGTAAATACAGTGAAAAACACCTACTTCAGGTTTTTGTCGATATCTTGAAATTGTTGATTTTTTTGAAGGGTAAATCTAAGTGATGGACTTTCTCTTGCCAGAACTATGATGTCACGAGTTTATCCTTTTTGCAGAGCTCTTTTTCATTTGACTGAGCCACTTTAAGTTGAGAGTATAATGTATATTAAAAAAACTGCTTTTGAAATTATACTTATCTTCACACTTATATCCAAAAACATAAATGTTGACCCATTTGACATTTTTTCTTGCTGTATACTTTTGGCAGATGGAAGCATTATTGAATGCATCAGTGGTGTGTCATCACTGCCATCTATTTTTCTCATCTGTTTATCTTCGTCTGTAAACCTATTAAGACAGAAGCATTACATATCAGGTTAATCAGCACATGATTTTTAGTTACCCCCTTACTGCATTTTAGCTGATTTTACTAATTGGACTTAGTGAGAATCCCTGCAGAGTTGGACAGACACAGTTAGTACGATGTGTGAATCTGAATGAGGCTTAGAACAAAACTGGTGTTGTATTTTCCAGAATGAACGATGTATAAAATAACATTTAAACATATTAAGGTGGCTGGGAGATGCTATACTAGTATTTTAATTCAGTTGTTATAAGGTTAGAGTAGGCAGAATGCACTAAAACAAATTTGATTATGTATAAAAACAAGACAGAAAAGTGGTGGGCATTTATAATTCTTGTTTTAAAATTTGCAAATATATATATATATATATATATATATATATATATATATATATATATATATATATATATATATATATATATATATATATATATATATGAAAAATGCATATAAAAATGTGGAAGCTATACAAAGATATTGAAATGTTGCTCTCTCTGTATTTATTCAAATATGTATTGTAGATTACATGTAGAATTGCCCTGTAATTTTAAGCTTTTCCTATATTGCATAATCTGTTCAGTAAGACAACATAAAATAATCAATAAGAAGACATGCAGTTATATTGTGCTAGATGTCTTCTCCAAGCCCATCCCCCTTTTGCAGCCACTAGGTGTCTCCAGTGGTTTGTCCTTGGCAGCCATGTTGACCTATAGTATAGTGTCTAGACTGTTGTACATTGGGCTCAGATAAAGTGGGAGGGGAGAGGTGGAGTGATCAAGACAGCACACTACCAATATCCACAGGTAAACCAGGCAGTCCCCAAGGGGTCTAGCATAGATGAAGAAGATAGATTTCTCAACATGTTTTCCTACTCACTGTCTAGTCTTTAGGTTAATGTATGCATATTGTATTGCTGAGCTGATATGGCTTATTGTGTGTTTGTGTGAGGTAGGGGACACACTGGCTATAGAGAATACAGCACATTTGCTCAACCCATAGGCATAACAGTTTCTTGCCTGTTGTTTTTAAGCACTGGCATAGTAAGGTTAGGAAAAACATTGGCAAGTAGCAGGTGCCAAAGTTATGTCGATAGTGGACTAAAAGTTAAATATAAACTAGACATAGTGTGTGGGTTGTTATTTGCCATATTATGCAGTGATGTTGGCATGCACTGAAGGGGAGGGAACTAGTGTGTTTTCGAATGTTCCAGTTGGCAAGTCATACATATTGACTCACCACCACATGGCCATTGGATTTTAAACTTAGTATTATGAATAAAATTTCTCTCATGTGTGACCTTGTGTAGTGATAAGCTCTTGGCTGCTGTCTCTGATGATTTACCTGTGTGGAGAACTAGGTCAAAGAGTAAAGTGGGCATAAACTGGTTATCATGTATGGTACTGAATCAATAGGACAAGTGTAAATAGATAGCATTGTGTTATGTTGAGCAAACACTGCTTTGCCCTTATATGGTGTATGATGGTATCCTATAAAATGACTAGCTAAATAATGGTTATCTTTCTTTTTGTAGTCCTTGTATTCATGGATGGATAAGGACATTTAGTATGCAAGTATGTAATGTCATTTGTATTCCCTTTCTATGTATACTGGCTGAAATGCCTCCATTAAAAATAGCAACAGAACATGTAATACAGTTTATACTGTATTGTTGTAATTTGTCTATTGAAGATATTTAGTTTTTACTCTAGTAAGCAGATGTTTCACAGTTTGATTGCAATCCAGTATAAATTTATTCTTATTTTCAGACCTTATGAGCGGATTAGGCATTTATGAACACTACCCATAGATCTTTTAGCACTAATACCATATTAATTACCAAACCCACAAATAAACCAACACTGTACAATTATTTAATTAGCATCAACAAAGTGATACCTAGCACTAACATTCATACGCTCTGGTAGTGCTATATTGTATATACACAATGTATATTTTACAGACTAAAAAGTGCACTGCCCCGAAATGAAAAACTGTCAGGTCTTTAAAGTCATTCATACCATGTGCATTGCATACTTTTAAAAATATAAGTGGACTTTAAATATGATTTAAACTAGGACTCTTAATATAATTAAAACATACTCATTGGACCAAATATCGTTTATCATTTAAACACTTAAATTAATTATCATTCAATTTTATTTAATTTGCACTAAACAACCTTTTATATAACTTTTTGTACTATCAAACTATTTTTAGTTGAAAATACACATTATTACTATTATTATTTATATTCATGCAGAACAGTTAACCGTCAGGTTTACTACCATCAAAAAGGGATAGCACTTTCTGATAGTAACAAATGTAGATAATGACCTAGAACACAATAAGCTTAATGAGTTGTTGTATATAAAAACAAGTTTATGAAAAATAATTATATATATATATATAAAACAACAAATTATAATGTGCTCTGAAATTTGCAAGGTCACTGCATGCCTAATTTTATGAAAGAGAGCACCTGTTCCCAATTCTTCTTGATCATATGACCTTCTGGTGTCAGCCTGTCATCTCCTTGTGTTATGAATTGTTTTGATTAATTTCATAGAACATTAAAACCAGTGTTTTCCAAGATGGCCTTTTTAGAATATGATTTGGTGGGTTAGCAACACAAATCAGCATAGCTCTAGGTTCTATAGCTTCAATGTTAATCAAATTCATGTGCATCTGGCACCAGCAGGTAGAGCAATGAAATTTTTATGTTCATGTGCACTGCAGCCCAATAATAGTATTTTTATCTCCAGCTATGAAATCGTGTTGATAGTTATAGATTTCCATACCAGTTCATTATGCATGTTTAAATGCAGATTTTCTTACACAGAGGGGCTCTAAACTAGATAACTGTGGAATAACACTGAGGCTTGGAAAACCTTGGCATGTCGTCTAAAATCTGTGCCAGGTATTTAAATTGTTAGATGTGTAATTAGATTTAAGACCAGATTGTATGGAAGAATTTGCCAGAATCTGCTTGGTGATAAGTAATTGTTTTGTGTGTCACTTTTGAATAGCAGAGGGGTAGAAGAATAAGAAACAATATTATACCTAATTTTAATGCCTTTGTAAATGAATATAAGTCATTCAGACATAAATGATATTTAATGAATCAATGGATAGTCACTAGTCATGTAAAATATTTTGTCTTGAAATCAGTTTTATGCTGTTAGACTATTAATATTCTAGTGTAAAGTCAGCATGGTTTTGTTTTAACCATTTACATGAAAATGTCAGCATTATCAATTAAACCATTTCCAAAATATTGATTGATATACGTTTCAATTTCTTAAAATTGTTATACCTTTCATGAGATGTGTACATATTGTTAATGCATGTATGAACTATTTTTTTAGCTTGAAGCTGTAAAAGAGCAGGCAAGAGGCTTCTTTGAACTGACGGAAGAGGACTTCAGTGATCTTACTGTTAACACCAGGGAATTCAGTTTAGCTCGATCAAAACCCAACAGTTGTAAGAGCTCCACTGAAGTGAATGACAGTTCAGCAAAAGAAACAGGTACTAGCTTGAAGAACAAGATGTCCAGCACCTCTGGTACAAAGACAGCTACCTTGGACTCTCTAGCAGATGATTTAAAGTATATAGATGATGATGAAGATAGTGGTTCTCCCAAGCCTAAGCCTAGTTTGGAGTCACTCTCTCGCACCTCTAGGCATTTTGCTAGTGGTTCTGACACAGGCAGTGTCAGTGAGGAGCGAAGCATGGGGGATGACTCTGGAATATTCAACTCCAGCAGTAAAGGGACAATTAGTAGTCCCTCTAATGATGGAAGTGATTCAGAATCCAGAGGAGTGTTTGACTATTATCCAATCAACAGTGTTAAATCCTACACAACTGCCAAATCCTCTAATTCCAAAATAGAGGTAGCTCACAACAAGGCTTATGATGAAGCTGTCTCTGTGGACTCAGAAGGCACAGTGACAGACTCCGATTCTCCTCGTAGTGTCTCCTCCATACAGGAGGCTAATCAGAGTGAGGGCACCGAAATGACCACATTCAGGATATCTTCTTCCACTGCTCAAATCACTGCTTCTCATAGTAGTAGTAGTAAATCTTCAGGGTACAATGATGATGATGACAGAAAACTCATGGACAATGTTGCAGTCCACCAGCGTCTGTATGGAAATGACAGTAAAGTACCATACACCCGCATGGAGGAGGAAGACCTGGATGACTCTGGAGAAGATGTGACGTTACGCTCACTAGAAGTCAGCAGTGATAGGTACAAAAAGGACAGCAAAGACTTAAAGATAATGTTCCCAAACAGTACAAAATATGGTAGCTTTTCCAACAAACCTACTTCAGCTGTGGATAGCAGCATTAATTTCTTCGGAGCAGGAGGAAGAACCTGTGGATCTCTAAATAATAAATCCAGTGACTCTGTCAGAATAGAAAAGACTGAGACATCCAGGCCTAAAGATCAGCCCCCATTTGGTGACCCTGTATCCATGATGGAATTGGGGCAGTCTGTAAGTGGCCTTATCTCCTCCAAAACTGACACAGACATCCCAGACTTACCAGAGAGTGAGCCACTTTTGAAGAAGGTTGAAGAAACGGGTAAATCTGGAGATGAAAATAACAAGAAAAAGAAGAAGAAAAAGAAAACGACCAAAGGTAATGATACAAGTATGTTTTTTATCTTTGAGTGTCTATTGGTTATTAAAAATAGTAGTTTTTGGTAGTTTTATCATTAGCAGAAGAAAAATAGTTGTTGGGTTTAGTACTGTATGTCCGTAACTGCACCTATAGATTATGAATTTTTAAAAATATTTTTAAAAAACTTTGTTAACATATTTAAGAGCTATATCAAAAAATAAAACAGTGCAACATTCAGTGGTGAAAATAAAAATACTCCAAAATTAGCAGAGATGCGCCCATAGTTACTATTGAACATGAGTAGGAAATCATATATTGGCAATCTAATTGTGACCTTAAAATTAACCTTTGACCTACTTTACACCATGAACTGAACTTTTCTGTCCCTTATGTCTCCAAAACTGGCATAGATAGGCCCATAGTTACTACTGAACATGAATAGGAATATATACTGACAATCTTATTGTGACCTTAAAATTGACCTTTGACCTACTTTTCACCATGAACTTGCAAAATTCAGTCCCTTATATCTCCAAACCTGGCAGAAATATGCCCATAGTACTGAACTTTAATAGCAGCTCACATATTGACAGTCTCCCTGTGACCTTGAATTTGACCTTTGACCAACTTTTCACCATGAACTGCACTGAACTTGCCTTGCTAGAAGAAATAAATAAAAATATAAGTGAAATGAATATAAAGGAAAGAAGCTTGCCAAGTATTCTGGTTTCACTTTAGCATAGTAAATTTTGGTGAAATGCTAAAGGTATCATAATTAGACATTGGAAGATGTTAATTATTTTATTCATTTTTGTGGAATCACTCATAGACTTGGCTAAATAATAAGCTAAGAGTGTCCAGCTATTTGACTGAAAAACTCGATCTTATATTGAGCCTTTCATAAATATTTTAATACCAAAGCTCAAAAGACTTAAAAATAATCCCAAAATTATTCCTATGTGAGTTTGCTTTGATGTATGAAGGATTGTCATCCTTTACCCTTTAAGATGCGTTTGAGAAATTACAATAATACTTGTTGCAGATTGCAGGCAGGTTAGTGAGTAATGGCATTTGTTGTCAGTAAGTGATGTGATTCAATAAATGTATGTAGCTCTCCAAGCAGTTGGAGCCATCTCACTTCACTTGTGGAATATTGATACAAGTTGTTTCAGATGTATTGAATTATCTTTTCTTAATTGAAACTTTGCTTCTCAGAAGAAATCTATGACATATTTTGGCTGAGAAATTTATTGGCTTGCTTGCATCTATTTTTAGAATCTAAAAACTCATATACATGTTGATCTATGGAAATTCTCATCTTATCAAGGATAATATCATTTTCTACATGTAGGTCATGACCACTATTTCTCGTTTTCATTGTCTAGCTCTTAATTTGTAAGCCTTAATATGTTTTTGTTGCAACAGAAGAATATGGATCTGGTAATGATACTACTGACAAGTTGGTAACAGTTGTGATTATCACCTGCCTTCCCAAGCCATTATCAACTGAACACTTGTGTAATATAGTGGAGCTCTGATTGGATAAGTAATATTGCTCCTTGTGCATAAATTGTACCAATTTGCCTATAACATAGAAACTAGTGTATTTGGTGTGAGAAAAAAGAAAATGAAAACTTGGATAACTCTAAGATATTTCAATGTTTGAAAAACACAATGAGTGTTACACCTTAGGGCTCATTCCCAATGGAACTATAATTCTATGTAGATCAATCCAAATCTGTGAGGACTCTCACTGATTACAATAGGGTAAACAGATAAATGCACCTTCTCTTGTTAACAATTTACTGGTATAATCAACATCTTTTATGTATTCTACTCAATCCCAAGAGGAGGCATGTTAATCAGTTAATCTGATTGCATTCAGCAAGAGTCCCACACCATTGGATCGATCTATGTAGAACACTAGATTTATTGGGCATTAGCCCTTAGAACAATTACCAAATATTTTCTTGAGGAATGGTTTTTCCAGATCAGAATAACTAGATATTAACAGTGGGTTACATTACACATATATGACTTGAAAGAATCATTTTTACAGCATTCAACAGCTTTTGTTGCATGGGAAACCATTGGGAGATTTTGTTTTCATAATGGCAAGAGATGGTAATTACTTTTGATTGTCCAGGTAGAAATTTAATTATTCGCCCAAAAATTGTTTGGATATTTTTTTCTGCTGAGTTACAATATTGAGAGAAAAACGATAGATATAGAAATTGTGATCAAAATCTGTTTGAATGAAGTTGTTCCTTTGTCTTAAGCAATAACAAGTTCTCCATTAGCAATCAGCAAACAATTAAAATACTAGCTTGAGCACATGAGCTATTTATTGTTATCTGGAAGGTGCACCAAGAGCTAGGTTGTTCTCTTCTGCATAATGCTTAAGGTTCTCATGGACCTGCCTTCTCAAAATGGGCTTAAAAATCAGACAAAGGCATTACTAGTATATGCATGCTTACAACCTGTGCTTTAATTTTGGAAATACATGTCAAGTTACCTCTTGGGTAATTTGGATCAGTAGTGCATTTTTTATTTCATTGAGCAGTTCTGTTTAAGAAGAATATATTATGTCAGATTTATTTCTGGGTTGACTGTGTTCAATATCTGCATTGGTTCTGTATGATGTATCATGTTTATTCATAAGTGTGATGTCATAATATGACCTTCAGTCTGTCAGGTGGAGCCTTGGCCAAATGAAGGGGAGGCTTGCTACTTACATGGAGGTATAATTCTCCAGGTAGATATTGAGTACAGTAAATGCAGCTGTTGTGGAATTCCATAGCTAGTTATTTTTGGCACCCTAGCATTGCTAGTAGATGTAGGTCTGCTTGTTTGCTGCTTTTACTTTGCCTGACCTACTGTAGCCAGCCGGTTTTGGTATGGCTGCCTTTCGAGGAGGAGTCGATATACAGGGTTGAAAAAACGAGGTAGGATAAGGTATTTCATTTTGAGCACATATTCAACAAATACTATAATATGTTGGATTGGGTGAATTATTATTTTTTTCTTTGACAGACTTCTTGATAAGTATAGAAACAAAAAAACTACACAGCTGCTATGAGAACAGCTAGCTACTTCTGCATATGTGTTAGAAAGATTGAGGATGACTTGGATGAAGATAGCTTGTGGTGTCTTATTTAGGCTGAAATGGCAGGCCCAGTAACCCTTTTTGCTAAAAAGCCAGTGTGCCTATAACCTTCAAAATCTTTTGGTTGTAAATAGCATTGGAACTGATATAAAGGTAATTCTATTGATCTCCCAATGTCTGATAGCACTGCACCTTACAAAATACTTTGAAGACAGGTTTTTAATTGTATCCTTTTGATTTTGACATACTTTATTCCTGAACATGAGTCAATAGGGCTTTACATTCTGTCTGTAAGAACATTGTTCTTGGAATACCATTAAATGCTGAGGCTAAACTCAATGCTCTCCTTGCCATGAGCTATGGAGTTTCAGTATGGTTCTCTTTACAGAGGTGACACTGAACTAGGTTATTGGAGCAGAAAAAAACATATATTGTACTGTCACAACTGAATTTCTGGTTGCTTTAGCTTGTGCCAGACAAATTTTTATAGATACTACGCATATAAGGTGTTCAAAACTCGCACAGAGATTTGTTTGTTAGACCTAAAAAAATAATAGATGATACTTGCATCACTTTCATGCTCCTTACTGCTTGTAAGTGAGTTGATAAAATATTTGGCAACCAAAGGTCCATGATTTTTTTCTTTTGTTCAGTGAATTTTGATGCCTCACTGGGGTATCTTGTAAAGTTGAAAAGTACAACATGGTTATAAATCACATTGAATAAGCCAATGTTAAGCATAAACAGAGCATTTTTCATGATTAATTCAATAGGTTTCTGTGAAGGTGATTCAAACATTAAGGTGTAAGGTGGGCACTTTGCACCATGTTTGGCAAGTATGGAGATTATTTCATGTGTGGGGTAGCACTACATTTGTAGAATTAATTGCTATTCATGTCTGCACTCACACTGAAATATGGAGGCTAACTTTAAGGCAGTAAGTAATGGAATCTTTATTTTTTATTTGCGTTTGCCTTGCTTGCTGCCTATGAAGCATATATATGCCTCACCTATTCTTCTGTTACCCTACCTGTTAAGCCTGTGGTTCTTTTTTATTTGAAACACAGGTCTCAGGTTTTCATTATCTTCTGTAGAATTAATGAAGAGCAAACTGTACATAAACAGGATTTCCTCCAAATTGAAATGCATTGTGAATGTTATTCTGCATAATTACAGGTAATCAATTGCTGAGGATGTGTTGGATTAAGTCTGAATCCTTACTGATATGTAGACTCAGATGGTGCATGCTGCCTGAAATTGTCTGTACAACACTCATACTTTCGGACAGGAAGGAAACTGAGTTATTAATATTAACACATATTTATTAAGCATATTGATGCTGTAGTCACAGTACTGTGATTTTGCTCAAACTTTGGATCGTATGAAGGCTTGTTTTGTTTTTGTTTTTTATACATGTTTGTGTGTTATGTTTTGTCTGCTGATGCAAAGAAAATTAGATTATTGTCACACATATGCCATTTTAATTCTAGATGATGCAGGCAGTGACTCCTCAGAAACTTCCAAAGGCAAAGCATCATATGATGTGAATGGAAATCCAGAGACGTCTGGCCCAACCAAGTCTCAAGTAGGGTTCAATCAGCGTACATTTACTCAAGTTCGCAGAAGTGGCACCAGCACTAATTATGTGAGAGCCTACCAGAGAAGTGCCTTTCCCTCAATGCTTCATCATTTAAATGAGTATGAAATAAATCAGATGCCTGTTTCTGAACTTGAGGACATGCCATCATCATCATCAGCGGACCATAGTTACTATCTGAAAAAGATGCGCAAACAAGCAAGGAAAGAACGGGAGGAGAAGGCTATAGATGCAAAAGAAATCCCTGGTCATCAAGGCAATAAACAGGTAGATGAACTGTTGGAGTTTATCGAGAGTTCAGGGGGAAAGAAAAAGAAAACTACATCAAGCATGAACAATAGTCATTCGTTGCCGAACAACTTAAGTAACAAGGCCAGAAAAACATTGACAAAAGATGAGAAAAAGAAAAGCTTGTCCGAGTCACATGACCATTCTAGCTCTGAGACAGGGAGTGACAATGGCGAAGAGCCTAATGGCTACCTACGTAATAATGACAAAGACAAAATTGAGGACTATGGAAATGAAAGTGACACTGAAGATTTACCTGAAGGGAGTGACCAGAAAAACTTTGATTATGTAGCCAAGGAGGAAACACAGTCAAAAGTTTCCTATGAAACTGTTGAAGCAGAATATCTAGTGCAAAGTCTTGTATCAACCAGTGAAGCTGACAGTGAAGAAAACCCTCCTGCCATTGGAAGCACAGAGGACAGTGCTCAATTTTCAACTGTGGAAAATAGGGATCACTTTATTTTCACAGATATTGATATGCCACAGGTGAAAGAGGACAAATTTGAGACTGTAATTCATAAGAAAAAGAAACAACGCCCAACTGGTGTTTTTACCCCACCATACTTTGAACATCGCCGTGAGCCTCGTTTTGAAGAGAGGAGGAGACCTGTGAGGTCAGTAACACCACCTCCAAACTCTATACATGTGGCTTCTGGAGAGAAACAGACTGACAGAGCCTTGAGTCCATCAGCTTTTCCTGCACTGCCTCATGGTATGGGTCGTGAAGGGAGGAGGAATTCCACAGGCAATGTGGATACCCTTCCAAACCAGGATGACAGTGATATAGAATCTGTTAAGTCACTTCCTGTGTCAGACACAATGGATATAAAATCATCCACTGCTCCATCAGATGTAGTCAAACCATTGCCAATATCATATGCAAAGATAGCTGCTTCACCAAAACCCAATCCCAGTAGTCAAGTTTCACCTCGAGTCCATCCTCAGCCTGCAGAAACAGAACAGCAACGCAGGCATTCATTCAGTCATCATGATCATAATTTAATAGGCAGCAGTGGTGAAGGGTCTGACTTGAAAAGCAAAAATGATGTGATTTCTCGTAGCCAAGAACTCCCAACTAGTTTGGAAAAGGCTGAGAACGCTTCTGTATCTAATACAGGCTATGCTTGTGTTGTAAAAGCAAAGAGAAAACTGAGTGATGAGTTCGGGGTTTCTGCCACATTCAACTCCTCGTCTTCTTCAGTTTCAGGGGAGAAACCTGTTGGTAATCTTGCTGTGACAAAAACAGAAAGAAAACTTGGAACATGTAACAACTTCAATTCCTCCACAGAGGTCAATAAAGCAGTGCCTTCTGTGAATTTGCCAAAACAAAACGCTCCATTGGCTAGTCAAACACAACAGCAGTTCTCAAAGTCAGAAACTGTACAAAAAATGCCAAAACCAGAACTTGTCTCTTGTAATAAAAGAAGTGAGAATACAGTGCTGATGAACTCTAGCAAACCTCAACATTTTCAGAATATATCTGCAGCTTCAAACGCTGGAGTAACAATGCCTTCTGTGAACTCTAAGAAATCATCCAAGAACACAAAGTTTCTTGTTTTCTTAGACAAAAAAGAAGGAGACACCTCTAACCTTGGGATATCATTTGGCTTTGATGAGAACATGCCAGACATGCTGGAGAATGTGCCAGCTCAGGATATCCCTGCTGTGGACACTACCCCTGATATAATAAGAAACAGCAGTGGGGGGAATAATAAGCAAGCCAAGCCAGGCATGGAGATTAGTTTCATGGACAGTTGTGACATCGAGCCTACCATGGACAGGGGCTATGATGTTAAAGGTGGCATTGGTAAAGCACAGGCAAAGCTTAATGGACTGGTTGCACCAGTTCCTATGCCTCAGAGTGTCAGTGTTGCAATGCCTTGGGGAAAGGTGAACAATGCAGGAAAAAATGCTCAGCCCTCTTTCTTGGCTGAAGACTTTCCACCTATCACCAAAGCTGATAACAAGAAGATGGTCACACCTAGTCACAAAGGAATGTATGAAAATGACTTCTTGGGGACTTTCAGTATTGAGGATGCTGCAAGCTTTTTAATCAGAGGTACGTTTTGGCTTGCTTCTTGTTCTCCCATTGATATATAAATGGCATGGAATAATTCTAAGGGAGAATTATTTTAATTCTGACAATTTTTTAAAGGTAAAGTGGTAAGTATCTTCAATTAAAAATAGATATGAAAAATCTGTGGAGATGATTTAATTTTCACACATACCAACTGTTTCTTTTGAATGAATATCATGTTGGTCAGTGAAATGAAGACAAAAACATTATTTGTAACCATAATCTTTTTCTAGAATGGGATAGACTTGTTACCAAGGATAGCAGAGGTAAGTTTCACCATTTTCTGTTTTAAGTAGATTATCTACTCAACAATTTTATCATATTCTCTTCGAGAACTTGGGAATATTTTGCAATGAAATAAATGGTCTATCATCTTTCAGAACTCATTTTCATTTGACTGTCTGTTTGAGTAGAAAATAAGCCTTTAGTAATTACTTTGCATAACCTCAGATGTAAATTTTACCTTTGCTTGAAATGACAGACCTAGTTCTTTAAAAAATTATTGTTAAACCAGTTTATTATATAGCAAGTGATGCAAGAAGAAAGATGCTTTGAAAGTGTTATTTGGATATCATTTCTGTTTTTAGGTGTGGAAAATCTGTTTTTCTCAGACCAGTGGCAATGAGGAGAAGAATGGGTACTTTTTCCTGAAAGGACATTGGACTTGTTGACAAAACTGAACACAACTAAATCACAATATGTAAGTGTCTGCTGTGGGGTATCCTCCACCAGTTGCCAGCAGATGATTTCAGATGAGGAGGTGACCTGTTGGAATGGAGTATTGTGTCTTGTGGCACAACTAACACAATGAGGAGCTGTGATGTTTGGCTTGTTCAAATGACCATTCCTGTCTGTAGGTTATCTACAGACTCAAGTTTCTTTTGTATCTTCTGACAATATTAATTATTATTATGATATTGATAAGAAATATATAAAATGTTTTTCTAAAAACAAATTTAATTTCAAAAAGTGAAAAAAAAAAAAAAAGAAATATGAGACTTGGTGGAAAAGTGGCAACCAAGTTGCTCTTTCATTTTTTTCTTATATCTAAGGGTTTTATGGGGAATGGGAACCCATTAAAACCTCAGCTCATTGACAATATGGAAGCATCTTGATATTATTGGGAATGTCACAGTTTATAAAGGGTTAAGCATATGGGCAGTATTTTTCAGGTTGCAGTCCACCTATTGGATTCTTAATTTTAAGTCTGTGTTAGGTATAGATAGTATAATGTTTTCTGCTTAGATACACTACTGGTGAACATGAACATTGAATCTTAACTCTTTCTCTGCATTAGGAAAGTTGCACCTGTGGATTGCTGGCCTAACTGGAATGCATTTTACTTTGATCTAGATTAAGTCGAATTATTATGTCAGTTATAGAGAGTGGTGGATTATAAAGTATTTAGTGTTTAGTGACGGATTGGCCATTGAAAACTCACTGGTCCTCCAAATATTTTACTGTCCATCTGTATGACCCAGCTATTACTCTGACACTGTGGACAAGAGTTTTTTAAGCGATGGTACAAATCAGAATGGCTTTTGAATGTGAGCCTAAGACAAAATGGAGTGATGTACGTAATAGAACATGGATTACCAACGGGTAAGTTTCCTGGGGAAATTGTTGATGTGACAAAATTGGTTTGTTGGAGGGTAAACTGAAATTTACCTTGAATGATAGCTTGGAGAGATACAGCATAACCTATAATACTACAAAAACAACAAATTTTGCTTTTTCTGTGTATTTGCTGATCAAAAGATGGCGAACACTGCAGTATTTAATGTCTCTGATTTTGGTTGTTTAAAACAAGGCCAAGTTGCTTCCAAGCATCTAATGTTGTTAATGTTATTGTTGTTGCAATATGACTGTGATGATAGCATTACACTTTGAACTACCACAACTACTTCAATGTAATGTGGTATCACTTGGTAGACCCTTGATGACATATATAGAGATTAGCAATTCTTTGAAGTAGACTGAAGTACTTTTGATCTTGCATTGCCCTTCCTTTTGTGACTTTCTATGCCTATGCACTTAGGGTTTTAAAACAGTTGTAATGTCAGTACTTTTTGTTAAGTTATTATGACAGAGACCTATACTATTGTCATGATGTTACTGCCTTGTTAGAGGTCATGAGATATCGTCTCCTGTCTCTTTTTTTACATCCCTACCATATATTCCTCTTATGGCACTTTTCCTTCAACAAGGATAAATTGCATTAAAAAAAGATGTTGATTTTTGTTGACTGGGCCTGTTACAATGATAGCTAGCTTATTGTTGTGCTGACATCTTGGCACATCTAACACACTTATAAAGTACCTGGTGCACAGCCATGCTACAGGTTCTTTGTTAATGTTCTGTATGCACAATGGCAGAATCTTGTGTAGCAACCAACAAAAGTTTGGTAGACACAGACAATTCTTTTTGCACGTATACAATACCTGAAAGATGCTGGGCAATTTATGGTTACTGGTTGTATTGTAGACAATCTTTATGACAGTTGTGTAAAACTATTGGGTATGTGTGAAAATAAATGGACTCGAGGTTAAAATAGTAATATTAATTTTACTCTTATTTTTGCCATATTAACAAGAACTTAGTTCTTTCTGCATTTTTTAAGAAATAAAAGTTAAAACTACATACAACAACATTTAAAAAAACCATTTTAATTATTTTTTTATCTATAAAAAAACCATTTACTTTTTCATTCATTTTCACACAGTTATTCAATATATTAGAACACCTGGATAGAGTAGATCCTTATGTTGAGCCAAGGAGGGCTAGTATGTCCTGACCATAGAAGTTAGTACAGATATAGTATTCAAGGAAGTATCATATTTGGGAAGTGCAATTGGTTCTGTGCCACGACATGGCAGCACAATTTTTACTTTTTATTTGAAAGCTGGAAACGGCAGCAAAATTGATACTTTATATCCTTCAATATTGTTATATGTTAATTTGTAATTATAAAGTTATAGCAAATACCCTTCCTTGGCTCATTAATATTATAAACATTGCTGTCTGTTCCCTCCCAATTTGGCTTATGTATGTGTGTGCTTGATAATAATTATACATTTGTAGAACATTGATTTGATTTATCAGAAAGAAAATTAAAGAGGTACATTATTAAAAGTAAAAATTAAACATGGCTCAATTTGCATTATGGAAAAATTATTAAAAAGTGTTGACCTTGTGTCACTGTTGGTTCAGTTATGAATAAATGACTGATGCTACAAATGCAAACTTGTGTTTTTTCCCTTCATTTCTTTGTGAAACAGTCCTCTTGGTACCACACATGTGCATGAAGAGTTTCATAAACTAACATGAAATCAAATTATGCAGCTTGAGCTCTCTCCAAAACCTGTACAAAATTATTTTCACCCCTTTGATAGGTTTATAATGTGTCCAAGTGGTCCAAGTGTTTCTCAAAATAACTGTGTCTACTTGTCTGAAAGTGAATGACTTGGAATATTAATGATCCTGTGAAAAAGACCAAAACCTAATATGTGAGACAGGATAGTCACATTTTCAGTATTAAAGGATTGTAGAGATGGTATTCCTGAAAGTTGAGTTAAACCACAATGTGGGATCATTCAGAATTTTTTAATTTAAACACTTCATATGTATGTACTGTGCCATGTTTGCCTTAGTTAACTCCACCAACACCACTTCTCTATTAATTATTGCACACCATTGAAAGAAAGGCATCTCAATATCATAAGAACTGACAATCAAGGGCACAAAAGAGCCACTGAAGTGTTGTCCAGGTAGACTTTGCTTGATGCCTGCCGCTCCCTGCTGGATATGTTGTAGTATTTTCACAGATGTCTCAGGAAGAAGTATGACCATCACATGAACCTTGTACTTAATAAATTATATACAAATGACCATTCACTGCTGAAATTATATCACCGGTCCACACAAAAGACGCATCTTCTTTGAAGTCAATTTGTTAAAGGTCACCTGTGGAGGACATCCAGATGACTAAATGAACTCTGATTAATTCACTTGAAGATCTGAGTCAAAAGGGTAGGTACTTTATTTAACATTATTCAAGGCCTTCAATTACAACTTGTCTTCTGTATTGTTACAAAATAAAGCACTATTAATATGCCAGTCATCAGATCAATTGTCAATGCAGTAAATGTCACCATCCTCTAAGGCAATTTCAGCTTGTTGTTTGTTTACCTGTACTGCCACATGCTGTCAGTGTACACCACCCTGTGGAGCCTCAAGTAGCCAATTATGTTGATTACAGGTCTGTATGGATGAGTCTATCAAATGTATTGGAATGGAGCAAGCCCACCAGTGCCAGTGGTAATCCCTCACTAGAGGTGCAAGGCAGTGGCTGAGTAAGGTGGTACCTTCCTCTCCTACAGGTAAGAACTTAAACATTATAACCTTGTGACTCATTTGATGTGTATTAAGGTATTCATTTTATAATTCCCCTTTCTCTCTAAAAGGTAAGCAAATTTCAACCCAACTCCTGATTTTGGAGATAACCTTACTGACCTGGTGACTGGGATCTTGTGAAAATTGTTATATTTTTAAGCATTACTTAAAAATATAACAATTTGGGTATTATTATAGATAAATTAACTTAAGTGTTAGATATATATCTTACATTTTAAGTATTTTTGTTACAATACAATACAATATTCAGTGTGATTATTAAGTTGTGCTTTGAGTTAAAATGCATGTGCATGTTGCTCTCAAATATGCAATGGAAGCACTTCCATAAAAAGACAAAACCGATGACAGTAATATGTCCATGAAGACCTGCTGACACCAGTGTGTGTGAAATATATCTACCTTGTGACTAGAGCTATCACTGACAACTTTGACATCTTCATATACACTACTCACTAGGCAGTCAGTAGATGACCCAGTTGACATGGTACTTACACTTTTCTCTTGTTCCACACCCTGAATTTACTGTGTGTGCCATTTCTTTGCCCAGAATATACTTCTGATCTGTATCACATTCAAGGGAAGCTTATTCTGGGTAGAGTCGCCATAAGTAATCTAATCCAAGGTGCTGCATTAGTGCAGCTATGTTTTTTGATTATATATATATAGAAATTGAATTTTTTAAAATTTGTCCAGAGCATTAAGATGTGATATAAGATGCATTAAGAAAATAAAGGTAGTTTATGATACATATGTGTTTTGGTATTAAAATACAGGAAAATTGTAGGATATGCTTCTCAGATATATGTCTGAAAAAGGTCAGCTAGATATAAATTCATTTATAAAATCTTTCTCATTGCCAACAGAAATGAAAATGTAGATTTTTGTCTTCCAAAACCTTAATTGGTAAAATATTTTTATTTCTTACAGGAAATAAGATATAGACATAACTTCTTCCAAAACTAAGATGTCTGTTAAGAAAGTTTCAAGTTAAAATTTATCTCTATATATCCACATATGATATTAAAGGAATAAAGATGAGTACCTAAGCCTAGACTCCCAAGTTGCTGGCAAGTTGCCAGCCATCTTAGTCTATTGTTTAGCCTAGGATCCACTTTATTTGAAGTTCAGATAAATGGCTATTAGCAATTTTATAAATTATACCTGGGATTGCTATCTTACTTCCATATCTTTTGGGTGACTGTGGCATAGGCATCAATTAAGCCACCTTTTATTTTTTCAATGGTAAAAATTTGATTGAACTTTACCTAATGACACTAAGAGTGCACTTTTTGGGGGAAGTCTTTTACAAAAATATATTGCACTATTAGAGATTTAGATTTAGATCGACCTAACTCCCTGGGGGTTCACGCTAAATTGCGGTCAGCCGAGCGCGCACCATATAGTTAATTACCCCCTTACAGCTTTTAGTAGGCGGGACAGACGCTTAAGCCGGCTAAGCTGACAGTAATCTAGTAAGACTCCCCACAGAGATAGATCGATCTAAAATCTATGGGAATGGGGTCTTATTGTGAGTAGAAATTATGCTATTGTGTTAAGTTAAACTGCAGTGTTGGATCGGTTACAGTGGGCTATTTAAAAGAATATTTCCCTTCTGGATCACTTTTTCCCCACATTAAAACTTCACTTATATATCAGTACAAATGTTAACCAAGAATGATGACAAAAAGGGGAATTCTTCCCTTTTTTCAATTCATTTTATTATGCATGAAGAGTTGAAAAAAATAAGGGATTTGGAAATACAGACACCCACAAAAGATTATAAATGAAATAAATATTGCGAAGTTGCCAAATGTATTGGGTCTGAAATATCTGAAAATGACAAAAAGGGCAATTTTTCATTAAAACTATAAGTTTCAGACATTACTGTGTACAAATGACAGATTAAGCTTGTAATCAATTGTATGATTTATTATGAGCTTAAAGTGTGTGGTTTTATGCTGGGTAATTTCCTGTCACTCATAATCCATCTGACTGCAAACAGCAACGACAATCTCAAACCAGAAATATGTGTATATCATAGGCAGGAAGCCATTTGGGAGGTCTATATGCTATAACTATCTTGTGATTTGATAGTCTGTGTGTCAGATATAGAGTTATGTATGGAGAAGTTGCATAACTCTGACTGATATAACACTCTTAAAAGAAGGATCTGTTATTTAACTGGATTGGTGTGGGGATATTGTGTAGCAGAAAATGCGTACAAAATTGATCACATTCTTCCATGTTTAGATGCTGCTGTCGTGGCGCGAGTTTATGTTACAACATATGCTAGACATAAAACAAAATGTTAATGAGACATATTTTAAGATTTTTATTAAAAAAACTCATCATATGTTTTTTACAGATGACCCAAAAGATATATTATTGATTTTCATGCAAAAGAAATCATTAAGATCCATCACAGGCATTTAGAGTAGAAGATTACATAATATAATGGGCATCATTAAAGTACCCCAGTATAATTGCAATCATAAACCCTTTGTAGAATTTATAGGTCCTTCCCTGCATAATCATATTTATATTAATCCAGTAATAAAGTTGTTTGCAAAACTAATCATTATACTTGTTCAATTCAATATTAACCTGTGATGAGGAAGATTTAAATTAAGCATGCATACCCTGGTGTAAATTACCAGTGTAACACAACGGGAGTCCCTTATTACCTGGTGTATCACAGAACACCTATGTTGGCAGGAGGGCTTATTATTTACAGCAACACTATTTTGTTACACCTGTTCTTGGCCCATCAAGAGCTGTCGCAGCCTTGGCAGGGGTTGTGGAATGCCGGGTGGTACTTGATATCTCTCCAGCCCATATCTTGATATTTAGGAACATTTCACTTATGCATCATCTTGTGACACATCATTGGAGGAAAAAGGAAGGCACTTATTCAGTCATCTCCTCATAAAGTACAGTACAGCTGGCCCAGCTTAAGATGCTTGAATGCTTGCCAGTGGTAGACAAAGATTATTTGGGGCCTGCCAGTTAGAATATTAATTCCATTGAGAAATACAACCCTAAGTGGAGTAAATACTTTTGCTTTGGGAGGTGTACAAGAGCGCTGTTCTGTGCCTGTGGTGACAGCTAATGGAGAGTCACTGAGTTGTATACTTTCCTGGCTCTGTGGCAATTTACTGGTTGGCAGACTTTCAGAGATTGGTAGAGAGTTTGGTCAAGGGAGGACAGTTATGTGACAGATCATGATGCTGTGTTTGAGAAATTAGCTGGCAGATTACTCTGTAAGTGGAGTCAATTCTTGCAGATGTATGGGTTCATTCTTGTGTGGGAGACATTACTCATATCAGTGTGTGGTGGTTATAAGATTGGAATTATAATGCAACTGGACTGCCAGGCTGCGTATGTTATAATGAAAAGTGAATATGTTCACAGATAAAAAAGTGTGCTAAATGTATTCATTTGAGACAAAATATTTTCATTTTGTGATTTTTTAGGAATCAGTTGAAGAATAGGCAGAATGGCACATTTCTGTGGTGGTTTCTGTGGCAGGAGATGGAGCAGGAAAAAGAAATTTTCTGAAGAAGGTGAGGAAATAGCTTGAAGGTTTTAGCTTTGAAGATATGAAGTGAAGTTATATGATGAATGCTGCTTGAATTGTTCATTTGGTGTTTATTATGAATGACACTTTAATTTCTAAATGAAATAACATTCATTATCACATACATATATTTGTAATGAAAATCTTAATTTGACATTTTTTTTCGAGTTTTGTATTGGTGGTAATGAGATGAGATGGAGGAGCACTTACTGACCCACTGGGGACCTTCTGTCAGCATGAGTCAAATTTTAGGATTTTTGTTTTATGTTTTGTCTCAATACGAGATCCTCACTGGACAGAGGTTCCCACCTCCCTGTTGATGTTACATTAATTGTACTTTATTTTTGTATTTATGGCACCTGACTGTGAACATAACATATATTCTATTTGGTTTGAAATATGACGTTATGTCAGTCTTCATTTTATAACCTCTTTGCTGACTGGAATCACCACCGATTCATTAAAGAATAATGGGAGAAACCTTGCTTATGTCTGAGGATTTGGTTTATTTTTATTTAAACTTGATCTGGCATGAGTATGGGTGTATCTTAGAGGGAACAAGTTTAGGTGAATGGCTGTCGGAAGGATATTGCAGAGTACACTTCTCTCCAACTGGGAAGTAGGGCTAAAACAGCACTGCTGATAACTGACAGGATAACTAAGCAGATAGTGTCAGTGTAAGATATCAAATTGAATTAATGAAAGCTTATTTTCCAGCTTCATATTTTGTTTTCAGTTAAATGTTATAAGCTGCTAGTAGGGGTACTAATACATGTAAGGTCAACTGATTGTAGGTATGGTTCTGTGTGTTTGATATATATATATATATATATATATATATATATTAAGAGAGAGAGAGAGAGAGAGATAAAGAAAGAGTTAGATGTCACTGAACAGTCTGTGATGGGTCATTAATGTAAGAAGCTCATCTACATCCATCTGTCACATTTTAAATGAAACATTTATGATCCTTGGCCTGGCCACAAACATTTCATCATTCCCATCTGTAAAAGTCATTTTAATGGTGAAAAGCAAACAAAGAAACATATAAATGGTATTTTTCAAATCTTTTCATTTGTTTTCGCCAATGACAAATTTTGCCAAAACTGTTCAAGGCTTTTAAGGTAGGTGTTGTTTTCAAGGTAAAAAACGATGTGATCAGCATAAGAGAAATAAAAAGCACAAAATTGACAAAAACATTGCAAAACTGTAGAAGGAAAATAATTCAAAGCCACAATTGGAGAAGAAATTTAATCTAGTCCCCTACAAGGAGTAAAAGAAATAAAAGTTTTAAAACACTTCACAGATGAGAAAAAAACAAAAGAAACAGATTAATGTAGCAAGAATGAGGACGAGGAAAGAATTCGGGCCTGCAGACATTTTTGAGAGCATCTCAGGGCATATTGCATATTTCCAGACAGGATCATTGTGCTTTCTCCACTTTCACCAGGGCATCAGTTCTCTGGAAATCCAGCTGTGAATCATCCTAGGTGCCAACTAGTGACAGTGGCGACCATTTAACATAAAATAAGTTTTCCTCTGGGGTTTTTTGAAGTGTCATTTTTAATTTGTTAAATCTTAAGGGATGCCCTACTTTTTTATGGCCAGTTTTCTATAGGTACCATCCTTTAGTGTAATAAATGTCAACTTCTAACAATTTTTGGGTGGAAGGTTGATGGGAAAATTCAACTTCTCAAATACCGGTAGTATATAATTTTTTTTCTGGGCCATATGACTGTTGTATACATTTTCTATATTAATTTTTTTGTTTTTTTGCAAGTCATTATATTATATGTAGACCTCTGCCTCCTTTTGCTTGCACATGATGCAATACAAGTATTAAGAAACTCTTTTTGCTTAGCACACTTGAGCAACTTTTAAAGAATTTGAATAATATTTGATTTATTTTTCTTACATTTTACACTAATATTACATTTATTTCTTGAATTCATTTAGCTATGTAATACATAAAAGAGTATATTAAGTTAAATAAAAACAACCACAATAATAATAAGACAAAATAGAAAAAAAAATGAACTGCAAGATTATTTCTGTAGGAGCTTGCAAATGGAAAAGTAAATTTCACAGTGTTGCAAGCAAAATTTCTTCAGGGTTACATTAGAATATTGATTTCAGGAATCGAGACAAACAAATTTCTTGGTTTTCAGGTTTTTGATGAACCTCGTTTGAATATTTGACTTAAATCCAAGATGCCAAAGCTAGGAGTTGAGCATTTGGGAACAAATGCAGAAACAAAATAATTACTCAAAAAATGTGTAATATTGTAGGGTACCAACAACAGGAATTTTATAAGCTAGCAAACAGTTTGATTTGCAGAGGATGTTTTCCATGGAGGTTGAAAATAAACATCACACCACACTTTTGTAACTGCAATAACGAATCTTGGTTAAATGCAAACAAATAGTAAGAATAACAATAAAAACTACATTTTCTACATTCTTAGCATTTCATCCTTTCTTACAGGCAAACCTAAAAAGGCCAACAAGAGATGGTCAGACATTTTCCAGACTTCAGTGAACTCTTCTTCAGATTCAGAAGAGATACCTGAAACAAATGAGAATGAAAGAAATGAGATGAACTCAAAGAAAGCTGAGGAAAAATCTAAAGATGATAATGAACCTGTCAAGAAAGTTGAAAAAGAGGTAATGTATTTGTGAGATGACCAACTAATTTTTAATCTTGTGCCATTATCAGGGGTAGATGGAAGCCATCTTCTAGGTCTTCTGGAAGATTGTCAGAATTTTCAAGTGTACATTGACGGCATCTACTTTCTGTTGGAAGACGGATAAAAATGGGGGATGGCTCAACAAAGGTGATTTGAAAGACTGTCAAAAAATATATCTGGATCCGCCTCTGCCACATAAAAAGAAAAGAAACAGATAGGATATCAAATAGGAAATTTGCAACATTATATTATGTTATGTTTCAGTTTATATATGGGATTTTCAAGTCATTGCCAGAGGGTGATTGAGGTTTGTTTATCTGTTTTCTTGTACAATTAAATTGACATAGACTCGCCCTTCAAGAAATCGACGCCTTCAAGAAATCGACGAAAACCGGAAGTGCGTGTTTTTTGCACTCACTGTTTTTCCTGTCATGCCCATGGTAAACACTGTGTTATCAAGTAAAACGAAGCGTCTGATACAAAGTATCAAACGCGGCATTCACGTGCTTGCTTGCGATGCGTTCAGTACACTGTTTACACTGACAAGTCGAGGTCAGGAATGCACAATGTTTTTCTATGTAATTACGCAGTTTCAATTTTGATTAGTGAATTTTATTTTATCTGCATGGTCATTTTCCGAACATTTGTATGAGCCGCGAAATATTTCTCATCGGAAAATCACCCAGCAGCTTTCCAAGTAGAAGCGAGTGACGTCATGACGCACTTCCGGTTTTCGTCGAGATCTTGAAGGGATTAGCGTTACGGTTTGCTGCACATTTAAAGCGTTCTGTCTCAAAATGTACTAAACTGCTTGGATTTAAATTTACAGAACTTATTCTTCACATGATATCACACATATGTGCTTAATTTGAGAGCTTTAGCTGTTATATGATTTCTACAGTGCCCATTCAAAATTGAAAAAGAGCTATTTTCCGTCGATTTCTTGAAGGGCAAGTCTATATAAATTTGATAACATCAACTTTTGAATTAATATAATTTAAAACCTAAATCTTAAATGCACTTGTTTACAAGAAGAAAAAGCAGCTTATATGTTGACAAGATAATAATCATATGTTGAAGATATAAAACTAATAATAATGTGTAATTTTAAAAATACTTCAGTGTGTGAAATACTCCATGTCTTCATGACGAACATATACATGTTAAGGTAAAGCAAACTAGCACAGACTTGTCAATGTAACTTGCAACACATGTACAGAATCTTGTTGATAATGACAGATATTTATAATATTCATGATCCTCCTCAATATGTGCTTTTTACACTAAAATACAGACATATATGTCAGTAAATACATGCACTATCAATCACATCAGGATGGTTGTATAAAATCTGGTCTTGTGAATTATTTTTATGGGTCATTCAATAGCATTTTTGAAAAGTAAAATGAATAAAGAAAATAATGTAATATAAATGAATACATGTTGTCAAGACTATTATAAACATTTTGTTTCATATGAAAATTATTTGTATTTATGTTGTTTTTTAAATTAAGGACAAAATTCATCCCTCCATAAGGGCCCCTACACATATAAAGGAATGTGAAAAAATTGTACGGGAACTTTTTGTCAATATTTGGCAGTATCTATAGTTATCTTTTTTAGCATAAGGCAGAGCATAGTTCTCACCACTTTGGCATTTAATCAGCACATAGATGCATTATTGAATAATAAGATGCAGGAAAAAACTCATTTTTGATATCTGGATGATAATGAAGGGTTACAACATCCTTAATTAGTATTGATGAAAATGTCTATGCATGTGTACAAGCCAGTTGATTATTGAAATATATAGAATGTTAAGGATGTGTGTGTTAATGCCCCCGTCACACTAGAGGCGGAATGAGCAAGAATGCCATTGGAAAGACAATTCTTTGTGCGCTCCTGGATATTCGAAGAGCATTCTAAAAATTCCAAGTGCATTCTAAATATTTTTACCCATTCTTGTGGCATCCCGAATGTTTTTGTCATGTCAAAAACTTTCGAAGTGTATTCCAAGTGGAAATTTATCGAATGGCATTTGAACAGTATTCTAACTGCACTATGACTGCGTTCTAAATATTCTCACGGCATTCCGACAGCATTCGAAACATTCTGATCATATTAGAGAAATATTGAAATTGACAAGTGACTTAAAGCCCCCGTCAAACTTATTTGAAATCAGTAGGAATCAAGCCAGAATTACTAAATTAAAAAATTCGTACCATATTCGGGAGGGAATTTCAAATTATCATAAAATATTACGGCTTTGTAAAATGCCTTTGGAATACTAAGAATGCACATCGAACCTGCCTGGAATGATTCTTGCACATTCCAGGTATATTACCTCTCAAATACAGCTCGAATGTAGTTGGAATACTGTAGGGATATTGCGATGAATTCCCTCTTGGAATGCACTTCGAAAGTTTTTTACATGACAAAAACATTCGAGCCGACCACAAGAATGGGTAAAAATATTTGGAATGCACTCAGAATTTTTAGAATGATTTTTGGAATGCTCTTCGAATATCTTGGAATGCACAAAGAATTGTATTTCAGAGGCCATTCTTAATCATTCTGCCTCTAGTGTGACAGGGATTTTATATCCCGCCAGAATGTTTCGAATGTGCCTCGGATGAGCTGAAATATTAATGTTGCCAGCAATCGAACTACACTAGTGCGCTGTTCAAAGTATATTCTAAATATTCTTACTGCCGTCTTACAGCATTATAAATATTCCTAGTTTTCCAACTACATTCGAACTGCTTTTGAGAGCTAATACAGTCGAAAGTGCACTCATCATTCCAGGCGAATTCAAGCGCATTCTGAGTATTCCAATGGTACTCTTACAATAATTAAGGTCAATTTGAAATTTTTCCCCGAATGTGGTGCAAATTTTAAAAATTCTTTGTTCAGGCTCATTCTTCTTGATTCCTGCTGATCCTGAATAAGTGTGACGGGGGGTATTAGGTGGTCATACCAAGGAAAACTTTTAAAAGACTGATAAAGTTGATCAATCACAGTCTCATATTATTCATACATTGTTAGCAGTGAAGTTTTATTTTAAGAGATGCTCATATTCTGAAAAATAGAGAAGAGAGAAGAGAAGAGGAGATTTTGTTTAATATCGTAGAGGGAAAATATTTTTCCTAGATTTTATCTGTGTTCTTTGTTTTTAGGCCAAGAATCAAGCTAAAGACAAGCTAAAGAAGAGATCATCCTTTAGGAAAATGGATAAGAACCAGAAAAACAAAAGCAAGTCAGACAAGGCTGAAAAATCTGTTCCCCTTTCAAATGAGCCAGCATCTGATGCAGAATGGCAGACAGTTCAGATCAGATTATCAAAGAGATACACCAAAGATAAAACAGAATTCGTAAGAAATGAAAAAGAAAATAACATAGATGAAACCCATCTTAATGGAAAAGATAATCCTGCTTTTATTAATACCTCTCCTGTTTTAATTACCAACAGTGATGCCAGGACCTCCCAGAGAAATAACAACAAAAACAAGAAAAATTCCAAGGATGATTCACCCTGTAGTCAAGAAACGCTCCCTGACATGAACAGATCTCCTGAAATAACCAAGAAAGATCCCAAACATGATCTGGATTCTGGCTTTGTTGAGTTTGATCATACAGAAGTGGCATCATCTGAATCTGCCATTGAGGCTCCTCCATTAGCACAAAACTTGGTCCGCTTTAGTGCAGACCTGTTTGCTTCAGAGAAAACTCTAGTTCATACAAGTCACAGTGCAGATGACAGTGGTTACAATGGAGAAACAGGTTGGCAAAGTAACAGAATTAGCCAAGGAAACCATAGAAACAGTTGCCACAGGTACATAGACTATGTATGTATACTTGAGAAAGCAACAGAGTTGCAGCCAGCAAATTTGGAGATGGTGGTGGTAGAGGATTATGATCCTCCCCTTGATTGGGCAGCTAAAGATGAAGTAGCCATTACCAAAGGAACCACAGTCACTGCCATGTACAGCCAAGGTGGTTGGCTTTTTGTAAAGCGTCATGATGACAAGAAGGGTTTTGTCCCTTACCGATCAGTAAGGATTTTAGAAAATGACAAGAAAAGTAACATTAAGTATGCAAGAGTCAATAAAAGTTGCCAGCAGAATGTTAGCAAGGTTCGCTTTCAGATTGGTAACTTAGAAAAGAAAGAAAAGCAGGTATATGCTGCAAATATATTGTCACATGGCCACACTGATCCTCTGTCAAATGAACTGGAAAATAGTTATGATGCTGATGTTTCCTATTCAGATGAGGAAAATGATCATTCAAATAATGAACCAAAGAGGTTCTACTATTATGATGATTTTGATCTCTTCAGAGATCAAAACGTCCAGAAAAGAGAGAAAGCATCTATGGCCAGAATTATCAGCGAGAGCAACATCTGCCAAATGGAAGCTGGAGCACGTGACCCAGTCTTTGTCCAATCAAACCTCAGCATTAGCTTGCTTGAATTACAGGGGAATTTTAGCAAAGACTATGCAGGATCAGCTGTGACTGTCATTTGTAACTACAAGGCTGTCAATGAGAATGATATCAGTGTGGCTCGTAATAGTGTGGTTACGCTGCTCAATGATGAGGACCCAGACTGGGCCTGGATTATGAGAGAGGATGGGGAGGAGGGATTTATCCCAAAGAGCCACTTTGTTAACTTACAAGCCCTTAACTTAGATCCTAAAGTGCCAACTACATATTTTTAGAATAGTAGAACATTGATATCTAAAGTCCATAACTATGAACTATTTTCTAGATTTTGTATAATTCAGAAAGTGCACCTTAATCAAATGCCTAAGCAACATATTTTCCATCTTAGAAGACTACAAAAACTAACTAATTGGCATTAAGAATGCTACTGACCAGTCCAAAAATACATTAGGTGAAATGTTTAAAAACATGATTGAGATGATACATTTAATCATTTACATCATACAGTTTGATGATACAATTCAGTGTGCATTCAGTTAGAATGACATACAGAAAAAGATGAAAATGGTAAATTTTACCACAAATTATAAAACTTGGTTGATAGTATGATCAATTCTATATTGTAAGATTTAACGTTGACACAGTCACATTATTGCAAAACTGCCTACAAGGAGTTCCCTACATGTATGTCTTGTGCAAAGAAGCATGAGATGTGGCAGATCCCATTATTTATTGACACAAAATTTAAATTTTAGAGACAGATTTGCATATTCGTTATATATTCATTTATTTGCAGTAAACTGAAAATGCTAATACATTGTTGAAAAATATGGATTAAATGTAGTCTGTTTGACCAAAAAAGTTGAGCAATAAACAACAAATGTAAACTTCTAACATGTACTTTTCTTGTAGTTTCTCTGTCACTTGATACGGCATGTATATATATATCTTTCTTTATTTATTTTCAGCACAACATTTCTTAAATAATAAAATATACTTAGTATGGTAAACTATTTTTACTTATGCAACTAAATAAGAAGCAATATGAATTAAACTTTAATAGAAAGAGGTCTTCTTCAGAACTTGTTTAAAATCCAATGCTGATTACAACTAGAGGGAAACGTGCTCATCATTTTGAAAACTGAAACAAAAGACAAACAAAAATGAAAAACAATTTTTAAAAAAATGAAGATGCTTTAGAAAATGTAAGAAGAAAAAAATCCTTGGCCTAAAAATAGATGAACATCTCAGCTGAAATAAATAATTTACCAAGCTTGTAGAAAGATATGACAGCAAATTTTCTTTGAGGAAAAATTAGAACTATATATATAATATATATAATCAACAATCTACAAATGAATGCAATTAAAAACGTAATACTTGCATATAAATGGCCTTACAACAAAATATGTCAAAGGTCTATTATGTACTGGGGTTAATATAGCACACTATCAGCAGAAATACTCGAACAGGTGCAATGGGCATTCTTTATATACCAAATATGGTTATAAAAAAATTTAACAAATAAATATAGTAAGTATGGAAAACCAAGAGAGTCTAGGGAATACGGCTAATTATTCAGAAGCAAATTTTCTTGGAAATATATAAATATATATTTACCTCAACACCAGGAATGGCCTAGCTGAATCAACTGAATATACAAATATGACATGGAATTACAACCCCATTAAGGATATTGTCACCCTTCACCCAAAANACATTGACATATCGTCAACATTCTTATACTACTCATGTTTTCTTCCCCAGAGGTATGAGATCCACTTTCACCTTTAAAAAGGACTGTACAATAAACTGATAACATCAGCAGTTACCACAGAGACAATGCAACACCCTACAATTACTGCAAACAAAGTATCAGCTCTGGACACTGAAACACCAACACCTGGTACTAAAGTGATAACATCAGCAGTTGCTATGGATACACCTGAAAGCACTGCGACTGATGCAGGCCCTACTGTCAACCATTCACCTGAAAGCAGAGATGATAGTGTAGGAACTAGCACAGGTAACAATAACCCAGACCAGCCAGTGACACCCTATGAAAATATTGTGATTTCTGGCTCAATTGGAAAAGGTCTTTTACCCAATGGTCTCTTCCCTCGAACAAGAAGCAAGTGTTTCGCTCTCAGGGGAAAAAAAGTAAAGGATGCCAAAAAGCTACTATCAGAAAACAATTTTGGAAAACCAAAAACTTTCAGTATCATAATTGGATCAAACAACATTAGTGAGGGTCAGAATCCACAGAGCGTAGCGGAGGAAACTATTGACCTTGTTAATACCATTGAACAAACTTACCCCGAAACCCAAATTATTGTGAGCAACATTCTACCCCGCTGGGGAAATCACAGTTTTAACAGAGCGGCAATGCAAACTAACAAACAAATGTATGATTTCTGTAACTCACGTGGCAACGTTCATTACATGAACAATGAAAATATCACAGGCAGGAGAACTCTTTTCCAATGGGACGGGATCCATCTCACTTCCCATGGGACCAGCGCACTGGCCCGTAATATCAAGGAGGCCACAGGACAGATGACCCAATCCAAGGCAACACCCACCCGCAACCATAGACCCAACCCACACGTCAACCATCGCTACCACAATCATGGAAACCAAAGCCAGTGGAAAAAACAGTGGAACCCACTCAATGAAAGGAACAGCTCTATCCAGTCAGAACTTAAACTACTGAGAGATTGTTTGAGCAAACTGGAAAATAAAATCGGATAACTGACAATGAAGGCTTTATATATGTACTTTTTTTTCCTCTAGCACAAAGAACTATGCTCAGCGTCATTTTATATAAAGGATAATATTTTAAATAATAGATTCTCTCTGTGCACAACAAGCCAAGTAACAGCCACAGTAAGTGCCAAATTCATATCTGAGATGTCAAAAATGTGAGTATCTATTTCCTTTTTCTTATAAATACACAAGCAATAATACGATCTTAGTTATTCAAATATTCTAATCTGAAAGGTACACCGATTGGCATACAAATTTTGCATGCAGTTGATCTTTATACATTTAGTACTGCTTGCCCAACAGGGTACACAAATTACACCCCAAAACATAGGTCATAAGGTTAATGTACTAAGTGATTACAATTAAAATAACTGAAGAAGAAATGTAAACTGATCATAAGGTAAACTTGTTACTACATAATTTATTTATATATTATTCTCATGTAAGTTGTTATTAATCAAGCATTGCTGAAAATGAGATGATTAGCTGTCCGAGGATAGGTGTTTAAGCACACATAGTTACATAACATGTCTCCTGCTTCTATCATGAATGATATGCTTCGCTTAGGTATGCGTAATGTTAGAGGTCTTGCTAACAAGCTTAATGATGATAATTTTCTTGCTATGATAGAAAGCTATGATATTTTCATATGTGTTGAAACCTTTTCTACAGAAAGATCAAGAGTTGTTCTACCTACTGGCACACATGCCCATTTTCTTAAAGTTAGAAAAAAAAGAAAAGTTCGAGGTAGACCCTCTGGGGGAATTGTTATATACTACAAAAAAGAGTTTCGAGAGGCAATCAAGATGCAAAATAGTAAGAGTGAGAATCTATTATGGCTTAGGCTGTCAGGCACATACTTTGGATTACAAAAAGATCTATTTGTGTGTGCAGTTTACATAAAACCAGGCAACACTGCGATTGATGAGGCCACTTTTGATATCCTAGAAGATGAAATTGCACGCTATCAGGCACTAGGCTCAGTCTGTCTCCTAGGTGACTTTAATGCAAGGACTGGGACTTTGTCAGATTTAGTCAAAGATGATAGCATGTTTGGACCGGCGCCTGACAGCTTGGCCAATAACACACTCACACGACCTAGAAACAATTTAGATACTATAGTGTGGTGAACCCCCAGGGAAGAAGTCTACTAGAACTGTGTAAAAGCAGTAGTTTAATCATCTTAAATGGTAGAACACAAGGCAACTCCTTAGGATATTTTACCTGTTTTAACAAACTGGGATGTAGCGCAGTAGACTATGCTATTGTTAGTGACAGGCTACTCAGCAATGTAAAGTATTTCACTATCCATCCTATTGATTACTTGTCTGATCACTGTTTATTGGATGTTACATTTCAAACAACAGGTATCAAAGAGTATAGAAATTCACAGACACTTCAGAAATTCAACGGTAGATATATCTGGGAGTCAGACTCATGTGAAAAATTTTTAAGTGCCCTTGAAACTGAATCAAACATGTCAGCCATCTGTAATCTGCAGTCAACAAACTTTCCTGCAACAAAGAGTGGAGTGCATGATGCATGCCGCNGCCAACTAGCCCCGGTCTCCCCTATTGTTTAAAAAAAAATTAACCAAAATTTTCACCACCAAACTTTCAAATAATAACAAAATGTACATCTCTTTGCAAACTATGTAGAAAACAATGGTATGGTGACTGAATATAAAATGGGTCCTTTTCCACTGTTTATTGGATGTTACGTTTCAAACAACAGGTATCAAAGAGTATAGAAAATCACAGACACTTCAGAAATTCAACGGTAGATATATCTGGGAGTCAGATTCATGTGAAAAATTTTTAAGTGCCCTTGAAACTGAATCAAACATGTCAGCCATCTGTAATCTGCAGTCAACAAACTTCCCTGCAACAAAGAGTGGAGTGCATGATGCATGCCGCTCTCTAGTAAATATTCTTGAAAACGCTGCAGAAGCATCCCTACGAAAAAAGAAACCTCAAAGTAGCAAACAAAATAAAAGACCAATAAAAGAGTGAAAAAACAACCATGGTTTGACGGTACCTGTCTGGAAGTAAGGAGAAATGTCAAATCATTAGGAAAACTCCTTCAAAAAAACCCGAAAAATAAATTCATTTCTGATACATACCATGTAGCTGTCAAAAGGTACAAGAAAATGATTAAAGAAAAGAAAGAAAACCACAAGACTACCATGATAAATGAATTGCTAAATCTTGAAGAGAAAAATCCTAAAGCCTTTTGGCAAACTCTACAAAAACTGAAGGGTAAAAAGCACCAAGAAAACCTAATTGAACCAGACACGTGGCTTAACCACTTCTATAACCTATGTGGAATCCCACTTCAGGATGAACAAGAAATAGATAATCAAATCGAAGCACATGAAAATATGCTAGGCGAGCCCACCCTCAACCTTCCCATAACTGTACATGAAGTCAAGAAAGCCATACGGAAGTTAAAAAATGGAAAATCTCCTGGTGAAGACATGATAAGAAATGAAATGCTGAAGACAGGGGCACAGTACCTTACAGGTGTGCTTACTAAACTCTTTAATTTAGTGTTAGATACGTCAGAAATCCCTGATCTATGGAACCTCGGGATTATCATTCCGCTTTTCAAGTCAGGAGAATACATGAACCCCTCAAACTACAGAGGACTCTGTATCACTAGCTGTTTGGGAAAACTGTTTAACTCTATTTTAGCAAACAGAATCATTGAATACCTCCAGTCAAAAAACAAGTTAAGTGAGGAACAAGCAGGATTTCGGCCGGGATATAGAACTACCGATCATATCTTCACTTTGAAATCTATAATTAACAGATACATCAATCAAAATAGGAAACTATATACATGCTTTATTGATCTGAGAAAAGCATTTGATACTGTGTGGCACAAGGGCCTACTATTGAAACTACTCAAAACTGGAGTAGGAGGAAAATTTTACAGCATCATTAAAACAATGTACAGTAACACCAGATTAGGCATCTCTGTTGGGGAAGGGTACCTGCCCTTTATATCAAGGATAGGAATCAGACAAGGGGATAATCTAAGCCCTACCCTTTTTAATGTTTTCATCGATGATATCAAAGAAATCTTTAAGAACAAAAATAAGGACTGCTCAGTTGATGGCCTAAACC